CCTACGAGAGAGCGATGAATGCCGGACGCTATGCTTCGTATATCATACAGCTTACATTGACCAGGAAAGGCAATCCATCATATGTCGTGTTGATCAGCTCATTGAAGACAGAGGATGCGAATGGACTGCAATTTGGATGATCGTAAGTGAGTACTGAGCAGCACAATGCAATGCAACACTCACGGGCCAACACCCAGCAAGCCGCGGTCAAAGCCAGCAGAGGTTGCATTGCTGCCGGGAGCGTTGACTGCAAGGTAGACACATGAGTACGGTCTGATCGCTGCGAGAATTACATGCACCTACTGAAAGCCTGGCCACTAACGGTGAACTCGCCGAAACTGACGTTGCCTAGGACAATCGGACCAGTTGCAGACGAGCCATCTCTGTTCAGCGCAACATGAGCGGCGCGGTTTATTGAAAATGATCAGTGGCATACACGTAGCCAATGGAACCAGTTACTCCTGTATCCTGAAGGTCGTCGAGGGTGACATTGGATGTGTCCAACCAAAGATCTGAACTGCCAGAATCGATTTGGACCTGCAGATGTGTTCACGTTGAATCCAGAAGAGTCAAGTGAATTGCATACCTGGAAGGGCTGTCCTTGCACATAGATGGTGGCAGTGTAAACGAATCCTGCACCGTTAGAGAATCCTATATTTCCGTTAGAGTTCTGATTCACAGACACAGTAGTCGAGCGGGCGCCGACGGAGCGACGCTCAAATGGAATAGAGAGGCCATAAGTGCTCCCAATGAGGGCGAGAATAGAAAGGGGCAAAACAGTCATTGGGAGAAGGAGAGAAAGGGATAACGATGGTGATTTCCTCGAAGGTCGTCCCGGGTATATGTATGACAGGTGCCATCAGTCAAGCGTCGAGACAGGGCACACGGCTAGATTGCGGTGTAATAGGGCGCTGGCAGGCAGTGGTTGTCATCCCGAGGGTCGCCGTCGCGGGTAGCAGGAACTACTAGCGATTGTGTGAGACAGACCGTCACAGAAGCCACTTGCGCTGAGATGTATAGTGGTGCCTCCAGATGCTGGACCGGAAACAAAGAGCCTCTTAGCCGCAAGGCAGGCTTGAGAGTTGTGCTCAACAGATTACAACAGCATGCTGGGCTGGCGTACGCCAGTACGTCGACCCGCGCCCGCGCCCGCACTGGTCAAGGGGGCTCAATATCAATCGCATAGCGGGTCGGCCAAGAGTCGGCAGGTCTTGATTCTGAATGGGCGCTCGCTTGGCACCTAAGACTGACTTTGATGAGCGCAATGCGCATCTCCGGATACGTACAACATTTTGACCGCATTTCGTTGAGCAATTCGCTCCGAGACTTGACTTGGACTTGACAGAAGAACGGATTCGGATGGGCCCATGCCTCACGACGATTCTGCCACGTCCTCAATAGCATCTGAAGACTGAGACCGGAGGACAGTGGTGCAGTGGGAACACCGCGAAAGCTGTGTGTTTGAGCGGATCACAGCACACACGATGGCGAGTCGAAGAGCGATGTACAATATAAAAGAAACAGGCGCCTGCGAGGCCTGAGCGCGAGCGCCGGTACGTTCCGGCGCCTGCGAGGCACATTCCACCATCGAACTAAACGTCGACAGCTGCGAGCCACGATATCCCAACGCATTATCCCAGGCAAGGCGGCAGCTCAGGCAACGGCAATGTCTGGTGATAATTTGTCTCCCCTTCCGGCATCCTCTCGCCCCGGGTTGTCGAGGACAACGACGACTCTGACTGCACGCGATGTGCTGTTGCAGGCTAAGAAGAACACGGTGCTCAAATCCCACGGCAGGCCACCTTGGTAAACTTTCTACAGAGGCCCTTCACAGGTCTATCCATTGAGCTACGGATTACCAGGTATGGAGAGGATGGCCACAGAATCTCTGATGCGTTCGTCATCGGTATTGCTGGTGCGCAAATCTGACGCAACTCATACCGGCCAGTCGATCAGCGTTTGACCAGCTGATTTGCAGGAGGATCTGCTAGTGGCAAAGTGAGAACGTTCGGTAGCACCATTACAAGTATATTCATGCCCCGTCCGAGAACAGACGCATGTCGCGCGCCGTATAGTTCAGTCTCTAGGATCTATTCCGACTGTCATCATTATGTCTCAAGTAAGATGCAACGCTGCACGTCGTTTCCTACATTTACACCGAACGTGTAGGATAGCTTCTACAAGCGGCATACGGAAGAGGAAATCGAACTGGCCTTTGCAAGCCGCTATGACTTCGATCATCCTGGTATACATCGCACGCTATGCTGTCTGTCCCTGACTGAGGCGCTTCGCGTTTGCACTGGCAGACGCAATTGACATGCCGCTGTTCGCATCCGTACGTGCACCCATTCGTGTCATGTATCCTTGGAATGCGAGGTGTACTTGAACTTTGAAGGTCGCGTGTCCTGCCATGGAACTACACAGTGCCTGGCGGATCTGAAGGCTTGTCGACAAACGAACATCCCCATCTACTCCTTCACAGAGCATCAGCGTCTTGACGAGACGAAGTATCTCTATGGAGCAGCAATTATCATTGGTACGTCCAACCAGGCTTCAGTTGGCATCAGAATTTGAGCTCCAGTGAAGCGGAGGGCATCATGGCCTTGCACGACCCCGCCCTCAGGGCGTTGTATGATCTGAAGGTATAGACTGAATCCAGAGCCAACTCGATGGTAATTTAACGTCCGCATTCTCCAGATTTTTGTACAATGCGACTCAGACTTGATGCTCGCCCGCCGTATCAAGCGCGACGTGACAGAACGTGGAAGGAGCGTTGACGGAATCCTCGAACAGTCAGTGGTAGATTGCCAAAGGCGAAACTTATCGCTAACACCACACCTCGCACAGGTACCTTCGTTACGTGAAGCCCTCCTACGACCACTTCGTGCAGCCGACTTCTCGGTATGCCAATATAGTGCGCTAACTTTCTGTTTCGTTGAGTGCGCCCGCCTGACGTACTGCCTTATCAGATTGTACCCGGATCCGACAATGCCGTGGCCATCGACATCATCTCGACGCACATTCGCAGACAGTTAGACGAGCGGGCGACTCAGCTTCGGCAGCGTCTGGCTGGAGCCGTCCCTCGCGAGCTTGTCGCTCATGGTTCGCTCGACCTAAGCAGCTCGAGTCTCAATATCACTCAGCTCCCCCAGACACCACAGTTGAAGGCGTGTGCTACGTGCCTTATTACTCGACTTCGGGAATTGACGAACGTTACAGGGTATACTGACCATCCTGAGGGATGCGGAGACTTGCCGCGGGGACTTCATCTTCTTCAGTGACCGACTTGCGACGCTTCTGGTGGAGAAGGCGACAGAGTTGCTGCCATACCGCCCGAAGGCCGTCATCACTCCCCTCGGCGTCGAAGCACATGGTAAACAAGTAGATGTCCAGGTGAGTGCTCACTCGCATTGGTCCATGGGCACACCTGATGAGGTCTCTGTAGCATCTGTGTGGAGTGTCCATCTTGCGATCGTACGTCCCCTCAACCTATTACCTGAGACCTTATGCTGACCGCGTCTCAGAGGAGGGCCCCTGGAGCGGGGTCTCCGGAGGGTGATCAACGACATCCCGATCGGCTCAATGCTAATACAGTCGGAGGCCGCATCAGGGGAACCATTACTGCTCCACCTCCAGCTCCCCGTCTGTGTCCGCCAGCGTCACCTTGCCCAGAACACCTACGTCTTCCTCGTAGATGCCCAGGTGTGTTCCACGTCCCCAGTTATAGTAATCTTACTCATCAGAGTGGTCTGCGCAGATTGGTACGGGCGCGGCGGGCTTCATGGCCATCCGCATGCTGCTCGACCACGGCGTCCCGCAGGACCACATCATCTTCGTGACCTTCCTCGTCGCCCGCTGCGGCGGCATCTCCGTCCTCCAGCGCGCATTCCCCAACGTCAAGATCGTGTGCGGCGCCGTGGACGATCACCTGAGGGAGATGTGGCTCGAGGGCGTCGATGAGGACGAACAGCCTGCAGAGGGTCGGAAGGTCTGGGTGGTCGAGCCGGGGATGGGTCACATAGGTTCGTATCGGCGATTTATCAAACCCAGTGGATGCTCGGCTTACTTGTCTTCGCAGGAGATCGTTACTACCTCTAGACGGACAGAATCTCGCTTCTGGCAGTAAAGGGGACGCTGTTCTTCGCTAGAGCTTCGACAAGGCATGGGAACCCAGAGCCGTCATATGTACACTATCACACGGTCGCAGTGACAACAGACACTTAGCTGAAATGGCTCTCGCGTGTATGTTCCGGTACCAAAGTCTATTCGCGTTCATTCGGTGAATGTGGGTAGTAAGGTATGCATGTGACTCAACAGCAAGTGCGGAGGGGGGATAAACGAGGCGTAAGTGATGTATAAGACAAGAGACCCGTAAGTAAATATAGACATATCGGTCGTCAGAGCATTCGTAAAACCAACAACATTCATTCACATTATTGTGCACCACCTGCCCCTCTTCTCTTCGTCGATCTTGCCATCAATCGGGGTATTCGCTGGTACCTCGAGCCCAGGCGATGCGACGGCACTGCTAGGGCTCTTGAGGAACTCGCCCTCCGCATTCTCATGCGAAGTGAGCTCTTCAGGGAGCTTGGGCGAGCTTGAGAACCATCCGCCAGGGAAGAACCGTGACGACGTTGTCGACTCGTGCCTAGTGCGAATCGTCGTCGGCGACGGAGGCTGGACCTCAACGTGGGCCACTTGCTCAGTCTGCAGCTGTTCATTCTCATCGAGTGGTACTAGACGTGCAAGGCTAGGCCTGCAAAATTCGCGTCAGTGGGTAGAGGTCGCTTAGCCAAGATCAGCTCACTTGGTGGCGATGCCCTTGCTACCTCCCTCTGTCGTCGGGAAGGCATGCTTGTCGCTCTCCAGTGCAGCTGGTTGCGTTTCTGAGGCTTGCACATCGACTGCCTCTGCTGTAGTGTCTGGGCCCTGTGTCGTAACTGTGTACGATGGTGTCCATGGGCGAGGCGGCGGGTCCTAACATAGCCAATACCGTCAGAACTTTATTGGGCGGGTTAATATGACATATCACTCACTGTGGTTTCCTCAGGCTCGACCTCAACCTCTTTCAGCCCGGGCGTACCAGGACCCTGCGAGGTGACTGAATACGATGGCGTCCATGGACGAGGCGGTGGTTCCTAGACGAGGTGAGACTTATTAGGCTAGGATTAAACACCATCAACAGTCATGGACTTACAACCACCTCAGCAGGAACCCCTGAATCCGTTGCATAATCTTCGACTGGCGACTCTGAGGAGACTGTTACAATTGGTGCCAGAGGAGCAGGTAGCTCTTCAATATGCTCCACCTCCTTCTCCTCGCTCGCCACGGGAGCACTGAGAGGGGTAGTACCTTGTCGAGAGACTGAATATGACGGAGTCCAAGGGGACTTCGGTCTCTCAATCTCGACAACAGCAGGCGCAGCGGCCGGCTCTGGTATCTACAAGAAAACAACGTCAATCTCTGTGCGTCGCACAACAATGAGATACGAACGGGCGCTGCAATCTCAGGAACAACCTGTTCCGGCTCGGAGGTCAGGACAATGACGGGTTCGGCGGGTGCAGGTTCGTCTTTGTGCTCTTCCGTGGAGGCGACGTCAGCAACAGGAGTCGATTCAGGAAAGACCGCAGGAACCGCTTCAACTGCGGCCACAGCGACGGCTGCGGTCAACGGTTGTATCTCTTCGACGTCTTCGTTTGCCGTCGCCACGGGCTTGTGTGCAGGAGTTGTACCTTGGGAGCTGACAGCATATGACCGGACCCAAGGAGATTTAGGTGCTTCCTCTGTAGTTTCTACAGAAGCAGACGGTTCGACTTCGGGCTATGTCCAAACACCATTAGTAAGTGAATGACAGGACGAACAAAGTACTCACCTCGGCCACAACCTCAGTCGTGACGATCTGGACGACTGGAGCTTCACTCGGATCAGGTTCGCTCTCTACCCGTGTCACCTCGATCTCAACAGCTTGCGGAGCAGGCACGGTCACATCCGCTTCTGCGGCCGTGGATGCTTGTGATTCCGGCGCATTTGCTGCATCTTCGTCTTGTGCTGACGGAGCGATTGCCTCTGCGTCCTCGACCGGTTGCACTGCCTCGATATCAACGGCTACGACCTGAGGCGAGTGCGCTGGACTAGGACCCTGAGAGCTGACAGAATACGAGCGAAGCCAAGAGGGCGACTTCGGTACCTCACCAGACGCATTGCTAGACTCGTCAATGGCGGACTGGACAGAAAACGAGCGTCGTCAGCACGATGACACCTGTAACACAGCGGACATTTACCTCTGTCGGCTGAAGGTCATTTGCCGGCTCTTCAACCACTTCCGTCAAAATAACTGGGACCGCGATTGTCGTATCCACAACTTCCAGGGTCGCTTGGACCTCTGCTACAGGAGGAGGAAGTTGTTCCAGTCCTTCGACCTCCTCAGGAGAGAGACTCTCCGACCCCTGCCTCACAACGCTGTAGGATGGCGTCCACGGTGACTTCGGACGCTCTATGGAGGCAGGTGCCGTGATCTCAGAGTCGATGGTTGCGTCGGCTACGACCGCAGTCTCGCCCACGGCGTCTTCGACCACCACGGTGACTGCAGGAGCCACGTCTGATACTTCTTCGATTACTGGTTCCTCCGCGACAGCATCAATGCCAGTTGCCTCGACTGCGGCCTCTGCTGATTCTACGCCAGTTTCGGGGACGGCTGGGACAGTGAACGCGCCTTCAATCGGTAGTTCTTCCACGGCCTTGACAAGTTCAGCCTCCGATGCAGCATGCTCCAGTGGAACGACAGTTTCATCGGCAGAGGCAACAGCATCATCGGAGGACGATTCATTCGCCACGCCGATGACGACAGTCGCTAAAGCGGCAGCAGCAGCGATAGCCTCCCCAATTGACCTAACCACGTGTTCTTCGTCACTCGTGGAAGATTCGGGTGCCTCATTTCCGGCCTGCAGTGTTGTTTAGGTACTCGATATCTCAATCCGGACATAAGGTTGGAACACACCTCTACCACGTTGTCGCCAGATACCTCGACGTTGTCCGCAACCACTTCAGCTACAGCAACGTCCAGCTGGCTGTCCACCACGGAAGGTATACTCTCCTCTGCAGAGATGGCCGCTGGGTCAACAACGGCTTCCGGAACGGCAGAAGCCTCGTCCATGATGGGAACGACGATAGTAGAAGTCACGCTCTCTTCGAGGACTGGCGCCTCTGCGGAAACAGCCTCGTCACTGAGGGGCGCGTCAGAAGGTACTGTCGCATCTGCAGCGATACTTTCCGAGGGTTCATCAGGAACGACGTCCGTCTCAAGAGCAGGTAGCACTTCTTGCTGGATGACCTCTTCAACCCCAGGAGTCGACTCTGTCACAACTTCGATAACGAATGGCTCTCCAGCAACTTCCTCGGGTGGTGCCTCGACTGCAACAATGGATTCCTGCATAGTATCCACTGGTCAAAATCACTAAAGATCGAAATCTTTGATCGTACTCACTGTGGTCGTCTCTTCCGCGGCAGGAACAGCTTCGCTTTCAGGTTGAGCCTCAGCTACCTCCTCAGCTGCCACCTCCACAGGAACCGCTTCTTCGATAGCAGCCGCTTCCTCGACCGCAACAATTTCCTCGTTCACTGCAACAGTTTCCTCGTTCACTGCAACAGGGACCTCTGAGACGACTGTAGCCACCGTCTCGGTAACAACAGCCTCTCCGACCGGGTCCTCGACAGACTCCGTCGACGGTTCTTCAACCACCTCCACCAAATCCTCGGTATCAGTCGCTGTGTCCTCAGCAGGCGTTGCCTGATCCACCACAGGCTCTGCTGCGGTTGCTTCTTCGATAGCTTCTGCCACTGTAGGTGCGACGTCGACGTCAACTACCACCTCAACAGCTGGCGCTGCCTCCCCGGCCACGGGCACGGTCTCTTCAACAGGAACCGACTCCTCAACGGTGGCTAATTCTTCGACGACGGGTTCCTCTGCAGAGACGGGTTCTTCGATAACGGCGTGTTCCTCCACAGAGACGGATTCTTCAGCAGCAACAGGCTCCTCTACAGCAACGAGTTCCTCAGCAACGACGGGTTCCTCTACAGCAACAAGTTCCTCATCGACGAGTTCCTCTGTGGCGACAGGTTCCTCAGCAACAACGAGTTCCTCTGTGACGACGGATTCCTCTGCGGCGACGGGTTCCTCTGCGGCGATAGGTTCTGCAACTACAATGGGTTCTTCCGCCACGACAGGTTCTTCAGCGACGAGTTCTTCGGCAGCGGGCTCGGCCGACGCAGTTAACTCCTCGACAAGAGGCACCAGGTCTTCGATCGCAGGAACCTCGTCCGCCGCTGCTGTTTCTGTTGAAGCAGAAGGTTCCTCGATCGCGGCCACCTCGACGGCTGCTTCGGTTACATCAGCCTCTTCAGAGGCAACAGGCTCTTCAGCCGGTGTCGGTACTTCCGGGGTAGGTGGCTCCTCGGCGACAGGTTCGCTTGATGGGATAGTCTCCTCTGTGATGGGTTCACTTGCCACGATAGCCTCCTCTACGAACGCTGGTGCTTCCTGTTCAGGGACAGTCGCGGTTTCTTCGGCTGGTACAGCCGCGTCCGCGACCGAAACCGCCTCTGCTATAATCTCGCTCTCTGTGGCGGCGACCTCTTCCGTAGGTGCCTCATCAACCACACTCGTCTCGGCCTCCGGCGAAACCTTTGCAGCCGCAGGCGGCGCGTCCTCGATGTCGGACGGCTCTGAGACATGGATTGTCTCCTCTACCACGCTGCCGTCTTCCTCTAGAGCAGGCGTCTCGTCCGTCAAGATAGTCTGACTCTCTGCAGCTGGCGTGTCTTGTTCAGCAGCCTCCGTCACTGCAACGGGCTCGAGTGCGACTGCGTGCGTAGGTGCTTCCTCTACAAGGACGTCCGAGGGCTCGTCCGTCGGTGTTGGCTCCGAGGGTGCGGCAGCGGAGGCAGGCAGCTCCTCTTCGACCTTGCTCTCGACGACTTCCTCTGCTTGAGCCTCCGACACGTTCTCCTCGAGCGCTGCCACCTCGACAGGTACTATGGATTCGGTGGGAGCGTCGGTGGTCGGCTGTTCCACCTCAATTGACACGGTAATTTCGTCGACAGCCTCAACTTCGGGCTCGCGTGCCGCACTCTCGCTCTCGTCAGCGTCCTATAGTCGCGCGTTTAGCTATCAATCACATGGACGACGCGTCAAGAGGCTAATACACTTACGTGGTGTGGCGCATGACCATTTGCGGGGACGTCACTCTTTACAGCGTGCGACGCGTCTGATGCCGTGGCGTCGGCCACAGCAGCCTTTGCATCGATCTCCGGCTCTCCGACGTCGGCCTGGGCAGCCAGCGAGCATTGCAATGCAATGGTGTGAGCCACGTATGAGGGTTGAGTGAGAACTAGCACACGCACCTCTCCATTCTCATGCACCTCATCCTTCTCGCCGTTCATCAGAGTCACTGGCTCAGCAGATAACGCGTCCTCATCTACTTCCGCCCTCACTTCCTCAGCGATCTCTGAAGCCTTCTCGGGCTCTGCGGCAGCCTCCGTCAATTCGACCGCAACAGGCGCGTCCACGTCAGGTTGTTTGTCAACAGCAAGGTCGGTTTCCTCCAGCTTCCCAGTCTCGTAAGTCGTGTGCGGCGCGTTTGTAGCATCTGCCAGAACCGAAATGGTTGGTTCGCCTTCCGCCACCGTGACGGACATGTCCACGAAGCGAAGACTTGATGATACGCGTGAGGTGTCGTTATAAGTAGTAATGTGCTGGCGCAATCAAGTGAGGTGCTGGTCGGTGTCGTCCAGCGGCGGGGGTTAGTGTGCTGTCAGAGAGAGAAAAGAAAGCACAATGGTTCTGCAGGGCGCTCGTGTGCCATACAGGATCGTGTCGGACCTCGTGCCCGGGTCTTTACGCGACTTCATCACGTGATCGTACGTTGCGACTCTATTCGCCTTCCAGCGCTAACGATCAGGAACCTGGTTCGGAGCAGCCAGCACACAGTAGTTCGGAAGGCATGTGTGCATAGAGTAAGAGGTTTACAGAGATCCTGATTACCGAAATTCTATGACACGACCGTCCAAGGAAATAGGTAACTATGAATCACAACAACAACGGTCCAGTGTTCAGAAGAGAGCCGCGCCAACCAAGCCCATCAACGCAGTAAGACCGAAAGCACCAACGGAGGTGCGGCCAGCGCCGTTGCTGCTGTTGGTCGAAGAGGTCTTAGCCGCGCTGGACGAGGCCGAGCCAGAAGCCGAGCCCGAGGACTTGGCAGCCGATGCACCAGTCGTGGACGCCCTGCTCGAAGATGAGATTCCATTGTAACAGCTTGGGTGACAGGAAAAGCGACTTACGCAGCAGTGCTGGCACCGTTCGTCGCAGCGGTCGCGGAAGCAGTACCAACAGAGCCACCACTCTCCGTCACAGAGGTGTTCACACAGCTCGTGCCAGAGCCAGAGGCGACGGTCTGCTGGTCAGACAAAGCGTTGGCGCCAGTGCTGTCCTTCAGCACAGTCGTGCTAATGACGATACTAATTAATACCAGCAAAAGACGGTCGTTACAGTACTTACAAGGAAGTGCCTTGGGCCAGGTCAACGGTCCAGGTGTAGCTGGTACCGCTAATCTGACCAAAGTTCTTGATCTGCACGACCACCGTCAGGCATTTGCTTTGAACACCACTACGGGCATACTTACCGCCGCAGCACTGGTGTCCTTGTTCGGGACGAGGGACAAAAAGTAGGGAGCAACTCCACCGTTCCAGGTGAAGAGCACGGGCTCTAAGGGCACAACGCGTCAGCACACACCAATACTTCACGCGCCATCGCAGCATACCACACTCATTGACGCCAGTGGTGCTAGGGGAATTGTCAGATCATCACTCAACCTCATTCCCTCTACGGAAAGCTCACATGGTGTTGACAGTCAGACCACTCACGAGGGCAGGGACGACGGCGGCGAACGCAGCGAGAGACGCGAAATACTTCATTGTTGCTGAGATCTAAGGAGTGTGCGTGTTGCAAAGAGCGGAATGGTGCGCCTGGCAGGCTTGTACAGATGTCGTCGTCGTCGAAAAGACAGGAGCCGAGTTGGGTTGCAGCGAGAAGACGGATCCGGTTTATGTAGTAGCGCGCGTTGCGGCAAACGAGCGGCGCCCCAATTCCTGACAGCCCCTCCCACGCCGCTATTCTTGGAATCCAAGAATCCATATGCTACCCGCGCTTGTCTTCCTTCCCTCCTCCTGGGCAGGACGGCCAGTCAAGAGGAATGAATAGCTGGACAAGTACATATAGTTTGCGAGCATGAGCATGATTCCCCTTCAGACTGCAAAAAGTTGTGATGCAAGGAATAATTCGGTACAAAATTTGTTTCAAAGCCCTATCCAACTGCTACGACCCTTGGGATTGTGAAGACTCGTCTGTCCGATCTTTATCAGCCCGATGTTTTTGTTTGCCGCATCATCCTCCATAGCTGCGTTCGAGTCAATCTCGATAGGTGGGATGTCAACCGCGTCCGCCATCGGACTCGGCGACAAGACAGGCGTCGACCGGACAGATACTAGCCACCCTTCGCGGGAATCACTCCGCGTCACCGATAACCCATCCAGCGAGTCGCTGCGAGACGGTCGTGCGCTCTCTGCGTCCGTCTTCGCTCGCATAGACGTCGAGCCTGGCACTGGCAAGAACGCCTCCGCGTACCACTCGTACCAGACCTGCCGCTGGTTCGTCAGGCGCCAGATTGAGACGTGGAGTTCTGACGAGCTCGGAAGATATAGCGGTTCCTGGCGGCAGTGTCAGACGAACGACACAGAGAACCGGCACCGCGACGGATCAAACGGACCTTAAACGGGAAAAGTAGCGGAAACCAGCTCAGCATGTTCTTCGAGATGTATTGCATCCGGTCTGGGCGTATGCTCAGGCCGATGTTGCGGTAGAGTACCGCTTCGAAGTATCCGGCTAAGCCGTGCAGGATGCCCGCGTGGGGTATGTGGAACGTGAGCTGTGCGGATCGCGCGTTATGACTATTCGTAGGTGGTAGGCCTAGTACACATACACGTACATCATCAATAACCTCCCAGTGTACGAGGTTGTGTCATACGTACCTTGTTCGTTGAGCACAGCGTCCTTCCGAGGGTGTTCAAACTCCCAGCATTCCTGGACCTTAGGTCCGCAATTGCCGCTAAGGCCTCCGCCATTACCGCTCAGAATGTTGATGGCCTGGAACATCACCACGTAAGGCGTTTCGGCTGCTTTTACATCTTTTGTGGCCCTGGTTTCATTGAATAGCTTTGACGAGGATAGCGGTGCTATGTGTGCGGTATATGATGCAGGTATCGATATGCCTTCCGCTGCACCGAGGCGTCAAATATTGTCAACGACGTAGGAGCATGTTCACTCACGTTTCAAGAAGCGCATCGCCCCATCCAAGCACTCAGGACTAAGCTCGTTGTCTCCAAAAGACCCCAGCAGTTCGCTGACAAGTATGTCCACCTTCTCGGGCAGTTCGAAGGTCCGCATGTCACCGAAGAATAGCTTCACGCTCTCGCCCCAGTCATCGTGTACGCGCTGCTGTAATCTTCACTCCGGGAGGCTCAGGGGATGCGTAACGAGCGAGGAGAGGTAGTGCGTACGTGACATAAGCATTCGGGTTCTTCTCAAGTGCATAGACCAAGCCCTCTCGGTTGGCCCGTTGGAGAGCCTTCAGGCACCGCGCAACCAATGGACCACGGCCTGCGCCGGCGACACATAGTATCCTACCCTCGGTAAGAACTCGGTGAAACCGCTAGAAGCGTAACACAAACATTTTGTCAGCCTTGTTGGGCCATTCTACGATTGCTGCATAAACCGCCTGTCCGTCGTCTCGGAGATTCATAATCTGATGGACTTAACACACCGAAGGACATACCTCCTCGTATTGTCTATACTTGACTGGATCTTGCTCGAATGTCTGGTACGTAACGCTTTGTAGGTTGTCCATCAAGGGCTTGACTCTCTGGTCTCAGCATCACGCCGACATCATCGTCTGAGTGACGCCTTACCTGTAGAGGAGCTTGTAAGTAGTCTTGGTATCCCTGCGCGAAGTTCTCCACGGTCCCCTGAGTTTTCGATGCCTTGTACGCGGGGCTGGTTTTCTCCAGATGTCGTACGTACTGCGAATAGACAACCTCCCCGCCGTTCTTATGTCGACCTGCCGTAGTACCTGACAGGATAACATTAGGTCTCAGCTGTAGACGAAACACGGTGAGTCCTGTACGAGCTTGACTCGAATAACAGAGAGTTCGTCCTAACCTTCATGATGTCCCGAAGAAAGCCTTGCGCTACCTTTGGCAGTACTGGGTATCCCTTCGCGTTCGCGATAAATGCTGAGGCAGGCAAGAATATATGTCGTACGGGCTCTGCAGACCATTGGCTCAGAACGCTGATCACGGAAGGCATCGGGGGTGTCAAGTCCAGCGCTGCGAGTAGATGTCAGGTACTAATGGCATCACAAATCCGCGCATACGCACTGAGTGTCAGTCGCGGATTATACTCGCAGACTGTCCGGATCGCATCCCACATCTCCCAGGTCGCCACACTGGGCTCGTCGCTGAAGAGCACACTCGGGCTTGACACAGTGGTGATATTGACAGCGGACCCCGCGGATGAAGATGCGTGCAGCATGACGGGGTCGTAGATGGGTATACAGACGGAGAGCTCCATGTAGGGTACCGCGTTCAGGCAGGTGTTCACCGCCCGGGCATACGATGCGAGCTGCGATCGGTGCTTCGGTGGGGGTAGTATCGCAGACGTGATGTTGAGGTAGGATGCATATGCGAGTTCTTGGAGGAGTGCCTATAGACCATGCCGTGTGTATTCATGTCAGTCACCGGCAACCCAGATGCAGAACGACGAGATACACACCGTCTCCGAATCATGCCGCACCCAGTCGTCGGTCGCGTCCAATTCCAACCACTCGGACGCAACGGCGACCACGCCCTCCGCCTCATCTGCACGCTCGCCATCTCAGTATGGCCGCCGTCGTCCGGGTCACACACATCCCAGGACGCACCCAGTCTCGTCATCGTCACCTCATCTCTCTCGAAAGCCGGCGTCGCCCGCCACGCCTCCGCCCGCCGCTCGATCTCCACCTTGTCGTGCCCGTCGTCCGCGGGGAGGAGGCACATGCCCCGCCAGCGCGCGCGCCAGGCGTCCGTCGTGAGCGGGCAGCATATCCCCGCGTAGTCTTGGGATCGCGCGTCCGCAACGGCCGCCAGGATCGGTGTCTCGCCGTCTGCGCCCGCGCCGCTGCCGCCAGGTGATTGGAGGTCCGCGAGGGAGAGGTGCTTCGTGAAGGTCGACATGACGGCGCCAATTTTGGAGGTCGGCGGGAGAGCGCGCTGGGGTGGTGGACGGAGGTAGGATGGTGCATGGGTGGTGGGTCGAACCAAGGTCGAGCAGACTCAAGTTGGACTCACTGAGGCTGCTTTCTGCGTTGTTGCAGTCTCGCAGACGGTGCGCACAGCATCTCAGACGTAAGTTCGTGATGACCTAGACGACTCGCGCTGGACCATGCAGCGATCATGATCGACCGCGTATGCGCTCAGGAAATCGCTGGTGAGGGCGTCCTCAGAATCTGCGTATCTGTGTTCAGCTACATATAGGTGCAACTACTGCTACAACTTCAACTGCACAAGCGCAAAACATCGCTTCGTATGGGCCCCGTCAACCTTGTCCGTTGTTCCCGTCATCCATGCGTGTTCGCTTCGGACCCTCTGTCGGACCATCCTCGGCATTTTCCCTCCGCTGCCCACCCAGTGTGCTCATACCGTACCCAGTAACCACTCCTTCCAGCACTGTCCTCCCCACGACCTGCCGAAGCTCTTCGTCGGGATTTCTCCCCTCGGCTTCAGCACGCTGCATTACGTCCTGCACGGACTGGATGAGCGACGACGTGAGATGTTCTGACGCAAGGTTTTGGGCGTGCTGTGATGGTTGTGTGAGAGATGATGCCGCTGACGCTGGGTCCGTGGTAGCTGTTAGGCTGTGAAGGTATGCGGCGACCTCGGGGAAGTCTTCCTCTAGGTATTGCGCCGGCTACCTGCTGGTTAGCGACGAAAGCTTCTTCGAAGAGAAAACGCTAGTCACCGAGATACCCTCGCTATTCTGCCTCTCGACAGTAGCCCCGTGTTCGACGAGCCAACGCGCGGTCTCGATGTTCTCGACTACGTACAATGGTGTATCGCCGTCGTTGTCGGTGATGTTTACGTCCCCTCCTACATAAACATTTCGGTGTGTGAGCCGGCCTTAGGGTACGGGACAATGACCTTTGGAGACAAGGTAGTCGAGAACATGGAGCTGTCCGTAAGAAGCAGCGGCATGCCTTCCCTATAGCGTGAGCTAGGTTCAATCTTCATCAAGCGATAAAACGCACATCGGCGTATACGTGTTCTCGTCAGGGATATTGGCCGATAGCGCTGCACGCCTTTTCAGCGTCGAGTCGTCGGCGAGTAAACTTCATGGCTACGGACCTTGGTCCTCGACGAGTTTCTGCGGTGCACGTTACATTAGCATGCATCCTTATCTAGCATAATCATAAGCACTCACCCTCACACGCTCGAGGTCGCCGTCGCCCGCGGCGACCCAAATATTCTTCTCGTACCGCACTCGCGTCGGGACAGGCATGGTCGTTTTGCACAACTCTCGATCGCGTTTGAGCGCCTGTCAACGCGGTGTCACGCTACGGGGGATCCCGTGACGGTTGCGTCACAGGGAAGCCGGCGGCAAGCGAGCTCGCGCCGATCATCATCGCGGTTCACTTTGGCTCGCCTCCGAAGTGCCGGTCCATTTCTCCGGCGTTGCCCCAGGTGCAGGGAGAATGGCGTATTTCCCTAGCACAAGAACGCAAGCTGAGGATGCGGGGCGTGCGCAAGGATTCACGATGTGACGGGCGGCGTTCAAAGCCTGGAGCAGGGCCTCATATGTTGTCAGTGCTTCAGGTACAGATGCTGGCCGCAAGGTGTGCCTGCCCCTCCTCGTAAGTACATATGTAGGGCTGTGCACCTTGGTGACGAGGTTATACTCTGTCAGTGGGAGAGTAGGCCTGCGCTCCTTCACCCTCATTAGCACATCGGACATCCCACGTAGCACGGAAACAGTAGGATACCTCGTGTCAGCAAGGTCCGTGAAGTGCGTCCCAGGCAAAATTCCATATGTCGGCTTCACAATTCGCTGGACGCAATATATCCTCCCTTTGTTGCAAGGCATGCCACTGCGACGTTCCCCGGTGTCATGCGTAGCGCTGTGACGAGGAGGAGCGTCCTCTTCACCCTGGCATGGATGCCGAGCTATCACTGTTGGGGTGTCAGGAGGCTTCTCGCGTGTCCGGAGAAAGAAGTCGTCGGTCGTACGCCTCGTCCTTGTGCTGGTGCGCGCAGAGTTCGCTGCGGTGGCCAGTGCGCGGCGTCGATCACGCCCTCGTCCTCGCTGCCCGCGTCCGCTGGGCGAGATGGGCTGCTCGATCGACGACCTCGGGCGTGATTATGGCTGTCCTGACGATCGCGAGAAGCGGATCTTGTGATCGGAGGTTGATCTTCCGCCCCACGCCCACGGCCATGTCCCAGTTTGGCGCACCCCCACCGCGCGCGCCCGCCAGTGCCAGCGCAGCATCCCTGGTGGCCGCGGGCGTGATCGCGCGGGGGCGGAGGATGGGCGAGCTGCGAGGATTCCATTCATGTGTGGCGACGGGCCCCGGACACGGGCATGTGCGCGGCCGCGCGGATGCAGACATGTCGTCCTTTGCCCGCCTAATTTGGCAGGAGAACGTGACGCGCTGGCGCGGTCGCTCGCGCCCCCGTCCGCGGTGGTGCTGCGCTGGCAGCGGGGGCGGGGCAGCGCGAAGGGCAGCGCGCCGTAGAGACAGGTAGCACCGAGCGAGCAACGTAATCAGAGTTTGGGTGCGATCGACGAAACGACGCCGGGCTGAGTTCGGTGCGGTCCGATGACCTGGGGTTGTTCGTGTTGACTTGCCTCGCCCGTGTCGCCACAGAGGCCGCTGCCCCTGTGTGCCCCCTTCTTGTTCTCAACAACGACGGCAGCCACGCCCCTCGCCCTCTTCTTTCTCCTCCCACCCATTCCTCGCAGCCAGCCAGCCTCGCTGGCGCCCTACTCTACTCCGTTGGTTTAAGCCCGCCGCAGCCGTACCCTACGTCTCCCCTAGTCCTCGTACCCTATACCATGAGCTTTCTCACTTCTTCCCAGCGGAACTACGACGGCCTTTCCCACTCGGACGTCGCGCAGCTCCCGCCCATACACAGCTCCGTTTCGAGGATCCCAATGCATCCACTTTCGTCATTCGACAACCTCCCGCCAGTCACCCAGCTTCCACCGCTGGCCTCAGCACCCCCAACGCCGAGTAACGCCGTGCCTCCGTCACCGGTCCTAGATCGTCCAGTCTCTCTGCCAAAGCTTGGGCAGACACGCTGCTGTACGTGGTTCTCCCTTGCACCCCTACGATCATCCCTCGATCACTCGCTGGGTTACTTTGTCCCCGGCGCTCAAGTGCTAACTTCACTCGCATACAGACTGGTGCCTCCTCACCCCAGACCTCCAATTTATCTATCTCGATCCCGTTCTCGCCCATCACCTGGGAGAACAGGCCGACCTCTTAGTAGGCAAGTCGCTTCTGGCCTACGTCCACCCGGACGAGCAGGCCTCCGCAAAGCTTGACTTGGGGAGTGTGTTGGAGAGTCGGACACTGCATGGGAGCGTCACCCGGTACGCATACACGCACCATGCGCACTGCGTCCCATACGCTAACGTCCGCCCATTGATTCGTTGACGTAACTATTTGCTCTCAGAGTACGCTATTCTCGCCTCTCGCGTGTACGCAGGCAGCTGGGTTACCAAGGGCCTACACATGAGTTCGCAGACGCAGACAAGGTCTCCGTGGATACGAACTACATGGCTGTGGACCTCGTCATCAACTGGGCGTCCGACGGGCTCGTGTTGTGCTTCATGCATGCGGTCGTGGACCTCTCGCCTCGCGATAACGACGAGCACAACAAGACGCCTTGGACCAACTGGTGTGGCACACCGTACATGAACACTGAGCAGGTCCAGATTTTGTATCAGCGCCTGCTTGCTGTCGTGCCGCAGCCGCTCTCCATGAGCCGGGTGTTTCAGATCCTGCTTAACCTGCCGGAACGTTCGTTGTACATGAGCTGGCCCCCTGAACACCAGGAGCCCGGTGGGCCGACTTCCAAGGACTTCGCGCGGCTAGCGCAGGACGTTCAAATAAGTAACGCCGTTTCCAGTGGGACGGACGCCAAGACGAGCTGTACCAGACGGTACAAGGCACACCAAACGATGCACTTCGGAGGAGACAATAGCAAGGAAGTCGAGAGCATCTTCATCCCGCACGGTATGTCCACCAACTCTAGTTCCACTCGAACAACGGCTGACCGGACGGGGTCAGGTTCTATCATCTTCGCTTGCCACAAAGTGCACCCGAGCACTCGCGACCTCAATCCCAATGACGCTGCATCCCAGTCTCAGCACTACGCTAACCACCCATACCAAGACCCGGCTCATCCTTCATACAACCTGCCGCACCTACCCGCTCAGTACCCTAGTAATATGTCTTCCACGCATTATCCGCCTTCGCACTATGCAAGCAACAACTGGTCGCACCCTCCTGAATCGTCAAGCTCGCAAACTCATTACCAATGGGACCCTCAAGGCAACTCTCTCTCGTCGGCGCCGTCGGTCAGCAGCATGCGTTCTTCGTCCTACCATCAACCTCCCCCGCCCCAGCAGCATCAATGGCCTTCCCAGCCGCCGTACCTAGATGCCCATCCGGGTGCCCCGCCTTACAGCCCACAAGGGGCACCCTCCGGATCGTCGTATTCGGCACCGCCATCACATGACGAGGCCCCACCTTCTCCCGGTAGTGACACTGTGCCTCCCTCAAGGGTCACTCACAGGCGAGGGTCGAACAACTCGAGGGAGCAGTACGGGAACGGTGGACGCAGCACAGGGAACCCGCCCATGGGCGTCCCGCGGTGCTCGAGCTGCAAGGTGACCCAGAGCCCGGAGTGGCGGAAGGGCCCCAGCGGCAAGAAGGACCTCTGCAACGCGTAAGTGCCGTGTTCTTCATTTGCGCAGAGATACACGAGCTCATGACCACACTTTGACGCCATCGGCTGACCCCTGCTCGCTTACACGCCCCCGAAACAGATGTGGACTGAGGTATGCACGATCACGCGCGAAGAAGGAAGGCGGGCCCTCGCAGCAGTCACGCCGCCGCAAGGACCGGGTATTCAATTCGATGCAGAAGGATCACTCGCCGTCCGGTTCGCCGGGCCCGTCGGCTACCAGTCCCTCCCGCGGCGCGGTAGCTACTACGACGATGCATCGTTCGGATCGGCGTCGTCGAACGGCTCGCCTGGCGCGCCTGACTTGTACGCCCCAACGGCGCACGCTGGGCCGAGCTTCAAGGGCCCCATGTCGCCCTCGCCCTCGCCCTCGCCAGGCGGTGGCATGCAGCATCACCCGCATCAGCCATACATGCCGTACCCGCACCCGCATCAGGGCGCCCCGCATCCACTCTTGCATGCCCCGCAAAACGCGCACGCTGACGCGCCTGGACGCTACTCGAACAGCTTCTATTCAGTGCCGCCGCCTGCACCGCCGCACCCGCACCCGCACCAGCAGCCGTCGCTGCATCACATGTCGAGCCACAGCAGTCTTCACAGCAATGGAAGCTACTCGCAGCCTCTCGCGGGCCCCGGTCAGCCGCCGCGCCTGGACCCCATCGTGCCGGTTCCATACAGCGCGGGTGGAAGGATGTCCCCGTCGCCCATAGGCGGTTCGCCACTCAGCACTAGCTTCTCCAGCGCGAGCTACGAGCGGGAGAGGCCGATGAAGATGCAAGACGACCGTGAAGGGCTGCCTCCGAGCCCTGTCAGCGCAGACCCGAGGAACAGGAGGTCGCCGTATAAGTGAAGGGTGCACGCTAGGTAGTTCCCTTCGTGCCAAGTGTACATGTCATTGTCGTTTCCTCGTTCACAGACGGACCTCGCTCGCGCCGTTCCGCAAAAGGCTCTCCCAGTAGTTTCCCGTAATATTTATCCTCGAGCAGCGCATCTCCCTTCTCCCTCGTACGTGTACTTCCGCGGCGCACGCGACGCTTCGAGTCGTCCGCCCGCTCCAGACGTTTTTAGTTAGCTATGTATTCTACCGTGCCCTCGTTAGATATTCATTCTGGCCCGCGCCCTGTGGGTTTAGGGTGTTTGTGGGGATGGCTCGATAGGCCAGGAACTTGTGATCGCGATCTTGCGCGACAATCGGAGTCGATGGCCTTACGGCATCCCCGATCGGCACACAGACCAAACAATCAATTATCAGAGCCGGGCACATCATGGGTAAGTCTTGCCATAAGAAGCCAATTGCGACATACGAATAGCGAGTTGTAAAGGAAGAGAAGAGGGGTGGCCTTTCGTGTGCGCGTCGGGAAGACGAGGTTTCTTACTATAGAACCCCCCAGAGCTGATTATGATTTAGAGTCAAGCCACGCTCAGCGCACGCACGAGCGCCCATCTCAATGCCGATGACATCTGTAGGCGCCCATGCACTGGTGGTGGCTGCGCGCTCCGAGTCGCACTTCAGCAGATGATCCCAAGTGACCCTCACTCTCTCCAAGCATCCCTCGGCCTTGGAAAATCTGAGCTAATCTTCCAGACGAGCGATGTCAGAACCAAGCTCCAAGCTCGCTACCGAGTTGAAGGCGTTACAGAGGAGACGCCTGTTCAGAAGACGCCACCTGCACCGTATGGTCGTCTCACCAGGCTGCGCTACGCTTACTCACACCATCACACAGTGTGAAGAACGCACGTGTAGCGACAGTTGCGCCCCCGAAAACAGAGGATGGACATAGCAGTGGAGATGAGGAGGGAGAGGTGGAAGTAGCAGATGTAGACGACTCTGAGATACTCGAGGAACTTCCGGATGATACAGAGGTGCGTCGACGGTTCCGTCAGTCGGCCGCGCTCCAGGCTTACCACTTGTACAGGAAATCGAGCTCATTCATTCGAGACTGAACTCAATCAGTAGACTCGGGCTGCAACGATTCGGCCGTCATTTGCGGAAGCTATGCCTGCGGCAGAACCATATCTCGCAATTGGATCCGGATGTCGTCCGGACGTTGGTGGAACTGGAGGAACTCGATATGTACGACAACAAGCTGAAATCGATCGACGATTCTTTGTCTGCGCTGAAGAAGCTCTCGTGAGCACTCGATTTGGTGCGGGATTTTGGTCGATCGGCTCTGATCCTCTATTCGCTTAGCGTGCTAGATCTCTCGTTCAACAACCTGCGGCACGTACCTGAATCGGTACAGTATCTCGCCTCGCTGGAGAAGGTGTTCTTTGTCCAGAACAGGATATCAGAAATTAGCGGATTGGATCGTGTTGGACAGACTCTGCGCAGTCTCGAACTTGGAGGCAACCGACTACGGGTAGGTTGATAGCCATTCGCAAGGATGAGCCATGCTGACGTTATTGACGCAGAAAATCGAGAACCTCGATGCTCTTGGGGCCTTAGAAGAGTTGTGGCTAGGAAAGAACAAAATTGCGAAACTAGAGGTAGGCTCCAGGTGCCACTGTGCTGGAGCATAGCGTTGACGCGTCGTAGGGTTTGGATAATCTGAAACGTCTTCGCATACTGTCTATCCAGTCAAATCGTATCACGAAGCTAGAGGGACTAGAGAACCTGGAGAGTCTGGAAGAGCTCTACATCAGCCACAACGGTGTCACTCGACTAGAGGGTCTCGAGCAGAACGTAAGTCCCCATCATCCAGACTGTCGTCCCGAGTCTTAAAGTTGGAGTTTACTTCTTTCAGACCAAGCTGAGGACCCTTGACATTGGTAACAACTTTGTGGTGACCCTCGAGAATGTGGCACATCTGAATGATCTGGAAGAGCTTTGGGTGAGCATTACAACCCGATATTCACTAGGTGTTATGCTCATATGTTATACAGATGAACGACAATAAAGTTGATACTCTTGAGGCGCTGGAGCCACAGCTAAAGCATATCAGGACACTCGAAACAATTTACCTCGAGGGAAACCCGGTGCAGAAGAAGGAAGGAGCAAGCTACCGGAGAAAGGTGATCTTGGCCCTTCCTCAAGTTAAGCAAGTGGATGCGACGTACGTCTTGTTCGTATACCTCTCTGTTCGCCCGCTCACAGCCTGGTCCAGATACGTAAAGCAGGTGTAATTGGAGCACCCGGTCCAATTAAGTACGGCATGTGCATCCATCATCGGTGAATCCCAAGTGAATGCTACGCGCGCCAACTGAATGGCTCGCTCGCCCAATGCTCCCGAGCGATCGTAGGCCCGGGAGATGCATCTTGGCTAGGTATCCGCACAACGATCGAGGGCTTGTACATATCGGTGTAAATTGCTCGATCGCTCACATATGTAGCAACCCGGAGGCTTGATCGTGTTTAGCCTCGATTGCAATCGCTCGGTCCTCTTGATCACCCCAGCGGATCATTTTGAGGAGACCTGAGACCGTCTGCTTTGGTAGGCTGGCGTGACGTTATTGGCGTGACACTACGCGTTAGTCACGGGATCGGCGCGTAAGTGGCTGATTTTTTTTTTTTTTTGTTTTTTGGAGGGCCTTCGAGGGCGCCCGCAAATGACAATGGGTCATTCCGGGTCGCCCAGCCTGCGTATGAGTTTCCCCATATTTGCCAATCCAGGGTGAAAAATGCTAATTACGCACGATTCAACAATCAGTGTGGGGCTCGTCAATCCGGTTCGAGGTCTACTCGTAAAGCCGGTGTTCTACCCACTAAAAAACCCCTATACATCGTCCAGTCTCTTGGGAGGGCAGGTTCATCCCGTAAAACCTTGTTCCATGTCGCCAGGACAAGGTCACGTTTGAGGGCAGAGCCCCCGTACTTTCGTTGCACAGATTCAACGTCGAGCGCTAGTCTGTTATTGAGCGTGTACTGTAGCTTATTCCAGACAAACGTTTTATTGTGCTCCCATTGCTCGTCCTCCGCATGTCCTACCACTCTGTCGCATCTCAGCTTCCAGATGGTGTGGACGGCCTCAGATATCAGCACCCGCCACAGTCTTGTGGCACCCGGGCGAACGCGTCCCTTTTGGCTCGGCCATGCGGTTAGTCCTAGCGTGAGGACATCGGCAAGAGACAATGAGGGCCATTCCATCCCTTTCTTTTCCCACATGGTACGCGCTAGGGACCATATCAGGGACTGCCCCGTTGCGTTACACTCGAAGAGGATGTGCTGGATTGACTCAACTGCTCCACAGTGGCTGCACATCGCTCGCTCTTCGTATCCTTGTATCTTGCTCCAGTAAGCCCCGCACTTCAGGCCGCCGTGCATTAATTTCCAGAGGAAGACAGCGAAGGCTCGGCTGAAGTCCTTGTGCCTGGCGCTCATCCAGATAGAGCATCTCGTTTGCGAGGTCTTCATATGCGCCTGGGCTGTGGCTAAATTCTCTTCGGTTTGTCTTCGATTCGGTGTATCGCGGCGCTCCAGGATTCCGCGGTAGGCGATAGCTTGGGTCAGAGAGCTTAGTTTGGCTCCTGTTAGTTCGAAGTGTGGGTCGATCACTCGTGCCGGTGATGAGCCCTTAGCTCACCTACCCACCGAAAACGCCATTTACGGTCGATACAACGGTACACTAAGTCAGAACGGTCGACGCACTGTCCGTCCGTTCGAGGGAACCGCCCGATGTTCGAAGCTCAAGCGTCCATGTTCGGAACCCTTAGTGGCAGAGACAAGCGGTGTAGAAGCGTCGCTACATTGGTAGGACTCCGGAGCAAGTACATGGCTACGTCAACCTAGCTAGTGACGACCCCGGCAACTCTCGTATCTATGTCCTCGACCACCACCACCCCTACCCCTACGAACAGACGGACCGGTGTCGGAGCCACGGTCAGTGTTGACGCGCTCGAGCAGGCTTTCGAGCAACCCGACGAGGGTGCCGTGCGTGCGGCGCTGGTCGACTGCGATGTTGTGAATCGCTCGACCCATGGACTCGAGGTTGTCGGGCAGTTGGCGAAAATCGGACAGGATCAACGACTCGCGCTGATACTGCGGGTTCGCGAGAGGACGACGCTCGGCCTGGTTAACTTGTTCGAGCAGCACCAAGGTCTCGGACCAGGCGATCGTAGGGTAGGGCGAACCTAGGATATCTCCCTGGTTGCCATCGCGGTGGAAGACCTCGTCAAGGTAACGCATCAACTCGTCAATCTCGGGGAACGACCTGGGAGCAGGAAGCGTATCGTTCGCTAGCAGGATAGCCCGGCTACGGGACTCGAACAAGAAGCGCTGTTCGAAGGTCGGTACGATGGTTCGAAGGATAGTCAATGTCCGGAGGCACGTACGATCATCCAACGGACTCCGTGGGCCCAAGCCAGCCACTCTCCGGGACTGTTGGCATCGTATCGCGGCTCGACAAGTCCCTCGGTCTTGAGGACCTCTAGGAGGCGGTAGTAGCGGGCAGCATACGCTTCGGAAGTTGGGTCGAGGTGCGGCATGTTCGTGTAAGCCAGGCAAACTCCTGCGGCTGTCTCATATCTTCGAGGACTGTCACCGGCTCCGGTTATGACCTTCACCGTTCGGGGACGGTCGCCCGTTATTCGGAACTTGCGGAAGGCCGAGTTGGGTTCTCTCATGTGTTAGTAGGTCCGGGTCGAGCGTTGTGACAGTCTCCGATTGGCTATTTTCCTTATCACTCTCATTCATCATTTCTTGGATTTCTCTTGGCTCTCTTGGTCTTCGGACCGTATTTTCCTGTATATACTCTGGGACTTGTTCCCTTCGAATCTCAGAGACCCCCTTACCCTCTCAATCTCACCTCGCACCGGCGAGGTTCGTCAGTCAGCCAGTACGTTCGAAGTCAGCAAGTTCGCCGGTCAGTCAGTACGTTCGAAGTCAGTCAGTCAGTTTGCCAGTACGTTCGCCAGCTCGTAGTAGCCCCGAGAGGCTCTACACTTCTTCTCCTGCCGTCGCTCGCCTTCCTTGTCGCCGCTCGTTCGACACGTTTGTCGAAACTCTCCCTCCTACCTTCGAGGCTTAGCCCTCGTCTTCGAACAGTCTTCGATATCTTCGAAGCTCTCCCACGTCGTTCGGAGTCTTGTCCGTCCTCCTCCTTCTTACCTAGACCACTGTACAGTCCCCCGTACATCTCATAGACGCAGAGGCCTCGCATACCACTGCTCGACCTCACGGTTGGGTTTTTGTGTGGCTTTTGTGTTCTTTTGGTCGCGTCATCTTGGAGCCCACCGCGAGGGGGATATAGAGCAAGATTCCGCCGCGTCGGAACTTCGACGTCAACCCTGAAGACTACCGAGACTACGAAAGTCCTCTTCTCGCACTCGCTATCGACAGTCGTCTAGGTCCCGGATCCGCCGCCGCCTTTCGCAGGCATAGCAACCCTCTACCAGGACCTTCGACTATCCCCTCTTCGTCCGAACACGTCGAGCTTGTCCCCGATCACGACGATCAGGAACGCTCCGCTCGAGACCAAGTACCTACTACTCCATCCCATCACGGACGTGCTCGAAGACTTTCGCTCTCAGACGACCTAGAGTCTCGAGTCTTTGGCTCTCCTCTACCGTCCCTAACGCCGTCGCCACCTCTCGAAGGAGAGGACCTCAGTTCAGCCACGCCGATCACGACGCGTAGTGGAGCCACCACCTCACGTCTACCTTTACCCACTCGTCGCCGAGCGTCGTTAGCCCCTCCAGGACCAGAGTCGTCCGAGCCGCGAAGGACTTCGACCAGCGACAACCAAAACCCTTCGAACGATCCACCAAATCCTTCGAACCCTCCGAACACCGATACGAACATGTCCGAAGCAGCAGCACAAGCTTCGAAGGCGGCTTCCATGCCTGCCCGCGGTCACTCGACTGCGCCGGTCTTTGATGAGTCAGAGCCCTTCGCGTTCAACCGCTTCTTCCAGGACCTCGAGACCCACTTCACGCGATGCGGGATAACCACCGATGCGGACAAGAAGTCATGGGCCGTTCGGTACCCGCCGATACGGGTCTCGGACCTGTGGACGATGCAGCCGACGTACAAGGATGCTACGAAGACGTACGACGAGTTTAAGACAGCTCTTCGAACACTCTACCCAGGTGCCGACGATCAACACAAGTATTCGACGGACGACCTCGACAAGGTGGTCCAGGAACGTCAGAGGCTTGGCCTGAGCAACGCGCTCGACCTCGCCGCTTATTATCGTGATTTCTACATGATCTCCGAGTACCTCATCGCTCAGGGTTCCCTCTCGACGCTCGAACAAGATCGAAGGTTCCAGCAAGGCTTTCCCCCAGCGCTTTGGGGACCGATCGAACAACGCTTGTTCATGAAGAACCCCGACCACTCGAGACGCAAGCCATGGACCTTCGCGCAGATCTACATCGCCGCTCAATGGGTCCTAGACGGCCCTACCCCCGCTTCGACGTTTCAGCAAGTCATAGTCCAATCTTCGAACGTCCCTCAGGTCCTTCGAACGTCGCACCATCTTTTCGTCGGCGTTAAGAACGAAGACCTCCTACCAGTCTTGCAGACGCTGATCAAGACTCTCGAGGCTCAGCAGTTTAGGAGTCGGTCACCCGGACCACCTGGTGGTAGAGACGGCCCTCACTGCTTCTACTGCGGTCGTTCGGGCTGTCGCATCAACGACTGCGAAATGTTCGAAGACGATGCGAAGAAGGGCTTGTGCCGGAGGAACCCAGACGGCAAGGTCGTGTCGTTCGACGGTCGATTCATGAGCAGGAGAGAGGGCGAGACCCTCCGCGACGCCATCTATGAGTACGCGCGCCGCACCGGCAAGGTCGGACTTAACGCGAACACTTCGAACGGTTCGGGCGGCGCCACCCAAGGTTCGACTACCTCCCAGCTACTCTACGAAGCGATCGAGACCCCACCGACTGCGACGTACGCCTTAGACATTGGCGAGACCCTCGAACGTATGCGAGACCAGTTGTCACATATTACGGAGGTCTACGCCCAGGAACAGCGGAAGAAGCACGTGTTCGACGGCGTCATGATTGACAAGAGGCCGCAGCGTTCCACGGCCCGTCCTGCGAACTTGCCCACCGATAAGTCACGAGCTCCGGACTCCCGAGGCTCTTCGAAGGAGCGTACCGTGCGCTTCGCTTCGCCGCCTGTGTCGAGCCAGCAAGCAGCACCGATCGAGACCCCACCCACGCGTTCGAAGAGTGCAGAGCGTACCGGTCCACCGCCGAGAGCTTCGACGCCACCTGCAGACTCTAGGCCGAGCGTCCAGGCCTCGGCGCCACCAGCGCAGTCAGTGCCCGACAAGGAGAGTCCGATCCATCCCTTCGCAAATGTCCGCGACGCGACCTATGCACCGCCGACGACCCGAAACTTCGGAGCAGCGCCTACGAAGTTTAAGAACCGGGACGGCTCGTATACGAATCTTGCACCCGTAGTTCAGGCCCAGCTGGCCGAGTCCGTCTTCAAGCGGTCGATGAGCACGCCAACGGTCCCGCTGACCATCGAGGAGCTGTTGAGCATCTCGCCCGAGCTTCGCAACCGCTATCGCGAAGCGGTGACGCCCCGAAGAGTGACGCATGACTCGAACCCGACCTCGACGAACATGGCTGCGTTCGAAGAACTTCCGACACACGACCCCGCGTTAGTAGACTGCCACGACAACGAGCTCGACCCAGACGCCACCATCATCCCAGACTCGTACGAGACGTACCTGAGGGTGTTGCCTCGAGGCGCGATACCTAGCGAACTCACTGTCGCGGCGAGTCCCATTCGCTTCGAACGATCGACCTCACGATCGATCGTAAGGAGAAGGTAGCCTGCATTCTCGATCCCGGTTCTCAGGTCATCTGCATGTCGGAAGCGCTGTGCTATCATCTCGGTTTATCGTTCGACCCGACCATCGTCTCAGCATGCAATCCGCGAACGGTGGAGTCGACCGCTCGCTCGGCCTTGTTCGAAACGTACCATGTCAAGTCGGCCCGATCACCTTGTATCTCCAGATCCACGTCATCAAGCGCGCGTCGTACGACGTACTGCTAGGTCGACCATTCGACGTCATCACTGAGAGCCTGGTGAAGAACTTCGCCGACGAGAATCAAACCATCACCCTGTTGTGCCCGAACACGTCCGAACAGATCACGGTACCTACGATGCCTCGAGGACGTCCGAAGTTCCAAGAGGTTTTTCAGAAGAGGCAGTCGGGACTTTTGAACACGTAGTTCAAGCCGACGATGACGAGCAAGTCGCGCTTGTGATCGACTTCGAAAACGATACCCCGTCCATTTCTGCCTACGCAACATATCATCTCTCGAAGACCCAGTTCTCGCGGCTACGTATCTCTCCGTTCCACATACCTACTCCAGTTTTGTTTTCGATGAAGTTAGGACAGCCACCGAGGCTACGAGATCGACTCAGCATACCCCGTCATACACTTCGAAACCTTCGAACACGCAGGCATCTTCGACCACTTCTCCGAACACGCTCTCTCGTTCGAACGACCCACCTACGTATACCCGCACCGGCCATACCCACGACAGTACCGACTCGTCCGAGGATGCTCCTGATGTGTCCACATTCGCACAGGCAAAATCGAAGAAGAAGTACAAGCCGGTCGCACTCAAGACGAGACCTGTTCTCGGGTCTGTCCCCGAACAGTTTCGTATCGTTCGCGACATCAAGGGAGATCCGCTCTCTACGATGCGTGAACTCAACCCCAACCCACCTCCTTTCAAGCCCGAAGGTCGCTACACGGCCGAAAGGGCAGCCATCTCGGATAAGTTACACGACGATGATCTGTTACAACCTGCCGAACGCGATCTACTTCACCACTTCATGGCTACGAACAACGACGTGTTCGCGTGGTCAGACAACGAACGTGGCAACTTCAAGTCCGAGTATTTCCCACCTATAGACTTTCCTGTGATCCCGCATACGCCTTGGGTCCAGAAGAACATCCCTATCCCTCCTGGCCTGTACAAGGAGGTCTGTTCGATGATTCGTCGCAAGATTGACTCCGGCGTCTACGAACCTTCGAACTCGTCGTACCGTTCGCGGTGGTTTTGTGTTGTTAAGAAGGATGGCAAGTCCTTGCGGATTGTGCACAGTCTCGAGCCTCTCAACGCAGTCACGATCCAACACTCTGGTGTCCCGCCGACTCCCGACATCAGGAAAAACACTTTTGCCGCCCAAGACTTTGGCCGGGTAGCGAAGTAGCGCCCAGCATTCTCAAGCACTTGGTAGAGATTAAATCTGCTTTCACGTTGCTTAGGAGGTATCGATAGCATTGGAAGACATGACCAGCATGGTTTTAGCCTTGCGCGCAGTATGGCGCCCTTCAAACCACTTTATATTTTCCACAACCGTTCATACCATTGCATGCGTATGTTGCGGAGTCATACCAAATTGCGCTGCTATTCCGGTACATACAATCTCGTACATTATACATAACATCGTTGCACTGTTCTACAGCTCCAGAAATGCACTCATCTACATGCTACAGTACGGACAACCGGCGTTGTACTACATGATCATTGAAATCAAACAAACCAATTACTTAATCCTGCCCGATGTACCTATACTCGTCCCAGTCGAAATAGTCGTCCGCACCGTCGTTATCCGTGTCCTCGTCCCCGCCGTCTCCATCGCCCGTACCCTCGGCCTCATGCGCATGAAGCTCCGGCTCCGGCAGGAGCCCTGGTAGGACCACGCACCCCGCCTCTCCCGGCTGTGCCCTCACCGCGATAACGCCCTGTGGGGCCCCCATGTCCACCACGCTCCAGTCCGCGTCCATGTACATGCGAGGGCCTTGAGGAAGGTCGACCGGCCAGACGAAGTCGAGGTTCATGAACCGGTGCTTCATGGAGCACATCGGTTTCAGGGGGGCTGCGCCTCTGGCGTAGCTGTTGACGAGGACGGTGGTGTTAACGTGCGGCAACTTGAAGGTGGGGAACTGCCGCAAAGGCAGCTTGAAGCGTATGGGGTAGTTGCCTTCCTCGCGGCAGAGAGGGTAGAACGTCTCCAGTGCGAGGTTGTACATATCGAACCCGTCGTAACCCAGACCGTGCGCCCTGAAGCCGGGGTTCTCCCCGAGGTCCTGACCGGGGAAGATCTGCTGCAGCAGAGGTTGCTCGTCCAGCCCGGCAATTTCCATCTCCAGCCCGAGAGCGTCGATCTCGCACAAAAGCGGGACGGACATCGGGCCAAAATCGTTCTGTAGTGTAGTTAGTTACCGACGTTACAAAACAAACCGAGGCACGTACGCTTATGAAGAAGAGACATTCAACTACCGCCGCCTTCGGCGCCCGCTCATTGCGCCCAGGTTTCCTCAACAGACGGGGGACCGTCGTCGGGTTGTCGTAGAACCCGTGGTACGCCCCCATAAAGATGAACCCATCCAGCGGGATGGGGCCGGCGAACACGGACACGTCGTAGATGTCCTTGAGCATCTCGATCTGCAGCTCGAACGTCGGCTGCAGGAAGCCGTTGGACGGGCGCATAACGCAGCGGGTGTGGTAGTACAGGGGGCACTTGGACGAAATGAATGAGATAACGTTCCATGATCGGTGCGTAGCTGAACTGCACTTACCCAATCGAAAAGCTCCCCTATATGCCCGTGCCCCAGGCACATCACCGTAACGTGCGCGATCCCAGAGTCGAACGGGCATAGCTTGACCAGGCCCCGCTCGGAGATTCCCCGAAAAGAAACCGGTTTGTTCTGGCCCATGAGGTTGAGCAGTTGCGGGTTGATGCGCGACACAGCCATTGTAAAGCGAGATAGGAGCTGGGAGGAAGTGGCGTCAAAGTTGCTCAAAGCGAGGCGGAAGTGATGGACAGGAGTTGGAAGCGCTCGGGAGGCGACGCGCGTCCTTATCGCAGAGAAGCGCCCGTCAGGCCACCGCGCGTCTGGAGGAAATAGTGATTTAATGATGAATATTCGTACTTACATTGGATTTTGGGCGTGCCACGTCTGTGAGAAGTGTTTTGAACGTGCTGTTATTTCACGTAAAGGCAAGCTATGGGAAGGGAGAGTGAGTTGGTGTAATGCGTGGGCATCCGCGTGTGAGCAGTGACTGCGGAACAACTCCTCCCGGTGCTTCAGAAGAATCTCTCAGAGCACGAAAGCACAACAAACTTTTGTTAACCGGCTTCTGAAGAGTTCATAATGCGCTATAGCGCTTGCAATTTTGAAAAACGTCAACGAGTAGCTTTACATATGGTACGGACATCATGCGCGCGACATACAAATTCAATCCTCCGCGTCTTCCTCTCCAGCAGGCACCAAAAACCTCCTCACAGCCGGCACCGGGGGCTCCTCCGACATGGGCGCCGCCAACATTTGGGCGTGGTTCCGGAATGGAATCGGGAGCCACGCGCTCTGCGTGAAGACGCGCTCCTTGGGCATGTCGGACGGCCAGATCCACTCGTAGTCGTGCATGTTGGCCTTCATCCAGCACATGGGCAGGGGCGTCAGAGTCCCCAAGGCGTACTTCGACGGGTGGCCCGCCATGGTGACTCTGCCGTCCTTGAAGATGGGGATCTGGCGAAGGGGGAGAGGGAGGTGGATCGCGTTCGCGTCGTACAGATGCGGAGGGAAGAACGTGTCGAACTCGAGCGTGTAGTAGTCGAAAGGCGGAGGAGTGTACTGCCGCTTGCTCGGGCTAGGCATGGCGGTGAGGACGTGCTGTGTGATAGGTTGATTCAAGGAGAATACGATCTCCCCTTCGAGGACGTCGCATATCACGGGGATGGATATCGGACGGTAGGTGTCCTGCACGGCAGTAAGACTTTGGCATGGGGAAATAAGATCTTTGCAACGCACCTTAACGTACACAAGGATCTCCAAAATGCGCTTGGAGGTCAGGTCGCCTTGCAGGCACCTCGGCAAGCGATAGCAGGACTCCTCCCAGAACTCCACAACCTCTCCCATGTAACGCCATCCTCCGAGCTCCGCAGGCGGGTCCAGCGCGTCAATGAGCTGTAGGGCCTTCTCCCTGGCGGCGTCCGTGGGCTGCCACGCCGCCGAGGTATACGCCCAGCAGATTGGCCTGTTGAACATGACGCACTGGGCGGTAAGACATTACGTTAGTACGGAACATCAGCAACAAGACGGTTGTAGCGACTCACGTATTCAAAAACAGCCCCCAGCTGTTTGCGATAGAAGCATACCACTGGAATGTGGTTGATCCAGAGGAACTGCTGACAGAAGTTCCCGCCGGTTCGGGGAAAACCCGCAGGGCGGAGCATCTTGCCGACTATGCGCTTGACGCGGGGATCGATTGGAAGCAGTGTAGGATACGACATGGGAGCAGTGTGTGTGTGTGTAGATAGTTGGTGGTGGAGGTTGAGAGGCGGGATCTCTGTACGGCGCGTAAACCGCAATAAAGCGCCCGAAACTTTGGCGCCAGCACTCACAAGTGTGCCGCAAAGTTCAAACAACGTCTTGACGCGCGGTGGAGCTACTTGGGCGTACATCAAATGTAGTTATCCGGGGTATGACAGAAATGCATTGCATTATTACCAACTACCATAATGTTTGATACGCGTACATCCCACCCCAATTGTTGAGATAGAAACTGCCCGCCTTGTCAAGTATGTTCTCTGACCTCCAATCATTGGGAACAACCCCTTGGGAACCGCCTGGAAAGTTGGGTACGAGCTGACAAGACTGTCGGATTTGGGATAATGGGATGATTTTACCCTGAGGAAGACCGCCAGCACGAAGAGGGGGCTTGCAGACTGGGTACATCAGGTGTACGGGATCCGGTGCCGCCGGGAATCGTGCATACCACTCGATGTATGCCAGTGGTTCATTGGGCCACCAAGCCGGTGCGGGGCGGGCGCCCCTCAATGTTGAGAGCTTCTTCGGTAACGCAAAAATTACTTTCACTCTCGCGGCTCTGGTACCTGTCATTCAACGGCTTGGTTAGTTCGATGTTGACATGAGATTGGGAGTCACCACTCACCTCGTATACCAGTTGATTCAGCGTCTTCATTTTCCAGTACGATAACTGTGTCAAACCGGTTGTTTCTTCCCTTCCGACCCGCCCCCGGGATGGCCTTCACGATATCCACTTCTTCTTTTCCCTCTGAGAGCTCGCACGGTTTGAAGTAGAACTTGTGATACACATGACTCTGTCAAATGGTAACATGGCTTGAGACAGATCGCGCCGAGCGAGTCGAAGTGTCGCCGGTTGTTGGTCATTGACAAACTGGGACAAGGCGGCCATAAATCCGGGGGCGTTGTGGCGCTCTTGGACTCGCAGCAGATGCTGTTGAGGGGCCGGTGGATATTTGGCAACCTTGGTGGTACACCCGACATCCACCACCTCTTCTGGTTGATGGCCAAGAGCGTCAGTGCCCGCCCCGGACGCGCCGTTGTCGGATTTCTCTACATCTTCACTGTCTTCTTCATCCTCTACCTCATCCTCGGCCTGACGTTCCCTCTGGAATGCCTCGTAAAGGGCCATCTTCTCCCGACGTGTGATCCACCTCATCATCTGCGGAAATTCGTCGCGGTGATTGGAAGCCCGCCAGGCTTTCTTGGCGAAATCGATGTGGAGGCGTTCGAACATTTCCGTATTGTAATTGTCGGTAGTGCCAAATAAACGGATGGATTCGACGTAGTGGAGAAGCGAGTGGAATTTCGGAATGTTGAGATGGTCGCGAATGCCCAAGGTAACCAGAACGTCCTTGTGACGGTGGAAGGTCTTCAGGGCATCGGTCATGTATCCGAGTGTGTCGTCGTCATGAGTGGGATATTGAGCCAGGTATATGAAGTCCAGAAGTGAGCGTATCGCAAGCAGAAGACTTTTAGGAACTTTGCCTATGAGGCAGCCTAGGAGGATGCGTGCCATGTCTTTACGCTCCTTGCCGCTGATCTGAGAGAGAGAAGATATGCCACGTTTGAAGTGGCGGATGCCATACGCATGCGGAAGGGTGCGTAGTCGCCTATCTAGCTCCTTGGGACCCAAGATATCTTGACACCAGGAGACGAGGTGCTTGAAGACCCCTTGGTAGAGCTGGTGAAGTACGTCGGGAGTGATGGAAAGGTGGATGTCGGTGAAAGGTAGGTCCGTCCAGAACGGTTTCTTCACCGCCCCGCTGACATCCTGCTCCATGCAGACCGCCTCCGCCACGGCCGCATTGCGACTACTCTGTGAGCCTCCGCAATGATGCTCTCCGTTCCATCCGGCGTACGAGGGTCTGCGGCATTCTGATCTTGGAGCTTTTCAGCCGGACATTGGCATTTCGGACACGTTCCATACTTGGAGCATGTCACTAGACACTGCTCCGGGTAATCGGCGACGTACGCGGCAAGAATGGGATGGACACGGCGGACGGAGCCGTCCCCGCCGGTCACCTCCATCCCCTCCACACCTGCACGTACAAGGGGCTTGAGAATAACCCGCATGGCGGCGTGGAATAATCGTTGAGACCTTGCTTTGCGCTCGCGTTTGGTGAGCTTCTCGCCATCAACCTTGGACACTGGGAGGTAGCCAAGTAAGATACAGGCGTGTTCCGATGGTTTGCGGCGGATGGCGCGGGGGATGTTACCCAGAGTCAGGTAGACCGGGTATGCGCACTTGTTTCCGGAGAACTGGGTCAGCTGCGTTTTGTCGGTCGATATAATGACGGGTGCTACGGCATGGCCTTCCGGTAGTAGTTGCTGCAGTAGGATCTGGTTAACTACATGGCATACAGCTGAGACGTCACTGCTTACCTGCACAGAATTCCACCACAAGCCGCTCCACATCTCAGTGAATATTCGCTTCGTTCTTGACCTGTCTGCGAACACCCGCCGGGGTTTGTACACGATGTGCTTTGCATAGGAAGGGTTGCCCAGCAGCGCTTGTATAGCGTCCAGAATGTCGCGATAGTGCACTAGATGGGTATCATCGGGACGGTCGGGGAACGTCAGGGATGCCGTCTTCCAGGCCGACCTATCAGGGATGCTGTCCACTCGCATAAACAGCTCGCGGACGTCCTTAAAGGTGAGACCGAGCTTCTCAACAACCTATAATGATCGCAGGCCATTAGGATGGGGCCAGGCTAACTGAATGGACATGGCATCACTTACGCCGGGAATGCTAAGGAACCGATTCAGGGACTTCTGCCCAACACCCTCACCGACGATCCACATGGCGACACGCCAGTCAAGCTCGGATGCGAAGGGCTTCCATTGTTCATTGGCCGGCTGCCCATCCTCGCCATCTACATCCATCCGGTCATCCTCCCCATCTACATCCATTTGGTCATCACCTCCCGGCCCCTCACCATCATCCTCTCCGAAGTAGGCCTTCCACTTCTCCACGATTGTCTTCTCCATGCGTATGACCTTTCCCGCGAGAGGATCTTCTTCTTCCACCCTGGTATCCTCGTCGTCATCCAAGGCGGGCGGGGTGGGATGCGAAACGGTTCGGGTGGAGCCGCTGAAGTGGATGATGAGCCTGAGGCTTGGGCGGAATTCTGGTAGTGTGGGTCTGCCGCAGGTTCAGGGAGATCGAACCGAAATAGATCTCTGTTCCATATGATGTCCTCCAGATTGTCGCACTCGTCGTCAGCGGAGTCCTCAGAGCTCGAGTCGACATTCTCTAGGATTTCTGGAGCATAGTACTCCCCAAGATCGCGATTCTTCCCTTTCTGATACCATTTGCAGGATCTTGCGGAGGATAAGTGCGCCATGAGCCCTTGGGAGGTCCTGAAAGGTCTGTCGCAGGCCGGGCAAGTGCGTCCGTCCACGTCACCGCCATAAGGAAAGGCCGGGCAAGTTGTCTTCGCCCTGCCTCTCATCTTTTATGGGCTACAAGTCACAGACCGGGTTTTAGGCCTCGTCCATGACCGTGAATATTTATCACATACCTGCTGCAGAGGATATAGGCCAGGGAGAGTTTACGACCCGGATAGGCTTGTGAGGACTTCGCAGAACTTCGTCGGAACTTGGGTCGACCTGTCGGCGCTTTTTTGTCAATTGAGCGGGTATGAGACGTAATGTCGATCGCTCACGTTACCTTCTGTCAAGCGCAAACGTGCATCCTGATCCTCTACACTTGTTGTCAGGCTTACCTCCTGTCCCCATGTGCATGGTGAAGACACTAGCTTGGCCCTCAACGTTGGCCATTTCATTTATTGTGCAAGTGCAGAAGACATTAATCTACACTGGCGGCGAAATATGACGGATCAGGTAAGTTTCCTCTCCACTGCTCCGTCTTTTATTACTTACTTGCATTCTATGTGGGGCTCCATCTTAGGTGCATTGCCCTTCTATGGAGAGAAGTCACTACGCGCACACCCATATGCGCTTACCGGTGCGATCACTTGCCTAATATGGATTCTGGCAGCCGACTGTCAGAAGCTATATTGGGCAAGCGCCCACCGCGTAACTGGGCTTCCCAATAACGCCGCACGGGGTGACCGGTCGGCCCAGTTCGACACGACTGGGAGTAGTAAGTGTTTGACTTTGGGTCAGATTTACTCACCTTTTAAGCTACGCGTTGGGGCGGCAAGCCATTGATATGACTGTGGTGGTGAGCGCGGGTCGGCAACTTGACCCGCGAAGTTGTGGTTTGTTTTCCAGTTCACATGGGCCTTGCGGAAGCTGACATTATGCAGATGTCCTAACCAAGTCCCATCTCACGGACTTCGACGTTCAACATTTCAACTTCCACGAGCTCGTTCGGGCAGTGCTACTCCCTGCATGTCTCACAATCGCTACGCCTCTCTAGCTTCTGTCCTCTCTCTCGACACTGGACCGGATACCGCCTCAGATGTTGGGCTATCCGACAGCGAGACGGAGTCCGTCCCGCCTCAGACCCCCACCGATGTCTCTGGCAGCGCTAGCATTGCCACTCACTACTCCCCTGGAAGCACCTTTACCGACAACCTTGAGTCATCTCCAACCGCCATTGCAAAGCTGTCCGGCGGCAAAGGGGGACGTCGGGGCCCCCTCAATCATTTCGACAACTTCAAGGCTCTGCATCGCTTCGCAACCACTCATGTCGCACAACCTGAAGACACTCACCTCATCTTCGGATACCTCCGGGACATCTCGACACTGTGGGAGCAGTGGGTGGACGGTGGACAAGTGGGATTTGTAGTCAAGGTGAGCCAACATAATGGCCTTTGAGAACTGTAATCACGTCCGATATAGGAGATACTTGGGATCACGGAGAGAGAGTTCTTGCTACTGCAAACCATGGTGGAGGAGAGCTGGGACTGGGAGGTGAGCGAGGATCTTGTCAAGTACGTTGCGTTTCTGCGTACGATCAAGTGAGTATGACAAGCTCAGCCTCTGATTATGCGGTACAGCGCTGATGCGTGTTAGTATGGACTTCTGGCCAGGTGATGGCAGAGTCGTGCTCCAAGCGCCGACGTTCAGCGAGGACTTCTCAATCAACATCCTCTTCGATGTTGCATCCATGTTGCGCCTAAGTTCCGCCCCTTTTAACGAGGCGAGGCCGACAGTGGCATACAAGACCGACGTCAAGAACACTGATGTGCAGTTTACGTTACGCCACAGCGCCGTTGTGAAGGACATAGAGGCCGTTCCGGGTACAGAGATCTTCCTCACGCTGGTGACCGACACACGCCAGGAGTTCGTATATCAGATGAAGAAGGTATGATTGCGCATTTAATTTTTTGACCATCCGTTTAACCAGTGTTCACAGATCGCTGCGGCATTGCCGTCACTCACTATACTTCAAGGATTCATCGTCGCCATGATTGGGCCGGCCGAGGCAACCGTGGAGAGGCATGACCTGTACAGCGCCAGACGCGTACCGCCGGGTGCGGCATCCCAGTCCATGGAAGTATGTGTGGTGGTCTACACATCCGCAGAGTTTGCCAGATTTCGGGTGGCGGCGAGCGGCGCCATGGGTTTCGAGGACTGGGTGGAGGATCCCAACTTCATGGTGCGTTATTGCCCACTGATATGCCATGTCGGCGCTGACATGTAAACCGCCAGCGACTGCTCAGATCAAGACCTACGCCGCAGACGTCCCGGCTGACGGCTTCCGCTTGCTGGATGAACACATCCATAGGATCGTGCTATCGCACGCCTCCAACATCGCCCAGCGCTCGCTCTTGGCCCCGCCCCGGAGCGAGGAGATGGACACGCAGCTTCTGGAGGACGTCTGCCAGGGGGCTGGTGATAAGGTAGTTCGGTGGCTGCACCGGGTGGTGTACGAGAAGTTATCGGCCATCGTCTGCCAGCGCCAGGGGCTGGGCAAGCCTTTCATTGGGAACGGCCAGCAGCCTTACTATGCGAAGGGCCTCTCTCGCAACGCGATGTTTATCTGATCATCTGAGCCGGTTGTAGAAGAATGTCATGTATTATCCGTATGTTATCCACGATGAATGATGATGTTATGCGCGTTCCACCGCTTTCTCAGCGCCTGCATGCGGCGTTATACCGGCGCACATGTCCCTGTGAGAAGAGAAGGTGATAAGCCCAGTACGTGACCGCCCTCAATGCAATATCTCAACGATACGCCCTACGACCTAGGAGAGTGCTCGCGCTATGGCCTCCCATGCTGCACCTGGCCATCTACATGAAGCCATAGATGCGCTATTCCGTTGGTTCTTGGGGAACATCCTCGTCCCAATAGGTGACATGGCTGACATACCCATCACATGCACCGCAATCTCTCTGGGCGAGTCGCCCGCCATCGTCCCGGACACCGCATACATCATTCATTTCGGTTTCACCATTCACGCCGTGGTTATTCAGGAAACTGGCGTGTCTCAAACGCCTCAACAGCTCATGCGGAAGGTGAGTTTTACACTGGTCACATCTCAAATAGAATTCATTGTACAAACCGCAGTGTCGGGACATGGTGGCACGAAATCTCATACCAGCTTGTGGGGTGCTCCTGGTGTTTGTGCACGAGACTCGCGGGGCCCCAAACACCGTTCCCGACACCGTTCCACAGCATTGGATCAATGCGACACAAGAAGAGCTGGCTTTGAAGGCCAAAAACGAGGCTAATCAGGCGGGCCCGAAAGCTGATCCGGACGATGCGAACAACGCACAAGCTGCCAGGAAGTCCATCTCAAAGCTATGGGGACCTTGGGAGCTCCTTGGGACACCCCCAAGCAAGGTTACGCCACTCTAGGCGGTGAACGCGCACCCATAGAGGGGCGTAATATCTTGGATCAGTTTCGCGAACGGTGGCACGGTCACATCGTTCCCCCTGTCGCCCTACGCGGCATTGTTCTTCATGGCGCGACCCAGCTATATGCCGTGGCCGTATTGCCGTCAGAATATGGCCTGTTCGACAGGGCCGTCGAGGAGCACTGGAGCTTGCACAAGGTCCTCGAGGAATTTAAGAGCATGGTATGTGAAGCGGCACTTGACTTCAATACTCAAATACTCACCAAGATCTCAGGAGTTCTGCCTGAAAATGGGGAGCACGCCGCACTCCACCGAGGACGCCGTGGAGGAGTTCAGGAAGCGACTCCTCATGATGGCCATCTTGACAAACAAGCTGCTGAAAGCCATCGTTGCCCGTGAAACCAACGCCATTGACAACGATGTGCCGGGCATTCTACACCACTTCCCCGGGGTCACGTCGACGCTGAGCAATAGTGTTTTGCTCAGTGTTGCGGAGCAGGACATCCCCGGTTTCTACACTACCCTACCGTCCCTCGACCCCTCTGACCCGGACGTCGCTGACACATTCAACATCATCGGAGGCACCCTCACCACCTCCCTGCTCAACAACCTCGCCGGCAAGTTGCCCTCTAGGGTTCTGGACTACGTAACGTGCGTTTGTCAAGTTCGCCTTCGCAAGGCGGTCGATGCAAAAATCGCGAGCGAAGCGGCTTTGCGTAAGAAGTTGGATGGTAAGAAACGGGCAAAGAGGGAAGCGGCGCAAACTCGTGCGGCGAAGGTACAGCCGGCCAAGGGCGGCGGCTCAAGTGGGGGAGGCTCGAAAGGCTCTGGAAGTTGAACTGGGACACCGCAGCGTACGCATGTTTCATGAATAGATGTAGCCTTAATATGCACTGTAGCTTGAGGTCAACGAAATCACCCCATATCTAACTAACACGGATTCAAAGTGGGCCCTTGGGCGGCGCATCCGTGGGCGCTTAGTCATCGGGTCGGACGTTGGCCATCACCATGTCGGCGGTACTTCTCAGCCTCTCGGAAACCGAGGGAAGTGCACTTCTGGCTCTCTTGAACAATGCTCCTGACCGCTCTCCACCTCTTGAGTCTATCTGGGAACGCCTCTGTAGTGCCATGGGCCCATCAGATCACCGACAGGTGGAGTTCGTAATGGAAGGTCATGACGTCTCTACTGGTCGTCAAACCTCTCCTGACTTAGCCCAGGTCCAGATACTCACGCTGATACTGAGCGGGTATCCGCGCCGAGCACAACCTCGTCTCAGGCAATTCCTAGTATGGATGAAGATGGTAAGTGTCATCGTCATCTTGTTGAATTCGTTAATTGAAGTGACCCCTTCAGACTCCGTGAGTCATGCATCCGGTGAATCTAATCTACACGAAGACGGACCGAGCGAAGTTGCAGTGCCACGTGCAAAGGGATCGGATGAAGAAGGCGAGTGGGCATTCCATGCATCCAGCTGTTAACGGGATCTGACCGCGTCTCATCCATAGCGTCATCAGAGGGCGAGGGCCGTACCACCGCACGTCGGTCATCCAGGAAGAAAACCAGCTCCAGCAGTGGCAGGAGAGCAGATGTCGCGTACTGGAAGTGTCGCACTGGAGGGCAGGTCGCCGCAAGTAGGCGGTGGATAAATCTCCACGCACCAGCAACCGTCATCACACCCGAAATTCATACATTCGTGGCCACACTGGGAACTGCCGTGCAGGAGGCAGAGTCACAAATTGTCGGGATACTGACCTCATTCATCGACAATAACTATCTCCAATCAGGCTTCGCGAACGACTCACTGTCCTCAATATTACAGAGATGTCGTATATCTGCTCACCGGGACATTACAGTGAGCTTTCTGTTGATGATTCATCATATCCAGCTCGTATGCAAGTGCACTGCGTAGGTGACAGTCAACCTCTGAAGAATGATGAGCGCTGACACAAGAATTGCTCCGTAATAGCCTACAGCGACGAGACAATCTGAAGAGCGTTACCCAGGTGTATGAAAAACATGCAAGTGGCCTCCAAGATGCCCCGGGCGAACGCACATTCCGATATTGGGTTACCATGGGCAGCAAGTTTGCGGCTGTTGCCGCTGGAGGTATGCGTGTAATTCCTTTGGATGACACGCCATTAATCTGGGTTCTCCCCGAAGGAACTATATATCTGTTGATGGTCATTGCGTGGGCAGACCTGCGCACTGATCTTACGAAATCCTTGGACAATTTTGCATGGCAGTTGGCCAACGTCTTGCGCGCGCCTGATCTCTGTAAGATAATTCCATCGTACAGATGATGCACCAACTGATTGCAACGCCGTGAGGGGATAGCTACAACGTGTGGTCAAATAATAGTGAAGAGACTGATTCCTGGCCTGGCTCGCATCCGCCAGCGTGTGTCGCTTCGTTTGGACACCATGTTCTCTACGAGCCTTCTCAAAGAGCTTAATCTCGGCACTGACACGATCCTCTGTTCTGACATAGAACAGTCCGATCGTGTTTTGGGAGCGCTGAAAAAGAAGTAAGTTAGTCTCTTGGTTGACGATGCATGTCCGTACATAATGCTACTATTTAGTACCTTCGACACCGTGGACAGGGACGTGAATGCCTGGGCGCCGTGTCTTGTTGCGGCCGATCAGCAGCAACAATTCGAGCTTACATGGGTTAGTCAACGCGTACTCTGTCCGACTAACGACGTACATTGGGAGTACCCTCCATCTCCCTGTACCTCCATTGAGGAGGATGAAGGATGCGAACGTGACGACGATATGGGGGGGAAGTTGCCATGGCGGACACTCTATCTGCACCCCTGAGGGTCTGATCATAACCACAAGCTATCGTCAACAACATGAAGATCATCACGCCAGCCCTGTGCCCAAGGACCCGGCAGATGTGTTTGCTTGGACGGAGTTGCAGCGTTCCGAAGCCAAGAAAGCCCATGAGCCCAAGACTGTCAAGGAGCTGGAGCGTCTGGTAATGTCCTATACCTGTATACCACAGCACGCGACTAATGGAACATTTAAAACGTGGTAAGCTCGCGGAAATGTATCACAATGGCAGACGCGTCGATCCTACTCAGTACATCAGGATTGCGCCGGAAATCATCAGGTCTGTTTCTTATGTTGTATTCATGATAAACGCGTGGCGCTAACTATCAAGTTCCCAGTCAAACCATGCAGATCCAAGATTGTGATGCAAGTCTCATTGCGTGCCTGTTTACGGACATGCCAGAACACCTTCGAATGACGCTCACCGCTAATCTTATGGCATGTTTTGCCATGGAGGAGTTCATCTTCAGCCGATGTCGTCTGAATCAATGGGAGATGAATTTTGCTTCCCGGCGGTTCATTTTCTTGGTACAATAGGCATGGCATGAGAGTAAGTGACACGCTCTACCATGATCTTGTGAGTGCTAATAAAAATATGAACAGGGACACGACGTCCCGCCGGACGTGCATCCTTACGTGGTTGGCAAGTCGGACAGCACCAGGATGAACTACGGACAGCTGCTCCCCTATATTTCCAGCGATATGAGCAAATATCAAGACATCTACGCGGCTTTGCGGTCAGTATTTGCTGATGTGTTTGAATACATGGCCAAGAAGGTGAGTGATTCCAGTCCACGACCGTTATGTACATAATCCTCAGCAATCTACATGTCAGATTCAGACAATATTGCCCGCCACCTACGCCGATCTTCGACTGGATGCTGAGATACTGCCGGGCAATGCGTGCTCGGTTGTGCACCCCTTCCTTTCCCTCGTAATCAACCTAAACGTGGCCACTCTCGCGCACAGGGACAGTCAGGATAAGTCACTGTGCGTTGTCCTGGCTGTCGGAGACTACGAAGGAGGAGAGCTGTGTTTGTACGAGCCGGGTCTCGTCCTGCCGCTCCGCAACGGGGACTTTGTGGCGTTCCCATCCTCGCGAGTAACTCATTATAACCTACATTTTACCGGACAGAGGGCTTCTATTGTTCTGCACACGGACAGAGAGATTGAGAGATGGACAAACGGAGGGCGGAATGGCTGGGACGAAAATATGCATTTTCACTAGTATGTCGTATCGTATGTTACGTGTCTCTGAATACCGCTTGCTCGCACCCCTGGCACTGAAACCGGTTACTTGGAAGGTGTTTAGTCTTATCGCTCCGGATCTGTTTAGCCTCTGGTAACAATTCGAAGGTCCGGGAGCGCACCCAACTCCGTTCCGCCTCTCTCCGCCACTCCGGCGGAAGACATCACCGTTAGCTTCATCTCACGGTTTTGTTTTTCGAGTACACTTCCGTGGTCTCGCGCCTGCTCGCCCATCTCGGGGCCATGTCTACACGCCAGACACGATCTAACTCGACTGCGAAGCCCAATGGGGCTCGGGCAAAGAAGACCGGGGCCCAGCCGACGTCAAAAGGCGCCTCCGCGGGTAAAGCGACGTCCAGCAAACCTGATGCGTCGTCCAGCAAGCACGATGATTCGGCCGCCGCCCCCTTTAACTACAATGCTGCACTGAAAGAGGCGAAAGAGTTCGTGAGGAAGGCAATGCCGAATGCCAGCGACAAAGAAGTTCTGGCCAAGGCTCGTAGATACGTGACGGACATGAGGAAACAGGGCACAGTGTCGGAGAAGGACCGACGAGAAGGTAAGTCTAGGATCTGGCCGGTCTCCATATAAATTGATATGTTCGCATTGCAGGCATACAGGCAAAGAGCGCGTTAATGCAGAAGGAAGATGAGGATGGAGATGGAGAGGTTGACGAGTTGGAGGAAGATTTTGGCGAAGGTGTGGAAGTTGTGCCGCCTACTAAGGCCAACGATAAACGTGGTATGTCTTAGCTGTTGCTATTCACTGCTCATTATCACCCTCTGTTAAGCAGGGGAGCCGAACAAGACAAAAGCTGGTCGAAGAGGAAGGCTCCCCCAGCGAGTGAGGACGAAGACAGCGAAGAGGAGGGCGTGGAACAGCGGGGCAAGAAGAAGGCGAAGGTGGAGAAGAAACGCAAGCTGGCGAGAAGGAACACGTCAGATGAGGAGGAAGTTGACAGTAATGGCGGACACAGGAGCATGGTGCGTTCATCTCGGTTGCGTTCACCCATATGATGAACAAATTAACTCTGAAAGTACCCATCCGCCCGAACGCGTCGCCGTCACGGGCTCGTCTCACCTCAGGAGCGTCGAAGGAGGAGAGCCAGTTGACAGCGAGACTCAGTGAGTGTCGAACGTGCTTTAACTGGTGATGTGACTATTATACAGCATGGATCAGAAGCGAGAGGCGGACCAGCCGGCCATCGGGGGACGAAGGCAGCAGAGGAAATGGAGGAAGAGGAACCGGAGGACGTGGAGATGCAGGGCAAGGGTATGTCCAGTGCCATTACCACAAAAAATGCGGAGCTGACCAATTATCTACAATGTGACTGGGCTGGGACAGCACCATCCACGTCCGCGAAGGGCAAGGCTAGAGCCCTTTCGCCCAGGAACCTGTCCGACAACTCTGATGAGGATGATGGCGACGCGTTCCACTCCTCAGATGCAGATGCGGAGGGGATGAGGAGGAAGACGACATCAACGTTGAGGAGAATGAGGTCGATGACGACGAGGTAAGCCCTGTTAATTGTAACTATCAGGAAGCTAAACTGTCATCGCCAGATCATTGTGAAGCATGAGGAGAAGACCCCGCCGAGAAAGAAGAAAGCCGCAGAGTCGGCCAAGGCCAAGGCGAAGCCAGCCAGCAACCCTGTTGCCAAAATTAACTACGCTACTGCCGAGGCCAAGGTCATCATTGGGACTGAGCTCCTCAAGGGCTTCGTGCAAGTGGTGCAACAGGAGTTCCGCGTCTACCTCGCCTTGGAGAATGCTTGGCCCCGCTCTAGGAAGCACGGTTTCGTGGAGAAGACCGACTCCGCTGCCATCATCATCAAGAGGGTAGGCGAACAGCACAAGGCATTCCAGGGCGAGGAGTTCCAGGCCGTATACAAGATCTTGTCGAAACGGCGGGAGGTGATGAAATACATGGCGAAGCAGGTAAGCACTGAAGTTTCAACTCTAGCTGACACCAACGATGATGGCCCTTAGGTGTACAAGATCGCGTCACAGTTCCGCCAGGAGGTCAAACAGAAGGCGAAGCGAGTCGCTGACAGGGACTTCCTGTCCATCAAGGTGACGGAGGTTGGGCGGAACGGCGAGAGGTTAAATCCTACAGCCCGTGCGGAGAAGCTCGTCAAGGCGATTGAGGCCCGCATCAAGTGGCTGAAAGAGAAGGATGCGTTCCACCATGGTGGCATGAAGCTGTCGGATCCCGACGACGATACATCGGCGCGTGATTGTGACCGGCGTGCATTTCTTCGTACTAATCTACTGGAACAGCACAACGAGGTCGACTTCGACATGCCATTCCACAACGATGCAGTGGCGGAGGTCATGGCGCGTCAGTGGTGGCTTGGGCAGCACCCGGAGGCACTGCGCGAGGGCAACCAGAGCCGCTTCGACCTCAACAAACCTCTCTCCAGCAACATGATTGCCCTGGTGTGCAGCGCGGTGAGTGCAACATCCATTCTTCCATGTTCATCCATGTTCATTGATGCAATTCCCAGCTGCTCGTTTGTTTTGACGAGGCTTTGAGAGGCAACATGACGATCAACTTCGACGAGAAGTCTTACGCCCCCGAGTAAGTTTTATCTTTGACCGGTCCTGAACTTGAACAAGCTAAGATGAGCATTGTAGGCATGACCGCATCAAAGCTCGTATCGACAGGCTCAGGAAGCTGGCGGGCCCGAAGTACCGCGAGAAGAGCGGCGCGGTTGCCGCATTCCTCAAGTCCATGAACGAGACTCTGACGAGTCACATCCGGTAATGTTCCTTATGCTACTCTGACCTAGTACTAATGTTGCCTTGCGCTCAAGGACTGTCTCTGGCTTGGGCGGCGAATGGGAGGATGAGGCCGAGGAGACTGAGAAGGAAGATGGAGAGCTGGAAGGCTTCCTTTCCAGGTGGGGGAAGAAAGCTGCGACCAGCACTGGAGCGGGGCCCTCCGGAAAGGGTGGCTCGACCGCCGGGGACCCCGACAGCTCGTCGTGAGGTTCGAACAGCGCGGAGCAGTGTGGCATCTAGGCGATGACAGGTGAGTGAGTGGGTCGTGTCATGACAAGTCAATATGCTCATATGTCAAACCCCATGAGAAGAGCATCAAGCAGTGTACGTTCGAGCTGTATGATATTCTCTTTCCTCTGGTTCCCTCGTCCAAATGTTGTCTTCCCGCGGCCTCATTGTGATTGTCATTCATGTTGTAACGTCACTTCCCAGCGCATATCCCATCTGTACTCTTCATTGCTGGTTGTATAGTGCTCATGTTACTCATGTATTTTCCCATACGGCTCCATACCCCCCTGAGCAATGTAATGAATCTGATGACCACACGTAATCCATGAACTTCTGAGTGCATGCTAGCAGTAAACCAGGCCAGAATGGTAGTGGAGAGCACTGGCAAGGAACTGGAAGTACAGCTAAGCATGACCTAAGGGAGCAAGGACATCAGGAATGTGCGTCTTGTAAGTGCGCATGAGCACACTGGAAAGTTAACAGCAACAGTTAAACATTGGTTATAAGCATGCAAAATGGTTTTGCTTACTTCTAATTAGCGGACTTGTCTTGCAAGTCCTTCCAATTGCTTGAAGTACTTAGAGCTGCTTTGGAGCTCTGCAAGCGCTTCTAAGCACTTGCAAAGCTCTTTTTTACTCAAGGGGTTTTTCCTGATGGAACATCTCGCCGAACAGTTCGGAGGCCGAACGTGCGGAGGGATGCTAGACCTCTATGTCGGCTACGACGAACGTTATATCGCCGAAAGTTCGAGAGATCTCACTACGTTCCAGACACCGTACGGAGCCATGCGACTTACTACGCTTCCTATGGGTTGGACAAATGCAGTACCCATCTTCCACGACGACGTAACCTATATACTTCAGCCCGAAACTCCCGAACACACTGTACCCTACATCGACGACGTTCCGCTCAAAGGTCCGGCTAGCGACTACGGTGGCGAAGTCATCCCCATCAGAACCAGTCCAAAACGGGAAAGAAGCGCTCACCTCCCGTCCAATGGGATTAATTCTTCGGATCAACGTGATCGAGGCACGTCCTGCCGTTCGCTAATCGCTTCTCGAGTGCTCGCCATTGGACAAGACCTTCGGACGGCCTGGCGCGGAAGCATCTCGATGATCGCGGACGCAAATCAAGCGCCGGCGTGTTCGAGCCGACCGAGGACGGTCTGGATCTCAGTAAGGGGGAGATGATGAGCCCTTAGCTCACCTACCCACCGAAAACGCCATTTACGGTCGATACAACGGTACACTAAGTCAGAACGGTTGACGCACTGTCCGTCCGTTCGAGGGAACCGCCCGATGTTCGAAGCTCAAGCGTCCATGTTCGGAACCCTTAGTGGCAGAGACAAGCGGTGTAGAAGCGTCGCTACATTGGTAGGACTCCGGAGCAAGTACATGGCTACGTCAACCTAGCTAGTGACGACCCCGGCAACTCTCGTATCTATGTCCTCGACCACCACCACCCCTACCCCTACGAACAGACGGACCGGTGTCGGAGCCACGGTCAGTGTTGACGCGCTCGAGCAGGCTTTCGAGCAACCCGACGAGGGTGCCGTGCGTGCGGCGCTGGTCGACTGCGATGTTGTGAATCGCTCGACCCATGGACTCGAGGTTGTCGGGCAGTTGGCGAAAATCGGACAGGATCAACGACTCGCGCTGATACTGCGGGTTCGCGAGAGGACGACGCTCGGCCTGGTTAACTTGTTCGAGCAGCACCAAGGTCTCGGACCAGGCGATCTGTAAGGCGCCTCACTCGTCGTGCCTCGTATGCGCTGCACCCAGTCTCTATTCAAGGAGATCTGTCTACAGAGTGCATACAAAGCGGTGACGAGGTAAAGGCTCAGGACTCGTAGGTGCGCCGGCGCGCCATACGAGTCCTGGAGCAAACAAGGACAAATATGTAATGTAAGATATACCGTAACGGGAATATCCGTTACACTCTCCCCCACTGGACACGACCACGGGTCCCAGCGATAACCAGAGAAACAGAGAGAAAAAGGAAAGAAAGGAATAGTACATGCAACCACCCAACGGTGGTAGCAATTGGCAAGACAACGATGATGTTGAACTGTAGACAGCGACAAACTACTTCACATCAGTGAGCCGACACGACCGTTCACCATTGTCATACACAACTCGACAGAGTTGTGCAACCAGCATGTAGACTACTACTCGGACTCCGAGTAATAGTCTGCATCTTCGGAGTTACCCTCGTCTTCAGCAGATAGTGCAGAAAAACTGTAGGTATCCTCCATCTCGGACTGCTCGTAGTAGTCAGAGACTACTACTGAATTTGCCCCCTCAGAACCTGGATTCGAAGAATCCCACGAGCTATGATGCTCGGACTCGGAGAGAGACTCTGACTCAACATGGTCAGAGTAATCCTCACGAGTTGTGGTACGAGGCTCCTCATCAGAGGAGTTGTACCAGTCGGAGTCATCCTGAGGTTGACTGCGAGGTGGTACAACAAGCCATCCCAGCTTGTTGTAGGCCCAATATCGCACCATCTCCATAGGTAATGGTGCAACCAGCAGAGGATCGAACTCGAGAGGAACCACTTCCAATTCCCTCTGGAAGTGGTCCCATGCTCGTCGAGCAGCACGAGAATATGTCCCCGGTCGCGGGGACATCTCCTCGATGGCCTGTCCGCAGCTGAGTGCAGATCTCTTGCAGTGAGCCCAAATGGCCCACTCGCCATCACTCGCCGCGGATTCGGCCTCGTCGAAATCGTGGTCGAGCTGGTCCGCGAGGAGGCTGAAACACAACTCGCGCAACACCTCGTCCGTGGGCCATTGACTCACATCGACGGTTACTGGATGATCCGGTGTGCATGCTTGGTTCAAGACTGGTACTTCACGGCGCGAAGTACCATCTTCCCGAGTAAGGTCGTGGCCGCGACGGTCACCTGTATTCTGTATGTCGAGTCGATCGCTCGACACGCGTGGTACAGGTGGTTCCTGTCTCGATGTTCGACGTGAAGCTCGTACGTCGAGCTCAACGCTGGATGTACAGCCTGTGACTGCGTCCGATCCCATTACACCACTATGTGATGTACTGGCCACTCGTGAGGTGTACTGCACATTGAGTCCCTGGCTCAATGTGCGAGTAGCTGACCTTCGCGTCGAGTCCCCATGGATAACCTGTACGTCAAGCTCACGGCTTGGCGTCCATGTAGCTGCAGGATTCGAGACCAGTACATCTTCACGAGATGTACTGGTGGTGGTGTGACGCAAGCGGTGGCCGCTCGAGGCCCCGCTCCCTTCCCCTTTTTGGAGAGTGCCCCCTCTCATGAGGACGGTAGCCCCCTCATGCACCCGCACTGGTTCGGTCTCGGTACCTCCAATAGTAGGTGAACATTGCTGTTCACCTGTGTCCGACGGTTCTTGCCTTCGTGCCGATGGGGCGTCCAGTTCATCCAGCTGCATCGGAAAACTTCCAACTAGCTCCCGGGAACGCGACCTCGTTTGGGCGCGTGACGACCTCCTCGTCGTGCAAGTCGACGCGGACACTTCACTCGAAGTGCCTGCCGTGCTGCGCACCCGCGAGAACGAAGATTCGTTCTCGCCAGGTGTTCTTGCTCCTGACGTAGGATCATCAATCCGCGTCGAATCGTTCGACTGGGCCAGGTCCAGAGGAAGCAGCGACACATCCATCGTGGATGTGCTTGGCGGCGGTAGCTCCCGGTCTCGTTCGCTGGGCGTGCCAAATACTCCATGGTACTTGGGCTGGTGCTCGCCGTCGAAAGACACAACCAACTCGCGTCGGTCTTGCTGAACGCGACGTGCCGGTAGCACGTAGCGTCCCGACGGTTGCCATTGATTCTCGGGTGCAGCCCATCGCACGTCTACCGTGGTAGGCGTCTTGGTCGACTGCTCGCAATCTACCGAATGGGGCCCGGCCACTATTCCATCCTGACATTCGTTTACGACGGTGGAATGGTTCATCCCAGTGCGACACGGCGGTGGCACTGCGAACCAAGAAGATGAGTTGGCGAGTACCTCACGGTACTCGCCCTTGGCAGTCGGACGATCATGTCTGTATGCCGTACCCTCTGCGTGCGGATCCAGTGGGTGTGCGAGTACCCTGGGGTACTCGCACTCCTCCTTAGAAGGATGTTCGGCAGCACCTACACTGAGCATAAAGCTCGATGGCGGTGCCGCACCCGTCGTGGCGAGGTGGGGCGAGTCGGTAGTGCGTGTATGCGCTCCGGACGCGCCGCCGTGCGTGGCTGCTGATGCGACTACACTGTCGCTCTGTGATGTGGACGGGCCACTGTCGATTGCGACGACCTTCCGGATGGTCGCGATCGACGCGGGTAGTGGTACCGTAGGTGGTGATGGTGGGGCGATTACCGCAAGGTACTCGCTGTCCTGGTCGCCGCCGAGCTCCTTGGATGAGCTCGCTCGCTCGTCGATCGTACCGCGTTGCGTGACCGTGCCAGTCGCGACCTGTAGGTCGCCCCGTGGGTCGTCTGTACCGCCGACGCACGTGGTGACTGCCACGACAACCGCATTGGTTGTCGTGGTCGTTACGGGTGGTGGTGGCGGTATAGGAGATGGTGGTAGAGGCGAGGGAGGTACGTCCAACAGGGGCGTACCTTCATCTTTCGAGCACGTCTGCTCGTCTTCTTCGCGTACACTGCACCCTTCCCCCTCTCCTCCTTCTGCCTGACCGTCCCCATCGGAATCTCCTGCTTCCACTCCCTCGTCCACGTCTTCTCCGTCCCTGTCCTGCCCATCCTTCCACCCTTCGTGCGAGCTTCCGAGTGCACGATCGTCCTGGGGCTCGTCGTACTCGTCGTAGTCTCCAACGGTGTTGGGAGGCGCGGAGATGTCGACATGATGTTGGCGAGGGGTCCCTAGGAGCGAACCATCGGCGAGAACTGTAAAGTTCTCGCCGGGTTGACGGTCGAGCAACCGTTCTGGTCGATCGGGATCCGTAAGCGCTGGCGGCTGTACTACCGGTAGTGCCGCAGATGAGTTGCGACCTTGAGCTCGCGCGTCCGTTGGGACGACGCGAGGGTCGAGTTGCAGGGTCGCCGGGTCATAGGGATCGCGAGGGTGGTTGATGGAAGCACCGGAGTCGAGGTCACTCCGAGGTGCTGCTAGCTGAACCGGGCGCGGTTTACTGACTGCGCCAGAGGCCCGTACTTCCATGAGGATGTACGGGCTGTTTTGCCTCACGACTGGATGCACAATGTGCCGGCCGTACGAGAGGTCGAGGCTCGCCAGCTGAACCACTGAAGGTTCAGCTGTCTTGGAGGCCAAAACGGAGGCTTGCACTTCCGGTAGGATGTGCGAATCCTCCTGGAAGTCGTCCGCGTACGAGTGGTGACCGTCGGACGTGAGATCAAATCCGTCCGGAGGGCCTGCCAGTTGAACCGTAGGAGGTTCATCTGCGCGGGTGCGGACTGCTTGCTCTCGCCAAGGGACGGTACGGGCCTCTCTGCGATAGGCCATCCGCAGCGGTCGGCTCTCCAGAGATCTTGCGGGGTCGAGATGGTAGCGACATAGGTCGTCGGGGTCGTTCCACGGCTTGGCCAACTGAACCACAGGGGGTTCAGCTGCACTGAATCCGCCGGGGACCTGCACTTCCTCACGGAAGTGCAGTCTGCCTTGAGACACTGATGTGAGCGCGAGGCTACTGTCCGACAGGAGGTCAGTGATGTACGGGGAATGGTGATCGTTATCACCGTGTACATCGAGCAAGGATCTAGATGTACGCGCTGCACAGCCGGCAGTCGAGGTTGAATGGGGCACGTTGGACATGCATCGCTGCGTGTCCATCGTGCCACCTTGCGAATTGGAGAGTACGACCGTGAGGTCGTCCCCTAACGCAGATGCGCCGCCTTGCAGTGTGGACGGTACGACCATTGGGTCGTCCTGCAGCGCGGACATGCCGTCTTCCTGGCCCGCAACGCGCACAACGAACTTCACGGTCGTCGCCACGCTTGCTGCTGTGGGTACGGGCAAAGAAGGAGATATCGAGGTCGGTACGTCCATCTGGGACGTACCCACTACTCGACATCCGGTCGTGGAGTGGTGGGGCACGTCGGACGTGCGGTACTGCGCGTCCGCCGTGTCGCCTTTCGAAATGGATGGTACGACCGCAAGGTCGTCCCGGAGCACATGCGTGCCATCTTGCGGGACATCGGGCACGACTTCGCAGTCGTACCCGGGGACGGAAGTGCCACTTTCGTGATTCCCAGTGCACACGACAAGCGTTCCGTTTGTCGCTACGGCTCTGGGCGCGTCCATGAAGATGCAAGGCACGTCAGACGTGCAATTCTGCACGTCCACCGAGTCGCCGTGCGTACGGTCCGGTATAACCTGTAGGTTGTACCCGGACCCGTGCGTGCGATCTGCGTGGCTAGCGGGGCGCACGACGACCTTCGCGGTCGTCGATACGGCTGTTGGCACGGGCATAGGGAGGGCTGGCGGCGAGGGCACGTCCGGTAGGGACGTACCTTTGAGCGTCGAGCCTGGGTGCTCGTGCTTGCTTTCCTCGTCGAACCCTTCCTCCTCCTCCTTTTCTGTCTGCTCATAGTCCCTCACCTCCGTCTCCGTCTCCTCCTCGTCCCCCTTGCCCTCTCCTCGCTCCGCGTTCGCCGTGGTCCGCTCGGTCTTGCTGCTCGGCGCTGGACTTGAACGCGCGGTGTTCAAGTCCTGGGTCTCGCAGCTGGGTTGCGTGTCGCCAGAGCCGCGGTAGGGGTTGCCAGAGTCCTAGACTCGAGAGGAAGGCCTCTCAAGTCAAGGTGCGAGACGATAGGAGAGAGGCGAGGAGCCGGGGAGGAAGGAAGTGGCGATCTGGTACCGTGAGGTACCAGGTCGTCGGTCGCCACTGACTGGACTGAGGATAAGTCAGCCAGCCAGTCGCAAACACGAGTTCGCACTCGTGTTGGGACGGCGCGCGCGTCTGGTTCGCCAGACGGGCGCTCGAGGTGGCTGCCCAGAGAGTGGGAGGGGTCGAGGACGAAGAGTCGGTGGTGGCGGTCGAGCGCAGTGCGGTGAGCGCTAGCACTCAGGGCGCTCGCTACGAACTCGTGACGCTCAACGCCCGTAGGGTCGAGCGCGTCGCGCGTCGCGTCGAGCAAGCCGCTCGACATGGCGCGCACGTCATTTGACGACGAAAATATATGTTTTGTGTCGCGGCTCATCTCTGAGCGCGTGACGGCCGTATCTACATGCGTGGGCTCGTTCCCACTGTACACAGTACTACCGTAGTACTGTGTCCCTATACCCTCCCGAGTCTGGAGATGCGTCGTCTCGACGTACCACTCGCTCAGTTCGGGTTGGTCGGCAACGGGCCTGCCATCGACCTCGGCGCGTGCACCATCCTTCGGGATGGTGCCCGGTTTCGCTACTTGGGCTGGAGCAGCCCGGGATGCTTCCGGGTGGCTCTGAGCAGGCCCAACGGCGGACTCAGGCTGCTCAGTGCTCAGTGCATGTTCGACCTCACGGTCGGACGGCGCCTGCTCCGTGGGTGCTCCGGCTGAGTTCTCCTGGTCGGAGGACTCAGTTCGAGCGGTCTGTGCACGCGATGAACGGCTGCGACTGCTGCTGCTCGCCGCCGACAGTGCCTCGTCGACGGCGTCCATCAGATCCTTGCGGGTCTGATTGGACTCCTCGAGCGCAGCATTAATCCGCTGCTGACTCGCCGCGGCTTCGGCGAGTGTTTGCTCGAGCCGCTCTTGGCTCGCGGCGAGCTTGGACTTGATCTCCGCTCGCAACGCCTTGAGCTTGCTGCGGGTTCCACTTCGGGTTCCGCGGCTGCTCCGAGTTGCTTCGGAGGGGTTGGTTATCGATCCAGACATCTTGTCAAGGTCTTCCTGGGTCGACTAGAGGGTTTGATAGAGCATAGAGTTTGAGTTTCGAGAGGTTGTTGCCTAGAGTAGAGAATCCCCAGAGTAGAAGCTTTTCTGGAGCGCAAAAAAGTGTAAGGCGCCTCACTCGTCGTGCCTCGTATGCGCTGCACCCAGTCTCTATTCAAGGAGATCTGTCTACAGAGTGCATACAAAGCGGTGACGAGGTAAAGGCTCAGGACTCGTAGGTGCGCCGGCGCGCCATACGAGTCCTGGAGCAAACAAGGACAAATATGTAATGTAAGATATACCGTAACGGGAATATCCGTTACACGATCGTAGGGTAGGGCGAACCTAGGATATCTCCCTGGTTGCCATCGCGGTGGAAGACCTCGTCAAGGTAACGCATCAACTCGTCAATCTCGGGGAACGACCTGGGAGCAGGAAGCGTATCGTTCGCTAGCAGGATAGCCCGGCTACGGGACTCGAACAAGAAGCGCTGTTCGAAGGTCGGTACGATGGTTCGAAGGATAGTCAATGTCCGGAGGCACGTACGATCATCCAACGGACTCCGTGGGCCCAAGCCAGCCACTCTCCGGGACTGTTGGCATCGTATCGCGGCTCGACAAGTCCCTCGGTCTTGAGGACCTCTAGGAGGCGGTAGTAGCGGGCAGCATACGCTTCGGAAGTTGGGTCGAGGTGCGGCATGTTCGTGTAAGCCAGGCAAACTCCTGCGGCTGTCTCATATCTTCGAGGACTGTCACCGGCTCCGGTTATGACCTTCACCGTTCGGGGACGGTCGCCCGTTATTCGGAACTTGCGGAAGGCCGAGTTGGGTTCTCTCATGTGTTAGTAGGTCCGGGTCGAGCGTTGTGACAGTCTCCGATTGGCTATTTTCCTTATCACTCTCATTCATCATTTCTTGGATTTCTCTTGGCTCTCTTGGTCTTCGGACCGTATTTTCCTGTATATACTCTGGGACTTGTTCCCTTCGAATCTCAGCATCAGGGAAAACCGCCCAAAACCCCAAGACGTTGGCGAGATGTCCAAGAGCTCTTGAATGCCTCTTGAAGAGATCCATATCTATTCAAGATGTCGACAACAGCTCAAGACAAGTCCCTCGATATATAGAGAGCACTATTGCTCAGTGACATCTCTGATAGCTCTTTACTATCTTTCTTACAGGTTGGGAACGCCAGCCGTATGGCCCATATTCTGGCAGCTCTTCAACTTCTCTGAGAGCATTATGCTAATCTCTCAACAGACCACATCAATTCCAATTCGGGCCATTGCATTCGGCGTATTGCAGCATAGAAATCATATCCATTGACATACAACATACAGCCCGTCGAAGCTATGCTAATATCCTACATCCAGTGCGTGTTGTACAATGTGAGCTATAAATCGATTTGCTGGTTGTGAAGGAAGAAAAGCACAGCTACAGTATTGTGAGCGACAAATGATACGTAGTACATATGTGAGCGACGGACGATGAGTAGTACATACAAGCTGTGAGAGCATCGAGACAGACAGGTATATCACCGGCTTGGAGGCTTGGATCCAATGTGAGAACGGAAGTACACGCCCCACGCGCAACCTGCAAATGATCAGTGAATAAGCCCACCAGACAAGACGGGACCATACCCATATTTGCAATCACCTCACGCCCGCTGCCCTCAGGCTTTCTTGCCCTTGGTCGCGGTGGGAGGATTACGCTGGGTCGAAGGACCCGCTTCCTGGTCGGCAGCTGCGGTGGATGCCGTGGTCGGTGTCGCAGCGGCAGCCTTGCCCTTGCTCCATCGGCCGATCACCAGCCCCAAGTCAATGCCATCGTCCACATCGACACTCTTGCCGGTTTGCTTCGGGGCCGAGCTTTGAGCAATCCCCGCGAAGGCCCTGACAGATGGCTGTTAACACTAGCAGAGTCGGAAGCTGACCACTTACCTGATGTTAGTGACCAGGGTGTCATTCAAGGACTCAACGAGTGCGGCGACACCCTCATTATAGGCACGGCTATTGGGGTCTGCATGTCGACGGAGCTTCTCGATGCCTGCAAACAAGCGATCGAACCTAAGAAACTGAGTGTCAGCGTCAGCAAGACCCCATTGCAAGGGGATGTACTCGGCCGCATAAGTCTTCTCCTCGAAGGCGACGGTTGAGTTGCCCTTCAGAGATTCATCCAGGGCTACCAAGATCTAACAGTGTGTTAGAAGTGAGTCAATGGAATATTCCGGCACTCACTGCACTGCACGTCAAGGCAATCATGTTGCTCGACGGCGGCATGACATCAAGGTCGAACCGCTCTCGGTTCTCACTGCGGAGAGCCTCTGGATGCTGCCCAACCCACCACTGACGGGCCATCACCTCAGCAATGACGATGCTGTGGAATGGTGTGTCGAGGTCGGGGGTTTCCCATAGCTGTTGCAAGTTAGCTAGCTAGGAAAAAGACTGATCAGTGATGCACGTACCGAAGGGTCCACGCCGGGATCCGGCAGCTCCACGTTCCCGTAGTGGAAGGTATTGTTTTGCTTCAGGAACCTGATGCGTGCCTCCTTCGCCTTCTGCAGCTTCGCCGTACGACTCACCACATCCAACCCGGTGTCCGAGATCTTGATGGACAACAACTCCTTCTCCACGACACGCTTTGCTTTCTGCTTCAGTTCTTGTCGGATTTGCGCCGCCGCCCTGTAGACCTGAGACATGGAAACCAAATTATCATTAGCATGGGATAGCTGACGCGAAACACTCACATATCTGCCCATCTTCGCTTGGATCTTCTCATCCGACCACAGCGGGGCGAAGTCCTTTTGGAACTCATCCGTCTGGTACTTCTGCAGGATTTGAAGGTCGTTCATGATGTTGATCGGGATGGTGAGCTTCTCCATGCTGGTGCCTTTCAAGCGCGGCCACGCATTCTCGAGGGCGATGTAGACCCGCAGCTCTTGCATTGCTTTGTGCAGGAAGCTCTTGACAGGCTCTTTCACGAACAGCTCCTTGACGTCCTTGACGTCCTTGACGTCCTGCAGCTGCGTCGATGTGACGTCCTTGGTCCTGGTACTGGTTTTCTGCACCTTGGCCTTGCCTTTGTTCTTCGAGTCCGCATTGTCGATCGTCTGTATGATGAGCTACAAGATTTGGTTAGTCTAGATTCCGCCATTCAAAAATGCTTACATCGTCAGCTCCGTCAAGTTCATCCAACTGATCCTCGTCACTGGCGTCCTCGTGCTCTTCAACTTCGGGCTGGTAAGAGGAGCTATCATCGCCGGAGCCATCGTCCAAGCTGCCAGATGCCCCGTCTTTGACCTTACTCACCGTCGCCGGCGGTTCGCCGGCAGACGCGCTGTCAATCTCTCCAGAGGGCTGAGGGCTACCGACCGGATCTCATGAACAGCCCATTAGTGGGGCTTTGATTCGTTGAGAACCTGTGCATCATGGACTTACCTTCAGCATCCGACAACGGCACGTTGAATCGGCCACCCTTCCTCTTGAGAACCCCTTCCCTGCTTCCACCCTGCAGGACACTCCGGACAGGACCCACGGGCTTGGCTCTCCTAGTCGTTGCACCTATCCAAGTGTTAGGCTGTGTTGAGGCTTACTCGTATAGCCACATACCAAGTCGATCGGTAAGCGCTTTCTCCTCATTGGAGATACTTTGTCCTTGCTTGCGAGCCCTCGCACCACGGGGTTCCTCAATCTCATCTTTCTCTGCAGCCGGTTGCCCTGTATATGGAAACGGTACGTCTTGAGCTCTGCGTGTGGGACAGAGTTATGCAACTCACTCAGCACAATTGTGTCACCCTCCTCCGGCTCAGCAGCTTCTGGTGAGTCAATCTCTACCGTGTTGGTCTTTGGTTTCTTCTTGTTGGCAGGCTCCGCAGCCGACTCGTCATCACTGCTCTCCTTTTCAGAATCGATGGCCTTCCTCTTGCGCGGCTTGGCCGTCGGTCTTGACTTCGAAGAGGAGGCTCCTATAGCCGTTGACGAGCGGTGGCTGAGCTGACATACTACGATGACTCACCTTCCTTCGCCTTTCCTTTGGTCTTGCGCCTGACTGCAACTTCGCTGCCCTCCCCGGTGGACTCTCCGCCATCCTGCCCACTCTCCCCCAACATGTCGATATTGCCTTCGTGTTCTTCATCTATCATGGCGGCACTGTTGGCCTGTATAGCTACAGAAATGTCAGTGTGCCATATTCCACCATTACCGCTATTCTGTGAAGACTCACTGTCCCAACGATCCTTCTCAGCTTTGCCCTTCTTGTTCGCAGCCGCAACCATCGACCTAGCCATTACATCCAGCTCCTTGGGAGCCAGATCAGGGCGCTGCACCTTGAGCACGTCCTTCATCAATTTGAGGCTTTGCTGATAGGTTAGTGGGGTTGCTCCGGTCGACCCGCCTTTGCCAGACGGGGGCTTTGCGCTCGAGGCCGCATTCTTGCTGGGCAGGGGCTTTGGTTCCGAGGCGTCATGCTTGCTCGAGGAAGCCTGCGTTGGTGAACCTCGTCTGGCTGCCGGTTTTTTGCTCGAGGTCGCCTTGGTCGGGACGGACACAGCGGGCTTCTTCGTGGACCTTGTTTCGCGCTGAGACATGCTGTGAGTTGGCTACAAGGGATGCAAGGAGACAGACTTGTCACAGCAGGTGGAATCACTTGAGTGATTCCGCAACCGATAGTGAAAACATTGCGGGTTGGCGATACGGAGATGCGCGGAACACGTCTGACTTCGCGAAGCGTGATTCAAACACGCTCCGACAATTGCTGGCCCAGGCTCTTCAAGAGTGCGTAGATATGTTGACCGAGAGTTATGGTTGAGCTGGAGGTTCAAAAACAAGTCATTACGTGGCAATACGTGATGTCTGTCAAATAATATGCATTCGGGTAACATAACATACACAGCGCTAACTCTACTGAAAGTGACCCTTCTTTCCCTCAAGTGCACCTTTCGTTCGTCAGCTGTGCTGGTCTGTGCGTTGTTCCAGTCCATGCACTATGTGCACCCTCTCCCTCGTTTCCTATCCTCTCGCCTGCTCATCCACTCGCCAACACACTCACCCATCCAGTAGTCCGCCTGCCCACGGTCGGCGTGTGTTGTGCACGGAATGCCCGGCATGGCCGTTGGTCTGTACTAATGCGCGTGGGGTTCACCAATCATCTGTTGGCCGTGCCTGCGTACTGAGCACTGAGCATCCGTCCAGTGTGCTCGCGATCGGCCTCCGTACCGTCGCCTGCCGGGCGCTCCGTAGCTCGTGGGAGCTTTCAGTTGTCATCACTTACCTTATTTGGGTTCGCAATGCATTGCGAACCCAAAAGCGGATCCTACGACAGGTGGTCCCGACGCACATCTCCGCGTGTCTGTCCTGGTCGAGTACACTTCAGTGAAATGCATACGTCTGTGTCGACCGATGGGCGCACAGCCTGACACCACATCCCCTGGTCCACGTTCTCGCCCTCCGGATCCCGAGCCATCCCGCCCTTCCCGTCCCAGTACGTACGTGGTGCTCTCCGCCTGACCGCGTGTGCTCGTGTCAATGCGACACGCGTCCAGCGTGCGTGAATGCGTGCACTGTGGTACGTCGTCCGCGCTGTTCACTTCCGTACGTCCGGCATTCGAGCTGACGTGTGGTCCATCCTTCTGAGATGCTCGTCCAGCAGAGTGTCATCGATGGGCGAGCAAGCGAGCTGCGAGAGCAGAAGGGAGGGCGAGCTAGCGAAGAGGGGAGAGTGGGCATGCGAACGAGCTAGCCAGGGCGTGAGTAGGCAGACGAGCGGGGCGGGCAAGTGAGCGAGCGCCAAGCAGGCGAGCGGGTGAGACGAGTGAGACGGGCGAGAGCGGGCGGGTGATGAGTCGATCGAGTAGTTGTGCGTACCCTAGAATACGATGCGCGAACCGTGGAACGACGGTGGAAAGACCGGGCTCCGTCAGGACGATGTCAGCAGCGCCGCCAGCAGCGTCGGTAGTACCCTCGACGGCGATACCGACGTCAGCGTGGGACAGAGCGGGAGCGTTGTTATCACCGTCACTAGTCATCGCGACTAAGTGACCCAGACCTGGAGACGCGCTCGAAGCCGTTGCCCTGAACTTCGAAGTTGTCGCCATCGACATCCTCGTAGGCAACCGCGAGAGCGCGCAGACCGCAGAACGGGCGGGCAAGACAGGGTGATGGTGAGGGTGCGGGCGGGCGAGACGGGCGGACAGGAAAGAGCGGGTGAGCGAGCGAGGTAGTGAGAAGGCGAGCGCGGGCGGACGAGAACGGGGAAAGCGAGCGGGAAAGCGAGAAGGCAAGCGCGTGAGCAAGAATGGGCACGCGAGCGGGAGTGGGAGGTTGGCTGTGTGACGGCACGAATGCCTCTGGTGCGTCGTTGTCGTCCGCGAGGTGGCAACACAGCAGGTGCGTCCAGTGTTCAAGTTTTTGCGATTTACTGTGACTAGGACCGTACTCGGTACCCCACGGGTTCGCATGACCCATGCTCTGCACGGAGTGAGGGAAGGCGGGCGGGCGAAGCACGGATGAGCGAGCGGACGAGCAAGCAGGCAACCTGGCAAGTCTAGCGGTAGGGCGAGGGAAGGCTGGAAAGAACAGACGGGCGAGCGAGGGCGAGTGAGAGTGGGCGGGTGGGCGCGAGACGGCGGGACAAGACTGGGAAATTCTTTTCAACGAAGCGAGTGAGCGTGAGGACAGAGGTAAGTACATACCGGCAGTGTGACTCTGAGTTCTGGCGCGTCAAGTCTTTAGCGCCTGAGCCTGGCGCGCTGCTCTCGACGACCGTCCAAACCCGGTCCAAACCAAGTCCAAACTCGCGTGCCCGCCCACTACTCGCGCGTCGACCCATCTGCCTGGCTCGCGCGCCATCTCGACCGTTTGTTCACACTCGCCCGCCCGTCTCCACGCGCGTTGATCCGCCCGTCTGCGTGCGCACTTGCTGGACTCTCGTCGTACCCAACTCACGCCGCTGCTACTACCAACCACCATGACCGACTCCCATGCGTTAAGGATCCCGCGCCTTCTCCTGGTCACAAGAAAACGAACGCGGAAGGAGGAGAGAGAGGGTGGGTGGAACTTGAACGTGCAGGGCGAGTCGGGGAAGAGGGAGATTGGAGCGAGCGCAAAGGTTCGGAAACCAAAGGTGCGCCCCGGTTGTTGCATGTACCTTGATTGGCTCAGATTGGCTCGCCCGCTCACCCACTCGCTCGCCCGCTCCGCCGCCCATGTGCTCGCCCGATCGCCGGCCCATCCACTCGCCCGCCGGCCTGTCCATCCGCTCGTTCGCCCACTCGCCACGGTCTCACTCACTTATCCGCCCGCCTGCCCGCCCGTCAATCCGCCTGTCCTGCCCGCTCACTTCCCCGTTCACCTGCTCGTCTCGTTCACCCGCTCGTCTGTGCAGTGTCCAGTCACCCAGTAACTCGCCCGTCCGAGACTCCGCACTCGCTCGCACGCCTACTCGCTCGTCCTTCCGTCCGTCCGTCCTCTCCCTCGTTCGCCCATTCACACATTCGTCCGCTCGCTGACTCGTCCAGCCGGCCGCTGGCCGGCGTGCTTCCCGTGCTGACTGGACGACCACCCACACGCGCAGCATCGCCCGCTCGAATGGGCTTAGACGTAGGACTGGATGACAGCCAGGGCGGGCTCTCGCGCAGGGCCGCAGTCGTTCACGCCAGCGATCTTCAATTCTCTCCTCTGACTAGTTCGCAAGCCGGGTCGAGGCCACCATCATGATCAATCCCACCATCCTCAGCACCGACCCCCCAACTCCTCCTGCACGCCCATTCTCTCGTCTGTTCGCGCTCCCACCGGCCCACTTGCTCACCCGCCCGTCCGCCTGTCCGCTCGCTCGACCGCTCGATCGCCGGCTCATCGACTCACTCGCTGGCCCGTCCATGCGCTCGTTCGCCCATTTTTCCGAGGTTTCACTCACTGACTCGCCCGCCGGCTCGTCAATCCCTCTGCCCGCCTGTCTATCTGTCCGGCCGCACAGCAACTCGCCCGTCCGCACTCGCTCGTACGTCCACTCGCTAGTTCTCCCGTCCACTCGTCCGTCCACCCATTCACTCGCTCGCCCACGTCTGCCTCGACTGGCTGAGACGTGCGCACAAGACGGCGGAACTGACAACCAGGCCGATGTGGGCGAGCGGGATGAATTCCGATTGCGGAAGTGCAAGGCTAACGAGGTGGAGGAGGACCACCGGGATTGCGCGCGCAGCATGGACCGGGCGAACGGGGTTCGGCGCGGGCCAGGTAGTTTTCGATACCATCGTGGACGTTGCGAACCGCACGACAATCCATCTGGAGGACGTGTTCAACATCACGCCTCCCCGCAGATCTGCGACCGTGCGGAGGAGGGCGAGCATTATCATTCTGCCGTCTGCACCCTGTTCGACGTCGCCCACAATTGGATATACTGCTGCGTCGACAGCGCGGGCGACGTCAGCCGCGACACATCCCGCGAGGCATTCGTCGACAACACCCGAGCAGCATCTCATCCAGGACACGGGAACAGCCTCGACAATGTCTTCCGCGCACTCCGCGCGTGGGGCATCGACACGCGGCAGGGTGAGGCATCAGGTCATAGTGCGACTCTGAAGTGTGTGGACGAGCAGGGGTACGTGTGGACCAAGGAGGTGAAGGAACGGGGCAAGGGACTCTGGATGGATTGTTGGGAGCTTGCGGACAAGGATACGGAGGCGTGTGGATGACCTCGAGCAGAGCCTTAGCATTATGGGGGTTGCAAATAGTGTACATAGTCATAACACAAATATATTGCTCGTTTACAAATAGCTTCTGATACATTGTTGGGTGCAATGATTGATTAAGATATTTGAAAGTCTGGAATGGCCTGACAGCCTGCTATGACTGGCAAAACATGCTGGAGAGCGGACACAGGCTCCAGAATGCTATTGAGACATATTGGAGTTAAGGCAAACATCTTTTTGACAGCCCTCAGACATGTTTGGCCAGGTTAAGGAAGGTTTGGAAATTGGCCAATCTGTTGGGCGTCCAAAGTGTTTTTCCTGATGAGAGACCCCCTTACCCTCTCAATCTCACCTCGCACCGGCGAGGTTCGTCAGTCAGCCAGTACGTTCGAAGTCAGCAAGTTCGCCGGTCAGTCAGTACGTTCGAAGTCAGTCAGTCAGTTCGCCAGTACGTTCGCCAGCTCGTAGTAGCCCCGAGAGGCTCTACACTTCTTCTCCTGCCGTCGCTCGCCTTCCTTGTCGCCGCTCGTTCGACACGTTTGTCGAAACTCTCCCTCCTACCTTCGAGGCTTAGCCCTCGTCTTCGAACAGTCTTCGATATCTTCGAAGCTCTCCCACGTCGTTCGGAGTCTTGTCCGTCCTCCTCCTTCTTACCTAGACCACTGTACAGTCCCCCGTACATCTCATAGACGCAGAGGCCTCGCATACCACTGCTCGACCTCACGGTTGGGTTTTTGTGTGGCTTTTGTGTTCTTTTCGGTCGCGTCACCGGTGGGTTAGCCTTATGGAAGGTTTGCGGTCGAGCCATCGAGGCGTCCTGACGCGCTTTCTCCAGGGTTTGCCACTCATCCTCTCCGGTTATTCTGCCAAAGGTGGTGGGTGCGCATCTCCGGCGGAGGTGGTTAATAAACGGCCTCAGGTATTTCGCAAGGGGGGCGCCGATCCAGCCCTTCTCCTCCCACAGCGGTGTCTTGTCGAAAATTAGTGTGGGCAACACGCTGTCCGTGCTCAGGAAATTTAGTGGTGCGTCCAGAGGTGTTCGCTCGGCAGCACACATTGCAGCCAAAAGGGCCCCCGGCTCGGTCACGTCGGTATTCGGGTCTGCAGTCGGGGTGACCAGTATGTTCCGCTCGTCATTGGGGCCGAAATAGGCCGCATAGGTGCTCCGGTCGGCGCGGGAGACAGGGTCCGGCGCATCAGGGTTCTCTGTGGGCCGGAAAAGCATCACCGTTGTGGACTCCTCCGGGACTGCGATTCCGGGGCGTCGCCTGATCGCCGGGGGTTCTGTGAGAGTACTTGGGTGGACGAAGACACGGAAGGTCTCCGATATGCCCCCTCTGGACGTGACCGACGGGTTGAATACGAGTACATCGCCTTTGTCCAAGGCCGCTTCTTCATTTCGCTCCATTCGTCGCCTAGTCAGGGTAAGCCCGTCTGTGACGTCCGGGATCAGGGGGTTCCACTTAGGTAGGATTTCGCTAAGGATTCGGAAGGCTGCAAGCCTGCAAGTAGCGGGGTGAGTGCATCCTTTTTGCCGGGAGGACTGGCATTCTGGACAGGCGCAGTCATTGTCCTCCCACTCCGTATATCGTGTGGTAGGCTGGTCCCCGCAGGTCGACCGGGTAGCCTCAAGTAAGTCCGAGATTACTATCACTCCGTGGGTCTCCCGTAGACAATCGCTAATTTTTGTGTTATTTATTCTACGGAGTGCTTTGGTCGCACCGATGTGGTACCAAGCCGGCAGTTCCCTCTTTAGGGACGTGTCAACCTTTATTGCTTCAAGGTGTACACCTAAGCGTTTCCCCGCACTCAACATTCGCCGTATGTATAGTGGTAGGCCGGAGCGTGCGCTCAACGACGGGTCCCAGCTCTGCAGGTAAGTGTTTATTTGCGCCTTTGGCCTGATTACTCCAGTATCCTTCTTTGCGTGCTTATTAATAATAGCGTCCATAGCGAAAGCCCAGACAGGTCTGTCATTCGTCAGGGTTAGGTAACGTTTTACCCACATTAGATCGATTGCATCGTTTCGTGCCTCTATATCCAGCAGGCCTAAGCCCCCCTCACGGACCGGGCGGTACAAGGTGGCCGTATTAACTGGTGGTATTCCCTCCGAGTTCCATATAAATGTGCGTATAATCTTCTTCAGTTCTGCTTCGACTGATTTTGGCATACCCTGAACTACCGCAAGGTACTGAGAGATTCCTCCTGGGCCCATCTGAATGATGTGTCTTTGTCCTATCATTGAGGGTCTGCATTGTCCCCATCGCTTCAGGAATTGTCTGATTTTCGTGAGTGCCGGGGTCCACACTGCAGTCTGTTCTACATTGTTTCCGATCCAGGCGCCTAGGATTCGGACTGGTTCGCCCTCCGTGGCTACATGCACGTTCAGGGGAATGGTCCCTGACGAGACCAGGTCAGGGTTCAGTCGGCGTGTGGAGACTACGGACTGTCTGTATTCAGGTGAGCCCACCGGTACTACCTCGGTCTTCCCGTCATTGAATTTGGCTCTTGAAGCCATGCACCAGCGGCTCAGGATATCCCATAGGTCGGTCCAGCTATCGTGTTTCGATAGGAAGGTGGACGTATCGTCCGCAAATAGCTTCGTAATCAGTCTATCGGCCGCACCTGGGATTTGGAAGCCTTTTAGGCTGGAGGTGCGTAGCAAAATTGCTAGTGGCTCGATTGCTATGTCGAATAATAGGCATGAGAGAGGGTCGCCCTGTCTCACTCCTCGTACGACGTCGAAGAACGCACTGGTCTCTCCGTTCACTATGACTCTCGTTTTCGCCGTCGAGTATAGCTCGCGGACTTTCTTAATGAAACTCGCAGGTAGGCCAAAAGCTTCCAAGGTCTTCCACAGGTACGCATGATCTATCTTGTCATATGCTTTTTCTTGGTCTAAGGCGACTATAATACCATCTTCTTCGGTAGCTTCAGCATAGTCGACCAGGACTCGGCAGGTCTGTGTTTGGTCCTCAATATGACGTCCCGGCACGAAGCCCGCCTGGTCAGGGTGTATGAGCTTGGTTGCGACCTCTCCCAGCCTCGACGTCAGGGCTCGGGTGTAGACTTTGTAGTCTGAGTTCAGGAGCGTAATAGGTCTGTAGTTCGCAATTTCCCGTCTATCACCTTTCTGTTAAGTAGTCAAGGCTATTGAAGGCCTCTCCTTCCGTGCTGTCACTCATAAGGGACTTCCAAAACTCGTACGGGATCCCATCCAGGCCCGGTGTGAGGCGCCTTACTCGTCGTGCCTCGTATGCGCTGCACCCAGTCTCTATTCAAGAGGTACTGTCTACAGATTGCATACAAAGGCGGTGACGAGGTAAAGGCTGAGGACTCGTAGGTGCACTGGCGCGCCATACGAGTCCTCGAGCAAACAAAGACAAACATATAAGGTAAGACATACCGTAACGGGAATATCCGTTACACCCTCCCCCACTGGACACGACCACGGGTCCCAGTGATAACCAGAGAAACAGAGAGAAAAAGGAAAGAAAGGAAACATATACGCAACAACCCAACGGTGGTAGCGACAAGACAAAGGTGATGTCGAACTGTAGACAGCGACAAGCTACTTCGCGTCAGTGAGCAGACATGACCGTTCACCATTGTCATACACAACTTGACCAAGTTGTGCAACCGTCATGTAGACTACTACTCGGATTCTGAGTAGTAGTCTGCATCTTCGGAGTTACCCTCATCTTCAGCAGATAGTGCAGAAGAACTATAGGTATCCTCCATCTCGGACTGCTCATAGTAGTCAGAGACTACTACTGAGTTTGTCCCCTCAGAACCTGGATCCGAAGAATCCCACGAGCTATGATGCTCAGACTCGGAGAGATACTCTGACTCAACATGGTCAGAGTAATCCTCGCGAGTTGTGGTACGGGGCTCCTCATCAGAGGAGTTGTACCAGTCGGAGTCATCCTGAGGTCGACTGCGAGGTGGTACAACAAACCATCCCAGCTTGTTGTAGGCCCAATGTCGCACCATCTCCATAGGAAGTGGTGCAATGAGTCGAGGGTCGAACTCGAGTGGAACCACTTCCAGCTCCCTCTGGAAGTGGTCCCATGCTCGACGAGCTGCACGAGAATATGTCCTCGGTCGCGGGGACATCTCCTCGATGGCATGCCCACAGCTAAGTGCTGACCTCTTGCAGTGAGCCCAAATGTCCCACTCGCCAGCACTCGCCGCAAACTCAGCCTCGTCGAGGTCGAGGTCAAGTTGGTCTGCAAGGAGGGTGAAGCACTCCTCACGCAGCACCTTGTCCATGGGCCATTGACTCACGTCAACAGTCACTGGCTGATTCGGTGCAGTCGGTACTCGGTTCAATGCTGGTACGTCGCGGCGCGAGGTACTAGCTTCCCGAGTAAGGTCATGGCTGCGACGGTCACCTGTATTCTGTACGTCGAGTCGATCGCTCGACACACGTGGTACAGGTGGTACCTGTCTCGATGTTCGACGTGAAGCTCGTACATCGAGCTCAACGCTGGATGTACGGCCCGTGACTGCGTCCGATCCCAGTACAACACTATGTGATGTACTGGCCACTCGTGAAGTGTACTGCACATTGAGTCCCTGGCTCGATGTGCGAGTAGCTGACCTTCGTGTCGAGTCCCCATGGATAGCCTGTACGTCAAGCTCACGGCTTGGCGTCCATATCACTGCCGGATCCGAGGCCAGTACATCTCGGTGTGATGTACTGGTGGTGGTGTGGAACAAGCGGTGGCCGCTTGAGGCCCCGCTCCCTTCCCCTCTCAGGAGGGTGTCCCCCCTCGTGGCGGAGGTAGCTCCTCCCTGTGCTGAGTCCAATGAGTCCAGCCCTCGCGCTGGCTGTTCCTTCTTACGGGCGCGCGACGACGCCCTGGTCGTCGCGTCATTCGATGCGGGCACATCACCCAGTAAGCCGGATGCACCCGCCACACCACACGGTCCAGGTAATTGTACCCGCGAGGACGAGGATTCGTCCTCGTCAATGGTCCCTTGCCCTGGAACTACCGACGTGACCTCGTCAGTCCCCGTCCCTTCATTTGACTGCGCTGGGTCCGGGGAAGAAGGCAGCACATCCGTCTTGGATGTGCTCGGCAGCAGGTACTGGTCTTGTTTGCTGAATGTGTCAAGTACCTCGCGGTACTTGGCGTGGTGTTCGTCGCCGTAATCCGCGGCCAGTCCACGTCGGTCTTCGAGGTGCTGCCCGTGGGCGCGACGTGCTGGTAGCACGTAGCGTCCCGTCGGTCGCCATTCGTTCTCGGGTGCAGCCTGTCGTACGTCTACCATGGTAGACGTCTCGGTCGACTGCTCGCGATCTACCGACTGGGGCTCATCCGCTTTCCCATCCTGACGTTCGTTCACGACGATTGAATGTTTCGTCCCAGCGCGACACGGCGGTGGCACTGCAACCAAAGAAGATGAGTTGGCGAGTACCTCATGGTACTCGCCCTTGGCAGTCGGACAATCATGTCCGTCTGCCGTATGCTCTGAGTGCGAATCCAGTGGGTGTGCGAGTTCCCTGAGGTACTCGCACTCCTCCTTAAGAGGATGTTCAGCAGCACCTACATCGAGCATAGAGCTCGATGGCAGTGCCGCACCAGTCGTGACGAGGCGGGGCGAGTCGGTAGTGCATGTAGTATGCGTTCCGAACGCACCGCCATGCATGGCTGCTGATGCGACTACGCTGTCGCTTTGTGATGTGGGCGGACCACCGTCGATTGCGACGACCTTCCGGGTGGTCGCGATCGACGCTGGTAGTAGTACAGTAGGTGATGGTGGCGGGGCGAGTACCGCGAGGTACTCGCCGTCCGAGTCGCCGCCGAACTCCTTAGCATAGACGTCGGTCGAGAGGCCCGACGTCTGTGCATGAGTCGTGACCGTGTTGGATACATCGGATGAGCTCGCTCGCTCGCCGATCGTACCGCGTTGCCTGGCTGTGCCAGGTGCGACCTGTAGGTCGCCTCCTGGGTCATCCGTGCCCTCGTCGTACGTGGTGGCTGCCACGACAACCGCATTGGTTGTCGTGGTCGTCACAGATGGTGGTAGGGGGGCCGGAGATGGTGGTAGGGGCGAATTAGGTACGCCTAAAGGAGACGTACCTGTCGTCGAGCTATCCCGCTCGACTCGTTCGTCCTCTGTGCTTGCCCTGCACCCTTCCCCCTCTCCTCCGTCTACCGGAATCTTCCCGTCTGCCTCTCCTGCCTCCACGACCTCATCGACGTCTCCCTCATCCCCGTCCTGATCCTTCGTTCGTCCTGCGCGCGACCTCCGGGGTGTGCTCGCGGTCTCCGACTCGATGGGCCTGTCGTAGTCGCCATGGGTGTCGGGGGCCGCGGGGAGGTCGATAGGATGTTGGGTGGGGTCCCCTAGGAGTGAGCCCTCGCCGAGAACTGTGAAGTTCTCGTCGGGTTGACGGTCGGGACACCGTTCTGGCGTGTCGGGGTCCGTAAGCGCCGGCTGCTGCACTAACGGTAGTGCAGCAATCAAGTCGCGATCTCGAGCTCGCGCATTCGTTGGGAATACGCGAGCTTCGATCTGCGCGCTCGCCGGGGCGCCGGGGTCGCGAGTAGGGGGGTAGTGGTGGCTGGAGAGGTCGAGGTTGAGGTCGAGATCGTTCGTAGGACCCGCCAGTTGAACCGCGTACGGTTCAGCTGCGCACGAGCGATTGCTCGGCCGCACGTCCGTCGGGGCGATGCGGCAGTCCTGCACCGAGTTGAAGCGCAATGGGTTGCTGCTCTGAATGTGAGCGAGGTCCGCAGCTTCGTCCAGCCGGTCGAGGTCGTCTCGCGGGCTTGCCAGCTGAACCGCGACCAGCTGAGCTTTCTCGAAGAGACCAGAGGCTTGCACTTCCGACAGGAAGTGCAAGTCTTCTTGAATGGTGTTCGCGCGCGGCTGGTGGCTGCTGGAGGTGTCGAAGTCGGAATCGTCCATGGAGTCTAGCAGTTGAACCGCGCGCGGTTCGGCTGCGCATGGACGGTCGCTCTGTCGCACGTCCGTTGGGGCGATACGTGCGTCCTGGGTCGCATGCGTGACGGTTCGGCAGCCTTCTGCGTCGACGTCGTGACCAGGCGATTGGCGGTCGTAGACGAGTTCGTCCGGGGAATCTGCCAGTTGAACCGTGGATGGTTCAGCTGCGCACTGAGGGTCGCTCGCCAGAAAACTTGCGGGATCGAGCGCGTTGCGGGAGAGATCGTCGGGGTCGCTCCATGGCTCGGCCAGCTGAACCAAGGGAGGTTCAGCTGTGCTGACACTGTCGGAGGCCTGCACTTCTGCAAGGACGTGCAGTCCTTCTTGATGCGCCGCTGGTCGCGCAGTATGGCTACCCGACGAGTTGTCAGTATCATGCGGCGGATGGTGATCACGAACGCCGTGTACGTCGAGCGACGAGCTAGACGTACACGCTGCATCGCATGCAGTCGAGGTCCAATTGGGCACGTTGGGCATGCATCGCGGCATGTCCATCGTGCCGCCTCGCGAATTGAAGGGTGTGCTCTCTTGAAGAGCGGGCTCGACCCCGGACAAGAAGGATGTCGAGATGGGTACGTCCATCAGGGGCGTACCTTCAGTTCTCGACCCTTCGTGCTGGTCGGTAGCGTGTACGTCGAGCATCAAGCTCGGCGTACTCGCTCTCCATGGATCGGTGATGGACAAATGGGACACGTTGGACGTGCACTGCTGCGCGTCCACTGTGTCGCTTTGCGAGATGGACGGTACGACTGCGAGGTCGTCCCGTAGCACAGTCGTGCTATCTTGCGGAGCGGAAGGTACGACTTCGCAGTCGTACCTGGTTCCGTGACCAGCGGTACGCTCGACGAACTCCGTGTTCATCGATACGCACGCTGGCGGGGGTACTGGCACAGGCGGAGGCGAGGTGGGTACGTCCAGCATGGGCGTACCTTCGACTTGCGAGTCTTCCTGCTCGCTTTCCCTGCTCGCCCCGCACCCTTCCTCCCTCTCTCCCTTCGTGCCTTCCTCGCACCCTTCTCGTTCCTTCGGGATTTCCTCGCCGCCTCCACGATCCGCGTTCCTCGTGGTCCGCTCGGTCTTGCAGCTCGGCGCTGGGCTTGAACGCGCAGTGTTCAAGTCCTGGGTCGCGCGGCTGGGTTGCGTGTCGCCAGAGCCGCGGTATTGGTTGCCAGAGTCAAGACGCGAGTCGAGAGGGGTGAGGTGAGGAGCCGGGGAGGGAGGAATTGGCGATCTGGTACCGTGAGGTACCAGGTCGTCGGTCGCCACTGACTGGACTGGCGGTAGGTCAGCCAGCCATTCGCGAACGCGAGTTCGCACTCGCGTTGGGGCCGCGCGCGTGTCTGGTTCGCCAGACGGGCGCTCGAGGTGGCTGCCCAGAGAGTGGTAGTGGTCGAGGACGTGGAGTCGGTGGTGGCGGTCGAGTGCAGTGCGGTGAGCGCTAGCACTCAGGGCGCTCGCCACGGACCCGTGACGCTCGACGCCCGTAGGGTCGAGCGCGTCGCGCGTCGCGTCGAGCAAGTTGCTCGACATGGCGCGCACGTCATTCGACAACGAATATATATTTTTTGTGTCGCGGCTCATCTCTGAACACGCGACGAGCGTATCTACACGCGTGGGCTCGTTCCCACTGCACACAGTACTACTGTAGTACTGTGTGCCTATGCCCTCCCGGGTGCTGATGCGAGTCAGCTCCTGGTGCTGCTCGTTCAATCCAGGCACGAGCTCGACTACGGCTACGTTGTCGAGCTCGGCGCGCTCACCACTCCTCAGAGTGGTGCCGAGCTTCATCGGCTGGGTCGAAGCAGGTGGAGAGTCGGTCTCCGGGCGGTTTTGAGCGGGCTCGACATTGGGCTCGAGCCGCTCAGTGCGCGGTGCCTGTTCGACCTCACGGTCGGACGGCGCCTGCTCTGTGAGGGCTCCGGCTGAGTCCTCGCGGTGAGAGGACTCAGTCCGGGTGGTCTTCGTGCGAGAAGACCGACTGCGGCTGCTGGCCTCGGACAGAGCGGCGTCGACCGTTGCCAGCAGTTCGGCCTCGAGTTGCTTGGATTCCTCGAGGGCTTTGTTGATCCGCTCTTGACTTGCGGCGAGCTTTGCTCGGACTTCCGCACGCAACGCCTTCAGCTTGCTGCGGGTTCCACTGTGGGACCCGCGGCTGCCTCGCGAAGGTGCGGACGGGGTGTTGGTCGACTCGGACATCTTGTCGAGTTGTCGAGTTGGCCAGAGGATGATCAAAGTAGCATAGAGTTTGTTGATGTCAAATTTCGAGGTTCGAGAGTTTGTTGCCTAGAGTAGATAGTCCCCAGAGAGATAGAAGCTTTTCTGGAGCGCAAAAAAGTGTGAGGCGCCTTACTCGTCGTGCCTCGTATGCGCTGCACCCAGTCTCTATTCAAGAGGTACTGTCTACAGATTGCATACAAAGGCGGTGACGAGGTAAAGGCTGAGGACTCGTAGGTGCACTGGCGCGCCATACGAGTCCTCGAGCAAACAAAGACAAACATATAAGGTAAGACATACCGTAACGGGAATATCCGTTACACCCGGTGCGCGTCCAGATTGTGATTTCTTGAGCGCTCTTTTGACCTCATCTTTATAGATTCCGGTTTGCAGGACGGTTAGATCCCCACCGTCTAGTGTCTGTCTAACCCCGGCCAGGATCCGCCTAATTTCCGCGGCTTGAAGGTCCGCTGAGAAGCCAGGTATGTCGACAGACTGAGCGCGCTCGTGGTAGTCCCTTGCTAGTTTCGCCATTTTGTTAGACCTGTTCACAAATTGTGGTGGGGTCGTTTCTGGAATCCGTAGGTTGTATATGATATCTCTCGGCTTCTTCTCGCGGTTGACTTCCGACCAGTATTTCGTCACCCGCTCGGCATTAAGGACGTATCTTGCGGTGGTCGTGAGCTTTGAGAGAGCGTGTCGCTTCTTTTCAAGGTCGCAAATTCGGTTATGGAGGACGGCCGAGTCGTTTTGTAGCTCGCTCGATGATTGGTATGTGTTCCGGCTTTCTATCTCTTGAACATGGTCGCGTAGTCTCTTCAGTTCGGTCTGCAATCTCGGGGATTTCTTTTTTAAGTGTTCTCTAGCGCGTTTCCGGACTTCCTCCTTGAACAGTCGATGAAGCCGTTGGATGGGTGAGCTGTGTAGGGCTGCTTCGTTGTTGCAGGCTGTCCTCATTTCCTTCATCACGCTTTTGCCTAGGGTCCTCATCTCATCCATGAATTCGTTATCCTCAATAAGATGTGTAGGCATCGACCATCTACCCTTGCCTATGAAGGGGGTGTTAGCGGTGTTGAGTTTGGTGCTGATGAGCCGGTGGTCTGTTTGTACAGCCGTGGTCTTGATGTCCCATGTATGCGAGGTGCGGACTAGGGATTCCGCCGCACATATGCGGTCAATTCTAGAACGCGATACGCTGCCTCGTTGCGGATATGAGTAGTCTTTCTTGTTCGGTTCTGATAGTCTCCACCCATTGTATAGGTCAAAGTACCTGATGAGGTCTCTTAAGGCGTCGACCGCGGGTGCGTAGTCTTCTTTTGCTGGCAGCCTGTCAATGGCTTCCTCGACCAGGTTGAAGTCTCCGGTCATGACGTCAGGTTTGTTGAACCGGTCTTTCTCAGCCATGCTTAGAAGGCGACGCCAAAAAGCTGCATTATCAGTCATTGAGTTAGGGGCATATACATTGAGGATCGTGATCGATCGCTCGGCGTGCCAGTGCATGGTCAGGGTTACCGCCCGGCCAGGAATTATTTCCTTGAAGACGACATTCGAAATGTCGACTATCTCTCGGTTTAGGACTACTGCCACCCCTTGGGAGGATGTCGTGGACTCTGAGCCCGAGTTCCAAATCCGGATTCGTCTCCCATAGAGACTCTGTATCGTATTTATGTGTGTTTCATCCAGGTGCGTCTCTTGGAGGCAGAGGACGCCCAGTTTCTCCTCTCGGAGGAGCTGGTTCACGGCATTCCATTTCTGGTCTCTAGGGCCGTTCAGGGAACCTCTACCGTTGAGGTTGAGGCTTCCGATATGTAGACTAGCTTTCGTCTTTTTCCCGGACGGGACAATTCGTCCCGCCCGTACGGGATGCTCTACTATCGGAGCATCCCTTCCAGGGTTGTTCGGTACTCGGCTCTCTGTGTTTCCCTGGGCACTGTTGGTCGGTGTGCACATACCACTGAGAGCAGCCCCGTCGCTGGGTTCCTCTACCCGGTCATTGATTTCAGCGCGGGCGGGGGACACGTTGGCCTCTCTTGGGCAGAGGAGAGTGGTGCCGGTTGTCGTGTAGTCATCCGTCGGAGTATTTAATGTGTAGTTTGTCGCCGTTGGTGTACGCGTCCTAGCTACAACGATCCACTAGGGGCGGGGAGCGCTCCTGGCTCCCTCAGGTGACATGCTGTCTAGGCAGCTCGGCCTCTCAGCCTGGGTAAGTCTAAGAGTACCCGTTGGTAGCAGTAGCATCGCTCAGCAGAGAAGTCCAAGCTTTCCTGTCCCGAGAACGGTCAGTAGATTTGGGCCCGGGTTCTCTGTGTGCGTTTTGGAAGGGTCAGGTAGAAAGGGTACACGTTGGTCTCACAGGGACGGTACGAGGTTAACCGTGGTAAGCGTATATATATTTCGGTGGAGAATACAAGATTTAACGGAGGTACCATTGTAAGGGCAAGAGGCGCGGGTCATCGAGGGGAGCTATATCGTTCATTGTATGCGTACGTGATCAGAGAGTCATAGGTATATCGGCAGCGGTGCGTAGACTCGGGGGATGGCTCAGGACGCCGAGCAAACTTGCGCGCTGCTGCTCGTTAGTTGGCGCTCCACCGCGACGACCACGGCCGTTTCCTCGTCCACGGCCGCCTCTGCCACCGCGTCCGCCTCTGCCTCCTCGGCCTTGTTGGTCCTGGTTCTGCGACCGGCGATCGGTTGCTAGGGCTTCACGGACGTCCGCAAGGGAGGGCCCATTCCATCCGGGGGTCGTCGGGACCGTGCATGCATGCGTGGGATGGTCTATAGAATGACAGAATAAGCAGTAGAAGACGCGGGTGACCAACTCGGGAGGGCCAGCATACGGGCTGCCGAACGTGAAGCCGCGTATGCGTTCGCGGAAGCAGAGCCATTCGGTAGCGTCGGCGGTCGGCGATTCCATGTAGAGGAACGCGATCGGTTCTTCCTCGTCGTCGCGCGAGTCCCGGATGGAGATCAACTTGACCCAGACCGAGTCTATGATGCAGCGATGTGCCTCCCCTATCGTGAGGTGACGCCATCTTCCGCCCGTACGGATGTCGATGGTTAGGAGTGCGCGAACGTATTGGTAGAGGTCAGGACTCATCATCCCCTTCTGGAACTCTCCTTCAGTCCATCTACCGTCGGCGGTACGCACAGCCGTTCAGGGTGCCGGAAGGAGGCTAGGAAGGTGGGTGGGACAGAGTCAGATGAGACGACGCCGAAAGTTCCCTCGGCGGTAGAGACCCATCCCTCGCGTAGCAAGCGGTCCCGTTGTTCAATGGTTAGGTTCCCGACGCGGTAGTACGTTGGGCTGGAGTTGGGCTTCGTAGGCGGCACGGCGGCGATAGGTTGGGTGATGCTAGCAGTCGGTATAGCGAGGGAGATACGTAGGATGTTGTCCGCAGTACAGAGTCTACCGAAGTTCCCTTTGTCGTGCGCTCCGCGCCCCGGGAAGTGGATGAAGACGTGGTGGTCCGTCGCCTTCCGCCATTCGTCTGCTTGCGAGGGCGCCACGTTCCGGTATGCCAGGTCAAAATCCGCGCCCTGGATGCGCGGCCAGCCTTCGGGAGGCGTGCGCGTCATCGTGATTGGTTGTGACGCTCCTGGTGCTGGCGCGAGGGGCTGTATGGGTCCTGCGGGAGCAGGGAAGTTCGGGAACGGGCCCGGGGCGTAATGGACGGGGTGCGGGTGGAGTACCGAGGGTGAGCGCGGCCTGCGGGGCCCGAAGCGAGCGTCTTCTTCCTCTCGTGTCTGGGCAGGCGGGGCGGGTGCGGGTGAGAGGGGAATGGGTCGGCTAGACACGGAGCGCGGCGCCCTACTGGCTGCCTCGATTTCCAGCATCTGTCGGCCTAATGCGTAGAGTGTGGGTGAGTTCGCGTCGCCCTGTCGTACAGCTATGTACGCACTCATATCGACATCTTCAGGTGTGGTGCTACGCGGGCCTGCCCTGCGCCGGGGAGGCTCACTGGACGTCTCGATCCTCGACGGACCCGCTTGCTCAGGTGCCGGCGGGTATGCAAAGGCGCTCGCATTCTCGTATAGATCTGTCCGTGGGATGAGGATTTGGGTAGAGTTACGCATTTGTAGCTACACACCTTCAACGTCGCCCTCGTGGAGGGCCGTGGTACGACTTAGGTATTGGTGCTCGCGACGGGAGTCGTCCGGGTAGATGATGCGTGTCGAGTAGGATCCGTCCGACGCTCGACGAGCGTAAGGAAAGCTCGGCCGGTCGTCGTCACGTCTCGTCGCGCCGGACTCATAGTCTAAACTGATGGGCCGCCCATAGATTTCAGGGTCCCGCATGTCGACGTCGGAGGTGGTGGTCGCCGGTGGGTCGTCGCGGTCGTCGTCGAGGCCCGGGGACGCCTCGTAGCGCGGGAAGCCCATCATTTCCCCGATGTCAACCACGTACCGAGTCTGCTTTTCGGGGTCAGTCGTCAAGGGTGCGTCTTGGGTGCGAGTCGTCGCTCCGGTCCCCGCATAGTCCCCGTCAACGTCCGTGGAGACCCGGCGCCGCTTGCGCATGTCGCTAGTCGAGCGCTGAGGAGGGTCAGGCGTCTGGACGACTGCAGCGGCTGGCACCACCGAGCTTGGCAGCCCCTTCCCTACACTCGCTGGTGCTTTGCCTGCGGCCTTCGCGCTCTTTTTCGATCGTTGCTTTTTGTTCTTTACCTTTGCCACTATCTGTTGCTTGTCAGAGCGGGTGCGTCGTAAGGCCAGAGCGTTCAGTTCGAGGTCTTCCTCCTCTTCGAAGGTACGTCAGTTGAGTCTCAGACGGCATGCGCAAAAAAAGGGGGCGCGGTATGCGTACCTTTTATTGTCACCTCAGTGGTCGTGGCGTCGACGTTTATGACCTCCGGTTGCATCTGGGTAGACTCCGCAGTGGGGGCCCCTCGCGTTCGGCCGCGTCGCTATGTTTCGTCGGTGCAGCGGCCTTCGCGTTCGCCTTCTTCAGTGCGAGGAGAGCCGGAGGCGTCGCAGGACGGGACGCCATACCTGCGTAGGAGACACCCGTAAGGCTCGGCGGCGAGGCGACTCTGGGGGAGTCCCAGGGGTTGGGGGTGCCAGAGGAGAGGGGCTCGGCGTTGACGCGTTGTTGGGGGACTTGACGAGGGAGGCGGCGCGCAGACGTTCGATGTAGGGATCAGGTAGGGTTTTACAATCGTCGGTCGCATTAGCAGTCCCATTGTTAGGAGTCAAGGTTGGGGAGACGGGGCGGGAAGGCTGGTGCATGATGGCAGAAAGTCGACAGGAGTTGTCAGATATCTGAGGATTCTGGGATGGCTGTGAGCGTAGCCCCAGGGTCCTTTTATCCTCATGGCGGGCTCATGGCGCATGCCGTTCTCGCAGTTGTCAGGATGCTGTGATGGTGAGGGAATGCCCATCTAGGGCTCCATTCTCGCGGTTGTCAGACTATTGGTTTGTCGTCTCCTCGTCTCGTAGGAGTTAGGACGGTGCGTCGCTAACCTACCATGGTTCTTTGGTCGGGTCCGTTTGACGTTCGTGTCAGCGCTCTCGTTTACGTTGTTTCGTTCCTGGCGGGCGCGATGAGTCGTTCCCGTGCGGTAGGCGGGAGGTTAGTGGTGGCGCTCTGTTTCACGGGGGCTCAGTGCCGGCATCGTTTCCGGGTGTCTTGCTTCCCTGAGGGCGTAGGAGGGGAAGGCCACATTAGCTAGGTCTCCGCCCGGTATGTTCATTGTCTGCAGGGAACTGGAGCGATGTCAGTCGACTGGAATACATTCTGTGGGTGTCCCTACCGCCCGGAGTGTGTTCTACTGATCTTTCCTTACTCATACAGCGCAGTAAATCTCTGTCACTTGCGTGTCGGACCATCTCTGTTTGCGGGCCGGGAGTGTTCTTTCGCTTTCAGTCGCGCTTCGTCTAGTCCAGGGTCCGCTCTTTATGGATAGATGTCGTATTTCCGCACCGGTGGAGGCTTGCATGGTGACGCAGCTCGTTGGTGCCTCGGCGACGTTCGCGTCGTGGGTTTTGTACGAGATATATTCGGCTTGCGTGGGATCGCGTGTTCTCTACCTAGGCGGGTGAGGGGATTATGTCCTGTTTCGGTACGTCCGGTCCAGAGTGGTGCTAGTCGCTCCGCTCGATTTTGACGGGTCTGCGATCTCCGCGGCGTCTGTATTTTGTTCGTTTGATCGTTTGATCGGCTTCTTAGAACGCGCTACTTGCTTGGTTGTGTGGTTTGGGCCGTCGTCTCCGCGGTCTCTTCCGGACAGCTAGTGCGCTTGGCGGTACCTGTCACCGGACTCCATCTATGACGTCGGTTTTTCAGCCTTTCGGGACGTCCGATTTCCTCCTCGTGCATGGGCTTCGCTTGTGCACAGAGAGTGTCCTCTTTCGTGTCGTTAGAGTCGGAACTTGTGTTGCGCTGTCGTGCTGCATGGTGGTGACGGCCTCGTGAGACGCGGTGTCCATCTATCCCGTACCTGGTAGTGTTAGCTCTATCAGAGTTTACTTAGTGTGAACGTATGTAACACGGCTGGGCGTGTGAGGATATGGCCGTGTAGTGCCTTATTCGTTGCGTGGTTCCTGTTCGCATTGGGACATCTTCTATCACAGCCTTTGCCTGGGCTCCGCGTTGGCGCTGTCTTTCAGCGTCCTGGCACTATGGCAGCTCGGCTAGTATGGTAGTGACAAGACATACCGGGTGATCCTAATAATTCTTTCACCCAGCATCTTCAGGGTCTTACCGGTCCTTCTTGGACTGAGTGCTTCATCTTATCTGAGTATAGTTATGCTGGGCAGGTTGCTGCTTCCCTCGTCGACGGCAGAGTTTTGCGATGTCGGGATGTTCATAGGCGCGCCATGATGTGTGGCGCATTGTGTGTGTCAGATCGTTCGGGGGAGTACTGTACATTAGTCAACTCTGATCGATTTCTATATTTGGGTCGCCCCGCGTGCGTCTGTCTCTCCGTGTCTACCGCGCTTTATCGGCCGGTAGGGTTCACAATGGCCCGTCATTTCATACACCTCCTTCCGCCGTGTTTCATGGGCGGTCGTCCTCGGAGTCGAACTCATACGGGCTTTCAGCGCTGTCGCATAATACGGGGTCGTGCGCGAGGAGGCGGTGGGGCGGCGGGTTATGCGGTAGAAAGGTATAGAGTTGGGTGTGGATATGACTCTCGTCACGTGTGAGTCTGGACCATGAGGTTGGGACCCGGATCGCGCATGCCGTTGGGCCGCCCGTGAGGAGCCACGTGATCCAATGACGTTGGATGTCCGTCGTGTTCTCGACCCGGCCGACACCGGTCCGTAGGTCTCCGGCGACGAGGATGATGGGCAGTCCTCTTTCGACCTGACAGACCGGGCGCTCTTCCACTACCCACGTTAAGACAGTTCCGTTCCTCTCTGGGGTCCCCTCCACTTGGATAGTAACTGCGATGGACTCGGGCATTGAGAGTTGCAGTGTGGGGAGAGATGGGGGAACGGCGTGGATGGTGAGAATGGATAAGAAGAAGGTGACCATGCTCTGAATTGGCGTAGTTTGGCCACAGGAGTTTCTTGGTGGTGTTGGGCCTCCCGCTTGGATGCTGTCGCCAGCCTTGTTGTGGGCGGCATGGTGTGTCGCGCTTGTTGGGCATACAGGTGAGGTTCAATTTATACAGACGGAAGAACGACGAGCGTTTACATTTTGAAGTCCTGATGCCAGTAACGGCATTTGATACGGTTCAAGCGGCCTAACGTAATTATTCATGGGGAAGCGCTCAGGGTACAGGGAGTGTGGGGGTGTGAAGGAACACATTCATTCTATGCTGGTAGAAAGAGCGGCAGGTATTGGGACGGAATGTCATTTCATCGTCTCGGAGGGATCCATCATTCCATCGAGGCTGACTTTGGGTTGAGGTGGCGTTGTGTTTGGTGGTATTTGCTAAGTGGCGCCCGTCTGGGCAGCGACCCGAGGGTCGCCGAGGAAAGGGGTATCATGGGCGTCTCGGTGGGCGTCTCAATGCGTGGTCAGGCGCCCTTGGACGCTGTGCGCAGCTCAGTGGTCGCTGTCTGCAGCGTAGGGGAACTGTGGGCTCGAATGGGAGCATGTATAGTCTCTCTGTCGGTGCTCTGGCACTGCCTGGGTAAGTCAGGGCATGGACGTCTCGGTTTAGCTCGACTTTTAGGGATGGATTGGGTTCTGTGACCCCGGATGAAGCAAATCTTCATCCCGGCTGTATCGCTGAACAGCGATGAACAGACCTTATAGCGCATGTTGGTTTCATCCCATAGGGACTACTCACCCCCCGGACCACGAGAAGGTCTGCGCAGGGCTCGTCGACGACGAGGCCCTCCCGGGGGGTGGCTGATTTTTTCATTCTTGGCTAGTATGCATTGTTGCTTTCATCTGTCTCGAATTTTATTTGTGCCGGGTTTTCATGAAATGACTCAGGCCTGACTCGGATCTGGTCGCGGATTACTTATACTGCGCAGGTGCACGAGACCTTGGTGTTCAGAACACGATCCTGGCCGGACTGATCATACCCGGGCCGTTCTTATGAGGCCGAGTCACCCGTAAGCACATCGCCAATCTCGCAGCTGTTCTCAGTTGCAGACCATACTTACCGTGCTCCCCACTTGTAGGAGACCACACAGTTAACCCGAGTTGCTCATGCGAACGACCATGACCGGTACACTGTCGATGTTCCGTGTGGAGGAACGCGATTATCCTCGACTACACGGTCTCCTCTCGCCATATCTCCCCCAATCTCTCACGATTCTGGGACATCACGAACAACATATAGATCAACTATCGAGCATGCCGATCTGGGCATCTTTCCCCATAACACAGCCGCCACCTGCGCTCTTCGCACTGTTCGTACTGGGTACACAGACCGCTGGGTACCAATCGCGATTGTTCTGTTCCGCCGAAACATTTCCTGATCAGCCTACACCGGAGCAGGAGGCTTTCGTCGCATCATTCATGGAGGCCAGTCTGCGCGCCGCATTTGAAGAGTTCGCAGAGACATGCCCAGTCGGAGCGATCGGTAAAGAATCTGGTCTCTTGGTCGGCTCCATCCACGAGAAATGGCACAGCTGTCTCCGTGCGCTCCCCTACGCAGTCAAGCATTCGCCGTGTCGCAAAGTGTTATTGCCTCCATCGGCAGCACGAGCATTCGCGGAGGGCGCGCGAGACGATCATCTACCCCCAGGGGCGCGAGTGACACGGCTGGAGAAAGGAGATGTGGCGATGATCTTGCAGTACAACAAGATCTCGCGCCCTACGGGATACGTAGAAAGCAGACTCGAACAATCGGTGTGCATTCGTGCGCCGGGTCCGGATGGCGAGGAGGTGCCTGTGGCCTGGATCATCGTGCATGCGGACTCGAGTCTCGGCGGACTCCATGTCATAGAGGCATTCCAGCGTCGCGGGCTCGGTAGCGAACTCATGCGTCGGATCGTTGCGCTGCGATTGGCAAGAGAAGAAGAGCGAGCTGCCAGGACCCCGGGGGGACCGAAGGACATGACGGACGGGTGGAATATGGTTGATGTGGTGGAGGGGAACGAGGAGGGAACTCGCTTCTACGGACGCTTGGAGGGATGGGAGCTGGCTTGGTTGACTTCTTGGATGACGTTCACCGCACCGCCATGAAGATGACAATGCGCAAGCCATGCCTTGGAATTCGAAGTTACAATCTTCTTCACTTTCCTAGTGCTGCGCAAGTCCTGCCAGTGGTGTTCACTGGGACACACTGGGATGACTATGACGAAACATCTGGTTGGGCAAGGGGTAGTAACCTAACTCGACGGACAGCTACATCTCATTCGTCCTTTACACGTCAAGTCTCAGGATACAGGCGAGGTGCGGCGAGCAAACATATGTACCCAAGTGTTTATAACCCGCGATCCTCAGTGCAGATGTGACGTCCGTCACGGAGCTCGCGGGGAGACTCCGACATCGAAGCTTCTGCCCATGGCTAGCATCCGCTGACGTGCTAAGACAATCAGCATGCACGGGCGTTGCGAAATGACTCATCTTTTGAGCTGAGCGCACGAGGATGCATAAAGCCGCCGCGAACAACGCTATGTGGTAGCTTCGCGTGACGCCCGATCAAGGATCGCCCAGCTGGTTTACTCATTTGGTGAGTACTGAGGGGCATGACCTACGCAATGAATGTTATATCTGAACATGAGATAGCCACGATAGTGTGAGTAGGACCCAGCACCCCATCTAACCAAAGGGACATGGCTACTCCCCTATTGTCACGCGTCAAGCAGCACGACTATCCTCGACTCTATTCTCTCCTCTCGCCTTACCTCCCGCACTCTCTGACAATCCTGGGGCCCTGCGAGCAACATCGGGACACATCGTTGAAGATACCCCTTTGGGCATCGTTCGCGGTGAACGAGGCACCGCCGGAGCTGTTTGCCCTGTTCACACTTGCTGGGCACCAAGCACGGTTCTTCTGCTCTGCAGATCCGTCGGACGAACCGCCCACATCGGAGCAAGAGATCTTTGTAGCGTCGTTTGTGGAGGCCTCCCTGCGCGCTGCATTCGACTACCTTGCAGAAACGGACGCAGTCGAAGATTTCGTGCGAGAATCCGCCCTCACTTTCGGGTCCATTCACGACAAGTGGTCCCGTTGTCTCCGCGCGCTCCCCTTCGCGGGACAGTACTTCCCGGTCCTCAAAGTGTTGTTACCACCTTCTGCGGCGAGACAATTCGCGGAGGGTGCGACGGACGACAAGCTACCTCCAGGTGCTCGCATGACGAGACTGGAGACGGGGGATCTAGAGATGGCAGTGAGCTACAACAAGGTCCAGCGACCTGTCAAGTACGTGGAAAGCCGGATAGACCAATCCGTATGCATTCGCGTACCGGGCCCAGATGGTGGAGAGGTCCCAGCCGGTTGGGTGCTCATTCATGCAGACTCCAGTCTGGGCCAGCTGCATGTCGTCGAAGCCTTCCAACATCGCGGGCTCGGTGGGCAACTCATGCGACGGATCGTTGCTCTGCGGCTGACAAGAGGAGGAAAGTGGACAGCGCGAGTATCGGCGGGAGAACCGGAGGACTTCACAAATGGATGGCAGATGCTCGATGTAGTGGCAGGAAACACGGAGGCAGCTGCGTTCTATGAACGACTCGAAGGATGGGAGAAGGCTTGGGTGACTGCTTGGATGAGATTCACTGCACCGAGTTGAAGAAGTCAATGATCATTGGACGAAAGTATGAGGAGCGACAGGCTTTCGGAGTTCGAACTTTGTAATGGTCGCTTGAGCTGCATCTAAACGTCACTCAGTCTAACAGTCCACACTTAGTCTACACCCGTCTTACTGCACCTCTATTCCAATCCATCGCCGATGGCACCCAAGAACAAAGCAAAAGCCGCAGGAGTCAGCGCCAGCTCATTCTTCGACCTCAAGGCAGAGCTCGCAAAGCAAGAGGAGGAGTTTGTGAAGAACAAGACGGCGGGGAAGGCCACCGCCCTCGTAGGTGGTGTGAAGCGGCCAGACAAGGTACGCTCCTACTCGCCTCCCTCCTCGCACTACAACCGTTTTTTTGACATCTTCCCGATACGTAGAAACCGACGGTATGGGGGAGGCAGAACGCGGGCGTGAAGGCGAGAGCGGCGCGGGACATCGAGCTGGAGGAGATCAGCAAGCCGACGTTGGACTCCGCGCGTGCGGCGCTCGAGAGGAAGGCATTGGTGTATGAGAAGCTGCGGAAGGGGAAGAGCGGCGGGCTGTCGGAGAAGCAGTATGAGTCTCTGCTGGTGGACGTGCGTGTGCTGTATTCTGTCTGCTGTGCGCCGCTCATCCGTCCCCGGACGCCACGATGCAGTTCGACCAGAAGGCGATGGACCATTACGAGTCGGATAGTGATGATGTGGACGAGTCGTTGACCGTGCCTAAGCCTCGAGAAGAGGTATGTTTGTTTTCGTTCGTTGCAGGCTTTCTAACGAGCCAGCAGGATGATCCAATCATTGAATACGAAGACGAGTTCGGTCGTGTACGGACAGGCCGTCGCTCTGAGATCCCGCGACACTTACTGCAACAACAAGAAACAGAGGCGGAGAAGGACGACGAGTATGTGTACCATCCCCACCACGCATACACCTCACTAACATCGCTCGTCCACCAGCCCCTACGTGATATGTACGCCACCCTCCCCCACCCTTCATTGCATCCACTAACCACCCCATAGACAACCCTGTCAACCACTTCCCCGTCTACGAGCCCTCCGAAGACCGGGTCGCCGCGATCGAGGCCGAGTACGCCGAGGAGAACAATCCGCTCGGCGTGCACTACGACGCGTCGCACGAGGTGCGCGCCAAAGGCGCGGGCTTCTACCAGTTCTCCGCAGACGAGGAGACGCGCCGCCAGCAGATGGAGGAGCTGCGCGCCTCGCGCGAGGAGACGGCGCGTACGAGGCAGGAGATGGGCGCGGCGGACGCGAAGCCGGGCGAGGTGGAGGGGATGCGTGAACACGGGGGAGACGGTGGTGATGCGGCGGCGGTGGGAAAGAGTCGGGCGATGGAGAAGCGGAAGCGGGAGTTGGAGGAGAGGAGGAAGATGTTGGACGCGAAGAGGCGGAAGGTCGCGGGTACTGGCGCGACCGTGCCGGGGAAGGAGGGGACACCCGCCGCTGAGAACGGTGCTGCGAAGCCAGAGACGAAGGGGGATACTGTTGCAGATCCTTTCGCAGCTCTAGAGGCTCAGCAGTCTCAGCAGTCGGCGAAGCACAAGGGAAAGGCGAAAGCGAAGTCATCAAATAACCCCATCGACGCTGCCGATGCTTTCCTCGCTCAGCTAGAGCACGATGTGCTCAAAGGCGCGAAGAAGTAACTCGCGAACGTACGTACTCCCCTCCTACAGATGACGGCGTGATTATATTGGTACAAGTCTAACACCATGTCCGTTATTCAGTCGTCATTGCTGTCGTGCCTCCTCGATGAGACGCTCTGGACACCGCACGCTGAACTGGCCTCCTTCCTGCCTGTACTCCACATACCACTCGCCCCTTCTCCACATCCTCCAGCGGACCTCGACGTCTCCGACTAACACATCCATCACGAACTGCTTCGCCTTCCCGAGGACTTCCAGCGCAGGTCGCGTCACCGTCCGATGGCCGCAGTTAATTCTGACCGCCTCCGGGACGCGCGAGCTCATCACGACCGCTACAAGCTCGTCAATCGTCGTGAGCCATGCCTTTATGTCTCCCTGCGCGGGGAAGATGATGGCCTCCCACTCATACACGGTGTCGCCGACGTACAGCATCAGCTCGTGCGCGTCCCAAAGCGCGATCTCGTCCGGCGTATGGCCGGGTGTATGCAGGAGTGTCATGCCCAGTGGAACACCGGATGCCGACGTCAGCATAGTGTTATGCGGAACCAAGACGGACGCGAACTGGGGTGTGCGGATGCCGAGGTCGGTGCATAGCGAGTGGGCGGGGAGGGCGGAACGCGAGACGAAGGCGGGTGCATAGGAAGACTGGAGGACCGGCGAGTCGCTCGCGAACTGCTCGACGCCCACTAGTCCGGGCAGCGTCAATACCGGCGGCATCACGCGACAAGGCAGCGACCTACGGATGTGGTCATAATGGCAGTGGCTGAGCGCGACGACGTAGCGCATCCGCGCGCGCTCGTTGAGCGGCCGCCCGCCGTTCTCTTCCACCGGCACGCTCTCGAGGAAGGCGCGCAGGCTCGTGATCTCGATGGTGCGGTCGTTCGACGCGCCGCCGCAGCCGGTGTCGAGAAGGAGGATCGTGTCGGCTTCGGCACGAGCTTGACGTAGATGTATGGGTGCTCGGAGTAGACGTCGTCTATCTCTACGATGAGGAAGGTCGAATGCGTGAGTCGGTACGCTTGAAGGCGCTCTTCTTTGGTTGTGGTTTTGCGAGCGCGGAGCGTATGGCGGGAGTTCCTCCGACTCTGCGCCGCTCTCGATGTCATCCAGAGGCCCGGCGTGTCCCCGTATTGGCAGGAAGACGAAGACGAGCACCGACACGCCCACGATCCACACTATGAACTCTGCTAAGGACAGCATTGCGGGGAGCTGCGGTGACTAGACGGGGGGAGGGCGGGTGCACGGGCGTGCAGCCTGGGCATCGCACGCAGTGTGTGGGGAGTAGGACGCCCGGGCTGTATCAAGCGCAGGCTATAAATACGGAGCGTCCGTTATGGGGCCTTTACAGGGATCAACGTGCGGTTGCACAGCTGCATGCCAAGTTTAAGCGACTCTTGCGGGGTATCGCTCGACTGAATGACTGCATCCTCCAGCCCTCTGATGCCATTGGCGCTGGATGGTGCATCGGTTCCTCTGAGTACTGGAGCTCCTTGGTGCGCATTCGAGCAATATATTGTGGACATGCACAGTATGCGGTGGCTGTTTGGGATTCAGCGACGAGCAGCCGGGATTCGCGCTCCTGTTCACACCGTTGGTATGCTTCTGACTTCTCTGCGAGCCTCGACCTCTCGCAAGTTGCGAGCAAACCACGTACCTCTTGGCCGCTGCTATCTGCACCCTACTACCGGCGCCGAGTCATGTCGAACCCTACATTGCTTTGACCGCCGTAGCGCGCCGGGCATGCGAATAGCAGCACGAACGTGCATCGGTCTGCGCGCCGGTGCCGGGCGCACACAAGTCGATATCAACCGCGGAGACTGTAGTAACCTCGTGGATCTCATCATCTCGGACACACGTCATCCCCCAGATACGGACAGATCACCGCGACCTCCTCCCCGCCCCTCAGCACGACCGCGCCGGGGTCGTCCACCATCGCTTCGTTCACGGCCCAGCTGCTATTCGCGAGGATGTCGCCAAGGTTCGTGTGGGGATGTCGGACGCAAGGAGTCCCGCGAGTCAGTGAGCGGCAGTTGTGCGGAGGGGAGCGGGATGGCTTCGGTGGTGAGCCCGTCGCGTGGAGGCCCGGCGAAGTAGAGGACGATGATCTCAGGTGGTGGAGGATGTGGGCTGGGGGTGGAGATGGGTGTGGACATGATGTTCGGGGGGACTGCCTGGGTGTCTAGATGTGGCGAAGTGAGTGAGTCAGTGGCATGAGTGGACTGACGGATGTGTGTGGTGGGCCAATGCTACTTACCACTGGTTTGGGTGCTTTGATGGGCAAGAATGGGGTGCGTGCTATACTTGTGGTGGGCGACTCGGAGAAAGTGCAGGGACGGCCAACGGCGGCATGCTCGTGATGATCCTGTCATAGTCGGAGATAGGCTCTGGCAAGTATGCTAGATGTCTCATCCAATGTGTCTATGCATGCATACATCCTGCATCATACAAGAATATGATTGTCTAAACTAGCAAAGTCTCATTCCCTGTACGAGTCTGCAGGGTCTATTCCATCACCAACCGGACCTCCTCACTGCAGCCCTCAGGACGCAGCTCCATGGTCCACCATATCGGCTTCGACGTCGTGATCGTGACAACCTTCTCCTCGGGCACGAGATGGTTCGACGTCGAGACGAGGCCGCCGAACGACGACTCGGCGTCCGCTGCCAGGGAAGCGACAGGTCAGCGCGCAAACTTTCGGCGACCGGCGAACGTGCGTACTAAGGTTCCAGCGCAAACCTGTGGTGGTGAGAACCGTCGAGTCTATCCCGACGGGGAGGAGCCCGCAGGTCGGCCCGAAGACGTCGTGGTTGACGGGTATGTGGTGGGTGCCCTGGGACGGGCGTTTGGTGTATGAGTGATAAGTGGTAAGTGGATGGGGATGCGTACCGAGTCTAGGACCCAGGCGAGGTTGTCATCCGTTGCCGCAAAGATGCGCATGCGTCCGCTGCGTCGCTTGTGCAGGAGCGAGAGCGTGTGGACTGTCTGGTCGAGTCTGCCTGACAGCCCGCCGAGGATGATCAGGTCAGACTGTCCGTGGAATCGTCATGAGTATATGCATGTTGAGTACTCCATTGCGCGTACCTGAATACCCTCGGCCGCATCCCTCTCCTCGAGCGCACGGATGCATTTCATCAGGTCCGTCGCGTACAGGTCAGGATCGTAGACCACCGGGACACCCTAACTTAGACATGAGAGGCGCATAATTCATAAATCAATCTCGTCATACTCCTAGAGATAGCTTACATGGGATGCATAATATTCTTTACATCATCCCTCAGCGAGTCGAGGTCACCTTGATGAGATTTGGCCGGTACCTGCGCCCTCCAACGTAAAGCATAAATCAAGCGAGTATGTACAGACTCACAAGCTTCTCTGGTCGTACCCCTACTGCCGCCCGCGTCAACTTCCGTCAGTACATCATACAGCCTGTTTCCCCCTCCGTCCGCACAGCAGCGCCATGAGCACGCGTTCCAGAGCCTCTGAGCAGAGGGAAAGAACAGGGCTGGTTCAAGATGATCAGGGCATACTGGCGGTCCACAACCAACGAGGGAGAAGGCTCGAAGAAGGGCAGCGACCACGAGATGGGAGCGGACATGGCATCCGAGGCTCGCGTACTAGTACTTACACGTTCGCTCGACGCTCTGGAGGCCGGCCGGCGCCAGAGCGCGTCGCGAGACGTCGCCTAATGAGACGCGCACGTGACCGCCTGTGTTTACTTGGACGCGTGTGGCGGCCGCGCGCTCTCCGTGTCCTTGGCACCGGTACCGCTCGAGTCCGCTCCTCAGTTTCCGCCTTGATTCCAACTGCCATCACAGCGTAGGCAGGAGATGCGACGAGATGGACAGGGTGCACGACTACTACCAGTCTTATTCGTGGCATCAGGTGCGTGTTGAGACTCGGCGAGAGTGATGTGTTTGACTGACTGGGGCGGGATTATTCAGTCTCATGATCAGGTCCGAGGTTTTCTGTGGGGATGGTATTGGCGTGTTCTGACTGCTCGTAGGCGACAGTATTGCTGTTGGTACCGTATGAGACGGCGGATGAGGATGTATCCGTGAGTTTGGTACGGACGGCGGTTGATTGACGTAACACAGTGCTTTAGGTCGTCATAGAGCGGAATTCCTTGTAGCAGGTGTGCGAGGGCAGCCACCAATCGTAAGGTGCATTCTATCGTAACTTGGTTGATGTTGCGCTGACTATGCCAGGGGAGACTGTACGGCAACGTAGACACAGCGAACTCGGTCTGGCAGCTCGAGCCACGGGCAGCGCGGCCTCCGCACGCGAACGCACCACGTCAACCACCTCTACCGCATCTGCATCCACACACTCCTCTTTGCGTCGTCTCGGACCCAGACATCTCCAGCAGCTTCGCGCCTCCCTCGAGAATGGCCTCCTCTCCGACGTCGACGACCCTATGTCCTCGCCCGCGCTCTCCTCACCCGTCTCTTCCTCTCTAGACGAGCACGGTTTCGTCTTCCCGCACCAACGCCGACAGCCACGCTCTAACCCCTCCTACCCTGCTTCCCCTGTCCCTTCGAGCCAGCATAACGTCCCGCTCAGTCTCACGTCCTCCTATTCTTCCGTCGAGTCACTGCATAGAGCCTCCGGGCGCCTGCTCACACTGCACCTAGAGAAGGCAGAGTCGGTCATCTGGCCGTCGCTCGTCGTTGGCCAGTTCCCGAGAGTCTGTCCCCGTCGGTAATCAACTCGTATCCATGGGCTCTTCTTCGGCGTTGACGGCGGAGTCGACGTACAATATGGACCCGACGAGCCTCGTCCTGATCGCTCTGGACCTGTACGACATCCGCGGGTCCCACGAAGAGGCGTTCGAATACTTCATGTAGGTCCCAATCTGTTTCTTCGCTGAGTACACTGCTGATGCTAGTACAGGCGTGCTTGGCACCAAGCCCGTGTGCCCTCTGCCACGATCCGCTTAGCGACGCACTATCTCCCTGTTCAATGTAGCATCTCAGATTCGGTGTCCGACACAACAGCATCCACTGAGTCTGTTGACTCTGCATCAGTTGATACCGAGCCAACCACACCTACGCCTTCGATAATCGAGACCTCATACATTTCACCACCAAGTCAGGGTACACCAGGGTACTACCTCGACCGTATAGGCGGCGCGCCAGGCCTCGCAGAGCTCTTCCTCTCCGCCGGGATCCTCCACCTCGAGGGTGCCGCCGCACCACTACTTTCGTCTGCCTACGCCGGGCTCTCCTCCCTGCGCACACCCCTCGTAGTCAGCGGCAGCACCGGCCGCGGGAACAGCTTCCCCGCCTCAAGCACAAGCCCCGGCGGTACCGAAGGCTGGCGGCGAGACCGCGAATGCGCGCGGCGGTACTTCGAACGCGCAAGGGCACTCGTGCCGTCGCTCGACGTACCGTTGCTCCCGCCCCAGAGCGACTCCGACGCGGGCTCAGGCATCGGGTCGGGCGCGGAGAACGGGGACAGGCGCAGCACAGGCTCGCGCTCGGGCCCAGCGTCGTCCAGTTCTGGGAGGCAAAGCGAGAAGGTGCGTCCGGAGGTGCCCTCGGCCGACCCGCCGCAGGCGCAGCCCAGGCGGCGGCGGAGAAAGGAGGCGTCGTCGGGCGACCTGTCCAGCTCGTTTATGGAGAACTACCGGTCGTCGGACACGGACGCGGGCGATGAGGATCGGACTTGGTATTTGTACGTCCCGGGGCTCGTGGCGCGGGCGCTGCGCTCCTGGTTGTCGGTTTCTTGTCTCTGTCGTCATGGAGGAAAAGCCAGGGAGGCTCTGAAGAAACTGTTCAATGCACGCTTAGACGACCAGACGAGACGAAAACGGTATACGTTACGACTCATTGCTTTGATTGCTGTCATTTTGGATTGCTCGCACGATGGTTTCGTTTGCCGCTGTACTGTATTTCTACGCCGCTATATACACCGAACAATATGTCATGCAAGATGCAAGATACTCATATGAAGGGGCCCAAGTCACGGAAAGAATAGCTACGAGATACTATATGTAAGCCAACGGCAGCGACATTGGTATAGACAGGCTGAGAAGCGGGCAAAACTGACAAACGAATGTGAGAGGTATGTGCGTACGGTAGGGTATGTACAAGAAGTCATATCTTGCAGTGAATATCAGTAGGGCGAGTGGTAAGTTGCGAATTGACGATGAGCAGATAAGTACGGATGTGATCTGTGAATACAACTGGGATGAGGATGTGTAATTAATAGCAAATAAAGGCACAACAAACGGTCAATCAAATGGCCTATACTAGAAATCAACGCTGTGAACTGGACAAGCTAGTAGCGATCTGCTTGAACCGCTCGCGCTCCGCCTGCGCGTACTGGTCGAGCATCCCATCGAATCTCAGCACCGACTCGCGCTTGGGCAGCCGGGGCTTGGATTCAGCACCCGTGGTGGCCGATCTCCGCCTATACTCCTGCTCTGGGGTCAAAGCGAAACTGTCCTCGCCATGGGAGGTAGCGATATCCCTGAACGGCAAGTGGGGAATGTCAGTGCTTTGGAGACCCTTCTTCTTGGACGTGAAGAAGCTCCGCCTGCGGGGCCGCGCTGGTATGTTGGAGATGGGCGTTTTCCGATCGACATCGCTGAGCTGCGCAGGCTCCTCCTGTCGCAGCGTCGGGGGGCGCAGCGAAGGCGTAGAGTGGTTACCCAGGCGCATGATGGACGACCGCGAGGATGGCGCAGTAGCACTACGCATGGTCTGCTGAGAGTCGCTTCGGGAGTGCGCGAATAGTGGACGCGGAGGCGACAACGCTTCGTTCTCTTCCTCCTCCTCTTCCCCTTCCTCTTCGTCATCGCTGCCGTCGGTAGATTCCAACTCATCATCCATTGTCGACTCAATCTTGTCAAAGAACTCTGCTGGCGAGGCAGGACCTGGCGCAGAATGGATGGCAGAAGGACAAACTCTTCCGGTATGCGGAGAGCGAGTGGCGAGGCATGACCTCGGCGATCTGCCAACGAGCGCGGTGAGGGGAACGCAGGGGAGTCGGGGGATGTCTCTGGGAGGGACCCAGATCCTATAGATCGGATCGAGAACGGACGGTCAGTGGCCGGCGGTGAATGTGTGTCTGGTGCAGGACGTAGTGGGGAGGGAGGGGTCCTGGGTGAGGCTCTGGAACGTGACCTAGGGGGCGGCGCCAATGCGGTTTGTGCTAACGACGAAATAGATGTTCGCGGCGGAGGTGGCAGAGCCTGGCCATAGGGTCTATCCACACTGACTGTAGGAGACACCGGGGACACACTCCGCGAGGTGCCGGAGCCTTCAGGCAAGTAACTTCTCCGCGACAGTACTGACGGCGACCGATAACTCCCGAAAATGGCATCATGGAACGCAGATGCGGTCGGGGAGTCGACAGAGTACTCTGACGTCGTTATTGACGGCCTGCCTTCCGTCACCATCGACACTGTCACAGATGGCCTGTTCTGCAATGTCTGGTCCACATCCGTATCCTCGGGCGTCACGTATGACAGGTCATCGGAGGCCCGCGAGTCCGAAGTCAGTTGACTCATGAAGCTGCGATAGGAGGAGTGGGAAGGGACTGCCTCCACGTTCAACATGACCGGTGATATCCGCCTCGACAACCTTTGTGCGATCGACATAGGTGACGCTGCACGGACATCCCCGATGTAGACAGCCTCGCGCGAATCGGAGAGCCCGGGGGAAGACATGACCTTCCGCAGACCTTGCAGCGACGGACGCGAAGGCCCAGGAGACTCGGGATCCGTGAGTTCGGGCTGGAAATGCGAGAACGTCGGGTTGGACCTCAGCCTGCGTGGAGGTGGCGGGAGGGCAGCAGTCCGAGCGGGGCTCTCTGCACGTCCAGGGGGCGAGCTCGAATGATGGCGTGGCGACCGTGGACCAGCTACACTCGATGTGCTGGAGAAGGTCGTCTGGCTGTTGGCACTCGAAGGCGCTCTCGCTTGTGTAGGCGTGGTCGGACTCTGTGGCTCATGGCCCTCCACAGCAACATGTAGATTCTCCAGGATCCGTTGCCCGATCCTCTGTTTGGGCGTCGAATGCGTCGCCTGGGAGAAGGATTCAGACGGCTGAGACGTATGCCCAGAGGAACCGCCCCGCGAGGGGCCAGAGAGTGACAGCACATGCGTGCCCTGAGAGAACGCCTCGGACGGTTGAGACGCATGCCCTGATGCACCACTCTTCGAAGGGTCTGTGATAGACCGGAACTGCGTGCCCTGAGAGAACGCGCTCGAAGGTTGCGACGTATGGCCTGAAGAACCGCTTCCGGAAGGACCGGTAGGGGAGGTCAGACCCGAGCGATCCGTGAATCCTGATGCGAAGGACATATCCCTCGAGTTGTTGAGCGAGTGGTGGACAGCCTCCGCGAGCAATGCCCTCCGCCAAGCGTCGTCCTCTGTGCTACTTGACCAAGCCCCAGGGCTAAGGGGTGGCAACTGCTCGGCAAGTACAGCAGCACCAAGCGCTCCAGACACGTTCACACCGTACACAGCCGATGCTTGCACTGCGAACGGATAGCCAGAGGACAGGGGCAGGTCAACCGCGTCTGTGGGATCGATGACATCCAGATGGGAGGCCTGAGGCCTGATGATGGACTGACTCCGCGTTTTGCGCACCGCTCGAGTCCTTAGATCTTGTTCGGCTTCTCTCGCTGCAGCTGCCAGGTCGTCCATCCGCTCGCGCACCACGACAACTCGACTAGTACTGGGAACGGCTACGTTGTGGATCGGAGTCTGAGGCAACGAGCGTGTATGCGGACGAGGTATGAAGCCTGACGCCGTTGTCGAGTCCGAGGTGGTACGAAGAATGGGTCCCGGCTGGTCCACAGCGGGGGGTGAGGAGACGGTCGGAGTCGTCAGCTTCGACCTTGCCTTTCCTAGGCGGAAGAAGTCCAAGAACGTAGCAGCAGATGGTTTAGGGGACACCTTCTGGCCGCCCGCAGTCTGAGGGTTCAACGACAACGGTGAAGGCTTCGAGTGCGCAGGAGGAAGAAAATAGCTGTTGTTAACCAGCAGGCGCAGCCTGTAGGAAACGTCATCCGCGTCGAACTCTGGTTTGTCCGGAGAAACAATCTCGGGCGCGACCGGTGTCAAACGCTCGCCGAAATCATCGTCAATAGAATACGGGAAGGACGAGTCCGTGAAGGAACCAGTGGTTGTTGACGCGGGGTATAGCGAGGAGGAAGACGTCGACACTATGGAGTCTCTTGGATTATGAGTGTCTGCTTTGCCTGTCCGCGCCTGAAATAACGGCCTCGCATCCTGCCCTGGCGTTTTGGGACTGGGTTCAGAGGACGAGTCAGACGCCACGTTCGCCCTAAAGGCTTGGCGGGGTAGACTCAACGCTCGCGACCGCGCTTTAATCTGTGGAATGTCAATTTCTACGCGAATACGACTCAGACCCTGTCATGAACGCACCCCTCTGATAGAGCCTCCTTCAGATCTCGTCTCCCATGGCTTCTTTGTTACCTCCACCGTCCCCACTGTCATGCTCCTGTCTCTCGCCTGTCGGGTCGCGTCTTGTGCTCTGTTTTCCGAACCTGCTGTCCGTGGACGATGTTCACCTGTTGGCGCGCTCAGTCGCGAAAGAGACGCCAACTCCTCTGGCTCCGCGTGCAACACGGCGGGAACAGGCGGCAAAACATCCCCGAGGATTGGAAACGAGTGTGCATCGTCGTCCACCGTGTTTTTGCGGCTCCCGGGCGGCCCCTGGCTCTTGCCCCGCTTGGCTGGTGGGAGGACCGATCTTGACCGCGTGGCCGTCCGACGCCTTAACGACGCGCCCCCCGAACTCGCCGTACTCGCTATTGAATTCGTGCGTACCGAGGATGGCCTGTCATGGGGAATGGTGGGGACGACGGCTGTCGTCGAGGCCATGCAGACAGCGGACGGTGCATGCAACGAAGGCGAAGGAGAGCTCGTCGCCGAGTCTGGCGGTGGGTGGTGTGCTAAGTCGGCTAAGTGACAGTCGTAGGACGTCTCGACTTTTCCCACACTCAAAATCGGCTGGTCCCGAGGTGATCCACGGCCGCTTCCAAATCCGTCAATCGAACCAGCTCGCCTGCGCGTGGCTGAGGCCGACGCGAGTCCGTCACGCGACGGTCGCGCGTCGTCTTCTCCCTGACCATGGCCATCGTCGACAGTGAGCACTTGCCATCCTCTCTTCTGCACCGTAGCGTATACAACCACCCACAGGCTTGCTTGGACTGCTCCCGAAAGCAGAGGGATGGCTGCCCACATGGCAACTCATTGTCGCTGTGATGGCCCTGTTCAACACCGCACAGAACTTTGCCACCATTAAGCTGACACGTAGAATATACAACACAGCCTCGCAACCAGGTATGAATGTTTTGCATCAGCCTCACTTACCCACTGATCCTACCGGTTGCAGTGACCCCTCTCCAGGCAAGGACATTTGCTATTTGGACACTTACCTCGGCCGCCATACGTTTCTACGCAGCGTACTATATCAATGTGAAGCCGTGAGTAACTCTCATTTTGCGATGCTGCTCTCCCAGATATGCACAGCCTTACCTCATAAATCAGGGTATATGATCTCGCTCTGTTCAGCTACCTCTTCGCATTCGGCCATTTTGGTTCGGAGATTTGTTTCTTCGGTACCGCAAAATTGACTGGTCCAGTCCTGAGCACGGTGATCGTGTCAAGTAAGTAGTGTATCCATCTCCATGGATGTTTATTTACTCAGGTGCCTCTGGTCCACCGTACAGCCTTCTCTTTGGCGTGGATGTTGAACCAATACGATTTCTACGTTCGCGCCTAACATCAAAACCCAGATTCAACGGGGAGTCTTCTTGTTGCTCTCGTCTTTTTGGATGGCTTTGCTCTACTGTAAGGTTGCACTAGTATCTTGTTGTCGTATATCCGTGGTCGTAACCTTGGGCTTCAAGCAATCTCCTGGTGTCTCACATCACTCGGGCTACTTCCAGAAGAGCGTCACAAGTGTCCTGGTAGCAGGTGCGTCATTGCCATATACTGCAACGCTCACCTCCGCGTCGAAGATGCTTCAGATGCAACTTGCCTCGAGTTGGGGGCACGGCGTGCTCGCAATTACATATTCGCTGTTGCTACCGAGAGCACGGTGCGTCCGCTGTTTTTCCACTGCCTTGTTGTGTTCGCCAGGCCGAGACCACACCGCTACGCCCGCTGGCCCGAAGGTCCGACGACCGTTGTGCGACACGGGGAGAGCGGCCGTCCCCTGAGGAGCACACTCAGGAGATGCATGTGGTCATGTCAGTTTCTCCTCGGAGCTCATGCATCATTTGTCTCGGCCATTTGGACGCTGGTATTCCTGCCCCGAGCGTTCTGTGTCAATGCTTTGGTACAGGCGAACGCGAGATTCGCCTTGATGCGCGCGAAAGAGCGTGACTGCGCAAGGATTGGGTGCTCTGCAGATATCTGGCGAGCGCAGGGATTGTCTAGAACGTGGCTAGGCGGAACACGGTCGTGGGGGGCTTCCCAGACACCTGATGCCGGTCTACGCCAGACGACCTCATCCGGGACCCCTTCTAGAGAATGGCGGGATCAGTGGAGCCGCTTATTTGGCGTCTGTACGCTCGAGCGTGCGTGCATTCGTGGGATTCATTTTATCTGTCTTCTCGGGAAGTGATCGCGCGCAAGGGGTTTCCATCGATGAAGTGACACCTCTTACTTCCCAGCTCACTTGCCGCATGGGGCCCTCGTCTTAATGATGCTGGATGCTATGTCTTACCGCTTGAGAGGCATCCGCACAGCTCGAGGACGTTCTTTCAAGGAGCATGTGACAGAGTAAATATGAGGGAAGTATGCAGCGAAGTAACGGTTCACGGTTCCCCCGGGCCAGGACAAACGACGCGAGAGTAGCACGGCAAGCTGGTCGAAAATCTTTGTCTCGGAGTCAAGCATGCTCACGGTGGTTAGGAGCGCGAACCGTCGTCTCAACCGCAGGGAGAGGAAATACATACATAGCGGACGGAGAACCTCGAGAATTGCGCGAGAGGACCCTCAGTCGTCGCGGTCTCGCGTCGTTTGTTCTGCATCTTGCGAACGTAGTTCTGCCGGCTCACAAAACGTAATAGGTTTCACGACCTGGGGAGATGTCTCACCAGCTACGAACCCTTCTTACCGGACGTGCATGCGCGGGCCAACGTGCTTGCAGCTGGAGCATTATACGCCCAATCAGCGACCAACGTTGTGTAGTGCATGCCTCTACGACACGCCTCCACGAGCGCGTTACTTGTAATTCACGAAGAGGCGCTGTGGCGAATGGTCAGGTCAAACAGCCGGTCGCAAGGCCATGCTGCCAGAAAGTCAGCAGACAGAAGCGCCTTGTGTTGAAGCAAGTCAGGTGAAGAAGCCTGGTCGTCACGATGCCCCGCTTGAAACCGCTCGCGTAGGTATGCTTTTGCCTCGCAAGGCCCAATGAGCGTAACGCTTCATCCATGACGAACGATGTATACAGTGCTTCTGACGCTGGTACGCCTCAATGCTATACACTCACGCAACTCACCCACGTTGTGCGGAGAAGCACTCGTATACAGTGGTCGCAATGGACCCAGTCATGTCCGTCGGACCTCGGTCTAGTCCATTATAGTGGATCCGGAGCTGGGGAATGTCGTGATTGAAAATTTAAAAAATAACCTTTGTATCTCTTCTCGCGGATGCATCTTTCTGTACTGGTGGGGTCTCGTCGACCGCTGGGAATATGTGTTGTGGCGTCATTTTGCGTCCTTGTGTTCATGATCTGCAATGCCTGCAGCTGCCGATTTGCATAGGAGCCCAGTAGGAAGTCATAGCGCAGAACGTTGGTCGCAATCCGTACGCGCTCGTGCTTTCCGTTCCGCCGCATTCGCAAGCACGTTCGCATCATTTTGCTCAGAACGCAGGAATTTTTGCACGAGTGCGAGAAGCAGTGATCTACAATATTCTGGCTGGAATAGTGGCGAGCGTGGCATGTAGCCGACGCGAGAGGCGCCGAGCCGAGCCACAGGGGCGCGTGCGCGATCACGCCGATGACTGCGAAATGTTGCCAAAGGCGCGTTCCAGCTCAGCTGCCTGACCTATACCCCGGTGACCTCCACCTTTGTTCCTGCCTATAAAAGCACCCCGGACCATGCCTCGGCCCTGCCGTCCATGCTGGTCTTCACCTCGCATTGAATACCCGTCCGCACAAACAGCACACACTCTATTCACCGTCCACTAACCGTGCGGCATACCCTAGAATGGCCTCGGAATCTCGCTCACTCGGCGAATACCCGCCGGAGCTGTTTTCTGTCATTTCTGCTCACGTCTACGCTGCTGGCTGCCCCCCTCCGACGCCCTCCCTCGACCCTGTTCTGCATACCGAAGGTGATGTACCGACTACCCTTCCGTCTTCATACCCTCCTGCGTACTGGGCGGAGTCCGTCTCCAAGCGTACGCTAAAAAATCTCTGCCTCGTGAGCCATGCATGGTACGAGGCTGCGAAGCCGTGGCTATGGCGCAAGGTTGAAGTCAGCCTGCCTCGCAACTGGCTCGCCCTTGTGGACGAGATCGCGGGGGGCGAAGGCGAGGATTCGGAGCAGGAGCAGACCGCACTCATCCTTGGGCAGACTATCCACGCGGCGGAGACAGCCGCCCTCGTGCATGAAAGCACGGACAAGGTATCCGCTCTCGAGCTGCACGCAAATGTTCTCCGCAGGCTCAGCACTCCGGACGGATCTATCCCGCCGAATTGCTCAGTCCCCTCGCCAGTCGCGAGCCTAGCCCGAGGCGCCTGCGACAGAAGAGCAAAAGTCCGCCACGATGGAAACTCATCCGCTCATCAGTGATGTCGTGCGCAACGTTATGGAGCACGAAAATCCTGGCATGTACGGTAGGCATTCTCGCTACGTGAAATTGATGCACAGGCTGATTGTTTTCGGTGTAGTCCCGTCTCTAGAGATTTCTCACGTCGGCCGTTATGTGCGACATCTCGATTTCAACCACTTCCGCACCATCGGCATGAGGCGCTCTGTAGAGGAAGGCGTCAACAACCGTTTCGTGACCGGCGAAGACTAGAATCCGTTCTCAAGGTCAGTCGACGCATGTGCGAATGGAAGTCATGATTCTGATGTAAGTTTCCGTAGGAAATGCCGAGCCTCCTGGCCTTTGGCGCGACCGAGTACATGGACGGAGCGCTCACGTTCTCTGTGTTGAAGGAGCTCCTCTTGAGAGGGTCGGCGTCTCGCGGCGGGGCAGGCCATCACGAGGGCGCGACCTCGTCATCTTTGACCCGACGATTCGGAGGAAGAGGAGCGCGAACGGCGACGCGAATGCAAGGAGCTGGAGGCTATCGACCTCACCGGTTGCATCAGCGCCGTATTTGTCAACGCTCTTACCAGTTCGTCACCGGCATCTGCTCGAAGGCTCAGAGGGCCGGCGAGTGACAGTGAGGACGAAGAGTCCGCGAACGGGGCCGCCCAAGAGCCGTAACGCTATGCGAGCCTCTCATCTTCCTGGGTTGCAGCGGCTCGGCCTGCGCGGTGTCAAGTCCATCCAGCCACACATTTGCATCCGTTGTGCTGGCGTTCCCGTCCTCACGCACCTCGATCTCTCTTGCACTCGCATCACTCCCGACCTACTTATCATGCTCGGGACATCCACCACGATTCACCTGCAGTCGCTCTCACTGGAGCGATGCAACTGGCTCACGGGCGAGAGTATCCGCCACTTCCTCGTACACGCCCCTTGCACGAGCGATATCCGCCAACTCAGTTTGTACGGCGATCCGACGTGGCCCTCCCCGCTCTCCGTCGAAGACCTGGACGACGTTCTCGCGAACGCTCCCTGCTTCACTAGCGGCAAGTTGGTCTACCTCGATCTCTCGAGTGCGCCGTTGACTCGTGCACACCTGCGCGACGTCGCTCCCCAGCCGAATCTCCGCTCGCTTGGCCTGTCTTACATGCGCGAGCTCGAGCTCGGTGTGGTGGCGGACTTTGTTAAAACAAAGGCGCCCAACGTGGAGGTACTCACCCTCGTGGCGAGCACGCCCGAGCTCGGGTATGGCTCACAGCGTGTGCCGGTGCGCCAAGTACCCATCACGCTGCACGCGCAGATCATCCGACCGCTGTGCACGCCACCTTTCTCGTTCAGCCTGAATCCGAGCAAGAGAAAGGCGGTCGAGCCACCAACACGTCTGCGCGTCATCGAGCTCGCGGCGTCGCTGCTCGCTAGTCTCGGCTCAGGCGCCAGCTCGTGGCGGGTTGTCAAGAGCAAGGGCGGCAGGGCTTGGTACGTCGACGTGGCGAGTGGTTGGGTGGCGGAACTCGGCGGCGAAAACGACGCTAGCGTCCTGAAGAGGGACCTACCGTCTGGGCACCCGTGGCGACTTGCTCTCGAACGTTTGTCAGACGCTAATGGAAACGTCAGCAGTGGCATAGGGTGGCACTCCCGGAAGTTGGAGGTCAGTACAATCTGGTACCGACAGCTGTGCGGCGTGCTGACTTGTTCTTCTTGTGTGTACTAGGTGCTGCACGGCCATGGACTTCTCGGGCGGGAAGCAGGGCTGTACGGCGCAGTATCCTTCGCTTATCAGGGGTAGGGACAGTGCCTGCCTGCGGTTCTTCGGTCAAAACATTTCATCCCAGAACGTCCGGACACCTTATTGTCGGCGACCTTGTGGAACGGTCGTGTTGTTCTCGGTGGCACGGCCGTTTCCATGGCGGTTCTTGTGTACGTTGGTACGTTAGGACGGAACCGTGGGGACATTCTGGAATTGTTATCACGACAGGCTGAGGCCGTGTCAGTAGTACGACCGTTAGCCAGAAGCTGAACATATTACTACCGCCCGGAGTCACCGATAAAAGTCCTTGTAATTGCAACATACGTATACCCTGACTTATGCAACATTTGTAACATACAGTGTACTTTTTTTTTTTTTTTGATTCCTTTTATTGTCCGCGAGGGCCTAGCCCTATGTAGACAAGACTCTGGCTCTACGAGTAAGTACGGGTATGTTCTATAAGGATCAGGCTGAGCATGAGCTCATCGCCGAAGCGAGAGCTTGAGGTTGTAAAATAGGAGAGTGGAGTGGAGTGGGGTGTCGAGGCAGTGACCGTAGCAGTAGTGTGTATGTACAGTAGCAGAAGACGCGGGCGCAATGAGATCGGCGGGGTTGGGTCTATATACGAGTTGAGTCTATGTATGAAGGAAGTGGACTCCCGCCCGGGAGACGACACGCGTTCGATATGGCTAACAGACTGGACGAGCGGTCTGGCTCAAAGCGGGGCGCGAACGAGGTATACAGTGTACTATAGCCTGTACATGCATGTCTAGATATGGGGATTCTCGGAATGTGTGGTTTGGATGTCTTAGTTACTCAGCGATTCGAACTCGGCTCAGCGCGATCAGTGATAGACCGCACCCGATGAGATCTGAGTATGTTTGTGACGAGTGCGGAGGCGCCTGAGCCTCGCCTGAGCGCTAAGCCTGCATCGGACTCCTCCTCCTCCTCCTCGTCGATATCGCTCTACAATCGCTTGCTCGTACTTCTGTTACTTACCGAATGTCAATCAGACTGAACCATCGATGTTCAATGGCTAACAAGCTTTGCACATGGCATATGCATCTCTCGGGATATCATCGCATGAAGGAAGCACGATGGCGATTCTGACTCCGAGTCAGTCTTGTACGACCTGACTCAAAGCTTCCTTGCTTTGCAGAGGTACGTGTTCCACTATAGTGCATCCAATACCTACCGACTACTTGCGCCAGCGATTCGTACTGCCTCATGTTACAAGATTGCCCTCATCATTCAAGCGTTCGCCTAAGCAATGTCTGTATAACCGCGAAGTTGAGCCACAACTCAGAGAAGAATGGACAGGCTCAGCATCTGTGCTCACTACTGCTTTTTCATGTAAGGAAGTGACTTGTTCTTCAGACGCACGTCGCAGGCTGTGTTCGAGTCAATAGAGACCTTTCGGGAAGCCATCGCCATATCCGTAGAACAATGGTCACTAGCCTAGGATGCGCTCAGCGCTGGCAGTGCGGCATAAACAAGCAGCCTGGACGTGGCGCCTCAGAGTATGTTCTTCTGAAATGCAGAGTACTTCAGTTGCAGAACAAAGGTCCGCACTTTGCGGATTGGGTGGGTTGGACCGCACGGTGCCGCAAGTCGGAGTCGATGCGGTGAACAGTCGTCGTGCTAGTGGCGCAGTTTCTGTACCACAGGAATGCAAGCGTGTGTAGAGGATGTCGTTCTCGGGTGCGCCGACCATTTGCTAGTGTTCCGCGAAGTGATACGAAGCAGCGAAGGAAACAGTCGCCATACGGAGTAAGCATAACGCCCACTGCGTTGCTCGTTGTAAATGACGTATCTGCCGTTACATAGATGTCAAGGAGTCGCATTGGAAACTCTACTCTTGCTTACGCGAACATGCTGTATCTGGGTTCAGTCACTGTGAGCCGCGTGCCGCAGGCCGAGAAGCCTTTTTACGGCCCCATCCCCTTTTCGTTCTCCCGGTATGACCTCACGAAGAACTCATGTCGGCGCGGTATCTCTTCAATTTCAAACAGGGAACTGCGCATGTGTATCTCGATTCTGCCCTCGCAATGGCGATGCATCACTTGCAATTGGATTCATATAATCGCTTTCACCGTGCAGAAAACGTGAAGGACATTTAACTCACGATGCCTTCGTTTTTAGGAGCTAGATGCTGAAAAATCTCCATGTTCCGGTCGAAATACATGTAACGTACTTCCTTTGAGGTCGGGTCCACGACGTAAGTATGCACTGCATGCCGGCTTGTAGTTGTTCCTTATACATTGACCTCATGATGATCTCAACCGCATCTCGTTAGGTGAGTGAGTTGTGCTCTGCTTCCTTGCCCTCCTGATGACCGGTTCTTCTCACGGCAGGCAGTGTACCCCTCAGCCAACTGGGCTCAATGGCGGGTCGGGGTCAATCTCGCCAGATGCTTCCCTGGGCTGAGGCCGAAGCATAGCCTGACGCTGATACGCCCGTCCCCGGCGCAACATGCATGAAGCCGCCGGCCTCAAACCATACCTTTCGGACTTTCTTGGGCGGTGGTATCATTGCCGCGCCATGCGTCATGGGTATGTAGAATGCGAAGATCGGATACCTTGAAGGGATCTGCAAGGCCTTACGGGCTGAATTTTCTTCAGGAGTCGACCAGAACATTCTGCTGTGCGAATGCACAGCAGAACATGCCTTTCCATCACGGTAAGACATCTACACTGTGCACTCTTGGCTTGATATACTGAACTGATGAACCTTAGCACAGTACTGATGCCATTCTCTGGCTCACTTGATGTTGAAGCAAGGACTGTCCTCGTATCAGCGATATCATGTGAACATCACGAGGAACTATCTGCAACTCGCATTTACACATGAGAGCACAGCTGCAGGCTGTCGTACTCTGTATCCACGACCTTGGCTTGGGACATCGCCATAGCTCACCGAATACCCGTCACATTCCGATTTTTTGCCTATGGCATCACCGCGATACGTTCTATCTCCGTCTTACGCAGTGACATTCCGGATCCTTCCATAGATCGTCGACCCTGCTGCAAATCGCGTGTAAGTAGCTGCGATCCTAGTACAGCTCAATAATTCATCCTGCACGCGTCATTTCGCTCGGCCCGCGATAGAGTCGTATCTCGGACAATACGCTAATGGGCATGCCGTTCACCGACGTGTCGGTGAGAGCCATGTAGTAATAAATATGTGACCGCCGGAGGCGAGGACATTCTGACGTGCATCATTTCTCCCGGCACAGCTTCTGCCCTTGCCAGTGAACGCGATTCCACGCGGTCATATCCGACACCTAATGGATCGTCGTACACGCATCGGGTGTTCACTACTTAGTAACAGGATAAATGATCTACTGTACTTGTCTCGAACGAGGCACCGACTCACGTAGAAGTACGAAGCACCGCATGCCTTCAAGCTATAGACACGTTCTTTCCGTTTTTGGATGATACATCCCGTGCTGGTCCCTACACGGAGAAGCAAGTTTCACTCGATGTCAGCAATGGCGATGCATGAACCCGAGAGAAACGTGTCTCAACCACGGACGGCGCCGAACAGAGCTTCCATAGGCGTAGCGACTCATTGATATCTTGCCGGCGCAGTGGCGCGCGCTCTTGAAGCGATGCCGTAGACGTCCGAGAAGGCCACGGGCTCTCTGAATGCTTGCAGACCCTGAGACCTGAGTAATTCCTCGCCGCTGTGCGAAACTGAAATCCCAGCCTTGAAGGCTACGCGGACCAAGCCCAAGGCCAAAGCGAGAGAATCGTTTAGTACACAGGCTTCGACCGTGGCACACAGCCTTTGGCCTCGAAGCGTACGGTTCCAAACTTCTATCTAGGCATTATCCGTGAGCTTGTCCATTCTCGCTGACTCCGTGCTCTAGCGTAGATAGTGCAACACGCACATGACCTACACTGTAGCACTATTCAACCTAGATCCCGCGATTCATGACTCTACCTCAAGCTAAGTTATCTGTAACGCAACCACAGCAGAAGCACCGAAGACTGATCCACAGTACGTTCAAGCGGCCCGGATCCGGATATTGTAGCCCTGCGCGACGACTGTAGGCTTCCAAGTACCTGATTAGCCAATGACGACGAGGCATGGAAGCAGAACGGAATGATCCCGGAGTGGGCATCCTCGATCGAGGGGCCCTACGCATCCTAATCTGATCCGTTACCTGCTCGTGCGATGGCCTATATGGGTGGAAATGGGCGTGCGGTGCTCGTGTCTGGCAGACACGAGTATCTCGTCGTCCAGGGCAGGTTCCAGCTGGGAGCGTCGAGTCGTCGCCGAGAACGTAGCCCAGAGATCATCTCCGGCGGCCTGGTGTATGTAGGCAGGAGTCGTGTATTCCCTGGCAGTTGCAGCACTGCAAGTGGCGATCCGACATTCGTGCGTGGAACGCACGCCTCGGATGCATCTAGAACCAGTCCGGGATGACGAGGTGTTGCATAGACAGAATCTCTTGGGCCATGGCGCGTGTCGTCGGGCGGGTATTTTGGTGCTATGGCGCACAGACGGTATATATCGCGCGGTGTGCACGTTGCTCACGCTGTAATGCTGATCTTTGCACTGACCTGAGATGAACAATCGTGCAGGGAGTACGCGAGATGCATATTTGCCTGCCAGTGCTGCGCCGGGACGGGGACTTACCGTGAGCTTGCGCGCGAGTCGGGCCATCTGGCGCGGCGCACGCGGTGAACAGCAGGCACCGGTGGGTGAATGCTGCCCACTGCGCATAACTAAGGCCATACGACAGCGATGTGAGCCTGTGTAATCTGCGCCGAGCATGCTATGTCTAAGTGTACAGTGCACAGGGGGCGCAGCTGTTCTTAGTTGAAGCTGTTAAACGTTAATTGCCGAATTCGGCGAGGCTGTGCGGTTAATGGATCGTGGGCGGCTATCGGCTACGTCGCCACAGTTGCAGGCTTGGGACGAGCGGCGAGAGACCGTTGGTGCCGCAATTGCTTGGCGCACTACATAACACACAGCCTGCATTCGCATGCTTCCGACGCTCCTTTTCCCCTCAGGACGCTCCCTTCTTCTCCATCTCAGCATCCCCCAGTTTCACGAACCTTTTGTGTCTATACTCGCTTTGTTCGACGGAGGCTGTGAGCGCTCGAGTACAGCCCGCGCAGTCGAACCGTATCCTCATAAAGGCCGCTTTGACAGGTACCTGGGTCAGGACACATATCACAGCCTCTCACAGAGCGTCCAGAAGCCTGCGGTATTATTCAGGTGCGCATCACGCGCAGAACCTTCACGGAACAACGATTTGAACCACACAATCCAGACAGTAGTGCAACAGATCTCGAGGCACTGCAAGCACTCACAAGTGTCAACTCGACATCTTTTGCGTCCCGTATAAATCGGTCCGTCCACGATGGGTATGTAGCCAGCACTCCCTTTGCGATACCCGATAACTGACGCCATACCCACGCACTCCGTCAACGACCTTGCAGCCAGCACAGAAAGTCACAACCTCCACTCAGCTGAAGCCCAGACACTGGTGGCAAGCACGACCTTACCGCCGTCTCCTCTGGTTCACCGTCGCGCCACATTCGACGTCACCGATTCCCGTCGGCAGTCAACCCGCTCCCAAGCCAATTCTAAACGGGCATCTACCCTGCCGAACCTCGCACGAATAACCTCACGAATGTCTATCATCAAGGAGCGGTTCAATCAACAGCTGGAGCCAGCTCGCCCGCTAGGAACAGCACCGGGAGTATGGCAAGGGATCAAAGCAATCATCGTGATGTCATGTAGGTTGAAATTCGAGCAGCGTCTGGTGGGCATGCTGACATGGAGACGACAGGGTTGAACGTCCTCTTGGTCTGTATTCCAGTATCTGTACGTGCCCCATTTTCCACCTGGTGGCGTTCATTGCTCACCGTTCCACCCTGCTCCACCACTTAGTGGGCACTCAATTTCGCGCTTCCGCATACGGACTCCAACGATACCCTGATTTTCATATGTGAGTATTGAGGACAGCATGCGCCTCACGTGTGCTTAATATGTCTCTTAGTTTCATTCCTCTCTATCATCCCACTGGCAAAGCTCCTAGCATTCGCCACGGACGAGCTGTCATTGCGGGTAGGACAAACGCTGGCTGGACTGCTCAACGCCACACTCGTAGGCATCCGTTCCTGTTGTATCGCTATTCACCTACTGACAGTTGTCTTCAGGGCAATGCGTGCGTATCTATCTGTTATGCCCCTAGTACAGTGTCTTATGTCCACCCGACAGCGTGGAACTCATTGTAGCGGTAAGTGGCCGGTGGACCTATTGACCACCTTCTGTGGCTCACAATGAACTAGATCATAGCGCTCATCCACTGCGAGCTGCAAGTCGTCCAATCGTCATGTACGTTATCGCTGTCACTTTTGGCGCTGTTCCCCCACATACCACGCGCCTCCTGAACTCAATCACCTCGTTCGATCGATCTCTCCTTCCACGTCCAAGCTTTCCACTGTGGTTTGATGGCTGACCCCAATCCTCTTGACAGTGGTTGGCTCCATCCTGAGCAATCTGCGTGAGTAGCACCACCATCCTTGGGCGGCTGAACCACAGACTGACGCCTTTGTCCACAGTTCTTGTCCTCGGCATGTGTTTCTTCGCGGGCGGTGTCAAGTTCTCGGAACAGGGGTTCGGTCAGAGTGCGTCTCACAATTCTCTCACATTCCGCCTTCCAAGTTTCTGACGGAGCTATACACCGCCTTTTCAATATGTTGCACTGCCGCCGTGGTCAACTGCTTCTATTTGCTCCTGTCCCTCCGGAACTCCATGGACTTGCATACTAAACTTCTAAAGGCGCGGTACAGCTTAACTCGTCGCTCCTGACCGTGTCAGTCATCGCGGTGCTCCTGCCGGCGGCGTTCCACGAGGTGGCGGGGAGTATCATTCCTGACGATAAGGAAGGCCCAGACGTTCTAAGCTTCAGCAGAGGTGTAAGTACCGCCTCTACTTCTGCCGCTTTGCCTTCGCGCTTCGAACCCGAGTAAACACGCGGCTGACTTTGTTCTTCCCCTTCCTCGTGTCCGTCTCTAGGCCGCCGTCATCTTGTTGTTCAGTGCGTGACACATTGCTTCTACCACTTTTGCCATTGGTGGGCTGACACGGCGCTTTGCTTTTCGCAGTCTACGCGTCGTACCTCGTGTTCCAGCTCTTCTCGCACAAGGAGCTGTATGAGGACAGTGCCGACCAGTTCCGGTCAACCAACTATCCCGCCGGCCGCAACACGATCCAGAAGCCGAAATGGCTGCACGTCCCCGCGCGTCGACGCAGCCCCAACGCGAGCTCGGAGCCGCTGACGCCGCCCGCGGACAAGCAGAACTACGAGATGGCAGGCATCGCGAGCAGCCCGCGGCCTATGCACGAGGACCCTACCACGGCGGCGAGCCCGCGCGCAAGCGAGGCGGGCAGCATGAGCGAACACACCGGCGCGGACACGGAGGCGCAGAAGGAGGGTGAAGAGGAGGAAATCGAGACGCCACTGTTGAGTGTGCCGATGACGATTGGCCTCCTAGTTGTTGTGACGGTGCTCGTTGCGGTCACGGCGGAGTGGCTCGTTGACTCGATTGACGGCCTGACGGACGGTGGAAAGATCGGGAAGGAATGGGTTGGTCTCATCTTGTTGCCTATCGTGGGTAACGCGGCGGAGCACGTCACGGCGGTGACAGTCTCGGTCAAGGACAAGCTGACGCTGAGTTTGGGTGTGGCGGTTGGCTCGAGTATCGTGAGTTGCACTCCCGACGCTCTCCAGTCAGGACACTAATTAACTTTGCCTAGCAAATCGCGCTTTTCGTTATCCCGTTCACCGTCATACTGTCATGGATCATGGGCAAGCCCTTGACGATGCTCTTCGACCCCTTTGAGAGCATTGTGCTCTTCCTCTCGGTCCTCGTTGTCAACTACACGGTCCAGGACGGAAAGAGCAACTGGCTCGAAGGCATGATCCTCATGTGCCTATACCTCATCATCGCCGTCACGTTCTGGTATTATCCTGGTAAGTCCGACCGCCAACAATTCTACGTTGTATCAGACGTTTACCGGTGATCCACTCTAGGTGTCAGCATTTCTCAACAGATTGCGACCCAGAGCCTGACATGTTAGATCGCGAATGGCCGCCACGTCTCCTTCACTATGCCGGCCGTTGTCCCAGATTGATCCTCCGTTCTGGTCTCCCTCGCAGCGTCTTCTAATTTAGTCTAGGGCTCATAGACACAGATTGCACTGCCATTCACGATTGCGCTGTCTTGACTTCATGTACAGTACGACGACAGCCTCAGGACATTGAGCGTACCATTACATACCACTCATTGTATCATACATCCTAGTTCCTACCTTATCTCCGGTCTATGAATGATTCAAGTGCACGCATTGCCTAATTGTTCCTGCGTGTCACTATTCGTTTCCCTCTTGTTGTATGGTCTTTTTATCCACGATATGAGTGTGAGTACAACAGCTAGCTATATACAGGATGGATATCGTTCAGAATGCATGGGTGACTCGCGAACGTCAGAGCTTCGCCTTCGGCGCTCCCTGGTCTACCAAGGTGGCTGCGGCCGCAGCAAGGACGACAGCGTTGCGCTCCTTCACCTTCGTAGCTGCGTCATGAGTTTCGTCAGTTGGTGCACCTGTGCAGGAGCTGATATATAATACTACGCACTGAAAACGACCTTGCCGCCCTCTTTCCACATTTCCGTGACGAGGGTCTCGCCAGGGAAGACAACGCCGGCAAAGCGCACCTTGATGTCACTGTATGGGCCAAACGCCTTCAGGATATGCTTTCCGGAGATACCGAAGGAGCATAGCCCTAGGATAACACCATCAGCTACTGCAGAGCCAGAAGCGGCACAGCAGGCACGCTCACCGTGAAGGATCGGCTTGTCGAAGCCACCGATAGCGGCGAACTCAGGTTGTATCTATGACGCCGAGAGTGAGCGAAAGCGCGGAAAGTGCGCCGGGGTCCCACGTACATGGAGGGGGTTGTAATCTCCGCTGAGACTATGGACGTTTTGGCAATGTCAGATGTGAACGCCCGTTCTCCGTAGACTCGCGTCAAAGCACATACCGATACAATGCCGCCTGTATCGGCAGCGTCTTTTCCTCAAGGACAGCATCGGGCTTGCGTTGCGGCGGCGTGTTGGCTGCCGACGCCGCACCGCGGTCTACGAAACACCGTCACGTCAGCATAATCCGTACGCTCGGGCTCTGCGCAGTCATTGGGAGGCGGTGCAACTGAAAGGAAGACGCACCCTTGCCTGTCCGTCTCCCGCCAAAACCTCCTGCACCTCGAATGAAAACGGTCGACTGGTTCTCGAAGATCACCTTGCCGGTCGCCTTGTCCTTGGTTTCGGTTATAGAAGTTACCGCTGCTGCCTTGCCCTTGTCCAAGACTTCCATCAACCTGCATGTCCCGCGTGTAAGTCGTTCACCCCATATGCAAGCTATGGCGCCCTGTCACTGCACTCACCGCGCTTCGTTCACGAATGTCGCGCTAGTCGGGATTGGTCCCTTGATGGCCAAGTATTGTTCACCGTGCAGCAACTTTGCCTGTCAACATGAGAAGGGACATGAATTGTCGCACAGCTTTTGCACATACACGTCACGTACGGGGTTGTAATTTGGCAGCCAGTCCAGAGCGATACCGCCACTCGCAGCAAACTGCGGAATGACGCCAAAGGTGGGGATGACTGCGAAGTCTTCGTCGCCCTCGAACGACCACTGCAGCTCCTGCTCTGTCGCACCGACACCGAGGTTGTACAGGATTACGTCCCGCTCGGAGTAGCTATACTCAAGAGGGTCTTCCACGCTCTTCTTTGCCTCCACTACAAGGTCAGAGTCTTCCGGATCGGCATACGGACTGCTCGAGCCACTGCCCTCCCGCTATCCTCAGACTCGTTACCGAAGTTCTCCGCAATCTGCTTGCCGTCAGCATCAACAGGTCATGCCGCCAGAGCCTCACGCACCTGCATGAATGCCTCCTGCGTCGTCCCCGGGTTCGTCGCCCTACCATCATCTGTCAAGGGCGTCAGCGTTGCGTACCACTCGGTCACGAAGACACTCACCGAAATCAGTGATGACTTTCCACTTTGCGATAATAGCCTCCGGGGTGAGCGGCTTGTTCACAGGGAAGCCATATCCCCCAGTACGCTGCCACCGAAGTTGTGCGATCCACCCCGCGGCGATCTGGAACAGCCCGCCCGTCGTTTCCTCGTTCGCCTCGCTCGACAAGAAGCCCACGAGTGGCGCGATGTACTCTTCCTAAACATGCGTCCATACAGTGTCAGCATGATCGAGCGATCCCAATGATGTTGTGTGGTCCAACCTTGATGGCATCTGTGTTACTGCCGGGACTGGGGAACGTCGATCGCATATGCGCAGCAAAGACGAAACGTTAGTTGAACTGAGCGGTGGAGGAGGCATTGACGCTGTCACGTACCGGCCAAGGCCAACCAGAGCGCCCGCAGAGGGGACGATGGTGTTCGCGAGGATGTTGTACTTCCTGCCTTCGATCGCAAGCGTACGTGTAAGGCTGATGGTCGCCGCTTTGGCAGTAGCGTACTAGCGGAACCATGGTCAATCAGGACATCGAGCGCGTCGAGAAAAGCACCAACGTTGGCAAAGCCAGGCAGCCCGTCTACAAACAAGGAGTAATGAGTTAGGAGTGATAATATCCAGGGAGACGACGTACAAACCCCAGCTTGTGAGCTGGTAGTCACGATACGACCATACTTCTGTTTCTGGAAGATTGGCCAGACAGCTTTGGCGCACTTGAAGGCCGATCTATCGGAGGTTGTCAGGCTAGACACACGAACGCCATAGGGGAAGACTTGCCGCAGATGGACAGCAATGACTTCGTCCCACTCCTTGTCTGTCATGGATCCGAACGCGTTTGGACGCACAACTCCCGCATTTGCGATGAGGATATGCACGCCGCCAAACGCGTCCAGCGCCGTCTTCACAATCGCATCCCCATTCTCTGCTGAGACGACAGCTGCAACCGCCTTTCCACCGCTGTCCATATCATCATCTATACATTGTGGCTTGTTGTCAAGTACCACGTACCGCCAGTGATTTCCTTCACGACAGTCTGTGCGGCCTTCTCGCTCACATCATTCACAACGACGTTGGCACCGAGTTTAGCAAACGCATGCGCGTATGCCCGCCCGAGGCCTGCACCAGAGCCGGTGATAATGACAGTCTTGCCATCAAAGCGAACGGGTGAGCCCTGATCGTTCGTAGGGGCCTTCTTGCCGGCTTCGACGATAGTCTGGAAGCCACAACATCAATGTATGTATAGCACCACTGCAGCACCGTACGTACCACTGGGTCGAAGTCCGGGACAGTCGTCGGGCTTCATAATCCGTTATGATACACCTCTCGTTGACGAAGACTGATGGAACTTACTGCTGAGGTTCTGAATCGAAGTCCGTGATTTGCTCCCACTTCGCTTCTACCTATACCATTGCTTCAGTTCTGAACAAAGCGGATAGTGAACTAGACCTACAGCGGACGGCGTAAAGGTTGCGTCCGTCTTGAGGACGGCACCTTTGCTCCGCTCCCACCGTACTTCTGCTATGAATCCAGCGCCGACCTCAAATATTCTGCCCGAAGCGTCTATACCGTCGGGATGGGTAACAGCTGCCACGAAAGGCGCGACGAATGCGGGCTGTGGAAAGGGGAAAAGGATTACACATAATAATGTGTGAGTACGACGATGGTTGGCTCACCTTGAGATTCGCGAGCATCTCTGGAGGCATGATCGTCTCAGTCATAGCGGAGGCTGCCATCTGAGTGCAGATGAGCTCCATGCTCGGTCTGCAATCTCAAGTTCGGCATACCGGTGCAATAACAGTGGCCTTAATCCCATGTCTGGCACCCTCCAGCGCAAGCGTCTTAGTGAATGCAATGAGACCCATCTTTGCGGCGCTGTAGTTCGCCTGGCCGAAGTTGCCTATACACACGTTCAGAACATCCACGTGGATCGACAGAAAAGGGCGATCGTGGAACGCACCATAAATCCCTGCAGCACTGGCTGTATTGATAATTCGTCCGAAACCTTGCTTACAGAAAATAGGCCAAGCCGCCCTGCTACACGAGAATGAACCTTTCAAATGAACCAGCTGGATTTGGTCCCATTCCTGGTCTGTCATGTTCTTGAAGCTGCAGTGAGACCGACATCAGAATCTATTCCCAGACGGTGAACATTATAGGCGCACCCCTTGTCGCGGAGGATACCCGCATTGTTTATTAGGATAGTCACCCCTCCGAAGGTGTCGACTGCAGTCTTAATGACAGCAGCACCATCCGCCACAGACGCAGTGTTAACCACGCCCTTGCCACCAGCTACATGGTCGACGTCCGTTCAGCACTCTCATGAGATGGACTTTCCGCGCTGCGACGCACCACTCGTGATTTCATCAACAACCTTCTGTGCGGCAGCTTGGTTGAAGTCGTTCACCACTACATTGGCACCTCGCGATGCGTAGAACAGCGAGTACCTGTCCATCCGCCACAGTAAGTACTACGCCGTGCACTCGATATAATACGTGGAAACTTACGCCTTCCCCAGCCCACCGCCAGCACCGGTGACTACCACGGTGTGGCCTTTGAACGACAATTGTGACATGGCTGGATAAACTTCAGAGATACAGACACGACGTAGCGTACACCCCAAGGATCGGTCGCGCGCACTGAGTGCCGTCTGCTCAGGCGTTATACTCGGGATTGCGTCGGTACATGTGATTAACGAATGGATCTGGCGATGCTGCTCAGCGTCTCTATCCCAAGCACGGGATTTCGTCGCTCAGTCCACGGACTCGGAATCCAATCTCCAGAGGCCTGACGCACACGCTCAAGAACACTCTCAAAAGACGCTCAGCACAGGCAGTGTCAAGCACACAGGACTTTCGGAGCGATAGGTTAGATAGATAAACATCCGAGACTTGGACGCCCTGCGCGGATATAGTACATGTCAATGCTGTCTGTACATATACCCACAAGCCGGGGCATGGTGGCTGACCGCGATCGCCCAACGAAAACACCGAACGAGGAGGCAAGACGGGGATCAACGCGGAGTCCACAAGCGACCAAACGAAGAATTCAATAGTGAGCGATAATAAAACAAGCCGACGACGCGGAGAAGGTATCTTTTGGACACGACAAAGCAAACGGAGGAGATGGCAAACGAACGGAAAGGGGCAAACGAAGGAGGCGACCGTGCACGTATATCTACGTGGGCGCGGCAAGAGAGAAGGCGGCGAGGAAAACAAAACGACGGGGAACGAGATCGGGGAGCGAGAGGCGACGGCGAGAGGCATAGACAAAACAAGCATGAGAGGGCATATGCAGTCCTGTACAAGCGAGTGTTTGAGTGCGAGTGTGAGTGTCCGGCGACGAGATCATGGGCGTGGGAAGGCGGGTGTGCGAGCTTTCAATTCAAATGAAGTGGCATGTCGGGCGAAAGGGCGGGGGCATCAAACCAGGACGAGTTGAAGGAAAGCAATGCGCTGGACAAACATAGACAAGGACATGATCAAGTGGCAGGGATGTAGACTGTAGTATTCAAACACGTGTGACGATGGACTGCAGACGAGAGACGATGAGACAAAATAAAGTAGATTATGGAGGATGGATGGATGATGGAGATGATGTGGTGGATGTTGCGTATGATGCCGAGCAGCTCGCCGTCGCACGATACGCTTCCTCAATCCTCGAGGTTCATCTGCTCCCCGGCGAGCTCTTGGTGGATGTGCTTGTGGGCCCAATCGATAGCGTACACCGATGCCTTCAAGAATTTCTTGTGCGAGTACTTCTCGCAGACATGTTGCGTGGTGAACCCGTTCTCGACGAGCTTATCCAAGAGCATGCGGTGCCCAGGTAGAATATGCTCCTCCGTGAAACCAGAGTGGTAGACGAAGGCATCGTTCTAAAATGGGCGAACAATGAACGTTAGCGAGTCAGAACATCCCAAAGCGGTCACGTGAGACATGGCAGTACGCGTTTAGAGAACAAAAACGTGATGGTGGCGTGTTCCGCGCCCACCGCAGCGTATATGAGGCCGGACAATGGCAGCATAGGAGAAGTACTCACCCAGTCGCCACCCAACATCCTCCTCGCAGTGTACATGCCAACCGCCGCGACCAGACTGGGCTTCACTCGCAAGAACCGGTAGTCGAGCAGGGTGACCTCCGTGAGGAACTTGCTCAGTGTGCGGGTCTGGATGTCGTAGTCATCCGCCTTGCTGATCTTGCGCATCCAGCTGTACGGTGAGCAATAATGGCTAATCTTGAACTCGAGCGTCTGCAGGACTATCCGCTCGCCCTTCAGGATCTCCTCGCGTGAGTAGCCGTTCTCCGTCATGTAGACGAACTCATCGACGGAGGGCGCGAGGATCTCCTCGTACTTGGCCGCGACGAACATTGCGGTGACACCAACGAGCTGCAGCTTGAGCACCGAGACGATACGCTTGGTGAGGAACCGGTCAACGATGTTGATCGCGATCCAGAGCGTCTCGGGCAGCATGTGGTAGCGAAGGTGCACTTGCAACAGCCAGTCTACAAGTGTTTGGCGCATCTGCCAGTTGATCTCCGTCTGGCCTTCCATGTATTCTGGGTTAGGCAAAACATCATCCTGCAGAAGAAGTCAGCACGAGCAGAACTGCGCGACGCCACAATTGCCGCCCACCTCAAGTTCGTTCATGTAGTCGAAGATGTCCTCGGCATACTCCGAAACCATAGTCGTGTCAAATTCATCAACGGGCTCCTTGTAGATGTGCTTGATCTGGTCGATCTCCCGCTGGTATCGTAGAGCACGCTCGGTGCTGATCTCTGGCCAAACGCGAGGGACCTGCTCAGGCTCTTCCTCAACAGCTTCAGGCTCCATCGCCTCGGCGTTGTGCTCGTCAACCACATAAGCCTCGTCGTCTTCTACCTCGATGGCACGCGCTGGGACGCCGTCTTGGTACTCAACATCCATATCGACTTCATCAACGAGGTCGAGGTCGACGTCCTCCTCATGGATGAGGTACTCTTGTGGGACGGGAACGGGAACACGATGGGCTACACGGGCAGGGGCAGCATGGGGTCGCTGGACACGAACGGATGATGCGCGGGCATGAGCCACAGTCGGGGCATTGGGAGCAGCTCGAGTAGAAGCGAGCGGGACCCTCTGTGGGCCATTGGCGAAGGCTGTGGAGGTGCTGCGCTTGATGCCAGCATCGAGGACTTCCTTCTCCTTTCCGAGGACGTTGAGCTTTGCGTTCTCCTGTCGACGCTATTAGTCATATTCAAGGCAACCATGGCGAGGTAGAGGGGGGCAGAGATTATGAAGGGGCCACATACCTTGCGGTTGACAGCAGTAGTGGTGACCTCGTTGAGAGCTGGACGTTGAAGAGCAGCGGCCTTGGCTGCGTGAGCTTGAGGAATGGCCACACGAGCGGCACCTCCAGTAATGCTAGAGGATTGGCGGACATGACGACTCATGGCGTTTTCGTCGCCGTTGACTTTTCGTTGAGGTCCGATGCGGTTGCGCATGGGAAGCTGCAAGTCAAGCGTCCCTCGCTGTCAGCACTGAGGTGACTGGAAGGAGGCGGCTAACGACTCACGCGTACAGAATGGTTGGCCATTGAAACGAAGTTGATCAAGGTGGTTCAAGTTGTCGTCGAGTGGGGACAGCGAGCGGGCCTGGGATCCTGGCTTGCTTGGGGAGCTGTATCGACGGAAGATGGGAAACGAGAATAGGAAAGGCCCGACACGCCAGGAGATGGAAGTGGGAAGAAGGGAGAGACACAAGCGTAGGAGACAGAGTCAGCCTATGATGCAGTGACGAGCAGGCCCTGTTCGAACCGCGATTTCAACTTGGCCTGCGACGCGTCCGCACGTGATGGCCAAACTCTGCCAAAGAACGCGCGTAAGCGCCCTCTGCGCGCCCGTGTGCGTGACCGCGACGCGTCTGCGGACGCCCATACTGTAAGGGGTGCCCCTATTACCCCGCATTCCTCAGGAGGCTGCAAATCGATGTATTCTGATTCCGCGTCCTCGATGCTTTCGCGCTGCTTCGTTCAGATATGCATTCCAAGTTTCCCAACTTGAAGTCGCGCGCCCTCTGACGGCGCTCATGTCAGCCACACGAGGCGCGGTGCCGAGACCAAATCACCCATCTGCGTAACGACCTCGATTATGTATGATACCCGCCAGACAGTGAGACACGAGGCCCCTGGCCCACGCATGTCGGGCGACGGCAGGTCCGCCCAGGGTCCGCCTGCGCTGCCCCACATACATGAAACAGTCCGCGGCCATTGGAGCAAATGAGAGTGCGCAAAAGTCGCCGTTGCTGAACATTCCTGTCATGATGGCATTTCAATCTTATCGGGGCACGCGTTGCTGCACGAGCGTAAGCGATATACATTCCAAGCTGTTCATCTAACAGTAGAAAGTCGACGTGAGGGTAGGCAAGACGTTACATTGGGATTCACGGTATGTATTCGGACCGTAACATGATGGCTTATACACGTTTGCGTCATCATGTTAAAAGGGCAACGATGGATCACCCGAAGCGTCCTCGTCATGACTCTGTAACACGATAACAGTATACCAGCTTGATGTTGGGTCAGATGGACAGTGGACACGATCACATACCCAGCTGCAGTACCGCCATCGTGCAGTGTAGAACACCGTCAGGACTTCGCGAGATTGCTTGGCGAAGTCGCGACGCGGGAAGGCGCAGAGCGTTGACGGCTTTCCATACTGCTCAGCTACCGTGATTCGCCACCCGTCCCTTCCAAGGGATAGCAGAGCTAGCGAGGCCCATCCAAGTCTCTTGTTCTGACCGTGTCCCAGTGCCGTAGCTTGCCGGCCTCTTTCCAGTCGATGCCGGCCGCAGGTGGAGATGGTTGATTGCCATAGTCCTGCTTCGCGCCTCCGAGCCCAGCTCTGCCTCGATTACCTTTGACATCAAGAGGCTCGACTAGAGCGACATCGCTGCTGCCCGCACGGCCAAGGCTCTCACCAGGTGACCACCCTTGTTTCATCAACAAGCGGTGACCAATGTTAGAGTCAGGCAGCGGTGCAGGCGGCGCAGAAATCAAAGGACGGGGAGTTGGAGCAGGAATGCTGACCGGCGGAGCACGAGTGACAGGAGTCGTGTGAGGGCGACTAGGCGTAGAAACTGGTGCAGCATCAGGATGGCGAGTACGGCGCAGAGCGCTCCTATCCGTATACTGAGACTGGGCAGCAGGAGTCTGAGGGACGACATGACGAGAGAGCAAGTTCCGTCGGAGGTCATTCAATGCCCTCTTCGGGTCGCGTACCGGGGTTATATAGTCGCTCTCGGCTGACCTCTCAGCAGCGTCGCGTTTGCGCTTTCTGCTCGCCTCAGCCTGACGGTCCGGGGTACGTTGGTCGATAAGAGGAATCTCGGTCTCAGCAGAAGGAGAACATTCTGCGCACGGAGCCTGTTCGTGGGTATGGACGATGAACGTCGTTCCGCCGACAGATAGTGCATCGAGATGCGCCAACCGACGCGGTATGCTCGCCACCGGGGTGCAGAGAGCCGCGTGCCTCTCTCGTCTGCGGCCGTCACATGAGGAGTAGTCTGACCGTCTGTGGCCGAAGTCGAAGCGTCCGGGCCCCGGTTCGACCTAAGGAAGGTGCCATGTTTGGATCCCATGTCGACGACCGCCCATTCACGGCGCCCATGGTCCCAATATATCGTCGCGTGCAGTTTGGATACCTCCATCTCCTTCAAGCGAATGCGTGGCACCTCGCTACCTGTAGGGGCAGCATCACGACCCAGCTGGGCCTCTGTGTATCCGTCTAGCACGGCCAGGGACTGTCTTTTCGGGAGGATCGTGCTGCGTTGCACGAGTAGACGCAGGCACGACGTGTCAAGGTGGGCCCGAGGCGGAGGCGAACTCGACGGAGCAGGGCGGAGATACGGGTTCCCGGAAGCAGTGATAGCAGGCTGGCCTTGGATGGTATCAACTGATATTGACGACTCGGGAGTTGTATCGCCTGGCCATTCAAGCTCGGGCGAATATGCCGCCCCGAAAGAATCTGTCTACAGTTGGTAAGTACAATCGTTCAATAATCTCGGTCGGTCGAACGTGCCAGGGTCATTGATTTCGCCTTCCTCCATGTGCACGGGGATATTATGTACAGACGAGAAGTTGAAGAACGAGGAGCAGACTTAGAGCAATGAGCCAGGTCGAAGCAGGTGAAGACGGGTGTGTGAGAGACGCAAGGGTCATCCTGGGTCATCTGACGATCTGCTGTTGCCATCTATTTGTCTCAGCTTCCAGAGTAGGTAAGTATGTTCGAAGACGGTGGCGCGCCTCGTGTAGCACTCGATCTCATTCACTACTTCTTTGTGGCTTCATCTGACCTTGTACGTACACCATTCGTCAGTGGCGGTATCTGTCGGCCGTAACACAGACAAAATTGAACTCAAGATTTTCTTCGTAGAGTACTCCAGTTCGGTGGCGTAACACAACCCCAGGTCCCCAGCAGATTCGGTTGAAGGTGCTGCGGCATTCAGCCATTGGCACCCACCAACTGAAGTCCACGCTTTGAGTTCTAGAAGTCAGACCACACGTCACTGCGATGGAGTACTTCTCAGAGGTGCGAATCTCAATTGTGTACCGCTTCGGGCTCTTGAACTAGCCAGTAACTCAGGATCACAGCAAATTGCTTCTGAACAAGGAATGGCTTGTCAAGATAGATTCCGAAAAGTCAATTCCATACATGCTGGTCAGATACTTCGTTGTGTCGACCACTCCGTTAGCTCACAGCTGGCAGAAATTTTACTCGTCCACGGTGGATCTCTGCTGTTATATTTTGGTTACAGATACTCAAATGCCTGGGGTGAAGGTATGCTTATCTCCGCCACACACATAGCTTCCGAGCTGACCTTCGTAATGCAAAGTACTGCAGAGCAATCAACTCGCGAGACGATGGAGAGATTGCAACCCTCGTCATGCTCCTTCCTTTTCAAACGATCAGGAAGAAGATGAGTGGCGAACTGCAACCGTCGAGCTCCTTTCGGTGGCACATTCTATCGGGGGTATCGCGGACTTAACATTTGAAGTAGTAAGACGCACTACTCCGTGAGTAATGACGTTTGATTGAGATTCTGTTCTATGGTCTCATCCTTACGTCTAGGACTTCGCTTTTGAGCTGGGCAGCGACTCTTACAAGTGGCGGTGGGAGACATGTGCCGTCGGGCCAATTCTATCCGCCCAAATACTGTCTAAGCATCTCATCATGCCGCTGATCAGCCTCACGCACCTTGCGTTCTCTTCGGCAGACCCGGTTAGTGAACTATCGGAAGCCGATTTGGAGAAGGTACGTCGATGCCAATCACCACTATCATGTGCCTTCCCTGGCTTATCGACGCGTTCTGAATACCGCCACTCCCAGACAGTTGACAAGGTTGGCAGAACCGCCCGACGAACTATCGACACCCACGTCAAGCACGCCATATCTCGACCTCGCGCAGCAACGATGTTGCGTCGTATGACTGCGATGTTCAACTTCTCTCCTGATCTTCGTCAGTGTGCCTTTCGTCAGTAGCATTCCTCGCTGATGGCTGACCTGTACCTGTCACTATAGCACCGATCCTCTCGGAGGCACCGAAGCCCGATCTGCACCTGCCATCTATTCGGCCAAAGTCACGGGCTACTTCCAAAGTACCACAGAGGCTGCTTTCACCAGTCCGAGAGCCCTCGCCGCCTATTATCGTGCGCATAATCTCCAGGCAGTGGTCAACTTGTGCTGATGTCATGGCTCCCGCGGGCTTACTAGCCGACTTCTCGTGCTATCTCTCCACTTCTCAGGGATCCATCAGCGAACCCGCCTATTCGTGTCGCGCAAGGGGTTGATGACTCCGAGACCGAGCCCGAAAGCGATTCGGAAGTGGCTCCGAATGAGCCTGCGCAGAGTACCGGCAGGGCAGCAGACGAAGCTCATACAAGGAAACTCCCGAAGAGCTCTAGTCCCGCTAGCTCAAATCCCTTGACACGTGCTAGTCCCAGAGTGTCTCGTCAGAATTCACCTAGAGGGCGAGGGGGACCATCTGCGGCCGCGGACCAGTCCACCGATGATTCGTCGCCTCCACGCCCACCACCTTCGAAGAAGACGAAGCGCGTCGAGCCATCGGATGAGGACGACAGCGAGGCTGAGCGTCGGAGACGAGTAGCGCAGATCAAGTCCATTCCTCAACGCGGGGCCAGACAGCCAATCAAACGAGGAGGAAAGCGGTTCTAAGTTAGGTGTGCCACTGCTCGGTATCGATCTATTATACACACCTATGCCTTTGCGGATGTATGGTTACCCCATGAGAATGCCATTATCCAGAGTGTGTGGAGCGCGTCAGAATCGGCCTTCTTGAGACTCAGTACATAGGCTGATGCGTTATGATCACAGCGCGTTTTGTAGCCATAACTTGGCGTTCGGGGTACAAGTGCATATTCTGACGCGGCTAAGTGTTAACGGTTATGGGGACTCGGTGAGCGAACCCGGCCTACTTACACACGCACGAGAAAAGCGACTGCATCATGTCTGTAATCGGCGCCGGAGGGGACTGAGGACCAGGCGACATATCACCAGTCTGACTTTGGGGGTGGCATATGCTAGCCGATTCGGGCGTCAGTTTGTCCGCTGGTGAGGTTTCGGCAGTGAAGTGCTCTGATCCTGCTTTCCCTCCGTTCCGTGCTCGGCCATCCGAGTCGTTGCGTCTGGTCCGCCGTACTTACTCCCCCGGTCTCCCCGGCGACTTAGCCAGCGGTGCGATGCACCACAAGACCGCGATTGCTGCGAAATCTTCACATATCATAATATACAGCTACATCCCACTACAGACCATTGCGACATCTTCAGGCTCGGAGAAGACGAGATTGCCCTTTGATTTGAAGTGACAAAACTCTAGTCATGTCACCAGCGTCTTGTTACCCTGGCTGCCAATGCTGCTTCCTTGCAGTTGTCGCAAGGCTCCTGTATGAGGTTCTGAACGCGACGATGGTCTTGGTATTCCTGTCGTGTATCTTCGTGAGCAGCCCGCACTCGGTCAGGAAAGATGGCTTGTTACTCACACTGGGACAACCACAGTTTTGCGCCGTGTGCCTGTGCGCGGAACTCGATTTGCAGTTGGCTTGATTACAGTCGATCGTGACGCCAGAGTAATACGACACGACGAAATGCTTCGGTAGGTGTTCAGGGCGGGCCATAAACGAGATTGCCTATGAACAAGAGAGCTCACCCCACATCCCCTGTGCTGGTTACCGAAGCTATGGTCTCAAAGTGAGCGGACTTGACACACATGATATGAAAAGGCACCGACCATTCCTGGTAGCACATGTTCCGACAGAGGTACGCGGGCTATCGGACCCGAGGGGACGTCACTCTGTAGGAGTCCTCGGCACACGCGTTTGGAGGGATTGGGCGAGCGCAGTGATCTCTGCTTGCCTTATGTATTCATGGGCAAAGTTATTGATGAGTTGGGTAGCGCACTTACAAGCCGAGCATTGAGTGCGGTTGGCACAAGACGCCAATACAATCTGTAAAATGACGGTGGCGTTGCGCGCACCATACCACACATGGTTTGTCTGAGGGCGGCAAGAGTGGACCACGCTAAGGTCTCCCGCATTGAGAAACCCGGCTGAGACTGAATACTGACGGTTAGATGTCTCTCCCGGAGATTGCGTCGCGATAAGGATCGCCGCTTGTCCTGGCTCATGGTGGTGCTCTGGGATTGTCTGTGGTTCTGCTTTGATTCTGCTGGACGCAAACCAGCGCTATCAGCTGATGAGGGTCCGATGACATAGCCTCCACCAATACAGCCCACGACACCGTACAAGCAATCTGGACATCATCAGATCGCTCATCTTCAAGACAACGGCATACTTATGTAAATAATGAGAATGAGCAGCATGAAGATACTCTTGTGCTTGCTCTCGCACATTTGCCTGTTTCCAACGGTAGCAAAGAGCAAAGAGATGCAACGATAGTCTCAGAATGTGGAGACACAGTCAGGGCCGTTAAGATTGGCCCACGGCGTTGTAACGGCAGCCCATCGGCCAGACAAGATTTCCGTATAACGATGAGCGCTGATCACTCACCTCGCACTCCGCTCAGTGGTGGTCCCCGCTGATACTTTTCCATATGGATCGCCCCGACTATCGATGGAATGACCTCTCATTAAATGAGCTGTCTGGGCGAACTCACACTGGATAGTACATGGGAACGGCGACGTACCTGAGATGGCGAGAGTGCCCAGGAGAGAGGTTTCGCGGCGGAGAGTCAGAAGTGCCGCTTTGGTGGACTCACACAGCAGTACCACTGCGCGCACGCGTGGCTCGTTCCGAAGCAAGCTGGCCCTCTTGGCCCTCTCGCGGCAAGGTTTATCAACGCCATGACGCGTGACGGCCCATGTTCGCCGCGTGGCGCGACGACACAGCCGAGGCCGCGTTGAGCTGGCGTTGAGCGTCGGGAAGTGCACCTCGGGCGGCAGGCAGTGCTGGACGCGCACCTGGCGGCACGCATCGGTGACGTACGGCGGAAGAGCGGGCGGAGTCACGTCTTCACGAAGTCGAGGCCATGGTCGAGTTATTAGAGCCCTCCCAAGAACGCCTGAGGGCCAGTATAGCAGGTTAGTTTCAAGACGCACTAGTTCACTGAACTGACATAAAACAATCAGAGGAGTCAGCGCATTTTTGACAGGGAACATCAGACCTACGATAATTTGGTTTTTGTCCATGTGCGACTCTCAGTCTCCCCAAGAAGTGATAACTTCGCACCGAGTCAATTGTCGCGTATATGTGATTTCAGGCTGCTCATCTTTGGCTCATCTTAGCAATTCTGGCAGAAGCTTAGCTTGAAGCCCTCACCTAGGAATAATCCGTATTTGTCTCATAAGTCACTAAGAGGAGGCAGATTACTGGCGGAGGAGCTGAATCTGTCGTGCTGGTCGACTCTGAGTCGACTGCAGAACCGATGCGAGGAACCCAGCGGGACTCCATGAGCCATCCATGAGTCTCCCTCGCAGGGGCCTGCAGGCGCGGTCCCCGTTGCTGACCAAGAAGAGGAATCGGCTCACCGGCCCGGCCCGGGGATCTTCTCAATATTGGCGCCAAGCATCGAATGGTGGCTGATCCGAGTCCTTGGCTAAGTTTTGCTCGACCTCGACCTCGCAAATGCACCACTCCGTCATCTGAACAAAGTCCGCCTAGAAGCCACATATATTATCACGGCGAGACGTTATATCTGAAGCAAGAATACAGCATCCTCTTGCACAGCAATGGCTGCGGTGGACGAGCCTCCGCAGACTAAATCCAAGGTGTGTTCGGTGCAGCTGGTATATGACTCCCGCCCTCAAGGCGTTCGCGCGTAGGAGAAAACGAAAGCAAAGCAGAGGTACCTGAAGGCCAAGAAGGAGAGGCGCAAGAAGCGTAAACCTCAATCAGCGCCGGATGTAGCTGCGAAGCGGGATCGGCACCCACTCGTTATTCCCGGGTCTGGTTCCGATGCGGAGGGCCATGAGGGATCGTCGGAAGAGAGCGAGGTCGAGGAGATGATTGTAGATTCTTCGCGACCTGCAGACGTCGAAGAGGGGCATCATCTTGAAGCGAATGAGAGAGCGAGGGGCAAAGGGTCGCGGAAAGAGAAGGAGGACACTGAGCGACCACGAAAGCGGCGGAAGCTCGAAACGGAAGAACAGAACGCGCAGCCCGTAGACGATGAAGAAACCGTACCTCGCGAAGCATCCCCTCAACCACGCCGTAGATCCAATACACCGCCAGCAGCCCTCCCTGCCTTCCCCCTCCCTACGCGCCCCGACGCGCCCTCGAGACAGACGCTCGCCCTCCAAGGGCTCGATAAGGCACTCGTCGAGGCCGAGCTCGTCGACCCTGCGAAATTGCACGCGTTCCCTACTGCGTCTGACGACGACGGAGGAACAGGTTTGAATGAGAAAATGCGGAAGAGACTGAAGGAACTAGGCGTGACGGAGTTGTTTGCTGGTCCGTGCAGCGCCTTCATTGCATATCATGGTCGAGGGTACCTGACTCGTGATGAACAGTTCAGACGGCAGTCGTCCCGTTTCTGCTCACCCCCGACTCTGTCAAGGCACTCTACTTGCCGTATGACCCGCCGAGAGACGTCTGCGTCTCCGCGCCGACAGGTAGCGGAAAGACGTTGGCGTATGTCCTGCCCATCGTCGAGGTAGGGTCATGACCGCTCACTCTGTGGCAGCACGAAAATGGCTGATCAAGTGCGTTACGCTAGATCCTCTCAGTACGTGTTGTTACTCGCTTGCGGGCGCTTATCGTGCTCCCCACGCGCGATCTCGTTACACAAGTGCGCGAAACATTTGAGGCAGTGGCAAAAGGGCGAGGACTCAAGGTAGGACTTTTACCCAGTCGAAGTAGCGTTGCATGGAGCTTAGTTGTGCGAACAGATTGCGACGGCAACTGGCCAGCACTCCTTCGCCCATGAGCAGGCTCAACTCATTGCTGACAGGTCCCCGGAGTGCGTACAAAGTCATCTCCGTGTCTCTGTCACTCTGTCACTGATCCACGAGAATGACAGCATGCAAGGCGGCTCTAGCAAGGTCGATGTGCTCATCTGCACGCCCGGCCGCCTCATGGACCATCTGAATGGCACGCCGAACTTTTCCCTGCAACACCTCCGGTTCCTCGTATGTTCCGTCTAATCTTACTTTCCTTCATTCGCTAATGGTACACGATCTGATAGGTAATAGACGAGGCCGACCGCCTCCTCGCTCAATCCTTCCAAGACTGGCTCGCCCAAGTCCTCTCTGCCACCCGTCCACCACCCGTCCCCGAAGGTCCCACCTCTCTGTCTCCCAACCCCTCTTCCACACTCGACATCCCCCGCGCAGACGCCCTCTCCCCCGCGTCCCTGCACCTCCTCCACGGCATGCCGCACGTGCGCACCGACGTCGATGAGAAGCGGGAGTCGTCCTGCCAGAAGCTGCTCTTCTCGGCGACGCTCACGCGCGACCCGGCGAAGATCGCGGCGCTGAACTTGCGGGAGCCGAAGTACTTCGTCGTGCAAGGCCAGGGCAAGGGCGGAGAGAAGGGCGGAGAGGGCGTGCTGGATTTCGTGATGGAGAGGTACAGCATGCCCGCGACGCTCTCGGTGCGTATGTCCCATTTCTCGTGTCTCCGAGTCTGCATCTACGGAATGTGGCTGACGTGGCATTGAACGCGCTCAGGAACACATGCTTGTCTGCTCGTCTGCGGAGAAGCCGCTCATGCTCTTCCACCTCGTGCACGCGCACGACGTCGTCAACGCGCTCGTGTTCACCAAGTCCGCGGAGTCGACGACACGGCTCGTCAGGCTGTTCGGGTTCTTCGAGGCCGCGCTCCGCGCGGAGCAGGCCGTCGTCGCGTGCGCGTACTCAAGCGACCTCAGCCCGGGCGAGCGCAAGACGATCCTGGAGCGGTTCAGGAATAGGGAGATCCACATGTGCGTTCCACAGCCCTTTCAAGTTGTCTGACCAAGGCGGGGCTGATGTTCTCGGGTCGCCGGGTGTGTAGATTGGTGTGCTCTGATCTGATCTCGCGCGGGATCGACATCAGCCACGTCTCGCACGTCGTGAGCTACGATGCCCCGGTCGACATGCGCAAGTACGTGCACCGTGTCGGGCGGACGGCGCGGGCGGGCCGGGCTGGAGATGCATGGACGCTCGTCGAGGAGCAAGAGGTCAGTCGCCACTATTTTCCTTTGTGGCGTTCTGGGACCCGCGTCCCGTTGAGCTCATCAGACGAATGTACTGACGTTGATCGTGTTCAGGCGCGCTACTTCAAGACAATGTTGAAGGGCGTAGACCACCTGGAGAAGGTGAAGCGCATGCGGGTCGCGGAGAAGGACGTGGATGGGTTGAAGCCCGCATACGAGGTACGCCGGCTCGCGTTCATCTTCCCCCCCAGCTTCAGCGCGCCGTGCTGAACGTGGCTGTTTTGTCTTGCAGAAGGCGCTTGTGCAACTAAAAGAAGCGTATGCACGGGGAGCCGGCTGATTGGCAGACTCTGCGAACGTCACTTCTTATGGGATCCTGTAATCCCGCAGTGACGCAGGGAGCCTGCAGCCGTCTCCGGTGCCACGTAAGTTCATTGTACGTGGCGTGCATTCGTCTGCCGTCTCACGGAGGTCTGCCATTCATGGAAGGTCCGGGGCACTTTGCTAGTTTCGGAGTCCTGTACTTGGGTTGAAGTATAGCGGTTGAACTCTGGATCATGTCCTCGGTGGCGTTTGGCGTACTTGTGCGAGTCAGGTTCCAGTCAATCAACCGATAGCCTCTGGCACGGTGGACAACATCCGCAGGCAATTAATTGCCGTCGAGGTACAATCTCATGCCGTTCAAGGCCGGAGGCTGCGGCGTGTGTAAGTATTTCACTTATCTGCGGCTCGTGTCTAGACTCCGATGTGAATCGGTGTCACCACGGGGGCCGACAGTCGGGTTAGGCGCACCGGGGTGTGTGCGTACTCTGGTTTGTGATGTAGCCGTGGTGGTGCGGCTGCTGACGGTCGGCTGACAGAGGCGGATGGGTGCATGTATGTGCAGGCCAGGCGGTTCGTGGTGGCGGCGGCGGGGTGGCGGCGAGATTCGATCGAGGGGATCGATCGAGGGCGGGGCATGTCACTCCGGGCGATTTTGTCAGCAGGCCGCGCTGCCGCCGGAGGAGCCCCCTGAGGCGCCGCGCGGAACGTAATCGTCCACCAACCTGCGCTCCTCCCAATATCGTATATCGCCAGTCATGCACGCAACCTGCACGCCGTCCTCCCTGACTCTCGTTCTGGCTCGCCCGTCCTGCAGCGCACGCGCGAATACGCCTAGCCGTCATGGCCTCCCAGAAACGATTCAACAGGTAAGCGATCCACGTCGTGTTCAGTAGTGCTGTCTTCAACGTTATTTGCAGGTTTTTGCATGTGCCAGGCGTGCCAATCGACCCGCCACCGCCAAAAGCCTCGCTAGACGACGCCGACCTCATCCCGGAGGCAACGGCCAACTTCGTTGACATTCTCACCTTCGGCTGGGTTACTGGCCTCCTCGGACTTGGTTACGCAAGACCCCTCGAGGACACGGATCTCTACAAACTCCAAGACCACCGGTCTTCTCAAGTGATCGCCGACAAGATCCTTGCTTCGTTCGATCGCCGCCAAGAGGCCGCAGATGCGTACAACACCCGCCTCGCCGCAGGGGAGATCAAGCCTGGCTGGCGGTCCCTCTGGTGGACGCTCAGAGGCAACCGGCCAGAGAGAGAAAAAAGGTGGAGACAGAAGGACGGACGGCAACGGGCGAGTCTTGCCTTTGCATTGAACGACAGCATTGCGTGGTGGTACTGGTCCGGAGGGCTCCTGAAGCTCTCTGCAGATATAACATCTACGTTAAGTCCGTTGGTGGTCAAGGTGCGTCATATTTCCTGAACGTCCCTCGGACTTTCCTTCTGTTCATATCACGCAGCCTTGTCAATGGTTATGTCGCGTGCCAGTGGGTGGAACACGAGACATCGATTTATACCTATCTGGGTGATGTTCCGCGCGCAATGCATGGCGAGCTTCGAGCACGTCCGCAGCTCTATGGCACGGGTTTGAACAGCGTACGGTGGCGCTCAGAGCGTGCTTCTCGATTTTGAATGATCGAGAGAGAGAGGTGAAACATAGCTGGTCCATGTTAGAGTGGTACCTTCCCGATTGGTTGTGGTAACATCGCGTCATCCGTGATATCGTCGGTGCTTCGTGCTGTGCGCCGACTGCCAAGCAATTGAACCACTAGGCTGATCACGCACGCCTTCGCCAGTCTTGTCTGTCCCATTTGACAAGTACCACTCCAGGTTAGCTATCACTCTGGACAGAGGCCGTCATGGGATGCAACCCGTGTATCGCAATAATCAGTTCAATCTAGTTCATAGCTTAGTGTGATCGCTACCAGTCTGGCATCTTTCACGAGAGTTGGACATGCCAGACTTGTGGTTGATATTGCTCCCGTATCGCCTGAACATCGCAAGTAGCATGCTAACGTCAAGTCATAGGCATTGATCAGCTTTGGTACAACTTCCTACTAGTGAGTACCTCACCTCTGTCATTTCGACCTTGGCTAATATAGCATCAGTGCACACCAAGCAGGCGCCTACGACGAGATTCCCCCAATCGGCCGAGGCGTCGGTCTCGCCATCGGCCTGCTCCTCATGCAAGTCCTGACCTCGCTCTGCACGCACCACTTCTTCTATCGCGCGACGAGCACGGGCGTGCTCCTCCGGGGCGGGCTCATCACCGCGATCTACTCGCGCTCGCTGCGCCTGACGACGCGCGCGCGCACGGTGCTCACGAACGGCAAGCTCGTGAACCACATCTCGACGGACGTCTCGCGCATCGACTTCTGCTGCGGGTTCATGCAGATGGGCCTGACCGCGCCCGTGCAGATGGCCATCTGCCTCGTCATCCTCATCATCAACCTCGGGCCCAGCGCGCTCGCGGGCTTCGCGTTCTTCGTGCTGTGCACGCCGCTCCAGACGCTCGCGATGCGGCGCCTGATGCGCCTGCGCATGAAGAGCATGGGCTGGACGGACAAGCGGAGCAAGCTGCTGCAGGAGCTCCTGGGCGGGATGAAGATCATCAAGTATTTCAGCTGGGAGGTGCCGTACCTCCGCAAGGTCGAGGAGCTCCGGGGCAAGGAGATGGGCTACATCAGGAACTTGCTGCTGATCAGGAGCGCGAACAACGCGATCGCGATCAGCTTGCCGACGCTGGCGAGCGTGCTGAGCTTCATCGTGTATAGCCTGGCGGGCCATTCGCTGAACGCGGCGGATATATTCTCGAGCCTGACGCTGTTCAACTTGCTGCGCATGCCGCTCATGTTCTTGCGTCAGTCACGGCTGTTCCTTCTTTCCCTGTCATGTTGCTAACCGCATGTTGTGTTGCAGCTTTGGCCATCAGCTCGACCGCCGACGCCCAGAACGCCATCGAACGTCTGTACGGCGTCTTCGAGGCGGAGATAGTCCAAGACACGCAACTCCAGGACCCTACACTCCCCGTGGCAGTCGACGTCGTCGACGCGTCCTTACCTGGGAAGAGCCGTCTCCGGAGCCCGAGACGTCCAAGAAGCCAAGTCCAATGCCTTCAGCGGCCTGAAGAACAAGAAGCGCAAGAAGGGTCTGCCCTCGCCCTCGTCACCCACCTCCGGCGCGCAGACACCCAAGGTCGTCGACCGCATCTTCAGCATGTCGGATATCACGCTGTCGATCCCGCGCGGCCAGCTCTGTGCGATCGTGGGGCCCGTCGGCTCGGGGAAGACGTCGCTCCTCCAGGCCATCATCGGGGAGATGCGCCGGACGAGCGGGCGCGTGGCGTTCAATGGCAGCATCGCGTATTGCCCGCAGAGCGCGTGGATCCAGAACGCAACCGTGCGCGAGAACATCTGCTTCGGGCGCGCGTTCGACGAGGCGCGTACTGGGGGGCGGTGCATGCCGCGTGCCTCGACGCGGACCTGGCGCTCCTCCCCGCGGGGGACATGACCGAGGTCGGCGAGCGGGGGATCAGCCTGAGCGGCGGGCAGAAGCAGCGGCTGAACATCTGCCGCGCGATCTACGTCGGCGCGGAGATCCAGATCTTCGACGACCCGCTCAGCGCGCTCGACGCGCACGTCGGGCGGAGCGTGTTCCAGAACGTGCTCCTGGACGCGCCCGCGGGGACGACGCGCATCCTCGTCACGCACGCGCTGCACTTCCTCCCGCAGGTGGACTACATCTGCACCGTCGTCGACGGGCGCCTTGCCGAGCGCGGGACGTACGCGGAGCTCCTTGAGAGCGGCGGGGAGTTCTCGCGGTTCGTGCGCGAGTTCGGCGCGAAGGAGAAGAGGGAGGAGGAGGAAGAGGATGTGGTCGAAGAGGTGGTGGCGGAGAAGAAGGACAAGGGCGAAAGCAGGTGGCCGCGGTGGGGAAGGCGACGATGATGCAGGCGGAGGAGCGGAACACGGGAGCGTGAACGGCGCGGTTTATCGACAGTACATGCATGCCGGACGGGGAGAGATCCTGGTTCCGCTCCTCATCCTGTCGGTCGCCCTGCTGCAAGGCACTCAGGTTATGAGCTCGTATTGGTGAGCTGGGTTGCCATATGCGACGGGTGTAGGAGGGACTGACTGGATCGTCTTTCAGGCTGGTCTACTGGGAAGAGAAGTACGTATCATCTGCATTGTCGTGATATAAGAGTGTGCTGACAGAGGTCTCAGCAAATGGCCGTATGGATCGGGCTTTTACGTGAGTACTGCTGTGCTTTCCCGACCTTCAGTGTCTTATCATGCTGCGTACAGATGGGCATATACGCGGGCCTCGGCGTTGGTCAAGCAATATCCTTCTTCTTCGTAGGCTTATGTTTCGCCTTGTTGACGTATATTGCGTCAAAGAAGCTGCATAATGTGCGTGTCAAACGGGGCATAGATTTCGCTGACGAATGGATGCTGATAAGCTTGATATGTCAGGACGCACTAACCAGGGTTATGTACGCGCCCATGTCATTCTTCGAGACTACGGTGAGCAACTGTGGACACATGAAATCAGCGCGCTGGACTGAAGGTGATCCAGCCTCTGGGTCGGATCATGAACCGGTTCGCAAAGGTGCGTATGCCCCAGCGTCTCGGTATTAGCTACGAGTTCGTTGCCGCAGAATCGACACCGTTGATAACTTGCTCAGCGACTCTATGCGGATGCTTGTCTCGACACTGGCAACCATCGTCGGCGCCATCATTCTAATCGGCATAGTTATCCCGTGGTTCCTCATTGCCGTCGGCGCGGTCCTCATCTGCTACGTCTGGGCGGCGTTTTTCTACCGCGCGAGCGCCCGCGAGTTGAAGGTTTGTACATCAGCCTTTCCTGAATACAATTTTATTGAGTAGCCCTGACCTGGACAGCGACTGGATGCCATCCTTCGCTCGTCGCTCTACAGCCACTTCTCGGAGTCGCTCTCTGGTCTGGCCACGATCCGCGCGTACGGCGAGACGTCGCGGTTCTTGGCGGACAACAGGAAGCGCGTCGACATCGAGAATCGGTACGTACCCTCTGTATGTCCTCTCCAGTTACTGCCTCTCTCAACTAGCCAATTGTAGTGCCTATTGGTTGACGGTCACGAACCAGCGATGGCTCGGTATCCGGCTCGACATGATGGGCATCATCCTCACCTTCGTAGTGGCGATCCTGTCCGTCGCCTCGCGCTACACCATCTCGCCCTCGCAGATGGGTGTTGTGTTGAGCTACATCATCAGCGTCCAGCAGGCGTTTGGGTGGCTGGTGAGACAGACGGCGGAAGTCGAGAACGACTTCAACAGCGTCGAGCGTATCGTGAGTGCATTTGCTGCCGTCCGCGCCGATGAGACCTAAGAATCCCTCCGAATCGTAGATTTACTACGCGAACGAGCTGGAACAGGAGTCTCCGCATAGCCTCCCAGACCGCACGCCGCCTGCGCCATGGCCCCCGTCGGTGCGATCGAGTTCAACGATATCGTGCTGAAGTACAGGCCCGAGCTCCCTGCGGTGATCAAGGGCCTGTCGATGTCCATCCGTCCAGGCGAGAAGGTCGGCATCGTGGGGCGTACGGGCGCAGGCAAGAGCTCGATCATGACGGCGCTGTACCGTCTGGTCGAGCTGACCTCGGGCTCGATCGTCATCGACGGTGTCGACATTTCGACGCTGGGCTTGGGCGACTTGCGCCAGGGCCTCGCGATCATTCCTCAGGATCCTGTGAGTCGCGCTCTAACGAGCTTGGCGAATTTCAAAGTGCTCATTCTTATGCTCGCTTTAGCTCTCTGTAGTACTTATTGACATGTCGATCTATGCGGCACTTACGTTACGGGCTTGACAGTTTCTGGTACACTGCGGAGTAATCTGGACCCGTTTGGATACCATGACGATGCGCGGTTGTGGGACGCGTTGAAGCGCGCGTACCTCGTGGAGGACCGCAAGCGGGCTCGATAGACGGAACTGAAGAGAGCGTGAACACTTCTAACCGGTTCTCGCTCGATAGCCCCATCGAAGACGAGGGTGGCAATCTCTCCATTGGCCAGGTGAGAGCTGCTTCGATGCGAAGGGTGGTAGCGAAATTGATTCCGATCTTTCGCAGCGGTCCCTCGTTTCGCTCGCCCGCGCGCTCGTGAAGGAGTCCAAGATCCTTATTCTGGACGAAGCCACGGGTAAGTGACACTCGCATGCTCGGCAGGGGAGAGTGCTCACGAATATGTCATTGTACCTTTCAGCATCCGTGGATTATGAAACGGATCGGAAGATTCAGGACACGATCGCAGTCGAGTTCCGGGACAGGACGATCCTGTGCATAGCGCGTAAGTCCGGGCCCTCGTCTTCCGCGTTCCCGAGTGGCAGTTAATCAATATTGGGGCGTCGCCCACGTCATCCGTGCAGACCGGTTGCGGACGATCATTGGCTACGACCGCATCTGCGTCATGGATGCCGGCGGCATCGCAGAGTTCGACACGCCTGCGAACCTTTACAGGATGTCTGACGGCATCTTCCGCGGAATGTGCGAGCGGTCGACGATCACGTTGGAGGACATTCTGTACGCGGCGAAGGCGCGGATGGTGGACGAGAAGCGGGTGTCTGTAGAGGCACCGATGAGCACGCACAGCGACTACGACGAAAAGGCTGGCACTGAAGTTGACGAGGTTTGATAGCACGCGCGGGAAAACACAGGCCCAAAGTGGCTGTCATGCACGAATACTAACGTCAAACAGTGATGAACATATAGACACTAGGCCGATGTATGTATGACGACTGATAGATATGTAGCAATATTGGCACCGGGGCGACTTCTTCTATTTCCGACGGTGCGTTGGCAGTGAGACGAGTTTGGCATGGTTTCTGATGCCCATCTGGAGCATACCGGCGATGGCAACGCGCAGGCCCGGTTCGCAGTCTGTTGCGCCCGAGGAGGCCTCTGGAGGCGGTCCTGGCCTCGGGAGCCCGGGAGCCCCGCGTACATACGCAGCCGGGCAGCGGCGGCAACTGCACGGCCCCTATAAACCCGAACAACGACTGGCCGCCACGTCGCCCGATAAGGGAACGGCGAGCATGTGACCGCGATACGATGACGCGCGAGGGGCGCGCTTGCGCGCAGATCGGCCCTACGATTGGGCAGTCGCGCGCCGTCTCGGACGCTGTTGGCTGCCGCCATGATGGACCACTGCAGTGCCTGCCTCCCTGCTCGGGAACAGCGGCAACCGCCTAGTATTTATATCTCCACCGTTCAACACCCCCCTATACGTCCTCCCCCTCTGCCCGCCATGTCCCAAGACCCCGTCCTCGCGCGCATCCTCGCCAACAACGCCCAGTGGGCCGCCGACGTCGAGCGGGCAGAGCCCGGGTTCTTCGCAGAGTGCGCGAAGGGGCAGGCCCCTAAGGTGCGAGGCCGGTGAGCGTGTCCCAACTAGACTTGACGGTGTCCCCCAGGTGCTCTGGATCGGGTGCGCCGACTCCCGCGTACCCGAGTCCGTCCTCACCGTGTCCAAGCCCGGAGACATCTTCGTCCACCGCAACGTCGCAAAGTACGTGACAGCCCCCTCCCAGCGCGCCCGCTCTGACGCGCCCGACAGCCAATTCAGCCTGGAGGACGATAACGCGCTGGCCGTGCTCACCTACGCTGTGCACCACGTCGGAGTCTCGCACGTTGTTCTGGTTGGGCACACGCAGTGCGGAGGCGCCGCGGCCTGTTTTGCCGCTGCGAACGCATCCCCGCCGGCCGGGCCCCCTTCCACGCCCCTCGAGCGCTGGCTCGCGCCCCTCGTCGCGATCGCGAAGGAGAAGCGCTGCAGCGCAGTGGACCTTGTTGAGTTGAATGTGCGCGCGAACGTCGCGAACATCATCGCCTCCGACGTCATGAAGAGCGCGTGGGCGAAGGGCAAGGACGTGCAAGTCCACGGCTGGGTCTACGAGATCGAGAAGGGCCGTCTGAAGGATCTCAGGATCACTGTCGGCAAGGAGGGCATCTGAGCCGTTTGCTGCCTGCCACTGGCTCGCGCGTTGTTCGGTATATCCAAAGGACCCAGAGTGATAAACCTAGCATAATGATACCTTCAAGACTTCAACCGAGGAAGTTGTAATATATGTTAATGTCCGCGACATCTTGCCTCGCCTGCGCACGACGTCGACGTCGAACGGCAAACGGGATCTCCTCCTTCCGAGTGGCGGCGACGGATCCTGTGGTACCCGGTCAGACGAAATATGAAATCTCACCGGTTTCGAGACTGTTTCGAGCTAAAATTATGTTGTGCACAGAACGCTTCGGAAGACCAGGGTGGAGCGGTAACATCAATGCCTTCGGCCGAGGCCCGGGACAACTGCGGTCTAGGAAAGCGCAGCGAGCTGGTCAGCATCTCCCAGTCTGTTATGACAACCATTCGCGAAAACTCACGGAACGCAACGATGCCAACGGGATATGACGGGGAGAGACATGATGATGGCATGGCCTTGACGGTAACCCTGGGACCCACCAAAGCCTATCGCACGACGCACACACGGGGCGCCTGAGGCGAGGCTGAGACGGGTAAGAACTGAAGTACTGAACAGATCGCACTCTGGCACAGGTTCTGGATAACAGCGGCTGGCGTGTCCAACAAGCCTGGTTCAGACAGAACTGTAACGTACTGACCCACCACCTTGAACGCTTCCTGAACAACTAGCGTCACGACCACGCCGCCGAGTCGCCCTGAAGCTTGAGCTGGATCAGTGAAGCTGTCAGTGTCTCGCATGTCCACGAAAGGCCATTCAGCACGTAAGTCAACCCCTACCATGAGAGGCCGTAACTGGCTCTGAACGTCGAGGTAGGACACAGAAAGCTTGATCTTGAGCTAGAGCCTGAATGAGTCGACTCGTCAGACGACACGCAAGGTGGCGGCCGTTGCCGCTTCACCCGAGCGCGCCGGCGAGTACTGCGCGAGATGTCGTCCAGCGCATCTACGTACCCAGCGTATCCGGCCTGAGGTCAGAAGGAGAATGTTGTCCTCTTGGTGTCCGGGTGGAGGATATCCTCGTAGTGTGCTCGCAAGTGGGCCCGTCGCTCTTGGGTTGCTCAACTCTAAAACGCGATCTGATCGCAATTGGGACCGCGGTCGGTCGACGCTTGGCGCACGCAAGCGAGACAGAGTCCGAGCTCGTCCGAGTTCGCCGGGCTACGCAGCAGGCTGCAGCCCAAACGTCGGCCCAGTAGCACATCAGTACCGGTGTTCCCAAAAGGAGTTCTTTCCCGATAGACTGTCGTGAGGCGGGCCTCATCGTCGGAGAGTGACCGCGCCGATGCCGGCGCAGGACCGTGTGGGACATGTTGCTCTAGGCTCGTCGCTAGCGCAGTCGGTGTTGGACGAGCTGTACTGCCTAATTGGGTAAGTGCGCCGTCGAATTCGTCCTCAAAGCGTCGTGCCGCATTAGCTCGGCAGTGGCGGCGGAAGAGTACTATCCGGGTACTATTTCTGCTGTGAAAGGCCAGACCGTGAAAGCACCTCCATTTAAGACTACTGCAATGACCCTCAACGAGTCGGAGGCAACCTGGAGATCCAGCCTCAATATTCAATGCCCGGTAGCCTATATACTTACCGTCGCGCCACACGCTGTGGCTATTAGAAATTCACAACGGCGCGCGGCTGACGACATCTCTCGAGAGCGAGCTCCAGCCTCCAGCCTCCAGAGTTCAACGTTCAACTTCCAGTAATCTTGGACGTCATCATCGTTAGTGAGTTGCGATCACTCAATATTGTATCCTGCGAGCCATCGAGTCGTGAGTATACTTACCATCGCCACCTGCAACAAATAGAATGGATGGACAATGATGCTTATTAGACATTGATACTTGGTACCTATACTTGCGTGAATGGATGCGCCGTGGGGTGAGTGCGTCTCGCATGCAGCTGTTGTTCGCTCAACTGACTGAACATTCCGGATGCTGCAGCACGAGACATGTCCTGTATATCGCAGTTTAAGCGGCTAATCCTCGGCGAACGGTGTCCCGCGCCGCGATGTGGGGCCCGTCCACACTGCCGAGGCCAGTCAAGAAGCTCGTGCCACGTACGATGCTATCCACATCTCTGAGCCAGCGGTGGTGAGGGAGACGACGCAGCCGCCCACCCAACGAGTAGGGATGTATAGCGACCCGCTTGACGAGGCTAACAGAGCGGAGGAGCAGCATCACCTCAAAGCATTGCAGATGGCCAACGAACGATTGCGCGTGCTGAATGGGGGTCTTGGGGAGATGGTGCAGTCCAGTATCCTCGAAGAGGTAGAGAGCGTAGCCATCAATTCAGCGGGGCGCGGAAGGGGAGACGATTCCAGTCAATGGACATCTTTCTACCCGTTGGCTTGTGTTGCCGTCGCCTGAATTCTCGTCGTATTCACCCATGTCCTCCACTCCGATCTCATTGCACCAGACATTTGTTCGAGGGCGGGCGTGTTAGGGCGGACACATCGACGCAGGCCGCGGGCCACAAACATGGGGGCGCATCACCTCGTATGCCACCAGTGCTTTGACATCTTCACGGCGCTGTACGCGTACCATAACGTCGCGGCAGAATCTGTCAGTCAACTCGTAGCTATGTGTGCGGAAAGCTGTACTCACCACGCTAGACGGCTGCGACGCGCAGCCCCAGTCGATAAGATATGCTTGGGAGACCTGGTCGTTGAAGAAGAGATTCGCCAAAATTGGGTCCTCGTGAAGCCAGTGAGTGCGGTGGTAACTGTCTAGGATTGCGTTCGTCGCGGCTTCGACGGCGTGTTCCAGCAGCGCCCAACATTGCTCCGGGTTGTGTCGCACATGCCTGTACGCGGACGTCAGCTTGAGGTATTTGCCCGGCGATGGCTTCACGATGATCCACTTCTCGCGGTGTTCGTCGCGACCGACTTTCCACAGAGCGCCGACCTAAGTAGACGTGTCAATCGTGCACAAGCGAGGCGAGAGATAACGTAGGAGACGTACGGCGGCAGTCGCACGGATCTCTTGCTCACTGATCTTCGTCTTGGCGTACCCGCCGTCATATCTGCCTCCGATGACTCGATAGACGACGCCATGTATGCCTTGCACTGGGTTCTTCGCAATCTTGTACTTCTTGCCATTGAGAGTCAGATCAATGACATCTACAGGGGTCAAATTGTCATGCGGTGATGCTTAGGCATGACCGAGCAGAACATACGTGGCGCACGCGGCCAAAGGTCGCGGACTGAGAGCTCAGAGGACTATTCATGCAGACAGTCAGTACATGAACCAATTTCCTGGCCAGTCTATTCCATGCTTACCGTGCCCCGGAAGACAGGTGCAGGTACAGCCCATGCTGTAGTAACGCACAAAGCGATCAACAGGAAAGAAGGAGTCGCATGTAAAGATTGTCAAAGATGCGAAAGAACCCCAAAATGGGGATAAAGAAGACAAAGTAAAGAGAAGGGAAGAGAAAAGAAGACGAATGCAATAGGAGGGGGAGGACCAGCCAGGCTCGACTTGCTGCTCATGGTGCGCCGGTTTTATAGGCCACTGGAGGTACGATCCACCGTGCGGTCGCATTACCAACGGCGTCCACGCTTCGTGTTTCCATTCCTCTGATCACGCGTGTATATTTGGAGTGCTCGGAATCACTCCTTAGGCTCTACTTGCCGATGTTCCCGTGATGCATGAACAAGCATTAATCAAGGTCGAATGTGTTGTCGGCATGCAAACTTGAACCCGGGTAACTCTCCTGTCACTGTGTCCTGGCAACAGTGAGCACTAGTGCCTATGTGAAGTAGACTCAGAGGTACTCACATGTAACGTCTATGCCTCCCCATCGACTGGGATCAATGCATTGAGGCTATATGTATCGACTCGGATATCCCGAGCAGGACCGTGCAGTACACATCGGCAGTTGAACGTTGCATTGTTGGACGTTTTGATGATGATGATGAGCTCATCATGTATTACTGTAACCGCAACAAGCAAGCAAAGTGCTATGTAGGACGCGACGGACCGTTCCTCCGATTGTAAGCGTTTGAAATGCGCCACCCAGACCTGCATTCCGTTCGACTCGGAGGGTAATATGATAGTCTGTACGTCAGGTGTGTCAGTAATGGACAGGCAATCAAGACGGTATTTAGTAGTGGCATGGTCTGAACTGTCGAGACGTAACGCACATGGTAATAAGTAGAAGGAAAGGAACAGAAGAGAAAGGCATACTGTCCATACTCGCCGGCTCTCAAGCGTCCTTCCCTAGAGGCGTAAGCCGGCATTGCCCGTGTCGATAGTGTTTGGTGGATCCAGGATGGGGTGCCACACTGGTGGGGACGGTACGTCGCCGTGCACTGGCTATTGCCTAGTCTTCGTCATTCTCCGCTTCTCCCTCGTCCTGACCCTTGTTCTCCTCCCCGCTCGAGTCTCCGTCGTCTTCATCCTCTGGGCAACGTTGAACGTGTGGAAACGGTCGGTGCTCGATTCGACGGTGGCGGTCATGGACGAGAATGGTCACGATCGGTGTGAATCATGTGCGACGCGATGTGGGGAAATCACAAGCTCGCGCGCCCGGCGCTTATTAAAGGCGTGTGCACCGATCATCTTTATGAGCCGTTGGGGAGCCGCTACTCACCTCCTTTGCCTCTGCTCCTCTCGTTGAACTGCAGTGCTACGCATTGGGCGTCGTGGCGTGTTGTGCATAGGTATATATCAATAACTGCTACGAAGAAACGTAGGTAGAGACCCCCAGACCAACCACACTTTCAAGACATCTCCGAGGAGGGCGACATGGCATCCAAGGAGCTTCGTACAATCTCTCGCGAAGAGGTCGCGCAGGTACGTTCAGAACTATACGAGTACAATCACACACCGTTCTTATTTTACCCTCTCTATAGCACAACAAAGAAGGAGACCTCGTGAGTCACCGAACATCGCTGTCGGACATCGACACGGACTGAAGGAACCCGCAGTGGGTCGTGATCGACTCCAAGGTCTACGACCTGACACGGTTCCGAAATCTTCATCCTGGAGGTTCATCCGTCCTCATGGAGGAGGGTGTTCGTACGTCTATCGCTTCCCGCCAGGCGTGAATTTGCACTGACGGAACACCTCACGCGTCCAGCCGGCCAAGATGCGACGGAAGTGTTCTTCAGCTTGCACCGCTACGAGGTACTTGAGCGACCACAGTATAAGCGGTTGCAGGTTGGCGTCGTACAGGGAGAGGAGCCAAGGGTCTTCCTACGATCAATAACGGCGCCATCAGTGCAGTGCCGTATGCTGAGCCGACGTGGCTGGTGGAGGGCTACCACAGCCCTACTTTAGCGACGTGCGTGTTTCTGACCGGAATGCTCTGTAGCGATGACGCTGATATCGCTGAAATGCGCAGAATCATCGGCAATTCCAGCAGGCAATCCGGGTATTCATGGATGAGATCGTCTACCCCGATGCGCAGGTAAGCACCGTTGCTGATCGTCATAAACGCATCTCACATGGACATAGGCACGCGAGCTGGACGGCAAGCGCCCTCCCAATCCGTCGTTGACAAAATGGCGTGAGCCCTCTCGCCTGCCCTCTCCTTCGCCCATCTCCCTACTCACCCTTACCACCAGCGAGATCGAGCTCCACGCAATGCGCATGGGGCCCGGGAAGCACCTCCAAGGGCGCACGCTCATGGGCGGGCTCGTCAAGCCGGAAGAGTTCGACTACTTCACGAGCTCATCATCTCGCAGGAGCTCACGCGCTGTGGCGCGCGCGGCTACGGCGACGGCATCAACGCGGCATGGTCATCGGCCTCCCGCCCGTGCTCAACTTCGGCGCGCCCGAGCTGAAGGCGAAGGTGCTGCCGGAGGTGCTGGGCGGGAAGAAGTTTATATGTTTGGCGGTGAGTGGTGCGGTTTGTGACTCGGGTGAGGTGGGTGGTTGATTGTGAGGGTGGTGGGTAGATCTCGGAGGCGTTTGCGGGGAGCGACGTGTTTGGGCTGCAGACTACTGCGACGAAGACGGAGGATGGGAAGCACTGGATCATCACTGGCACGAAGAAGTGGATCACGAACGGGATGTAAGGAAACCCATGCACTTATATACATCGGGCGTTGACTTATCACGTATGACAGGTTCGCGGACTAGTGAGTGAAGATCCGTCTCAATGTCAGTCTAGCTAAGCCGCGTGTCGCCAGTTTCACCGTCGGATGCAAGACAGAGGTTCGTCTGTGAACAGAACAGCACCTCTGAGCGACCTGACCAGCGCACTGCTGCAGGATGGATTACCGTCATTCTCGTAGACGCAGCGAAGGCGTCGAGACCAAGCCGATCAAGACGTCTACTCTCCCACCGCGGGCACTGCGTATGTCATCTTCGACAACGTCAAAGTCCCCGTGAAAACACCTCGGTGAGGAGGGCGGAGGCATCTTCGTCATGCTCAGGTAGGCGATTCCGGTGCGTGGGGGGTATGTGTCGTTGACACGCTCTCGTAGCAACTTCAACATGAACGGTGGGTGATGTGCTGCACGTCTACTCGCGGGCAGCGGTCCATTGTAGAGGAATGTATGAAGTAAGTGCATCGATGCGTAGTTACGCGGTGGAACAAGTGAATGACTCCACCCGCCAGGTGGGCGAACCAGCGGAAAGCCTTCGGGAAGCCGCTCAACTCGCTGGCCGTCGTGCGCTCCAAGCTGGCGGCGATGATCGCGCGGACGGAGAGCCTGCAGAACTGGCTGGAGAACATCACGTACCAGATGTGCAACATGGTATGCTCGCCCCCCTGCGTGTGTTTTACGGATGGCGTGGCTGACCCGCGCACAGTCATATAGGGAACAGGCGAACAAGCTTGCAGGGTGCGTGGCATCCACTTTTCCACGTCTCTTCCAGTGTTTTGACATGAGGAATGCAGGCCCATCGCGTTCTTGAAGATGACCAGCACGAGGTCCGCACAGGAGACGGCGACGGACGCCGTACAGATCTTTGGCGGGCGAGGGATCACGCAGACCGGCATGGGCCGTCATATTGAACATGTACGTTCCGGACTCCTCGCGCACACGTCGACGGGCTGTGACAGGTTGCTTTCTACTTAGTATCACCGGACGGTACCTTTCGACGCGCTGTTGGGCGGAGGTGAGGCTTTCTGTCGCTGTAATTGTGAAAGAGTGCATGCTGACAGGTCCGCAGCCGAGGACGTCCTTGCCGATCTCGGAGTTAGACAGGCGATGCGGAACATGCCCAAGGACGCACGGCTGTAGAGCGTCCGGCGGGTCACTCATCTCAAAGGGTTTCGCGCAGCTAGATCTCTCGCCCGGCAACTTGGAGGCTGTTGTACACTGCAATACCCCATACATGTACATGTTATTTGCCTGGTGTTGTACTGTTTTGTGGCTTTCAATCGTAATTTCGTCGACCCATGTGCCGCCGGCAGTCGCGGATCTGCATGGATCGTAATCTTGCGCTGTGCTGGATCTCGTTCGCTCGTACGACTGTTCTTGCGCTTGGCCGCCGCGCTCGCAAACGCGAGTCTCGCCTCGTCATTGGGATTCGTCAGTCCCCGACCCGGCGATGCTGACTGTATGCCCTCGTCAAGTCAGGTGGCTCTCACCGTGGGTTACGCAGGAGCTACGAGAGCACACATGAGCTGCGGCCATCGCCCCTGGGCTCTATATATGCGTTCGTCCGTCCTCACACAGCACATCCGGTACATCACATCACACCCGTCCAACACGATGGCCAGCCCAAAGACCGTTCCGATCTCTGCGCTGCCGCTGCCCCCTCCGAGCCATATCCTCACCCGGAACCTCACACCGGATCCGGAGACCCCGTCGCCCACCGAGTTTCGCAAGGTGCTCAGGGAGGGCCCTAGCGTCCAGCGGCGGTCTCACCTGCTCGCGAACGACGCGCACTTCTCGTACGTCACCCCCTCCCCGCTGCAGTTCCCGTTCCGCATCGAGCCGCCGGAGGACGGAAGTCCCGTGGTCGACAAGGTCGCCTACGTCGAGCAATGGCTGCTCAACGTGAGGCATTGAACGAGCGGCCATCCGCGCCGTCGGCGACGCAGGGTGTGCTGAAGAAGTATTATGCCGAGAAGAGGACGAACCGCGGTGCTGGTCGCGTTGGCAGAGTCCGCGCTCAAGGATTGCCTGCCGCGTCTTGATGTCGGAGACGCTTTCAGCACGCTGGGGACACCATCGCTGTCCAACGCTTATGGTGACGATGGTAAACCGGAGCCTGCATCTGAGGAGGCAGTCGCGGCGCGCCAAGAACTCATTGATGTGTTGAGCGGACAGGCTACTCTATGAACCTGGAAGGCGAAGCGGACGCACAGTGGGTGCCGTGGTCTCTGAGATATAGCGGGCACCAGTTTGGCACGTTCGCAGGCCAGTTGGGTGACGGCCGAGCCATCTCCATCCGTGAGTCCACTCAATCCTACCGGCTGCAAACGCGACTGAACCCTCGGTCCGCCTTGAAGTGTCCACCCCGCACCCGTCCGACCCAGACACGCCCTACGAGGTGCAGCTCAAAGGCGCAGGACGGACGCCCTTCTCGCGCTTCGCCGACGGCCTCGCCGTCCTGCGCTCCTCCATCCGCGAGTTCCTCTGCTCCGAAGCGATGCACGCGCTCGGGATCCCGACGACGCGCGCCTGTCGCTCGTCCAGCTCCCCGCGCTCCCCGTGCAGCGCGAGCGCCGCGAGACCGCGTGCGTCCTCGCGCGGCTCGCGCCGTCGTTCATCAGGATCGGCTCGTTCGAGGCGCTGAGCCCGCCGCAGTCGGGGATCGGGGTGTCGCAGCAGGACCCAAACTGGGAGGCGCTGAGGCTGTTGGGGGAGTGGGTGGGGAAGAGGGTATTGAAGCTGGAGGGGGTGCGGTGGGGAGGGGAGGGGGAGGATAGTAAGTGGGGAGAGAAGTTGGTGCTGGAGAGCGCGAGGAGGAATGGGAAGATGGTTGCGGGATGGCAGGCATATGGGTTCATGCATGGAGTGATTAATACCGACAAGTGCGTTCGCGTCCTAATGACGCTGCGTCCGCTCACTGACACGATATGGTAGCGTGTCCATCCTAGGACTAACGATTGACTACGGTGAGTCTGCATGCGCGAACTTTCGCAGCGATCATAAACGGAGTGTCTGCCCAGGCCCTTACGCGTTCATGGACGTATTCGACGCATGGCACATCTGCAATCACGACGACGGCGAGGGCCGATACGGCTACAAGTGGCAGCCCAACGCGATGTAAGCTGCTCCTCCACACCTCAGTAATACGTTTGCGCACTAACTCTCCACTAGTGTATTCGCCCTCCGCTCCCTGGTGACCGCACTCGCTCCTCTAATCGGCGCGGAAGCCGAGCTCGGGCACGCCGTCTCCCCGAACTGGGCCAACGAAGCCAAGATCGACGAGTGGCGCAAGAAGGGCACGGAACTCGTCAAGGACGAGATGGAGGCGTCGCCCAGGAAGCGTGCGCACAAGAATACGGCAGGCTGATACACAAGGTGCGCGTCCCCTTTACCTCTCATCCTCGCCCTCGCCGACCGACCCCACGACCCCGCCCGCAGCGCCTCGGCCTGCGCCGACACGACCCCGCCGACGAGGCAGAGCTCAGCCGGCCCCTCCTCGACATCCTCTCCGAGCACAAGCTCGACTTCCACGGGACGTTCCGCGCGCTCGGCGCGTTCCGCCCGTCCGCGGGCGACGCCGCGCGCAACCTCCTCGTCGACCGCCTCCTCGCCCTCTGCGGCACGCCGCACAACCTCGACATGGCCAAGGCCGTCGAGGACTGGCGCGCGTGGCTGGGGAAGTACGCGGCGCGGATCGAGAGCGAGCGGGGCGAGTGGGGCGGGGAGGCGGACGGGGAGAGGAGGCGGGAGATGAGGGCCGCGAACCCGAGGTTCGTGCTGAGGCAGTGGGTGCTTGAGGAGGTCATCAAGAACGTGGAGCGGGATGTGGACAGCGGCAAGAGGCTGCTGGCGAAGGTGCTGCAGGTGAGGTCCCACTCTGCGGTATTCAGCTCTCGCACTTCGCTGACCCCGTGGCTGCGCGTAGATGGCGTGCAACCCGTTCGAGCCTTGGGGCGCCGAAGATCACGACGACGACGACTCAACGTTGGACGCCGAGGCCAAGGAAGAACGCAGGTTCTGCAGCCTCGGCGACATGAACTACCTCGGATACCAATGCAGCTGTTCAAGCTAGGCAGTCGCAAACAGTTCAGCCCGCATATGTATCGTTAGCCATGTCTGAATCAGAGGTCCTGATGTTTGGTTTGCATTGCCCATCCATACAGTATTAATACAGTACTTCCCCCGCCTCTGCTTCCCGCCAAGGTTCCCCTCTATGTCGCGCTCCCGAAGATTTGGTATCGCCTGCAGATGCTCGGGCCGACCTCGTCGTATTGCGCTTTCGTGTGCAGAAATTGTAGAACTCGGGCTGTCGCCGATCAGTCAACATGCACGCACAGACTAGATGGAAGCGCTTGACCTACCAGAGATGCGAGCAAGGACCCACCGAACCAGACCGCGTACCGTTGGCGTTTGTGGAGATGACGTCCACCTCTACGCCAGACGACTGGAGACTCGTGAGCTAGCGGTGTGCGAGCAGACAACGTATGAAAGCCTACCTTGACGTGGCTGCCGCTAGCAAGCACGCTGCATCCAGTCTGCGATCGACTATTTGCTTGATATCTCGCTTGAGACGCTGACCGAAGTGCTGGAACATCGTGACCCTCCGGAGAGCACAATGTTCTGACAAGCTTGAGCTCAATGCTCGTTTGGATCAGTCGTGTGAGCATACCTTGTAGAGACCACGCCGGACGTCGATGGCGACTGCTGGACGACGCTGTCGACGATCTCAGGCAGCGGGGTCAGGAAGTCGGAGAGTTGATTTCAGGGTTGAAGAAGATCTCGGGTGCGAGGAAACGCTCGTAGCCAACGTCCACCGAGTATTTCTGAGAGCACGGGAATTAAGTGGGACGCAAGCACAAGGAGATCGCACTTACTCTGCCGGTGACAGTATGTTCGCCGTCAAACCGCTCAAAGTACTTATACGGCTCCTCGTCGAACTTCCTGAACTCCCTGACGATGTCCTGGCACACATAGCTGAAGTTCTCCTTCACTTTCCCGGCGACCTTCATCTGGTCCTCCGGCGGGACCGTAGCCATCTCGCCGCGCTCGCGCATCAGATTCAGCACGAACTGCGTGATGTCGCGGCCGGCAATGGGGATGTGCTTGATCGCGCTGCCGATAACGTAGCCCTCCGCGCAGGGGATGACGTGCGTGACACCATCGCCGGAGTCGATGACTGTGCCGGTGAGCGTGCGCTCGTTGACGCGGCTGGACGTCCAGGAGGCCGCGAGCGCGAGCACGGCCTGCACGGCGATGTAAAGGCCCTTGATGTTGAAAGACTCGAAGAATATCTCGGCAGTCTGTTCACGATTCTCAGGTGCATTGAGTGGGGGTTCGGTCTACGTGTTGGCGTTGAGGCGAGCCGTCAGTATTGCCATGCATAGGACGGAAAGCGAGGTCTACTGACCAGTAAGAAGTAGTGGTCCTCAGGCTCAGCCCGGAGATACTTGAAGATCGTCTGCTCCCAGTACCGCTCCATGTGATCCCAGTTCTCGATCTGGCCATGACGAATGGGATAGTACACGCCATAACCTGGCGTCTGCGCGTTTGCGAGTGCCTCGTCGCCGATGAAGAAGTCGAGGTCCTCTACTCCGCGCTTGGACGCGAGGTTACCTGGTCGTGGTGGAACTGCTGGACCTGACCGTGACGGCTGCTGTACAGGCCCTCTTGTCGCGATTGCGGTAGGAAACACACTGTCACAGAGTTGAGAAAACACATCGACGTAGCTGGACGTGCAACTCACAAGGAGGGATCAGAGTTGCCGCGAACCTGGAGACGCGAATGTGAGCACTAGCCAGGGCAGATCTATGTCTACCTACCCGACTTTCGAGTACCCAGTTCCGTTGTCACAGATGATGGGAGCTAACAGAGACATGGCGCTGAGTATACTGGGAGAGTGGAAGAGTATAACGGGACCGCGCAGCCCTGCGCTACGACTGCACAGTGCAGGTGGCGGAGACCGACAGCGTCAGATCACTACGACCAGCCTATCGGGTGCAACATCATATATATAAAATTGCCATGGGTCGGTGGCGTAGTTGGTTATCGCATCTGTCTAACATTCCAGTATGGGACGTGTCCACAGAAGGTCCTCAGTTCGAACCTGGGCCGACTCATGTTTTGCTGATCTTCTGAGCATCCAATCCGCCACCGCTGAATCCATCGACCCTCAGGCTGATACATCACCGTACTAGACATTCTGGTTGTTGAACGCGTTCTGTTGCGTTTGGCTCACTTTTCGCGCGAGACCCGTTGCTCTTGAAATGGAGCCTACTGAAGTGCCCAGCGCGGCACCTACCGCCAGCCCCACCTGGTCTCACTCGTTCTGCATCTAAGAAAGCACTACAGCATGGTGAAGCACTGTGTTCTCGGGCCAGCGTTCTCTCCTCGACATCAGCTCAGACTGCTGTGGACGTCATGAGCCTGGACGCGAAGGTACAATGGATCAAGAACGCGGTCGTCGAGCAGCTGAAGGTGAGCACCCAGCGGTGGACCTTGGTCGACATGCTACCCAGACTCAGTATGATGTAAGATGGCTGCACATGTAGCAAGGATCATAGACAGAAGCGGTCGCAGCTAGAGAACGAGCACAGGTGTGTCAACTCGTACGGTGCGCGATAATAAGTATATTTGTCATTCGCCTAGGAATGGGATACTTTGCGCAGTCAACGCACGGACGCGCTCGACTCCATTCTTGAACTCTGGGCAACCAGGTTGTCCGCCTGACTTCCATACCACCCTCGTCCGACGTCTCGCCATTCGGCCTACCTCAGGACTCAGACGAGGAGAAGGATGGCGGAGGGCTGTCTGGAGACCCGCGACCCGGCACCAGTCCGACAGATACACTCAGGAACGTCTCGCGCTACGCGAAGCCGCGTTCAATGGAGTGCAGAAGGACGGAGCGGCTGGAAGACATTGCGAGACTTTGTGGACGAACGTGCGATAGAGGATATGCTGGACAGTGTCGAGAGTGACCGCACTGCACTGGACGTAGGTGAATCCTCTGCTGCTCATAGGCGAGGGATCCTATCGCTCCCAACAGACGCTGTTTTCTCGGACATCCGATCACCCAAAGTACCTTATGGCGTCCATAGCAGCCATTGAGGACGATATGCCCGTGGAGGCACCCCTGCCATCATTCGATAGGATATTTACTGCACAGGAGGACGCGAAGGGCAAGATGGCAGCGCATCTCGAGAGCCTTGCTGCACACTACGACCAAATGGCTGCTATAATGCAAGAGCATGAGGCGGGCGAGGAGTTCAGCGAAGATGACATACGGGGTACGTGAACTGTGGCAACATTAGCGCAACAACACCCTCACCGGGCAGCTCAGATATGAACAGAGATACGGAAGAGCTGCCTGCTATCCTTTCCGAGTTGGAGCAGAACATGAAGGCCATGGAGGAAACTCAGTACGCCGTGACCATTGGTTCGTCCTAAGGTTGCGTGCTGACTTTTAGAGTATGTTCTAGTGAGCAATTACTGTCCACTAAACGCGCTGCTGAACACACATTGAGACACTGCGACGTACCATAGATGACCTAGACGAGCTTGGTGGTATCATGTCAGACATGCTCGAGCAGCAAGAAACAGTCGAGGTCAGTGTCCCATCTCCCCTCACCACATCCCATACTGATATGGTGCAGACCGAGAGCACAGAACATCTCAGCTTGCTGCACGAGCACCTGGTCACGATCGAGGACCTCCACCACCGCTACACGTCCTACGAGTACTCCTACAACATGCTCCTCCTCGAGCTCGCGCGTCGTCACCGGTACCGCGAGGATGCAGAGCGGCTGATCATGAGCGTGATCTCTCAGCTCAATACCATGGCTGAAGGTCAGTGCTATCTGTCTCGATATTGTCGCTGTACTCAGCAGTCGTCACAGAGGAGATTCAGCTGCGCGAGGAGTTCAAGGCAGAGCATGGCCAATACCTTCCGGACGACGTATGTCTGTACGTGCAGAACGCACCGACCCACTGGACGGTCATCCCGCGGGATGACGAGGAGGTCGAGGTCCTGCCTGAGATGGAGGGCGATCTGCTCGACAAGGTTAGTTGAATCTTGTGCTTATGTTGCTCCGTCGTTGACGTCGTCCGATCAGGCCAGGTCGAGATTACAGAGAGTGGAAGGCGGTGGTCTCGTCGGTAGTCAGTCACTCTAGTACGGAGTGCACTTCTTCCCGCATGTCGACACGAGCCGCTGTGTGCATGTGCATGGAGACCTGAAACTAGCTGAGACCTGAAGCAAGTGCCTGCCGGTAACCGTATTCAGTAAAGGAGAGCGCTCCTTCGATCCAAAACTTCTAGCCAATAGGCAGCAAAATGAGTCGGCCCAGGTTCGAACTGAGGACCTTCTGTGAACGCGATGTTAGACAGATGCGATAACCAACTACGCCACCGACCCCTGCATGCGTGTTCCCCGTGTCATTCCAGGCTCCGGCGCCACCTGCATCCACTGAAGAGAACGTCACCGGGGCGTATGTTTGGAGTCAACATAAGTATTTCGACCGCAACCGCATTCACCATGAGCACTCGACTTTGACATCCTCTACCACGACCGCTGAGCTAGATGTCTTTACTTTTGCTACGTGCCACAGAACATCATATGCAAAGGGCGGCTTGTTCCCGCCTCACTGGCTTGTCGACACGCCGAACAGTCTCTTATGACGTCAACGTCAATAAGGAAAGCCCGAAGCAAGTGAGCTCTGGGGTCGTTATATCACACATATTCTCAATCAAACCCACCAGAATATCAGGCAGCACGACACGCAGATAGCTGCAGAGGATGCCGCTCAAAACGACGCTGCACAAGCATCACAAGCGAGCAGTGCAGAACTAGTGGACGAAGCACATAAACCCGAGCAACCCGGACCCAAGCCTCACAAAATGACCGTAGCCGAGCAGGATGCTGCGCTGATGGATAAATGGAAGGAGCGTCAAGGCTCGCTGGCTAATTCAGAATTTGAAGGCGGTCAAGTGGAAGGTGGATACCGGCGCAATGTGGTATGTACAATTCATGAAACACACCTAGGTACACAGGATACTGATAGTACATTCATTTACAATAGAAAGCCAACATCTTCCGGTACATCTAGGACGCGCCCCACTTGCATTGACCACCCTGTACCATAGCGAAATCCTATACTGTAAACTGCTGTCTCATCATGGGACAGTCATAATGACAAACTGGATCGTTGGTCGCAGGGCGCGCTTATAGCACAATGATCTGGTTCCAAGGAGCTTGCACGATACCCTGGTCAGAATCACTATCATGCGCAGAGCCTACTGTATCATGCGTCAGTTCCGCCTACAGATAATCGGACATAGAGTCGCGCACCTTCCCTATCCTCGCTCGCGCACACCCACACCTTCGCCACAGTCGGATCATGATCGCTCGTCTGCGCGCCCTTGCTCGTCGCCCACGTATTGATATGCACATGTTCCACGGCCCCGCCCTTCGCCTTGACCGCGTCCGACACGAGGATATGGTCGATCTCCTGCGCGTGCTGCTCGTACACGTACGTGTACCGCTCCGACGGCGGAACCCCTGCGACCTCGTTCATGTCCGTGAGCAGCCCAACAAAGGGCGCAAAGACGCTCCGCGTCTGCAGGAACTCATTCATGTCCCCACCGACGATGATGTGTGCGGTGGGGTCGAGGTCCAGGAGCGACGAGATGAAGGTCTGAGGTAATGAACTGAGAGAGTGACACATTATCGGATGACGGGAGGCTTACTGCGGTGACGTTCACTTGCGCTGTGCGCTGCTCGCTCTTGCCGTTTACAGGCGGCCGCGCATCGCCCTGCGCGGACGAACTGTCACGTTTCGAGCTGTAGTGGACGTTCACGGTGTAGAACCGCTCTCCATTATTCGTCTGCCACGCTGCCGCAACAGGCTTGCGCGCCTCCTCCCATGCTGTGTTGATGGGATCGATACGTCCCGGGTTGAAGCTTGGGGAGAGTGTCAGAGCGTGAAATGCAAGCAATAGATTGTGTTGCCGCACCTCAGAGTTACCTTCCCTTGCTCGTCCAGAACAGGCTCTGTCGCCTCTGTTGCGTTCCCAGCAGGCGAACCAGATACCAGAGATACCTTCGCAGGACGCCACCTACAGCATCACAGTATCAACACCATCCTCTACACCAACCCCACCAAGGTGCCCACTCACAAGTACGCCACTCTGATATTCCCACCCGGCTGCCCGCCATCCATATTATCTTCCGGGGCGACGTACGCATACTCGTACTGCGCCTCGTACAAGCTCACCCGCGCGATCGCCGCGGTGAGCCTGCTGAGCGTCTTGTCCGCGGACACCGTCCCGTCGTTCTTCGTGCCCGAGTCGTCCTGGATCTCTTGCAGGAAGACGATGTCGGGCGCGTTGAGGTAGCTGACAATGTGGTCGGCGATGGTGGGGAGGTGCCAGGAGCGCGGGCCCATGTTCTCTACCTGGGAAGGGGAGGGGAGGGTTAGTGGTTCCTCATGGAGATGGTGGAGGACGGACATTGTAGTCGCCGATAGTGAGGGAGCACGGGCTCGACCCTGACAGGAGAGTGGTCGGTGATGGCCACTCATCGGGCGTTGAGACGATGTCGGGCGCGGTCAGAGGCAAGACGTAGTAGTTGCCAAACTACACACACAGGTGAGCAACACGTCTACAAGAACTCCGTTGTCCGCGCCTACCTGATATGTCACGACGCCTGTGATATCGCTCATCTCCATACCCATATATGCGCGCGGCAGCTTGGTATCATCCAGAGGACGGCCAATGAGGATAGCCCCGGAGTGTGCGTCGGGTGCTCCTCCCGACTCTGCACCGTAACACATTGAGCACAATCGCTTGTAGGCCCGCACAGCACAGCAACCTTACCGGGAAAGTGGACAGTCAACCCGCCTCTCGAGTTTAGCCCTGCCACCGGCCAAGCCCCATATACCCACACAGCACCGAACCAGTCCGGGAAGTTGGCCGCGACAGGCGACGGCACCGTGACCAGCTGTCCCTCCAAGCTCTCCCAAAAGTCCAGGCCATACAAATCCGGGCGCAACACCTCGTTCTCCTCCTCGAGCCGCGTAACATTGTTCGGTACGGACAGCCACCCGTCCGGGCCGTCGTCGTACGCGGAGGGCTGACCCTTAGGCGGCGTGCGATCCTCGCCGAGGAGCACGGGCGCGACGTGGTTGTCGTGCGAGAAGACGATGATGTCGCGGATGAGGTCGAGCTCGGTGAGCGAGAGGTCGTTCGGGTTGTTCGCGGCGCGGTACTCCGCGACCCGCCCCGTGAGGGAGATGTCGTCGCCGACGGAGACGCCGCGAAGGGCGTGCGGGCCGTAGATGCGTATGCCGTTAGACTCGCGCGGGTCGGAGGAGGGCACGTCGGAGATCCACCCGCCGTATTTGTCCTAAGCATGACAAGGCTAGGATTGATACTCAATCTCGATGTAGGGGGCTCCGGAAGCGACGTAGGAGCGCTGAATGGCAACAGACGACACAGAGAGCAAGCAGCCCTGCTCACCTGTTGTCATCTCCTGCCGCTCACGCAAAAGCTAGGTCTCGAGCGGAGCCGAAACACTACAGAAGACGTACCTTTGCGGTCAGGATGCCATACACATCGTTGACGGTTTGGCCCTCGTAAGGCGACCGGAATGAGTTGCCTTGGATCTCAGTGACGCTGATTGCCCACGTAGCGATGGGTGCGCCTGCGAGAGAAAGAGCTGAACAGAGTACTCTGGCTGAGAGCATGCTGAGCGGTACACCGTATGCGCGTTCAAGTGGCCGCGAAGTTCCTCGTCAATGCACGGGAGACGAAACCACAGACGTCGTTACCACGGTATGAGGAAAGAGGGAGGGGCACGTTTCGATGTCTGACTGCGCTCAACGGCGCATGTTGTCTGAGGAGAAGAAGGGTGTATTGTCTGCCAAAGGCGGTGGCAACCGCGCTGCAAGCCCGAGCGGCTACAACACGACCACCAGAACGTGCTTGATACGGAAAGTCGCAGGCTCGCTAGTACCACGTCAGGCTAGGTGGCTCTAACCAATGTCCGCACAATACCAGACGACAATAGAAGTGCTGAGCGTGCAAGCAATTAATGTGATGTAGTGACCTCTAGTAGGCTGAGGTCGTCGTCGAGGTCAAGGAGTCGACGACTGACTCCGAGTTTCTCGGGACGGAACCAGGTCGGAGCAGCGCACGTGCCCGACCACTGCAATGCCGGTGCGCTCTTACGCAGTGGCAGCGGCAACGGTCTCCACCCACTCTCCGCCTTCCGCCTCCTCTTTCACCTCTCTTCTCTCTCTCTGCAGGCACCAGTCATGAACTCACCCCGCAGCCCACTCGACGCTGCCGTCTCCCTCTGCCTCGCCTGTTCCTCTTCCCTACCCCCGCGCAAGTCCTTCGCTCTCACCTCGCCCTCCTCCCCGAACTTCAAGCCTTTATCGTCCGGCGACGAGATATTCGTCACTGACTGCTGTCATAGGCCGATCTGCCCCGCATGCGTGCGCGCGAACCCGCGGCTCGTGCGGTACAATCCGTGCTTGCACTGTCTGGGCGGAGTCGGCGCCGTCAGTGCGGGTTCGAGGACTCGGACGTTTCAGGAGGCAAGCGGTGGTGGGAAGGGTGCGAGCATGAAGGTAAACGTAGATGGGGGTGTGCGGGATGAGGATGTATTCGTGCTGGGAGACGATGATGACGAGGTGGAAGATGAAGACAGGGTAGGGGACAACGTGAGTACGGCATCCGACTCTCCCTCGCCTGCAACGCCTCCCCCAGCCTACACCGACGTCGTCTCCCCTCTCCCTTCCGCACCTTCAATGCCCTCGAAATCCCCGTCCTATGCATTCGCGACGAAGGATTCGGAGGCAGGGCCATCCAACTCCGAAGCGAATTCCCCACAGCCAAATGGCGACAGTCCTTCTCCATCCTCAGGCCCACAGCGCTACTACATCCAGCCCACCGACACCCTCGTCGGTATCGCCCTCCGCTTTCACGTCGACGGCCGCCTCCTCTGCCGACTCAACCACCTCCCGCCCTCCACCCTCCGCACCACCCCGCACCTCCTCCACACCCGCGCCTTCCTCGACCTCCCGCCCAACACACCCGAGGCGCTCTTAGCAGGGAAGGTCGGCGTGAGGGCGGTGAACGGGCCAAGCACAGCGGACGAGGCGCGGCGCGCGCGTGAACGCGCAGAGAGCCGGTTCCGCACGTTCACGAAGGAGGCGGACTACCGCGTCGCGCGGGCGTACGTCGCCGTCGCGGACATCGACGACTCGGACGCGTTCCGGGAGGACGAGATGAAGAAGGCGAGCGCGGTCGCGTCGGCAGCCGAGAAGCTGCGGAAGCGGCATCCCAGCTCGCCGATCGAGGGCGGGGGAGAGGGGAGCGGTCTGGAGGTCCGGGCGGTGGATCGGTATCTGGACGATGAGGAGTGGGAGGAGAGGCAGAGGAGGGACGGGAGGGGAGTCGGGATCCCTGCGTTTCCGTTATTTGGCGGTGTGGAGAAGCCTGCAGATGGGAAGAAGACGTGGTGGAGGTGGTAACGTCCCACCGCGCTGCTTATACGATACTTGACAAGGTGCTTCGAGCGACCATTGCTAAGCGCTAAATGCCGGACTACAGTCGTGTCGATGACGAACTCATGGAAAGCACAGACTCGGAGGGAATAGTATATTGATACATAACACGAGTAGAGGTCCACGGCAAGTACAAGTCCAGGAAGTACAGGTGAGAGGAGAATGGAGAAAGGCCGAGCAAGGAGGCAGGCAGATGACAAGAACGATGGCACTCTACCGGTGGCCTCCATCGCGAGGAGCCTCCGTCAGCGTTAGCGAGGACCAGCCGTCCTGCGCACCGCGCGCTTCCGCGATGTTCATCGAACTCGCCGCCACCTCGGGGGCTTGCGAAGCTAGCCGCGGCGTCGTCGCGGGCTTGTGATCGTCCGCGAACTGTTCCAACGCACCGAGAGGCACAAGGACGAGGTCTGCAAGGCACGGACCGGGATCTCTCAGATCACAGGCCGTGTGGGGAGGAGGCGTCGCGCTCACCTACGATCGGGCCGTTGAGGAAGTGCGGGTGCGTGATCGTCGACGCGGTGGGGTCGAGCACCTCGCCGTCGCACGCGAGTCGCTGCGGGATGCCGTCTTACTTTGCGTCGGGCGAGGAGCGCGCGGGGACTCACCCAGTACATGAGTGGGATGCAGAGCAGGTCCTCTATCCGTTTCATGAGCGATATCTACGTGTGAAGCCTGTCGTTAACTCCCCCCTAACGGCATAGCCCTTGCATCCGGGACGCACCACAGAGTCGCCGCCCGCCCACGGGAGCGCGAGGACGTCCTCGCCCGCCGCGGTCGCGGTCGCGGTCCTGATCGCGGTCGTCGCGTACGCGTCGTAGCCCGTCACGCGCACCGTGCCGTTCTCCTTCGGCCTGAGCGTGCGTGTATCCGAGTCGGGCACGCGCTGCGGGGTCGGGGAGCGCGATCTGCGCCGGCGGCGGCGGACGCGCGCGTTGGGGTCGGGGAGGCGCAACGTACCGAAGGTCTGGCTGGCGGTGGGCGGGCCCGAAAAGCCTGAGATCGTGGTGACCGCCATCTTGGTCGCGTGCAGGGGTATGCAGCGGGCTGATCCAGAGGGGAACCTCTGCGACTGTTGCGAGAACATTGGGCGCATTTAAGCGTTTGGGTGGGCAAGGCCTGGGCGATAGAGAAGCTGAAGCTGGCAGATGCGAAGGGGGGCGGCCGAGACTGAGATACGCTGTTGGCCTCGGGGGGAGGATGTGTTCGTGTTGGGATTCCGGGGTGGTCGGACGCGGAGCATAGCCTGATCGCCTATACGCACCCGCTGCCAGTACGTATACTATTGGTGCCTCCTCGAACCCTCAAATACGATCGGACTCCCCCGCGCCAATATCTGCCTCTTCTGTTTAATCTAACGTCCATGCATCGATCGCTGTCTACCGGCCAGCAATTCCGCATACTCAACGCTCTCACTTGACGTGTGTTTGAGTACAAGTAGTGCTGTACTTAGTAACGGTTTGTGTACTGTGCAAGTCTCAAGTTGTCGGCCCGCCTCTGTAATTCACCACATAGTCACTTTCCTCGGGCAGCGATCGTACGGCCGGTCGGTGTGGGGAAGCTTCTTCGAGGGAAGATTGTTCAGCTGCACTGCAGATAGGCTGCGAGTCTAGTTCCTATCGCCGTACCCGTCGGCTCTTAAGCTTGAAAGCTTGAATCTTGAGACTTCGAAGGTCACGTAACATGGAAACCTACAGTCAAACCCGCAGCCTGGACCATGGCTGGAAGCATTCTCATCAAAGAAACGTTGTGCATAGTAAGCACTCGAAGCTGGTCACGGAGAGGAACGAACCCGGAGCTAGCACGCTCGCAGTGACAAGCTCGCACTAGCGCAAATCCGTACCGGCGATCAAGAACAAAGTCCCGTCTTGTACCAACGGCACACCAAGACCCTGCACACACTGACACCGCTTCTTGACGTCGAACCTAGAACATGACCTGCATTCACTGCTTAGAGATATAACGGCAACGCACGTAACGTACAACAACATGAACGCGTAAGACCACGGTCCAGTCAGCAAGCCATTCACTCGCTCAAGAACAACCTCTTCAAATAATCAGCCGCCGCCCTCCTCACCTCCTCTCCCACATCCGGATTCGCCAGCATCTCCGTCGCCAAGGTCGCCTTCTCCTTTCCGCTCAGCCCGTCCTCCCTGTTGACCCCCATCACGCCCCCCAGTCTCACCTGCTCCGCCTGGGCACCAATCAGCGCGCTCAGCGCCGCGATCTGCTCGACCAGCGTCTGCTCGACCGCTGTAAGCCGCTCGAGCGCCTGCACCATCTGTGCCTGCGTCTGCTCCGCAGCCGACTCGCGGTGGCTCACCGCGAACGACGGTACGGACCGCCGCGACGTGAGTGGCTGCGGCCGGCGGTCACGCTCCGGCTGTAGTGGGAGCGGCGGCGGCGCGAGGATGCTTGCGGGGTTAGGGTCCGGCGGGCGGGGTACACTGGCGTCTCGCCCGTCTAGCTGGGAGGCGTCGGGTGGGGCGGACACGCTCGTGTGAGGTTGGCGCTGCTGTACTTGTTGCTCGTCGGCGTCGTCTTCATCTTCGTCGTCTTCCCCGTCTTGCGGGCTCGTCAGCTGTGGATCGATGCTTGCGTTGGAGTACTGTGCGGCGGTCGAGCCGTCGGGGAATGTCATTGCCGTGGGCCCGTAGTAGGGGACCGCCTGCCCAGTCCTGATGATGTGTGCCACGGCATGAGTGACAATGACCAAGTTAACGCTGAACTTCAACAAAGGCGCCGCACCCATCGTCCACGTATCGTCTTTTGAACAGCTGGTACCAATCCTTCTGATGCCAGTGGTCGATGACCTTTACGTTGAGATTCGCGACGGGGATGTTCGCCGCGCGCGCATCGTCGAGCCTTTGCTCAAGGTGCACCTGGCGCGCCATCGTCGGGTCGTTGAAGTTCCCGAGCGACGCGGCACCATTGATAGGCCCGCCAGCGTCGGGGTTGTGCGCCAGGTAGACCTCGAACGCGAAGATCTGCTTGAACGTCTCCACGTTCCGGTGGTAGCAGCTCTTCAGTGCCGTGAACGACTTGCGCCCGCCGAACACCTGCGTCGCGGCCTGCGCGTGGCAGTGGCGCGCTCAGTAACCCTGTCGCGCCCACGCGCATATAGTGATGACGTACGTCGCGGAAGACCGTGTTCATCTTCGACCTGAACATGTCCCAGTTCTTGTCGTTGTCCAGCAGCCAATGGAACAGCGTGTCCTTCTCGCTGTCCGTCCAGTGCTTCGGCCCGCCGTTCGGGCCCAAGTCCGCTTCGTCGCGCTCGATCCCGTCGAGCCCGCTTCCGACCGGCACGTACTGCCGCCGCTTGCGCGGGCCCGTCATCGACCCGGATCCATCCTCGCTCTTGCGTTTCGACGGGCCGGGCGTGGGCGTGTGTGGCACGCGCGGGCTCTGGTCGGCGTGCGGGTGCTCGGAGGGGCCTGGGCCGGGCGTAGCTTGTGAGGGCGCGGTCGCGTTCGGGGGCACGGGAGACGAGTGGAAAGAGACGGGGAGTACGTTCGCGCCGAGCAGCGAGGAGCTGCCGTACGGGACGACGTTGCCGGGGTAGATCTGGCCGCCGGGGTAGGGCACGGGGGGCGCGGGGCTGTACGAGCCCGCATTCGACTAGACGACGACGAACACATACAAGTTAGACTCTTTCCGTGCGCGAACACCGTGTTATGGCCCACCTGGATCCCCTCCCCACTCGGGGACTGGTTCAGATGCTGCCCATTCGGAGGAGCGGCACCGTAGTGCCCATTCACGTCGGGCCTCCCAATGTCATGCGGTCTACCGCAATAAATACTTTCGGGTCAGCATGGTGGTGGTATACAGAAATGATTGACTTGCATTTGGGCCATGTCGGGCGGCGTGCTTCGCCAGACCGGTTCGTCTGTGTAGCTGGCTCCGAGTCGGTGTGCGAGTCTGATGGGAGATCGGACGCGCGCTCGCAGGCAGACGGTTGTTTGGTTCGGTTTGTCCGCGCCAGGCTGAGAAAACGGGTGGCCCGGTGGCTGGCGTCCGTCCGTCGTTCTGGTCTCGGTGAGCCGGCGCCACGCAGGTGATTCGACTCGCAGAAGGCGAGATGGTATTCGGGTTAGTTATAATGTTCGTGTCCTCTGTACATTTGTGCGCGTGCCTAGCATATAGCAAGCAATATAGACAGAGAAAATTGAAGGCTAATAAAGATCAGAGGTAAAGAGAACGCCTATTTTACGGGAATCCAATGGGGTGGCCCAGATGTGATACTTGTACAGCGCGCACTCGGGGCGAGTCTCCCTCGTACACAATCCTTGCGTTTTCGTTCGGTCCTGACGCGCACAAGCTTGGGCCATCCCGCGGACGCCGCTGTCCGTTTCCTACTTCCAAGGCTGCATGTGGAATGGCACCGGCGGGTCGCGGTTGTTGGTCGGATCCCTGCGGAAAGCAGGACGTCATCGCTCAAATTCCCCTCCAATGTCGAGGGCACCCTTACGCGCCATCCCTCCTTCCAGCCCCGTTCACGCCGGGGCGGTACATGTACGGATGCGACGCCGCGACGTTCCCATGCGACGACGCCGGACGCGAAGTCGCGGCGGCGCCATACGGGGTCGTGTTGGATGTGCTCGCCGCCGCATACGAAGTCGTAGTTGATGCACCAGCGCTGGTGCCGTATGACGGTCGTTGCGTCGGCGGTGGCCGGTAGTAAGACGTCGTGCGCTGGTCTATTTGCGCAGAGGTGAGGACTGGCGACGGCGTATTTGCGGCCACAGTAGGCATGGGCCAAGGCAAGCCAGACGGCGTCACTGGGGACGGGTTGGTGGTGGTGCGGGCTGGGGCAATGGTGGCTGGCGTCGTGGTAGACGACGGGGGTCGCTGCGGGGGCAATGCCGGTGACGCGTGGGTGGACACGGGCGTGGTTGTTGTCGCTGACGGCGCTATCGTTGTTTGACTGTGCGTGGGCTGCGAGTGTGTAGATTGCACATGCGTCGGTTGACTATGCGTAGCCTGAGCGTGTACGGGTTGTGCATGCGCAGGTTGAGTGTGCGCGGGTTGCGCATGGGCAGCTGGAGCATGCCTCTGTTGAGTAAGAGGCTGTTGAGGGTGGTTCTGAGCTGTGCCGGTTGTTGAGGCCGCTGGCGCAGCGTTAGCAGCTGCGTGAGAAGCAGGCGTCGGCGTGCGATCATTAGCCTCCGCTGCACCAGCTTCTGCCTCACGCTTCCGTTTCGTCGCGCGAGTTGTACTCTCCTTCAGGCCGAGCGCCGTAGCTCTCAACAGAATCTGATGCCTTGAGGGGATGTGAGAACGTTTCTTCCCTCTAGGACTACACGTACCTGGTCTGCTGTTGCCCCATTGCTGCACTACCCAATCCCATTCGATCTCACCCTTGTTCTGTGGTCCCCCTGTTCTTACTCTGCTCCGCAAGCTTCCTTAAGCGGTCTTCCTCCTCTGCAGACCAGGAGCCTTGCTGACCCACTGAAGAGAGGAAGCCGAAGATGGCTGAACCGCACTGAAGGTTGTGGTAGAGGGAGGTGCGGTAGCCGCGGACGCCGGTGCCGGTGTGGTCGCACTGGCTGAAGTACTTGCCGGAGCCGGGGTAGCCGGCGGAGGATAATACGATGCATGTGGTTGCGTAGGGTATGAATAGTACGGGGCCGTCGGGTAGCGGGCTGCCGCGTACACTCCAGAATAGTACGGATTCGGTGCTGCGTGCGCAGGCGGTGGCATGTTGGTACCTAAGGGCATCACAAACGACTGAGGATTGGTGATGACGGAGCCGCTAGCTGGCGTACTATTGCTGGAAGGTGATGCCGTCGGGGCCGGTGCGGCCGGAGGCGCGTAAGGGGTAGGATAGGAAGAGGGATAAGGGTACGCTGATGGCGGTTGTTGCCCAACGAGCTGACTAGGATTGGCGAGCTGGGCACAACATGAGGCGATAAAAGTGCCTACGAACCGGAATGGCTTACAAGGTTATCGCACACGCGTTTTGCGTCCGCAATCATAGCTAATGGATCGACTCTCGCCCCGGGGCCCATTTGATAGCATTGCGAAATGACAATCGGGGACGCAGCTTTCTATGAAGGATCGTGTGAGGAATGAAAGGCAAATAACGAACGCGTGTGGCACAATACTGACGACCAGTTCTTCCGCAGCGTTGTAGAACTCTGAGCACAAGTTCAGTGCGCGCCATTGGAATTCGTAGAATTGCTGGTTCGGGTTCACTGTGCTACCCGGCGCAGGTGGGTACTGGTAGAACCCAGGGTGGTGAGAGTTCAGAGGTGCCTTGGGGGCCGGTTGGGTGACGGCGTTGAACGTCTTGGGCTTGCGATTGCGGGAACCCCGCGGCCGACCTGGTTTGCGTTTCGAGGAGTCGTCGCCGTCACCGCCGGACTGGCTCTGCGCTTGCAGCACTACTTCTTGCCTACCAGTAGACGCGGCGGGTCTTCAGCCACATGGTCAGTGCGGAAGGTCCGGTGAGACACTCAGCACTCACGCAGCCGACTGTGCAGCCTGATGTGGTGAATTGGTAGCAGGATGCTGCGAAAGATCCGTGTCATTGCGCTCGAGTTCCTCCTCTACAACTTCCTCCTCATCGTCCTCCTCCTCCTCTTCCTCCTCCCGATTGGTGTGACTGACACCATTAGAGGCGGCTGTGTGTGCGTGTGCACCGTAGGCTGCGTATTGTTGCTGCTGTGGGGAGTGGTTGACAGCGAGGGGGGATGAAGAGCGTGCGACAGGGGTTGATAATACTGCGGATTGTCCATGCCTATTTTCAAGAAATAGATGCGGGATGTTGGGTATCTGTAACGCTGGGCGAGCAGGAGGCCGAAACGTCGTGCAGGAAGAACAAAGAAAACCCGTGGGAAAGCGGTTGCGTCTCGATGTCTGGGCTACAAACGAACCCGCCACAGCCCGCTGCGCATGCCTTCGTGTACAAAGTCGTGTTCCAAATATTGCGCAAAGTGCATCTTACGCACTCTGTGCCAGTGATGAGCAGCGAGACGGCAGTGTGGTATTTGCTGCGTCGCGGATGGCGCTGCTCGGCCAGAGCGGTTCAGCGGCCGGCAACGCGAGAGGGGCCAGCGTGCGTGACGGTGGCGTTACGGAATGTGACATCCTGCGCGGGCGAGTCACAGTGCGAGTGACTGACGAAATGCCGGGGCCGCCAAGTTGGCCCGCTTCGCTCAGACCGCCACCACAGCTTCCTCTTCCGAGCACGTCCACCCGCCACACCGTGACGAACCACCGCCTCTCGTCTGCAGACACCTCTGGCCACATATAAGCGACAGGTCTCACAGCTTGTCCCAGACCACTATCTGCTCGGTCGCGAGACCTCGCCACACAACCCTCATGTATTCCGACGCCTTGCCTGCCTCCGGTAGTCGCAACATTGCGGCAAACGCGTTTCGCAGCGCAGGCATCCTAGACCGAGATGAGCGCATGCGCGATGTCTCAGACAAACCAGGAGGCCGCAAAGGGGCTCAGAAGAGCTCACACAAATCACGAACATCTCACCGGCCACGCGCGATTGACGCGCTCACTGGCAAGGACCAAGCCGCCACTTCGTCTCGAGCAGCAATGGTAAATAAAACGATTGTTTTACACTCATACACCCCTAGTGACAGTTAGATCTCGCCACACTCTTTGTGACGACGTCTGCTGTGCTCTTTGAATGCATCGCGCTTACTTGTTCATTCTGGTCCACCCTTCGCGTCGGCCCCTATCCGTGTGCACCAAAGCTTGCGTCTCGGCTAGCTGCGGGCGATTCTTTGGCAATACGCGGTGCGGCGAAGGGACCACTGGGCCGGGTTCGCAGGAATGCAGTTTCAACGGGCGCCACCGCCGAAAGCTCGGGCATCGTGGAGAAGTGGAAGGAGTTCGTGAAGAGAAGATGGAATGCGGAGGCGAAGTTTCTTAACCTGGAGGTGCGTTTTACCCTCCCAGCGTTCTGCGACAGTTGATCCAATATGGCGTCAGCGCGTGGCGGAGGATGTGTACGTTCAGCGGAATCGCATGTGGGTGCACGGGAGCGCAGAGAAAGAGTTGTCCGTTGTGTTCAAATTGGCATCTGTTCTCTTCCCTGAGGTTTGTTACATCCAATCCGTGCTCTCACTGGGCCGACTGACCCAAACTTAGGTGCAAACCATCTCGTTGGCATACAACAATCTCGTGAGCGGCAAAGTGCTCATGCGCCTGCCGCATTATCTGCCAAACTTGGTCAACCTCTCATTGCAAGGCAACAAGCTAGGAGTATGGAAGGACTTGGACTACATTTCCTCGAGGAAGGCCCGACTACCACAACTGCGGGAGCTGATCCTCTTGGACAATCCGCTTCGCAATGCGCAGTACGAGAAGGACAACGGGGAACGGTACAAGAGGTCAGTTACTGTCTCCAACAAACGATGCAATTCCTCACGTCCTTTACAGCGAGGTCGCGCGTCGTCTCCCTTCGCTCGAAATGCTGGACATGGAACCTATCCCCAAGATTGCCTTCGATGTACCCCACGCTCCAACATCGCACGGCGCACCTGCTGGTCCGGCACCTACCACCTTCCCCGTCGAAATGGGGGAACCGTTTATAACTGGGGTGGACGGGGCACTTCTGAGCAGTTTCCTCATGCGGTACGCTTCTTGAGATGTGTTGATATTCGCGGCCGCTCTAATACCCTAGCGTCCAGCTTCTTCCCTCTATTCGACAACCAGCGTACAGCATTAATGGATGCCTACCATCCTAACGCCACATTCTCCTTCTCTGCCAACACAAGCGTCCCTGTTCGTGCGCGAATAGAAGGATATCGATACTCGAAAGAGATGCCCAATCAGCGTAAACAAGAATGGGGGCCATGGGGCATCGGGAAAGGCGCATCCCGCAATCTGAATCGGTTGGCAGGAGGGTCGGCGGACAGACTAGTGAAATCGCTGCACGTTGGAAATGAGGAGATTGTTAAAGCCATGGCCCAGCTTCCCACGACGAAGCACGATGTGGCGGGTTCGCCGGAGAAGTTCTGCATCGACGCTTGGCCGGTACAGCAAGGTGATTCTCCGCAGTTGTTTGTGACGATACACGGTCAATTCGAAGAAGGTACATCCCTTTCATGTACTTTGGGTCCGTTCTGCCGTTGACGCGTGTCTTTATCAGAACCATCTCGCTGTGTCATGTCTTTCGACCGCTCATTCATTTTGGCTCCTGCTCCCGAGGGATCACGGTATGTGCTAAGATTGGAGATGTACTGTGTTCGATGCCTGACTCCTATGTAGGGCCAAGCAAAGTGGCTGGGACGTACAAATTCTCTCGGATATGTGGGTAATCCGGCAATATTCAAGTCATGAAGCCTGGCGGCCGGGACCGATGCGTGTTCAAGCGGGTGATCCCCTACGCCCCGCACCGGCGGGAGCGCCGACGAGCCTGCAATCCCCACCTTCGCTGCAGGAGATGCTGGCGACGATGGTGAGTGTTCTAGCTCGGTACGCTAGCCGCCATCCCAATGTGCCGGCTCGGCGACACCAATTCCTCGATTATTTCTTACGTCTTTGAAACCTGCAGCCGGAACCACAGCGGTCTCTTGTGATGCAAATATGTCAGCGCACGGGGCTCAACTTCGAATATGCTGTGCAGTGCCTCGAGGGAAACGCATGGGACGTCGAGCGTGCTGTCGCTAACTTTGAGCAGGTCAAGGTGCGTGATTTTGAGTTCGGTTCGGCGTTCAGATCGATTGATCTTCGTGTCGGGTATTTACATCATAGGGTACACTGTCTCGAGAAGCATTCCTGTAACTCCTCGCACGAGCCTCGTGTGTACCAACACCGACTCTTCGGACCTATCGCGCCGTCACCGATCGTCGTCCGATGCCGACCTGTCTTTCGTCGATCGCTCCTCGCCAGTACATGGACTTGTGATCCTGGTCATGGGGAAATATGTATGGGATGGTCGCGTTTATCGTATCAGCTAGTCTTTTCCATCACATCATCACATCAGCCCGAATGTATCCTACTGCAGTACATCCTCCTCGTCTCGCCTGCACGCATCTCTTGTCATAGCAGCACAGTCATCGTTCCCCCCCATCTATATACAGGTGCAATTAGGTTTGACTGTTGCAGCATTACAGTGTCACCTCCACCTGGCCGCGATTGCACTGAGCGCGCTCTATGGCCTCAGCGTGCGAGGCTTCTGGTCCTTGAGCCTGCCAAACACAGACCGTGAGAGCAAGGACACTGTGGCGTGCCAGTATTTGTGCGCCCTCTGTGTACTAAACACCGACATATCAGTCGCTGCCGACCATCGCCCAGATGCCCTTTGTTAGCTCGCCGTTGCCGCATTGCCGTAAACACCTGCGTACTATCCCAACTCGAGTGGGCAGGCTGTGACAGGATGTTGATGGGATTGATCATCTCGATGCATTGTTTCTCGAAGTCAAAACCTCGCGTAAACGCCGCCTCGAGGCTGAACCATATCCTCCTTCGGAGAGAAACAGCCAAACGTACGGATTGTACCGTCTGATCCATTCAAGTGCCTCGTGTGTAAGCTATCCGTGGCATGCGCATCCAGGCTTATATGGACGACACGGTCCCCGCTCTCGCTCCGTCTTGTATTCTCCGGAAGAGCTCCGATCCCGTCTGGCTCTCCTCGTCTCTCGTGCTAGCTTCCGCGGGTTGTCTGGTGGTGCTGGAGGATGGCAGAAGCGGAATCCGGTCAACAATCCAATCTTGTGTCTATGCCGCTGCTTGACGCTGCAGCGCGCGCCGATGTCGAGGCTGTTAGGACGGCCATTCTGTCCGGCGCGGATGTGAACGCGTCGGACCCGAAGGATGGACCTCTGTTGCATGCGCAATTGCAGGGAGAAGGTGAGTGCGCGCAGAGCGGTGGTGTTGTCTCAGATTGCTCATAATGTGTACTTTGAGCAGTTGGGAACAAATAGATGTCTCGGGCGCGTCGTTCAAGCTAGAGCAGCGCGTCGAGGTACTCCAGATGTTGTTGGACCATGAGGACATCTCCCTTTTTACGCTGAACTCTCCTGTGCGGGGAGTTTCCCCCCTCTGCCTCGCAGCCTGGCTGGACATACCGCAGTTGGTCCAATTACTCTTGGAGGGTAGTCGTGGCATGATCCCGGTCAACGGCATGGATAACTTCGGGGCTACGCCGCTAATGTGTGAGCACGCGGCCTTCATCTCCGAGTCTATTCCCATTGAGGCAACCTCACGTAGATGCTGCGAGGGACCATAGCATTGAGGTGGTCGAGTACCTGGTGAGTACAGCCAATGCGACACATAGGCACGAATGCTGAACGCCGAGGTATCGGTTCAGCTTGCCAATGGCGCCAGACCTGATTATCGAGACATCAACCACCGATCCTCCATTCAACATGCTCTGAGACACCCTCATATCCTTTGGTCCTGTGAGCATGCTCTGCGGCGTTATCGAATACAAGAGGACATGGTGCGGTCTTAACTCAGTTCGACGTGATCCTTCCCTAACACTGCTCTTCAGTTCATAAACACCAAGCACCTTACAATTCTACCTCCACCATTCATTGACCGCCTCATTTCCACGCCTGTCACGCCCAAGACATTCTGCTTGCCGATACACTCGTTACGAAATTATGCCCAGCGCACTGAGTTTCTCGTGCAGGCTGTCATCGTTGGGGATGTCGCCCGCCTCCACTCCATGCTATTTTCTCATGCCCAGTGCCTCACCCTTGGATCTGATCCGACCCTCCCACAGTATTTGGTAAACCTGCCCGACGCAACCGGATGGTGCCCCATCCACTACTGTGTCTCAGTGGAGCATCCGTCAACTGAGGTACTAGATATCCTCTATCGCGCTGGCGCAGATGTCAATCTGTACACGACATCTGGACACGAAACCCCTCTGCACTGTCTCGCCTACAAAGCCAAGCAACCCAAGACGCACGACCATGCAGCGTCTCTGCGTTCGTTCATCCTCCATCTCGTCCGCGATCTTCATGCACCGCTATCGGCCAGGGATCACAACATGGACACTTGTCTGCACGTCGCAGCCGAGCACGGGCGAAGTATCGATGTTGTCATGGCGCTACTCGCTGCAGACTCCGCCGGCACGCTTCGCGAGCTACGCAATTCACGAGGGTGCGTTCTTCCAGATCGTGTGCACGATGCGTGGGGCTAACGGGAGTCTGAGTTAGACTAACAGCGCTCGATGTAGCCAAGCCCGATATGCGCGTTGCCTTCGGAGTTGACGACGAGAACGCCCGGCCAGTCTCGTCCGCATCTATGCGTACCCTGAGGCCATCCACGTCGGAGTCGGTGAAGTCAATGCCTCCATTGACGATTCGAAAGACGGACTCGACGTTCCGTCACGATATCCCGCTCCCGGCCAACGTACCATTGCCTGAGGCAGACTGGGTCACGCTGTCTCATACTGTCCTCGACTGTCTGCAGTCAGCGTCAACAGGCACGTCTAACGCGAATGCCCTCGACATCACCGCGCGCGCCGGAATGCTGCAGGAGATCACGGTCATGCGCGATACACTCCTCGGCTCGCTCCGTATCCGTGTTCGAGAGACCATCGAGGAGCTTCATGATGCTCGCCGGGGCTTCCAACAAGCCTATGCGTTGTACGGAGACGTCCGGAAGGCGTCCGAGCGGCTCGTAGGCGACACTGATCAGATTCCGAGACCCAGTCAGGACTCGGACCATGTCAGGAGGCGGACGACAGACTCCGGCGACTCCGAGCTCACCGCTGTCTCAGAAGCAAGTTACATCCTTGTCAACAGGAAAGCGCGATCGATGTCGGATCTTAGAGCGTCGCAGGAGGCGCATATACACAAGATACCCGTTCCTACGATACCCCGACTACCCCCCACCACTCCTAGACGCAGTACTACTGTGAAATACCACACCGATACACCATCTCGCACCGGCACCCCCAGCACCTCGGGACGCAACGGACGCAGCGGATCGTGCACTATACCGAAGGGCACGCCGAGAGTACCTACGCGCAAGCGAAGTACTACAATCGGAGAGCCCAACCTCGCGCGGTTACCGACGTCCCCGAGCAAGGTATCTTTGACGAACAGCACGGCGAAGGTCAAGGCATGGTTGATCAACAAGATCAGGCCGGGAACCCCGCGCGCGGACGCCATCCCGGAAGATCGTCAACTGTCCAGTGCCTCTCATGTCGATCACGATGATGGATCGAGTTCGGAGAGCGACGACTCCGACACCGAGTCTAACAAGATCAGACGCGTTCTCGCCTGCCAGAAGGGTCTCACCGCGGTGCGACGAGATCTTCATCGTATCGAAGGTCGTCTCGAGGCGGTAAGCTTGTGTTGGTCTTACTTCTTAGCACTGTATCTGACCGATGAGATCAGGCGGAGCAGTTCCTCGTCAATGCTAATCGCGCGATCTCGAAGGCCGAAACGAGGATCAACAGAGTAATATCTGTACGTGTGCTCCATCTTGCGCGTGGTGTATCTGATGATAACACCTATCGGTTGATGCAGACGAGAAAGGCCTCCCTTGATTCAGACCGGCTTTCATCTGCGCCTGAAGCTGCTGCCTCCACGTTTGTGTCGTTCCTGGACTTCCCTGTTGCGGACCCTGCTGGAGAGGGCAATGGGAAATCCCTCTCTCGCCCGACCTCTTCGCGCCCGCGATCGCGTTCTGACATATCCGTCGTGTCTGTCGCGTCGGCGTCGTCTACGCTGGTAGAGGGCGACGACGAAGATGTCCGCAACTTGCGCAGACTCCTCACTCGCAAAGTGGCCTCGCTGATGGAGGGAGCGGAGGAAGAGGTCGACAAAGCTGTAGTGTGGCTGCGCATCGTGAAGGAGGTGCTTCTCGAGCTTGGTAAACGGACCTGATTGGCCGGACTGGAAGGATATTGCTTTGATACTAGGAACTAAACCGCCGGACATGCTGTTGTTTGTCGCCCTCGTCGCTATACCAGAGCTGTGTTTATATCTGTAGCCGTAATGTAGATATGTATCGTTATGTCCATAGGTGCAGTGTAATGTGGTATGTTGTCTGTATGTATATGACAGTGTAACAAATCTATTGTGTCACTGGCAGTATCAGTACCTGTGTAGTATCAAACTCATTGGATGATCGAACCAACACGGTGTACTATGTGAACCTCGAGTTCAGCACGTGAATGCGACGCGTCGCGAGTCGCACACCCGGCGTGGACGCCACCGGCGCGACCACTGGCTGCTGGGGCGCGCACACCTCGCGCACTGAGCTTGCGTGGACGCTTCACTATCAAGACACTGGCCTGTGCATCGTTCGTATACCAAGACGTAGGGAAGTTCCTCTCATCTTACTCTGAAGCTTGCCGGCACTGTTCGGTCCTGGGGATACGCACGAAGTCTCAATGGCGCCATTTCTCGCACCGCAGACGGTTCTGAACGGATTCAAAGAACGAGCAGAAGCAGTGACAATCCAAGGTCTGGTTTGTCCTTTGGCGCGTAGTTGCATCTAATGGTGAGCGCAGGCGATAGGCTATATGTAGGCACAGCAACGGGGGCTCTCCATATCTATGCTCTTGATTGCTCTGCTCGTAGGTCGCCTTTCCGATCTCCCCATGGCTTACGCATAATGTTATCATGCAGCGGGCGGCGCTGAGCCCAAGGCAGAGTTGGTGGAGACCAAGAAGGCTCTGAGCAGGAAAGCGATTGAGCAATTGTGCTATGTGAAAGACGTGAATTCCCTTGCGGTTCTATCAGGTGAGATGAGTGTCAGCGCATTGCGTAGACTTCCAGCTGAACGACTCCCCAGACTCTACCGTGACTTTGTACCCTCTCCCTAGTCTCTCACAGCTACGTCCCTAGCGAAGAGTAAACAGGCGCTGTCTATGGCAACATACACAGGCGTGGTGCACAGTGTCCCGGATAACAACCTAACACTCTCACCTGAAGAATTTGGCAAAGGCAAAGATGTACCCTCGGTCCTGACGCACCTCGCCATTGGTTGCAAGAGAAAGATTGTCATCTATTCATGGAAGGACGGTGAACCGCAGGACCCACAAGTAAGTATTGTGCTATTTTAGAGTACAAGTATACCATGCAGAACTGCGTTCACAGGAGACGACGCTCTCACATTCTCCACGGACGATGTCATTCCTTGGCGAAAACATGATATGCTTCGGCTATGCACTCTCAGACTATGCGCTCTACTACCTGAAGACTGCCACCATGATTGAGATTGCTACTCCCATACCCTCCGTGACGTCTGGCACTAGTATCAGTAACATGGGCATGGGCGCCCTCACAAATCTAGGTGGCTATATGGGTATTGGTGCTAAGGCAAGGCCCTGGGTAGTCAGCATACACGAAGGCGAGGCACTCATCGCAAGAGACAGTACGTATCTTTGAAACGATCAATTGCATGAGCTGACTGGCGCAGACAACGGCCTCTTTGTTGGTCCGGACGGCAAAATGACGAGAGACACCCACATCGACTGGCCAGCACCGCCCGAGGAGCTAGGTACGAGAATTTTAATGCAAGTGCGTGACCGATTTTGTTGAAACTGCGTTAGCCTTTATGAGACCGTATGTATTTGCTGTGATGCCGTCGGGCACCGTGCCTTCCTCCCAGCTTGATGGTGCCTCAAGTTTGGCATCCACTTCTCAAGCCTCCACGAGCTTCACCCCCTCGCCCGTCGTAGAGATTCGCTCCTCCATCTCTATGTCTCCCGTCCAATGCCTACCTTTCCCGCCAGTACCCGCAGATGACCAGCCCACAGCTACGCCGATACAGCATAGCGTCCGACTTTTGACTTCACTCCCCACGAAATACTCTCTCTTCCTCGTCACGACACCCACAGACCGCGCTACCGCGAATGCACAAGGAAGCTCGATATGGCAGTTCCGCATGAAGTCATGGAGCGAACAGCTCGACGAGCTTGCTGTGGCGGGATCACATGCGGACGCACTCGCACTTCTAGACCTCCTCGACGTCGCTTCGCTCCCAGACAAGGTACGTTCAAATATTCGTTTCGTACCTCACCGAAGCGTTGGTGCTGACGGTACTGTGTATCGTGCAGGAGCAAAGACGGAAGGTTGTACGTGCATTGAACGCAGTAGCAGAGTTCAAAGCTGAGCGCTTCGATCGTGCCATGGACACCTTCATCGAGCTCGACATCAATCCCGCCAAGGTTGTCGCTCTCTATCCTCCAAGCATCGCCGGACGGCTGTCCGTCCCTCAAGAAGAGTGGATCCCACTGTTTGGTGGACCCGTGCCTCCAAAGCCGGAAAGCAAGACACCATCCATAGAACAGAATCAAGACGGCGTCGAAGGGCAGGAGCAACAGCGGCCGCCGTCACCGAAGGGATCCATACGTGCGTCTATATCCGGCTTCCGAACAGGGCTGGAGAACATTGTTTCGCCGACGAGATCGAGGGATGATGACACGGTTTCAGTCATTGGCAGACCGAAGGGCCCGCCAAAGGGTATGTTCTACGCATGTGTTCTGGTCCAAGTACTGACTTGCCTATAGATGCATTCCACCGGTCAGTCGAGACTCTGATGCGCTACCTCTCCGACCGCCGCCCGAAGGTCGACGGCGCGCTCAAGGCCCTCAATATCACCTCTGCCGAAGCACATCGCTGGCCAAACTTGTCCGCCGCGTCGCCTGACGAGCTATATGCGTTACCAAACGTCCCTTTGTCGGCTTTGACACCAGAGGAGCTCGTACGTTTTGCGCAGATAGTGGACACAGCACTGTTCAAATGTTATCTCCTCGTGCGCCCTGGCCTCCTCGGGCCTCTGTGTAGGGTAAGCAACTGGTGCGAAGTCAGCGAGGTTGAGGAAACCTTGCGGGCCAGGGAGGTAGGTAATCCATACGATGGTAGTTTCGAGTTACGACTAGCTGAGCATTGACACTGCACGACTAGAAACACTCGGAACTCATCTACCTGTACAATGGGAAGAAGATGCACGAGAAAGCGCTCGGTCTCTTGCGAGAGTACGTATTTGATCTTGCATTAGCGTATCAAACTAATTGAGATGGTTGTAGCCTCAGTGAGAAAGAGGCAGACCCGCGGGACAAGCTGATGCCCTCCGTCACCTACCTCCAACGCCTAGGCCCAGAATACCTCGAGCAGATTTTCGGTGCAGCCAGATGGGTGTTCGAAGAAAACGCTGACATCGCATTTGAGGTGCGCATCTTCGTGAAGGCCTGGCAACGGACAGAAGCTGAGTTTCGTCAACTGTAGATCTTTACCTCAGAGGAAGTGGAACTTCCACGCGAACCAGTCGTTGACTTCGTCGAAGGCGTTAATCTGAGCATCGCCGCTCGGTATCTGGTGTACTTGATTGAAGAGCGAAATGAAGAAAGTACAGGCTTCCATGAACGGTTGGCGGAGACCTATCTACGGATGGTCTCGGATGCGAGGCGGAGAGGGGACGAAGGTGCGTCGATACACTGAGTCTCACTGATGTGGCTTATCGGTTTATGTCGGATAGAGGCGAACAAAAACGCGTATGACAAACTCCTGGAGTTCATTGACACGACAGACCGATACAGCGCAGATCGACTATATGCGCTCTTGCCATCGGATGGCAAGTCGTTTCTTTGGCTGTGTAGCGTACGATTTGCCATGCTGATCTTTGCAGGTTTCTTTGAGGCGAAGGCCATTCTCTTGGGAAGACTGGGACGACATGATAGTGCGCTCGAAACCTACATCTATCGCCTACGAGACTATCACGGTGCAGAAGAGTGCGCGTTTCCTTACACTTGTGACCATTCTGTGCTCAAACTAACCCACAATAACAGATACTGCAAGCGCGTTTACAAGCCTCACACCGACACCTCGAACATCTTTCTCACCCTCCTCCGGACCTACCTCAGACCCTCGCCCTCTTCTGCGTCTTCTGCGTCTGACCTCTTGGCACCCGCACTAGATCTGATCAGTAGGCACAGTCCCCGTCTGGACGTGGCAGAGACCTTGGACTTGCTACCTCCGCTCGTGGCGGCGCGCGACGTACAGGCCTTCCTGAAGGAAGCCCTCAGAGCGCCGATATTTGATACGCACGTCGTGAGGGAGGTGACGAAGGCACGGAAGGACGAGGTCAACAGGAGGCTCACGGGCTTGCAGATGAGGCGAGTGAAGGTAACAGACAGTCGAATGTAAGCAGTTGATTGGCTAGGTGGACAAAGAGAATGATGCTGATCTCCATCCTAGATGCCCTCAATGTCACAAGCGCATCGGGTCCAACAGCGTTATTGCTGTGCACGCTCCAAGGTCAGTTTCCCGTGTGTAGACTGCTTCAACCTATCTGAAACAGATCTCCAGGGGTGAAGTCACGCACTATCAATGTCGAGAAGCGTTCTCGCGCAAGCTAAAGGAAACTCGACAGTGATGACAATCATCTTGTGGGTTATATCGTGTCTAGGGTGACTTCAGATCTGTGTTTACTAGATAGTTCGTGCTCTCCGTCCGCTATTGCACCATACGGTCCATGCTGTGTTCGATAACGAAGTCTTAAGCGTCGTCCAAGGACGCTGCACCGCAGTGCACTCTCTCGCAGTTACAGCTAGAGGCGCAAGGATACCGTATGCGTTGAATTCAAAGCAACAAATTACGCGTGCCGGAAGCATGCATGTATCAATCCTCGTCTGACAGAAGCTCATCTGCAAAGAGGCATGGTCCTTCGATACTGGCCGGATCTGCACCGGGCGCAACATCCTCCTGCGGCAGCGCTGCAGGCCTCAGTGTTGCGTTGTCAGCGACGGCTACTGGCATTTCAGGCCCAGACGATTCAGCGATAGCTCTAGCTTCCGGCGAGCGTGATTGCAGAGTCGAGACGACTTTCCCACTGCGTATGATGTCAGAAAGGACCAGGTCCTGCGAGAGGTTTGAATCCCTATCTGGCAGAGGGAGTCACCACCACTTGCAAAGCCTCTGAATATGTCATAAAACTTACAGGAGGGGGATCGAGTCCCTGAATCCATGTCCATGGACTGGGAGTGCTCGGCCTGCTCAACGCGTGCCAGGTTGATTGGCAGAAATATATCCACTGGTGAAAATGTCCTCAGGCTCTGTGGTACGACGTCGTCCTGGGGCTGACATTCGATGTCTTCCACACCATTTTCGTGGGTATCACCAGGAGAGGCTAAGATCCTCCGCGAGAGGGCAGGATCGAGTTCTGCGGGTGGGCTTGCAGCATCAAACATCCCGACGTACTCATCGGCCTCCGAGCGATCGTCCAGACCATGTTGACCCAACGTCAGTGGCGTGAGCTCGAAGTGCGCGCTGCGTTCTGTAGCATGACGGTCGTCTGGAATGTGATCGCGCGGAGAACGCCGAGGTTTGAAAGAATGTTCTTGTGGCTGAAGTCCCAGAACGGTGTCGAGCGCACGCCACGGATCCGTGCCCTCGAAGAGTTCGCCGTGGAGGACGTCATAGATACTTTCCTGGACGATACCGTCATCGGACTCGTCGCCCGCAGCTGAATAGCTGTCGATGGTCGCAGCAACCGGGGAAGATCGAGTAGATGATTGTGGATTGGTACGAGGCGAGCTGGCTCCAATGGGCAGAGAAAGGAGCTGTCTTGCGCTGTTTCTCGATTGCGCAGGGGGTTCAAAAGGAGGCGAACTCTGAAGATCCTGAGTTGAAGAAGCCGTAAAGACGAGATCGTCTTCAATCGGGACGCCCAAAACAGAGCATAGTCCTCCAGACGGGCATCCTCAGCAGTAGACGTGTGATCTTCCTGAGGATCGCTGCACGTTTCGTCGAAGGTAGCATGTACAGCATGAGTACGGGAAGGCAACCGAGTATCTGTCATCAACTGGGACTGGTGCTCTGGCCGAGAAGAAACCCAAGATCCACGAGTAGGAGAGCCAAAGCTAGTCGGCGAAGACACGTAGAACGAGCGGTGACCAGGAGCCATATCCAGTGGGCTGGTTCCGTAAGAGAGTCTGCTAAGCGGTCTCCGATATAAGGGCTGTCAGACGGGACCTGTTCATCGACAGGGTATGCAGCAGACGGGACGGAGACGCGCCCGAGCTTGGCAGCGCAAGGACTCTGGGTGCGAGAAGATCTGTCCTGCAAACTTTTATAGCCGTAGAAAGAGTACCTCGCTGGCTGGTAACGTTGGTGCGTCTTCATGATTGCCAAAGTCTTCTCGTCTTTGTGAGGACTAGGCCCTGGTATCGGGAGAAACTCAGAGAAACCGAAGTCGTCAAAGCTCCGTGGCATGGCCGGACTACTGTCGAGAGGCATAGGCTCAAAGTCTGGCTCTGTGTGCGCGAGGTCATCGAAGTCGAGTTGGTTGACAAACTCAGGTTGATGCTTTGTCGTACCGGCCGGAGGTGGATAGCCTTCAGACACATATAATGGTGTGAAATCAGACCCTGGTGAATGCGACGCTGTCTTAATATGACGATAATTATAAACACCAGACCAACCTTCATCGCTCATAACCTCGTCCACATACGTGCCGCTGTTTGACCGTATATGAGATCGCCTAAGAGTGTCGCTAGATAGTTCCCTGCCTGGATTGGGCGACACTCTTCGCTAGTAGTATTCGTTAGACCAGTCAAGACGACTATCAGTACGTGGTACCTTCTTCCGAGGAGGTTCAGCATCATCGGGAGACGATGAATACGTTATTACATCTGCATCCTCGTAATCCGCAAGATGTGGCCTACGCTCCGGTTTCGGTGCCAACCCAGCGAGGTTAGGGATGTGGCGGATACGATCCATCTCCGCCCTGAGAGAGATCGCTGTTGTACGTCACGGGGAGACGCAGTTAAGGGCATATGAGACGCATATATGCGCGTAGAAACATACGGACAAATGCATCCAGCGCCTTCAGTATCTTGGAGGAGCGTGTATGGCTTCTGCTCTTGCTGCTGACGCTCGATGCATTGTCAGACGCAGGCCCTCTCCGAGTTGCGCGAGGTGTTCCAGAAATACGTTGTGGTGGGAGTAGAGGGGCATCGTCATCGTCAGAAACAGGTGCGTCTCCGGATCGTTTCTGGAAGTCGCGTCTCGCGTGTGCAAGGGATATTTTGCCGACCGCGTTCACACCACTGTCGGTCGACTGGGGAACCTCAGCATGCGCCTTGCTGAGACCCTTCGTAAGCACCCCGAGCCTCTGCTTTCCGAAGTGATTGCGCTGTGCTTTTCCCGCAGCGTCCTTTGCGCGCGCCCTCGCGAAGTTCCTGCAGCGCGAGGGTCAACAAGCACGATTGTCAACAGAAAGGTCAATCACTTACCTCTTCCCACCCATGTAGTTAGCTCCTGCCATGTTGTGTCAACGCGAACGCGGAAAATCCAGCGATGTCTAGCGATGGGAGGAAGTGGTCGTGAACGCGGTACGGGTCAGGCGCGCGCGCGTGTGGTGGGACGCGTTCGCGTGTACCACGATCACATGGGCCCGTCACCATGACGGGTGTCGAGTGACTCGAGTCGACGCCGGCGGTGATCCAAGCATACCACCGTTGATCTCAGATTGTTTCTTGCTGAGGTCCAACAGGTCTGACTGCAACGACCATGGATGAGGAAACCGACATCGGCCTCGTCAGTCTCTCCGCGCCATCCGCTTCTGGGTCCCCGAGCCGACCTCCAGGTGTCTCCCGAGCAGTCTCGTCAGGAATGAAGTCTCCATCTTCGCCCAATTTGCTACCAATCCGTCCACAGCCTCCTATGAGACGAAATACAAATCCGCGGAAACTCTCCGTGTCTGTACAGTCGGCGAACTTGAGTCTAGAGAGTCTGTCGATGGATCCGATGAAGGTTGCCAGCTTACGCAGGTGGATTATGAGCTTGGCGATAGGTGAGTATGATGTGCCCTAATAGTATGCATAGTGACTCTGAAACCAAATAATTGAAGTCGACTTCGACCTGGAGGTCGGGCCCAAGATCAGTTGTATCTACCCGCCCCTCGACCTATCACCGTCCGAGGAAGTCAATATGTGAGTGCCCTCGGTACCGAACTATGAGATCGACGATCCTCACACCGAGATGCCTGCAGAGCCTTCTCATCGTTTCCGGACTCACCTCAGTTTGAGCAAGGCTCCCAGACGCACTCGTTCCGGATACGCGTCCATAACCCCTCCGAAGACAAGCTGCTCCGCCCCAGTCAACAGCGACCGCAGACAGAAGATGGCTTTCTTTACGGTTTCTCCCAGTTCACACAACGTAGGGACGCGAACTCAAAGCGTGGATACCAGCAGGTGCACACGATCTACTCTGACGCACGTCCTGCCTGACCATAGGTACAGCGATCCGTCGTAATCCTTACTCATCTAGCATACCCCGCGCTCTTCTATACCCTCGTTGAGAAGCTCGGTCCATCATTCCTCGCACACGGTGGCCCAATGCTCGAAGCGGCATGCCATAACATGGCTACTTGGTATGTGGTCTAGTGGAATGACACCACGGAATTAACCATGGTCCTGCACGAAGAGAAGGTTAGACCCTTCGCCGGGAGCAACGCTGGAGCTAGGGTTCCTCGGCGGCGTGCTCATCGCAGAGCTTCCGGCCGGTGTCGATACCCAGCAGGCCCTTCCAAGTTCTGCGATTATCCGGAAGAACGCTCGTCGTGAACCAGAGCACCAGGTTCGTGTGCCTTGGTATATGTGCTATTTACCATCAGGAGAACGTGTTTTGACGGGTGGTCCAGTTGTTGGTTTCTCTGCCTCCTCCAGAGCCTTCCGTGATATCCCTATTCGAGGCCTGCCTGCCGCAACTATGGTCTATATGGGAATGCCTTGTCTTATGCGAGCCGATCCTCATCTATGGACCTTCTCCTGCCATGACAAGCCAAGCAATATGGTGGCTGCGTGATGTGCTTCGACCCGTACGTTGACGCGTCACCGGTCCTTGGGGCCCAATCCCACTAACTACTCTCCAGATCCCCGTGGCAGGTGATTTCCGGCCGTTCTTCACAATTCACGACGCGGATCATGCGGCACTCGTCAACCCTCGACCACCATCAAGTGGACTAATCCTAGGTGTGACAAACCCGTACTTCGATCGTGCGTGCAAGCACTGGCCACATGTGCTGAGCCTTGGGCGGACCTTTTCGTAGGTAGATCATATATATGGCACCAGCATTGATCTGACTTTCCGCGGAATAGCAATAAGTCGGACCCGAATGCACCTGCTGGTCCTGCTCCGGGATGGAGGACGAAACACAGCCGCTATGTCTCAAGGGATCAGACAGTGCTCCAGCAGCTCCAAGCTGCATGTTCAGGCTCGGAACAAGCAAGTATGTAGGCTTTTGTCCGTGTCAACTGGTCATTGATGGAGGTCCGTGCAGAACGCGAGGCTTCCGCCCTCATGCGCCAACACTTCTCGTCGCGCACGGCTGCACTTCTTGTGCCCCTCCAGCGTTACCTTCAATCGCTGATCCCGCTCCCATCATCTTCTGCGTCCACAGGCTTCCCATCTGCAACCCCGTCCTCCACATTCCCCAGGTCCACATCTAGCTCCTGGTTCCCCAGGTCATCAGCATCCCCCGCGTTCCCAAAGTCGGCCGCGCCGAGCGCATATCCAAAGTCGTCCGCTTCCAATCTGTTCCCGCCAACACCGCTGCCCGGAACGTTCCCCAGTTCGTCCTCGTCCTCAGGGTTCCACACCCCGGACACGACGGGCGCAGACTCGCCGCGGGGCACGTCGTCCAGGTCAATCTCGCCTTCGCCGAACCCCACACCCCCGACGGGCCCGAGCGTGGCGCGGACGGTCCCTCCCGCGCTGAACCTCCCGCCACGAGCCACCGACGACGCACTCGACTCGCCCGCCACGTCCGACGCCGCCCCTACCCCCGCCCTGCCCTCCGGTAACAGCGCGTACTACACGCCACTGAGCGCGGCCGCCAACGCCTACGCGCCACTCGGGACGAGCAGCCCCGCGTCCTCCGCGACGCTCACGCCCGCGACGCCGCGGCTCGCGCCGTTCAGCGAGAAGGCGTTCCTCGCGAACCTCAAGCCGCTCGTGCTGCCGTTCAAGAGCGGCGGGAAGGCGAAGGAGTTCTACACGCGCTGGATACGCAGCCCGCGTTCGGCGTGTGGATCGGGCGGCAGGAGGAGGCGGTGGAGAGGGTGCTCGGGGCGAGGGCCGCGGGCAACGCGTAGCCGCCGTGCCCTGGGGGCGCTGAGCATGCAGATGCAAGGACGTTAGGAATGGAGTTCTCTTCTTGAGCGTGCATTATTCTCGTGCTGTAGTCTAGGTTGAGCGGCGTAGGACGCGGGCCGGTATATACAAGTCTGTCTAGATGCATGCATGTCGATATACCCTCTGCACATAGTCCCCTTTTCGTGATCGAGAACGAGAAAGACTACCCTGCGGCCAGGCTATCTCCGCTCTGCTGTCCTGAGCCCGGCGCCGCCCTCTCTCGCACCGGGCCGCGCACGCTCCTGCGCCTGCGTTGAAGACGAGGATCGCTTGCCCCAGCCGAGCCAGACGACCAGAACCTCCTTCGCGAAGATCTCGCCGAAGCCGAGCATGACGCCGTTGATGAAGGGCAGGCCGATGTTCACCGCGAGGCTCGCGACGAGCGCGAGGACGCGCGTGCGCGGCGAGAGGGACGTGTCGAAGAGCGCCTGGGTCGTCGACGGTGCCTCGCGCGTGTGTTCGTGCGAGGGCTCGTGCGCGTGGTGGGGGTGCGCATGGTGGTGCGCGTGGCCGTGTGCGTGTGGTGGTAGTGGGTGCGGGAGGGATGAGGAGGGCGAGTGGGGGTCCGAGGGGAAGGAGAGCGAGGGGTAGGACGACGCGAGGGAGTCGGGGTCGGAGGAGTGGATGTCCTCCCACTTGTGCTCGACCTCGGGCGCGTCTGGCGGCGTCGAGAAGCGCGAGCGTGCCTGGGCGTGCGAGCCTGGGAGGATGGCCTGCTAGCACAGGCGAGAGAAGAGAAGGGCGTGCGCAGGACGGCGTTAGTTTAGGAATGGGTCAGACACTATTGGCCGCGCACCTCCAGTTCCTCCTTGGTCTTCCTCCCCTGCCCCTCGCCGCTCACGAGGTCGCGCGCATCAGCGACGCTCGGCTCCCCTCCTGCCTCCCCGCCAACACTCGCCGCCGTGCTCGTGCTCGCCGTAGTGTCCAGGACCATGCTCGCGCTCGTGCTCCCTCCCACACTCTCCCATCCGTCGCTCCGCGCACTGCCCCGCGCCTTCCCCTCCTCCCTCTCCTTCTTCCGGATCTCCTCCCACCGTGTGCGTTCCCGCTCGGCCTGCTCGCGCTGTTCGGCAGAGGCCCGGCGCCATTCTGCGACATGGGCATCGTACTCGGCCTTCCAGACCTCCTCAGTAGACTCGTGCTCCGGCACGGCGGGTGCAGGAGTGGGCCCAGACTCCTCCTGGGCTGGCTCTGGTGCGGAGGCAGGCTGCTCTGGTGCAGCGGACTGCTTAGGGAGAGGGACCGGCGTGAAGGCCGTCTGCAGCGCAGACTGTCGAGATGATACTGTCAGGCAAAAAACGCCAAGATCAAGAAAAACACACTTGGAGGAGGCTCTCCTCCTCTGCGTTGAGGGCGTCTGCCATGGTGAACGGATTGAAGTACGGGACAAGCGTCAGCAGGAGGAAGAACGAAACCGACAGGGATGGCCGTCCGAGTCGGCTAACCCTAGCCTATGGGCAGCTGGGCCCGACTCACCAGCACGAGGCGAGCACGCCATTTGCCGGACACACAAGTCAGGCAGGTGCTCTCCGTCCGGCGCAGCGGCTCCTGCTAGCTGCGCGATCACTCAAGGAACAACACGCGCGCTGCTACAGTTCCTTTGAATCCCGTCCGAGATTATGCTGATTTACACTTATTCCGCTTATTGTACACCGGGACGTATCAATCTTTACAGCTACGACGCAAGCACGCCCGTCTAGATTTTCTTGACAATGTTCATTTCCTGTCAATCAGGGGACGCGCGGTCAGACTTTCGCCAGCCATACACGCCGTTCACTCACCTGGTAGGTCGTGGACTTGCCCGTGTTGTCATTCTTGATGGTGTAACGGGTGGACTAAAAGCCGACATGCTTTCAGCTCTACGTCAAGGCGACCATTCACCTTGAAATACACTCACGCCGTCCTCAGCCTCGACCACACTTCCGATGACACCAGTCGAGTGCGCAACGTTCTCGCCGCTGCCACCGATGGGGCGGTACTCGACCTTGTCTCCTTCCTGTGGTATTTTCGGTGAGCTACATGCACTCGTACCGTGGCGCTGTCGTTTGACTGACCTTGTAGTCAGCCATGGCGATTAACAGAGAAGAAAGTGGTTGTATGCGCGAGATGAAGGTATGGGTGAAAGTTGTGAAACTGCCTTCCGTGCTCCTCTACCCTTTATATACCGTCGCCGTCGCAGTGGGCGAGGATCGGGCACGATGTCGTCACAAGTCAACTTCAGTCGCGATGACGCTTGGGATTATGCGTCATGATCTACGTAGAGCGGTCAGACGAATGGCCCGCCATGGAGCGCAGCGCCGCCACTTCCCAGTAAGGAAGCTGCACTACCATTTTAGGGACGTTACATGACCGCGAAGAGTTCGAAGGCTGCCAGGCGCTGTCGATCCACTGTGCATGCCTAATCGTGGATCCCTCTCGTCTACCCGCTGTCACCGCCGTGGGCCTTCTGTGACGCGTGACGTACTAGCGACGAGGCCGCAGAACCGAGCCTCGACGTCTCGTGCACGCGCAAGACAGAATATGACCGAACACGTTCGTGTGAATCACCAGTGGATGGAGTCAGTCCATCCCGGCAACGGTGATTATAACTGGGCTAGAGTACTTGTGCATGCGAACGTATTGAACGTTGCACCCATTACGAACAGTTCTCAATCAATAGACTGACGCTGCCGCTACGGATGGAGCATATGGTCTGGTTCAAGCAGCTCCCGGTGCAGGCGGCACTCATGACAGAGCGTTTGGACGTCAGATTGGCGTACGTCTGTAGGCATGTCAGATAAGAGCACGAGGAGGAATGGTGTGGCTGGCCGCACCTCCACCAGAGTTGAGTTTGCTTCCATAGCTATGGTGCAGAGGTACAGTCTGGGTGAGCAAGAGTAGGCGTCACACCTAGCGGCACTGACCTTCCGTGACACGATGCCACCAAGTGGCATTCAAAGGGTCGTTAGAGCCCCACCCCGGGACAGCAGCGCCGTAGGTATCCCTGGCGCTATATTCGAACTGGAATTCCGGCCCAAGACCTGCCTGCTCATCAAGCCCAGAAAAGCTGCTCACGTCGGCATACCACCTGTCGGGGAATCTGAGCAGGCTATTCACACAGCCAGCGGGCGCGTACGGACGTGTATGAGTCGAGCACTTCGAATGTCTGCGGTTAGAACGGCGTTAGCAGTCTGGAGCCCCCGCGACAGTATGGCCACTTCGGCGCACCCCGGAATCAACCTCGTACACGCGGAATCCGGCGTTGAGGCCGGTCAAAGGCGTAACAGACGGGCCCAGCTAGTCATGGCAGAGTGTCAGAACACCGCTAATCAGGAACCGCACGATCGGCGCACCCATGCAGCTACCAGTGCGTTCTCGACATTCATATCCGTCCCGTTGTTCGAGTAGTAAAGCTAGGACACGTCATCACCTCACCAGACCGCACGGAAGCACTCATGGAACTATACGCACGCTTATCGCATCCTTGTGGGTGTGACCAAAGAAGATACCTGATATCCCACACATCGTCAGCCGAAATCTTGTGGGATAAGGTTGCACTCGGACCTGCAATTACATGCGGAGAGAAACGATCGACTCTGCGCAACGGCATTGAGTAACGACAACGGGAGGCGCAAAAGTGCACGCTCACATCTGGTAGACTGGGAACACGTCCAGGACATCAGGGATCGGGTCTCACACAACAGCATGGCAGAGACATACACAGATTGGTTGGGTTGGCCAGCGGATCCGACGTATTGTGGCCACTGGGGACGTGGCCTAGTATCCAAACTACAGCACCGTCAGACTCACCGTCTCGCACTGAGCCGAGCGTTGTAAAGCTTACCGCGATCACCGGAATCCTCAGCATCTTGCAACTCGTCGGTGAGGAAACGGAGCATGCCCGAGTTATCGGAGGACGTTAAGTTGATGTAGTTGTACGCGTTTTTGCTAAACCGAAGCTGTACCATTAGTCTCTGAGCAGTGTTCAGCCTTCGGAGAACACGTACACGTGCCCTGCAGCAAGCATTCTCTGGGTCAGTTGAGTCCCACACAGACCAGGCGGTCAATCAAGGCGCACAGAATTCGGTGTTGAGTGTGATCATCCGCAGGCCGTTCTGGCGTTGCACGGAATACGCGGCATAGTGTGTCCGAGCCTGCTGTGCGCTGTCTGGGCCGATCCACTCTTCGAGCTCCCACAAGGCTGCGAGGTGGTCGTAATTCCTGGAAGCAACGACTCAGATGCGAATAACGGCGTGAGTCGATGGGACCCGCATTACCAATCGAATTGTCCCTTGAGTGCGCCTCCCATGCTGTAAGGAGAGCTCATGTCCCTTTTTCGCAGCGAACGTCAGTTAAGATCCGGTGGCCTACGATAATTCTGACGGACGTCATGTAGGTATCATGATTTCCCAGGACCGCATAGACAGGACCCGTGTTGAGCATGCGCTTGATGAGGTCGTACACCACGGTCTATTCTCAGGCTCCAAGGTCAGTGGCCCGGGTGCGATGCAGGCGAAATTACACCTGTCTTACCTCTGCATAGAGTTCGTACTCCCTGGGTGGATCAGTAGGATGTTTCCCATCTTACGACAAACTACATACCTAGACATCTCATTGTCCGCGTCATGAGCAAGTAGATCACCAGTATAGAGCGTCCAGTCAAAGGGGGAATCTTCAGTTCCCGCTAGGACCGAGATAGCCTGGAGCGTCGCGGTGATGAGTGAGAATGGAGAGTCGCTGACATGACCGTGACACTGGCAGTTAGCAGTATCCCAGAGAGACGTCCTGAGCAGGTCTCACCACAAGTATGAACCGAACCAAGGAGCCGGAATGCTGGATGCGTTGGACGCAGCCACGCCACCAGCACGGCAACATAATCCATTCGTGCAGTTCGCTTCAGCGCCGACCATGTAACCTACCCGCCCGGACGTAAGGTGAGGCATACAGGTAATGTACATTCTAACACTTACGTGGATCGATGTGCAGGTCGGAAAGGTGCAGGATCTTCAACCGCTCGCCGGTAGCTTGTCTGGGGGCTGGGAGCGGGTCCGGTTTGGGTTTCGCAAACCAGTCAGTCAAATTGAGCGGGCTCGTCGGCGGGATAGGACACAATCCCGCATAATACGCGCATAATGCCTGACCGTCATAGCCACCGACGTCCCCGAATGCAACTACCTGAGTGAACGTCGCACCGAGACTGTACTGCCCATATTCGGAGCCACAGTCAGCACTCGCGCTGAGGGCCTCGCACACTCGCACTGCGAGACCAGGGCCCTCGTCCGGTGCGGAGAGCGCGACCATCTTCGCTACCGCGAGAGCGGCCTGACAGCGTGAGCATGTGTTATTTCCGAAGACGGGGTTCGTTGCAAGTGCGAGTATCTGCTGTAGTGCCGCATCCGCAATCTGTGAAGACGACGCTGTCGGTGGCAACTCATGCACTTCCGAAGTGTCGTTCTGAATATGCTCTGATGTCAGAACCATCGCACGAAAGTCGTACAATGCTGAGTACCTTCGGAATGGTCTCCGGGTTCGTCAGCCAGTACGGGTAGACTTCATGCTGGCAAATGAATTCAAGTGTGGGCATCAATAGGAACCTTCGAACAGATGACAGAACACACCGTCACTGGATCGGAGATAATAGGCTGCGGTTGAGCCGTAGTCGCCGTGGGGTCATTGTAGTACGATTGATAGAGCGACGTCGGGAAGGCAGCTGGAACTGTGAACGCAGAAGGAGGCCCAGTGTATTACTTTGTGCGGCCACGATGGTGATCCAAAGTGGGAGTCCCCCGAGACGCATGTCCGCGAAATAGCAGGACGGGACACAAGGAAAGGAAGAGGGAACTCGGACTGAGTGGGGCTTTCATATGTGCTTCGCTTCCGAGTCGAACCCTACTATTAGAGCGCACCTGACCGCTCCTCACCGGTGATACGCGTCGGTTAAGGCTTCCAAGGAAATTGTGTGAACCCGGCAAGTCACCTATACCGAGAGAAGCGCGTCCTAAGTACATCGTTGTACTGCTATCACACTGTGCCAGTGGTATGAAACTCAATACCGGCCGAAGCAAGAGTGGTCTTACATCATCGTTTCACCGATCCCGGGCGGCGCGTATCGGCAGCGAACATTGTCGTCCAACGTTCAACGTCGAACGTCGAGCTCCTGATATCTCACTGTGGAAGTGGACACACCTAGTATTTGAGGCAACTCGAGACTCCCCTGCGAGTGAACAACGCAATCTTGATGCACCGGGATGCGGTGAGTAGTGCTCAGAACCCAGTAACCTTGACAAACAATTGACGACGTCTCGAGCTGGAACTGTTGGTAGAGTCGCAGTAATCTTGTACGCTGGAGCTCACGACGGAAGCCGTCAATTGAACAAGTGTCTAATGCATAGTATCTCCGCGTCACGATGGGCCTGTGAATACTATAACTAGCACCTGAAAGGCGCACTTACGAACACTTATCGATGAGAATGCTTGCGCTGCCGCTACGGATGGCGCATATGGTCTCGTTGACACAGGTCCCCGTGCAGGCCGGAGTCATGACGGAATTCTTGGTCCCCAGGTGAGTATACGTCTGGAAGCATATCAACAACAGCTGAAAGATATATATTTCGGCTGGACACACCTCCACCAGGCTGGAATTGGCTTCCATAGCTACCATGCAGAAGCAATCTCTGGTAAGTAACTCAAGGAGTGGTGTTAGGATGGGCCAAGCACCGCTGACCTTCCGTGACTCGATGCCACCAGGTGGCATTCAGAGGGTCGTTCGGGCTCCAGTTAGCGACAGCAGCGCCGTAGGTGTCCCTGGCACTGTATTCGAACTGGAATTCCGGCCCAAGACTTGCTTGCCCATCAAGGCCAGGAAAGCTGCTCACGTCGGCATACCACCTATTGAAAAAACGTGAGCAGAATTTTCGCGGATGGCCAGTCTGAGTGAATGCGAACGTGTATGAATCAAGTACTTCGAATGTCTACAATTGTTTTGTCAGCGTTCCATGAGATATACGTTTGGAGTGCGGGTTTGAACACACCCCGGCGTCAACCTCGTAAACACGGAAACCAGCATTGAAGTCGGTCAAGGGCGTGACCGAGGGACCCAGCTATTTCAGTCGATCAGAACATTGTCATGCAGAACACTGCATGCTTGGCATACCCATGCGACTGCCAGCGCGTTCCCAGCGGTAGTTTCGGTCCCGTTGTTCGAGTAGAAGATCTAAAAGGCAGCGTTGTCTTCTTGTATTACACAAGCTAATCGAATCAATAGCACGCACGTTCAGCTCATCCATGTGGGTATGACCAAAAAAGATGCCTAGATAAGGGTCGTTGAGTCGACAACGTTCGTGACAAGCTACACGCATACCTGCGATGACATGCGGAGAGAACCTATCGACACTACACGGCAACACCTCAGGTTGGGATTGAACACCGGCAGTGGTCGAGATGACTCACATCTGGTAAACTGACGAAACATTGAAGGTGTCAGGTCTCACAAAAAACAGCACATGCAACCGCTTACGTACATAGGTTGGTAGGGTTGGATATCGGATCCGCCTTGGTGTAACCACTGGGAACGTGGCCCAATATCCAGGCTGCATAGCATCAGATGTCTGCTCCCCAAATCAACGACTCTCGACCTTACCCCTATCACGGCATCTTCAGCAGCTTGCAGCTCGTCAGTGAGGAAACGGAGCATCCCGGAGTTATCAGAGGACGACAGGTTGATGTAGTTGTATGCATTCTGACTGTATGATCAAGGCGAGATGAGTGCTTCGCTGGAACGACCCAGCTTTGAATGGACGTACGTGTACCCTGTGACAGGCATTCACCCGGTCAGCCGGATAGTGCACAGACGCGGCCAAGCGAATAGTAAAGACGTACAGAATTCAGTGTTCAGAGTGATGATCCGTAGTCCATCCTGGCGTTGTACAGAATACGCGGCATAGTGTGTCCGGGCCTGTTGCGCGGTTTCCGGGCCAATCCACCCTTCGAGTTCCCACAAAGCTGCGAGGTGCCGTAATCCCTAGAATAGAGGCACGGTCAGTATACCACGGTATGAGACAGTGTGACCTGAATCAGACTGATGTACCAGTTGAACTGTCCATCGAGTCCGCCACCGATGTTGTACGGAGAGCTCATGGCACTATGGAATGGAAAACATCAGTCAGCTACAACACTGAGACGGAGATGCCGACGAACGTCATGTAAGTTCATGGTTACCAAGGACTGCGTAAACAGGACCGGTGTTGAGCATGCGCTTCATCAGGTCGTATACTACAGTCTGTTCGTTCTATTTCAGTGTTGGTTCTGTGGTAGGATCGTGTCTCCCTGACCTCAGTGTAAAGCGTATACTCTCTGTCGCAGTCAACACCATGCTTTCGGATTATGACGCGCCGTCACATACCTAGACAGCTCGTTGAACGCGTCGTGCGAAGCAGGTCGCCGGTGTAGATCGTCCAATTGAATGACGAGTCCTCCGTTCCCGTCAACACGGGAATGGACTGAAACGTTGCCGCCACGAGCGAGAACGGAGAGTCGCTGAACCGATAATTATGAGCAACGTCGCATTGAGAAGAGACGGCTTGGGCGAGTCTGACCATAAGAATGACCCAAACCACGGAGCCGGGATACTAGACGCGTTAGATGCAGCCACAGTACCAGCGCGACAGCAAAGTCCAGTAGTGCAGTTCGCTTCAGATCCGACCATGTAGCCTAGACGTGCAGGCGTTCAGGTGCGGCATGCAACACATACGTACATCGCTGGACTCACGGGGATCGATGTGGAGGTCGGATAGGTGCAGTACCTTCAATCGCTCACCAGTTGCTTGTCGAACTGCTGGTAGCGGGTCGGGCTTCGGTTTCGCGAACCACGAGGTCAAGTCCAGTGGGCTCGTCGCCGGGATGGGACATAATCCCGCATAATACGCGCATATTGCCTGCCCATCGTACCCGCCAACGTCGGCGAATGCGGCTACCTGAGTGATGGTCGCGCCGAGCGTATATTGTCCATACTCGGAGCCACAGTCTGTGCTCGCGCCCAAGGCCTCGCACAGGCGCACAGCCAGCCCAGGGCCTTCGGCCGGTGCTGACAGAGCGACCATCTTCGCTATCGTTAGAGCGGCTTGACAGCGTGAACATGTGTTGGTTCCAAAGACTGGGTTTGATACAATCGCAAGAATCTGCTGTAGTGCCGCATCCGCAATCTGTGAAGGCGATACTGCCTCAGGGAGCTCATGTGGTTCCCAAGTATCGTTCTGGAAGCTGCTATCAGAGAATGGCAGGATGGGTGCCGTGTATCGACCCCGTACCTGTGGAATGGTCTCTGGGTTTGTCAACCAATATGGATAGACTTCATGCTAGCAGTTGAGATGTGTGAGCGGTAAGAGACGTTCCGAGCAGAGCGTGAAGCATACCGTTACTGGATCAGATATGATTGGCTGCGGCTGGGCAGTGGTCGCCGTGGGGTCATTATAGTATGACCGGTAGAGCGACGTCGGAAAGGCGGCTGGCGCAGTAAAACAGAAGGACCTAGTGTGTTGTTTTGTGCGGCCGCGATGGTAATGCAGATTGTCAGTACCACCGAGCGCATGCCGGACATGGTCTGTGCGAAAAACGGGATGAGACGAAAGAAGAGGAAGACCACTGGCAGACAGACACGGCCTCGGTGAACCGAGTAGGGTCCTCATAAATATGGTTCGAAGACTCCCTATTTGGAGCGCACCTGGGTACTGGGCACGCGGTAGTAAGCTCGTGGTAAATATAATGGTATGTGAAACCGCGGAAATAGCAGATACCGACCTAGGTTGGACACAAATCCCGCATTTCAACGTGAGAGGCGAGACTGAATTCCCACCTGCGCTGAGAAAGCCTCTATTTCCAAAAATAGATGAGTATTTTGGGCGGCCTCAAGATCTCAACCGGTGAGACCTCATACAGAGCTGATTGGTTACTGCAAGTGAGCGGGAAGGTCCATTGCCAGTGCCAACGGCCTCCGACGCAGGCCAGGCATAGAAGGCAGTGTTCCAAGTACTACGGCATCTTGACTTGACTTCGACGGCACTGGCATGCGGCCAAGTACACACGTACTGTTTCTCGAGCCAGTCAGGCACCAGGGACTCGTCGTCGTCGACCATTCCAAGGTCGATCCACACGTGCACGTGTACTTATGGCGCTGCGCCGTCACTGTTACATAGAGCGCTTACTTGATCCCCTCTTCCGAGCACCGGCGGGAAAGTACTAGTACTGGTGCACTTGTCTGTTGTTCCAATCACAACTATGCAAGACCCTTGCGGCGAAGATCAGTCACTGGTCCTAGTACCGATAAGCACGCACTGCCAGACAGGTATTCATACGCGATGCTGGCCCAATCAGTCAATAGGGCCTCTGGGACGGACTGCATCATGATATCGATACTGGCTGCCCACACGCTGACAGGTATGTGGTATGACGATGGCAGTTCACTGTTCCTCGGCTGCGCTGGCAGATGAGACCTCCGAGTCGTTCGCATCGGGAAGTCTCCCTCGTCGTGATCATCATATCACGTCGATTAATCTTCATAGAGACCGCGCGAGATTAGGAATGAGCAAGTGCGTCTACTTGCTCGTCATCAGATAGTTCGCATTCACTTACAACTTGAGATCATGATTCAGGGTGGAATCTAGGAATCTTCATGATAGTTGACCACTTCCATGTACGATTATCGCTGTTGGCATGTATCCTGTGCATCATTCAGTGTTTATCGTGCGCCGGTGACTGTTCCAAAAACTTTTGAACGAGCTACTGTGGTTCAACGTATGATGCACTACCACACCAGCAGCCTTACTATTCGCAAACACTATCAGGGTTTGAAAACTGCAACTCTAGATCGTGTCAACTGACCATATATAATGGTGGCTTTACTACAGGTCTCCGAGACGGAGGACCTGCAGCACCCACTTGAGGGCCCTCGCAAGACGTATTCACTCAGCTGCTTTGTCAACCAACTGTCGACAATGTCAGCCACACACATATACAAGCTAATTGAAGGGTATGTCTTTGATGGTATGCTCGTCGTACGAAGAGTAACCGTGTGTATTCCAGGTTCTTGGAAATCTATGTACACTTCGAAAATGACATGTTTTTCTCTGCTTTGGGTAAGCAACTCAGCCATATGGGTGTTCCTTGTATGACTGTTATTCACGCTGGCACTGTCTTGAGTTCTTGCCTGCTATGACTATCTCTTGACGTTTGATCGCGAAGTGCGGTTCATATGGAAGTCAGAGAGTCAGTCCTGGGGGACTATCCTGTTCTACGGCTTGCGATATCCCCTCCTGGTCAACGTCGTTCTCGAAATTCTCTCTCGTATTGCATGGTCTACCTGGCAGTCTAATTGGGTCGGTATCAATCATTTTTCTTCTATACATACCATTCTAGATGGCTAACAATTATTTCGCAGAGGTGGGCAACCCGCAATTCAAAGTTGAATCACTGAGGTATAATGCCATGCACCTAGCTGCGGGATCATGCTACGCACGCAGATGGGCCTAGACTTGATAATTTTGGTCAGCGCTGCGGGTGAGCTTGTCCAGCATTTCAGTCCGCTCTCTGATGACGTTTGTTCACATTATTGCTGCGCATTGACAGCTTTCGGGGCCCTGCGCATTTATGCTATTTACACTGGCAGCCATAATCGGCTGCTCTTTGGCTTGGTGCTGCTCTCGGGACTACTCAGTCCAGCGATATCAATTGTAAGTGCGCACTTCAATCGAGGATCTTGATTTTCTTATAACATGTTCCAGTATATCATGGTCAGGTCTCGGCCTATCATGAATAGCGTATCTGTGTATACAGCGGAGCTACCATCTTTGAAAAATTATGTGAACTATCAAGTTTGCTCACTGAGGATCAAGGGGGACACGGATAGCTATGAAAAGTGAGCAAATTCGGTTTAGCGACGGCATATGACTGCGAATACTTTCTATGTTCCTAACCAGTCCCTTGCAGTTGTGCGTTACCTTACATTCTGCAAACCCGAGGTTGCGTCACACGAATTTTGCTTTAATAGGGATGATGGGGGCGAGAGCGGCTTCTCTCGTATCGGATGGCCTGGTCTTGGCTTTGACTGCCTTGAAAACACTCAATGGGATGCGTGGCGCCGATATTGTGACGCATAAAGGACCAATAATCAGGCATATTCTTCTGCAAGACAGTGAGCGCAATCTTGCATCTCCATCCACCCTTTACTGATACAGATCTTAGCCGCACTTTGTTTTGCGTGAGTTCTGCCAGTGAACGCGCATGATAGCTTCTAGCCATAACCTTGGACATTTGCCAGACTGCTTTGTGTCGTCAATGTAGTTGGCATCGCGACAGGGCATCTTGATGAGGTATGTAGAGTCTTAGTGCGCTGAGATGCTGTAGCTTATGCGAAGACCACGTTTTCACAAGTACATTTGGATATTGCAGAATTGGACAGCAACGTAAGTTATCCCCGTTCAGTCATCGACATCTGTGTGCATGTGCATTACCTGATTCCACAGGCTGACCTCGGTGCTTCTATCGCGCCTGGCTCTGGACCTACGAGAGGCCTTTGCCGCGCAATCGGGTGACTCTACCGATTTCTTCTGCCGCACGTTACGGGACATCAGCTATGCGATCCCGGATGATCATGGATTCGAGCCCGAGTCTGCTGACGATTTATGGTCTGTAGAGCTCAGCCAAATAGGGGGAGCATCCGGCACTGGTGTTTAGATAAACCACTCACACCACTGGGTTGCAAGCGGCGCGCAACGATGTTGTGGTTTCATGCTCTGAATGTAGTCTTACGTCTCGAACAAGGGTCCATTCACGATTTGTATTTAATCTGATAAAGCGACGTCGCGGTTGAGGCTGTAAGTGTCTAGGACGTGATTTTGAAACTCGGTTTGTGTGGTCAAAGAGTCGGTAGCACCCATGTACCATTTGCGACACGACATGGAGGACCTGTACTTGAAGGCATCTAGAGCGAAGTTCGCGCCACCGAGTCGCCGCACATATGGGGGTCGCCGGTTGCTGGCACCGGCCCGCACCAATACGACCGATGAATCTCAGCGCTCTGAGTCGATGTCCAGCGCTCCAACAACTGCAGGGCCGACCTCACTGGCAAGCACCTTGAACGTGCACAAGGCTTTATCTATGTCATGACTGCGGACAGCTTTGCGAGACGTCGGACGTCAACCTCACTTTGTTCTGTGAGAAGATGCTCAAAAGTCGAACATGAAGTCGTCAGGCATGTCACGGAGCGTTGTACTAGTAGCAGCCTTGCGGACGCCGTACTCGCATCAGTCCGAGAGCATTACCAAACGGCGTACGTTTGTTACATCTAAAGTGCTCGAGTGCTGTTATCTTACCCTCCATATGATAGTCTCGCACGGAGCTCGACCCTGAGGCCTGAGGCCTGAGGCGTGCCGCGTGAGTAAACGTACTACTATTACAACCGTGGAGACGTCCTTCAGCTAATCCGAAGAACAGCTACATCGTGCATTGTATGTGGACCTAGGTCGGTAATCAGGTCACGCATCGAAGGCTCTGATGTTCGCGGCACATGGCCAAGGGAGCATGTTGCTGCCATCAATCCGTCAACCACTACTCACCGACTATTCACGAACGTGTCATTCCTCAGAAGAAGAAGTAGCTACTCGCAATGCTATATTTAAGCTGGCGACAGGTCTCCGAACAGCTAGGCAAAGCCAGCGTCCATAGCATCTGGCGCGGTTTGCTTTCACGCACGCAATGGCCCCGTGGCTTTCGACTTCTTCTGCAACTGCCATCACGCTGGTAGGCATCACTTTCCTTGCTCAGTCCATCACAGCGACTGTGCCAGGTGCTACAGCATACACTGCTTCTGGTGCTTTCCCCACGTCTCTCTATGAATCCTATTACAACGACCCGACCGCGACATCGGTGGAGCCACAGCCAGTGATCTCGGACCCTGTCACGGTACGTGGTTCCACCCAACGGGAAAATACTAGTCATCGAGTGACCCTTTGTTATCAGCATGAGACATATCCATATTGGTTGACGAACCCGGAAACCGTGCCAGGAGTATGACTATCTCGGAACTCGCACATTGTCCACTAACTGTTTTCCTAGAATGACACTTGGGAAGCCCACCCACTGCCAGCGCCCGCGCCTCTTGACCAGCTCGTCGACATCGCGTATGATCAAATTCTATCCATAGTCAAGAATCCTGCGTTTGGCAACGACACATGCACTCGTTGCTTAGCTGCCCTCGAAATCGCCAAGTTCATCGCGCTCACAGTCCCAGAACGAGGCTCGGTTCTAGCAGTGCGCGTGTGCGAATACTTCAACTTCGCCAGCGGCGGCGATTGCGGCGGATACTATGGTCAGTATAGCCTGGGTCCTGATCTCATGCAAACTCTCGCCTTGGCAGACGTTGGCGGTTATGATGGGCTGGTAAGATCGGATTCTCTCGCTCTCTACACAAGCCAAATGACATGTTCGACCAGGCGGCGTGCGCGTACCTCACTGGGACTTGTCCTTATCCAGCAGCTAGCCCTCTGAACTTGACGAATTGGTTCGCAAAGCCAAAGCCCAACCCTTTGCCGCCTCCTAAGCAAGCGACTGGAGAAAGGATGAAAGTGCTGCACTTGTCTGATTTACATATCGACCCGAGTAAGTCAACGGCGCGGCTGATCCTGCATTCCACTGACACGTATTGTACAGGGTACATGATCGGGGCGGAGGCGAACTGCACGTACGGTTATTGCTGTCGGGCAAACAGTGTTCTCGACTCGAACTGGACCAGCCGTTCTGCTCCTCGATATGGATCTTTCCTATGGTGCTCCATCGTTGCATTTGCGGCTCCCGATGATTACTGACGTCCGCCTAGTGACTCGCCCTACCCGCTCGTCACGGCTACATTCCAGGCGATTCCCGTCCTAGCAGGCATAGAGGACTCTTCGTTCAATTTCTCGATATACACGGGTGATCTCATCTCACACGACCTCCTTAATGAATTATCGAGGTATGCGATCGCACTCGTGTAGTGTTCGCTGTGGCCGTGCTAATCAGGTCATGCGCCAGGGAGTATACAGTATATACCGAGGTAAGAAACGGAGACGGAAGAATTACGGAGACTCACCACCTTCCATATAGACCGTTCTCTATGATTTGATGAAGCGTATGATCAACACGGGACCCGTCTATGCAGTACCGGGCAACCACGACACTTATCAGTCGTACGTCTATGTCCGAGCGCTGTATGTATGCACTGCTCAACGTACCTAGAGGTCAGAACTCCCCGTATAACATCGGAAATGGCCATGCAGACCAGTTCGACTGGTGCGTCTACTAGTAGAGGGTTCACCACGATTTTTGACTGAAGGCTTGTCAGGGACTACGAACATCTTGCCGCTCTGTGGGAGCTCGAGGGATGGATCTCCCCCGAGGCTGCGCAGCAAGCGCGGAAGAACTACGCGGCGTATTCCGTGCAACGCCAAGACGGGCTGAGAATTGTCACGCTCAACACTGATTTTTGTATGTTGTATTAGTTGATGCCCCCGTCGTTACTCATGTGCGACAATTGCATTCTCTAGGGTTCCAGTACGTCTTCATACTTGTCGGCACAACAGCTATGAGATCCACAATTCTGCCGTAGACCGAACGTCTTCAATTATTTCAATCTCTCGTCGTCGGACAACTCTGGCATGCTGCGTTGGCTGACCGACGAGTTGCAAGACGCCGAAGACGCCGAAGAACGAGGTGCGACCTGTTTCAAACTCCGTGCAGTGCTACTTCAACGACACTTACCTATTGTAGTCTGGATCCTGGGACATGTCCCTAGCGGTTGGGACGACACCGATCCAATTGCAAACCCTACAAACTTATGTACGTCTACTACGCTTCTCTTTAACTATTCCTTGCTCATCCTGTGTAGTCTACCAGATGTAAGCAGCGAGGACGAAACATCGACAGTGTGCCTTATGTCTCGACAGCGTCGATCGATACTCCCCACATGTCATCGCCGGTTAGTACTGCACGAAGTATGCTTTGAATTGAGATCTGATCTGTCGCCAGGCATCTTCTTCGGACATACCCACATGGACATGTTGACGGTAAACTAGCTTGTGTACTCGCTATCGTCGCTGGTCTCATCATGGCGTAGGTGTATTACACCAATAATGGGACCGTCATGAGCGCCGAAACCGCTCAGACTGTCGCATGGGTGAGTTGGCACGTTTCTTGCGCTTCCTCTCTAACAACACGCGGCTTGCGTAGATTGGCCCATCGGTCGTCCCAGTCACGAACTACAATGTCGGTTTCCGGGTTTATGAAGTCGACTCCGGGGTAGGTCTCTCCCGAGTCATACCTATAGTAGTTTCTCATCTTCGAATTTCAGACATTTGAAGTCCTTGATTCGTATACGTACGTAGATTGCATGTATGCATAAGTGCCTTCCTTCCGCTGACCCGTGCCCCATTGCTAGCTATTTTTCCGATGTCAACACCTTCCCCGACCTGGATGGACAGACCGAATTCGGCCCCGCATTCGAATTGGAGTACAGTGCCCGCGACGCATATGGTGCAACGATAGAATGGGGTGTCAACGACCCTTTGAACGCTACATGGTGGCATTTAGTGACAGAAGGTACATACGCCGTCATTCTCTCGCCCTTGTCTCGTATCAATGACTATTCTTTGCACGCAGCAATGGAGGCGAACTCGACTCTCGTTCAGGTCAGTTTCCCTGAATTAGCATGTTTCTATCATTGACTGACTTTGAACGCGTAGATGTTCAGCAACTACCAGTACAAGAGTTCCATTCGCTACCCTCTGTGCACTGGGAAATGCATTCCCAACAAGATCTGCTCCATACGGAGCGGCAGCGCCAGTCTGTATCTCCAGAACTGTGTATAAGATGCACAGCACTTAACAGTTCGGCGAACACATTATCCCAATGAGTGTCTTGAAGCTGTACAGATATCTTGATTGCTATGCCACACCGGTGCCACCGGGGACATCCAACAGACCCACGGCTCATCATCGTTCGAGCCACTGTTCGCACGGATTTCGATATAAGATAAAACGCGGTATCTTCAAGGCCATTGAACGGCCCAGAGTCCATTGCATGTCCAGACACCAGCGCACTCACACTATGCCATATTCTAGTATTGCCGAGCTCAAGAGGGGCTATGTTGAAGTCAAACCACATCTTGCAAAGTCGTCTGTACACTCTGTCTTAGCTTCTCTCATTATCGACTGACAGCTCACTAGCTTTGTGGGAATTTATCTCGATCTTGAGAACTATCTGTATTTCTCCGCCGCAGGTATGTATACATAGTTGCCGCCATGTACAGTTGACCGAACTCCTTGATAGCACTAGTCGTGTATGATTTCTTCTTGACCCTTGATCGTGAAGTTTGGTCCGTCTGGAGAGCGAAGCAGTCAGTTTCATCGCTGTTGTTCTACGGCTTCCGATATGCGGCCCTACTCAACATCATCCCCACGCTGCTCATTCGTACATCGTTGCCCGGGTTGCAATCCAATTGGGTACGTAACATCCAGTAACTCAGATCTTCGCTTCACGTGGCTAACAGATTGGATAGAGGCGAGCTTGTTTATCTGTTGCCCACAGCATGGATCGGGGGACTGATACGCATTGTAGCTGCGCTATCATTCTGCACGTCCAGATGGCATTGGACATCATCATCCTCGTGTGCTCCACCGGTAAGGACTCGTGGATCAAACAGCTTCTTGGGGTACGCGCTGACGAGGGGAACTATTCAGTCTTCGCTGCGCTTCGCGTCTACGCCATGTTCAACCGTAGTCGATTGCTGTTCTGTCTCGCGTTGATAACTGGCTTGCTGAATCCCGCCATCTCGATCGTGAGTATGCCCTTTCAATACTGCTGTCACGTGAACCGGAGATGCTAATTCACATTGTGCGACAATTGGCAAGTACATCTTCAGGAGGTCGCTTCCAACGTTGGACGCCTATCTAAACCATGAAGGTTGTATGTTGACCATCATAGGTGACAAGACGTCATATGAAAAGTAAGCACACTATGGCCCTGTTTGTTCAGCACTATAAGCTCATCTTGAGGTCGAATCACGCAGCTGTAAGTGCCATGGCATACATATAGATAGTTCATTCTTGAAGTAAGATCGAATGGGGTACTTCTAATGATCGCAGGGATGATTAGTGCAAGAGCAGCCTCCGTCGTTTCCGATGGCATCGTGTTAGCTTTGACTGTCGCTAAGACTCGGACACTGGATAGAGCACGCCGGCACCAACGTGAGGACGGCCTGGTGCCGACATTGAGCGGGATACTCTTTCGAGATAGTGCGTAGTAAACTCCACATTTACTCTTCCCTACCCTGCTTACTCTCGATCACCAGCGGTGTCATGTTTCTCGTGCGTCAAGCTCATAGCCCCCTTTCACTGGGCGACACAGCGCTGAGCCTAGGATACAGGTTATTGTGTGCCATCAACGTGATTGGAATGGCCACGGGCCGCCTGACACAAGTGAGAGCTACCTCATCATGCACAGGCGCAGTGACGCTCTGAACTTACTATACACAGTTCATTGAAATCTGGCAGATATGGACCGCTACGTATGTCGCCCTCGCTATCCCTCTTCGGCCGCGCGATTCAGCTTATCACATTTGACTCTTACAGTTTTACATCTGTTCTGCTGTCGCGTCTCTTCTTGGACCTTCGCGAGGTATCAGATACAGATAACAGCGGGAAGTCTGAGTTTCTCTCTCGCACTCTCCCGAGTTATGGCCCAGAATCGTCGGATGCGGCAACACAGTTCACAGAGGTCGAGGCACTGGAGATGTACGCACCCACAAGTACCCTAAGTCCGTAGCGCAGTTGAGGCCTGAGGCGCGGACTTCTGTTCAATTGACATATAAGTGCATACACTGTGTCTTGGGATCAAGCTCCGATGATTACCTCCAAACGTACCGACCACCGTGGGCTCGTCAACGAGATGCCCGAGCTTCGGAAGGCCAGCCTGAGATGAATTTCATTGATGCTAAATCGTGACGCAGTACATAAGGAAACCGTATCGGATGTCTAGGCCTATTTATTTGCCGCAGTCAGACCGCGCCTCCTCCTCGACGTACGGGCCAGCGGTAAGCCGAAGTCGCGTCGGAGACGCGTCCCGCGGGACGACTCGGACGCGTCTGTGGCGGTGGCGAGGCACCATGAGACCAATCAGAGCGTGAGACGAGTGTTATTTTTTGCGCGACTTTCGCAGTGTCGTGAACGCACTCGCCGCCGCTCGGAGGACTACAGCTTTCTCTGCGTCCAGCGCACCACGAATGTCATCTTTCTCGGCGACTCGTACATGCCCAGCAGGCTTCCACACAGAGCCCGAGATACGCGAAGGATTCAGCTGAAGTTGCATGCTTAAGCCACAGTAGTAGCTATGCACCGCGGTACCGAGAAGAACCTCTCATCTTTAGTCGCCTGACCAGCCGTGTAAAGCTAACTCCCTCGCAGAACGACACTGAGGAGATTCACCCTCTACCGCCTCCGGCGAACTTTTCGGTGTGGCTGTCGCGCAGGTCGTCTCGATAGCGAAAACCCCCATCGCCGCTTCGCAGCTGACTACTGCGCAGCCTGTCAGGCCGCGCTCGAGGTCGCCAAGTTCCTGGTGATGGCGCAACCCCAGCAGGGCCCAAACCTCGCCGTGCGTCTGTGCGAGTACTTCAACTACAGCACGACCCTCGATTGCGAGACGACGTATGGGATATACACACTTGGCTCGGTCATGACGCAGACGATCGCGGCCGCAGACGTCGGAGGCTACGACGGGCAGGTAAGTACGGTTTGGTGCTGATGAGAATTATGACTGATGACGCGCTTCAGACCATATGCAACCAGTTTCTTAGTCTCTGTCCGCGGCCACCCACGAGCCCGCTGGACTTGGATAGCTGGTTCGCGAAGCCGAAACCTAACCCGCTCCCTCCGCCCAAGCAACCCACGGGGGAGCGCCTGAAGATCCTACACTTATCCGACTTGCACATCGATCCTCGTAAGTTTATATGCTAATTAGTGTCTCCTGGCTTATACGAAGGTATGCGGCAGGTTACGCTATCGGAGCGGAGGCGAACTGCAGCCAGTACTTGTGTTGCCGCGTGAATGGCTACAACGAGAACAGTCTTAACCAGACAGTGCGACCTGCTCCTCGGTTTGGTGCCTTCAATTGGTATGTGTATGCTACTACCAGGCATCGTCGTAGTCTCATCGCACCTGCTACATATCAGCGATTCCCCCTACCCCTTGATTGTCGCAGCGTTGCAAGCGGTGCCGGCCCTCACAGGCACGGAAGAGACTGGCTTCGACTTCACGATCTTTACTGGCGACCTGATCCCCCACGACCCCGCCAACAAGCTGTCAAGGTAAGGATGTATCAGTGCGCAGTCTCGTGCAGTTCCGACTTCCTGCCCACAGTCTGTCTTGTACGAGCTTATCAAGCGCCTCGTCAACACTGGGCCTGTGTACGCTGTACAGGGTAATCACTTGGGACGATACCAATCCGATTGCAAACCCTACGAACCCATGTTCGTCTGTCGTGCTTTATTTCGGTTGCATCCTATACATGCTTTGCGCAGTCTACCAGGTGTAAGTCACGAAGTCGAGGCATTGATCGACTAGCTAATGCCTTATTAGCGTCATTCGATACTCTCCTCATGTCATCACGGGTAAGTGCTGTACACATGGCGGAATGAGTTAGCAACTTCATTCGTCACCAGGCATCTTCTTCGGACACACGCACACGGATATGTTGACGGCGACTCTGATTGAGTGTTCGTTGTCGATACTCGTCTCATCGCTGCGTAGGTGTATTATGCCAACAATGCAACCATGATGAGCGCCGAAACCGCTCAGACTGTCGTGTGGGTGAGTCGGCACATTTCTTGTAGTCTCTGCACTTCACAAACAGCTTTCAGATCGGCCTGTCTGTTGTCCCAATAGCGAACTACAACGTCGGCTTCCGAGTTTATGAGGTCGACTCCAGGGTGGGTCGCCCTCGGCTCACATCTGCAGACATTCGAAGTCCTTGATTCGTATACGTACGTGAATTCCCTTTAGCAGTGTAAGTGAGCTCCTCCTGATAACCCATCTTGTATTGCTAGCTACTATGCCGATGTCAACCCTTTCCCCGACCTGGATGGACAGACCGAATTCGGCCCCGCATTCGAAATGGAGTACAGTGCTCGCGGCGCATATGGCGCAATGATAGAATGGGGTGTCGACGACCCTCTGAACGCTACCTGGTGGCATCTAGTGACAGATGGTACATACACCATCATCCTCTCACCCTTGTCTCGTGTCAATGACTATTCTTTGCACGCAGCAATGGAGGCGAACTCGACTCTCGTTCAGGTCAGTTTCCCTGAATTAGCATGTTTCTATCATTGACTGACTTTGAACGCGTAGATGTTCAGCAACTACCAGTACAAGAGTTCCATTCGCTACCCTCTGTGCACTGGGAACTGCATTCCCAACAAGATCTGCTCCATACGGGGCGGCAGCGCCAGTCTGTATCTTCAGAACTGTGTATAAGGTTCAAGGGCATGACTGTTCGGCAACATGTTATCCAAATGGGTGTCTTGAAGATGTACAGATGTCTTGAATGCTATGCCACGCCCGCGCTACCGGGGACATCTTGAACAGAAACACGATGCATCATTGTTCGAGCTGCTATTCGCACGGATCTCCATATAAGATAACTCGCGCTATCTTCGAGGCCATTCGACGACCCAGAGTCTACTGCATGTCCACGCACTGGCACCAGCTCACCCACACTATGCCATATTCAAGTATTGCCGAGCTCAAGAGGGATTATGTTGAAGTCAAGCCACATCTTGCAAAGCCGTCCGTGCACTCTATCTGGTCTTCTCATTGTCAACTGACAGCTCACTAGCTTTGTGGGGATTTATCTCGATCTCGAGAGCTATCTGTATTTCTCCGCCACAGGTATGTATGCATAGTTATCGCCGTGTACAGTTGACCGAACTACATGATAGCACTGGTCGTGTATGATTTCTTGTTGACCCTTGATCGCGAAGTCTCGTACGTCTGGAGGGCGAAGCAGTCAGTTTCATCGCTGTTGTTCTACAGCTTCCGATATGCGGCCCTCCTCAACATCGTCCCCACGCTGCTCATTCGCATGTCGTTGCCCGAGTTGCAATCCAATTGGGTGCGTAACATCCAGCAACTCAGATCTTCGCTTCACGTGGCTAACAGATGGGACAGAGGCAAGTTTGACAATCTGTTGCACACAGCATGGATCGGAGGACTGAATGCACATCGTAGCTGCGGTATCATGCTGCATGTCCAGATGGCGTTGGATATCATCATTCTCGTGAGCTCCACCGGTAAGGAGTCGTGGATCGAACAGCTTGGGGCAGTGCTCGCTGACGAAGAGTCCCATCCAGTCTTCGCTGCGCTTCGCGTCTACGCCATGTTCAACCGTGGTCGATTGCTGTTCAGTCTTGTGCTGATAGCTGGTTTGCTAAATCCTGCCATCTCGATCGTGAGTATGCCCAAAGTTTCTATGCCGCTGTTGCGTGCACCGGAAGAACTAACTCACATTATGCGATAATTGGCAAGTAGTACATCTTCAGGAGGTCGCTTCCAACGTTGGACGCCTATCTCAAGCGTGAAGCATGTATGTTGACTATCATAGGTGACGATACGTCATATGAGAAGTAAGTATATCCTTGTTTGTTAAGCACTATGGACTTACCTTGAGGCCCGAACCACGCAGCTGTAAGTGTCATGACATACAGATAGATATTATTTTTTGAAGTAGAATCGGATGGGATGCTTCTATTGGTCGCAGGGATGATTGGAGCAAGAGCAGCCTCCGTGGTTTCCGATGGCATCGTGTTAGCTTTAACTGTCGCTAGGACTCAAACACTGACTAAAGCACGCCGGAATCAACGTGGGGACGGCGTGGCGTCGACATTGAGTGGGGTACTCTTTCGAGATAGTGCGTAAACTTCACCGTTACTCTTTCCTCCTACCCTACTTAATGTCGATCAATAGCGGTTTCGTGTTTCTCGTGCGTCAAGCTAGTAGCCCCCTTTCACTAGACGACACAGCGCTGAAACGACACAGGTTATTATGTATCATCAACGTGATTGGGATGGCCACGGGCCGCCTGACAGAAGTGAGAGCCACCTTGCATCGTGCACAGGCCCGGTGACGCTCTGAACCTATTCTACACAGTTCATTGAGATCTGGCAGCTGTGGACCGCTACGTATGTCGTCTTTGCTACCTCTCCTCGGCCGCGCGAACCAGCTAATCACATTTGACTCTTACAGTTTTACTTCTGTCCTGCTGTCGCGTCTCTTCTTGGACCTTCGCGAGGTATCAGATACAGACGACGGCGGGAAGTCTGACTTCCTCTCTCGCACTCTCCCGAGTTTTCGCACGGGATCGTCGGATACGTCAACACAGATCACAGAGGCACTGGAGATGTAGCTTGAGATGAATTTCATTGATGCTAGATCGTGACGCGGTCCATAAGGAAACCATCGGATGTCTAGGCCTACTTATTTGTCGCAGTCAGACCGTGCAGAGACTTCGGCGTACGGGGATACGAGTCATGGAAACAGGCCGCCGCTATCTAGTTCCGTGGGCTGTGAGGCACCTGCGAGCATGGCATTTACATCCGGTCGGAGGAATCTTACGAGGGTGCGAATAGAAAGATCTGATGCAGGCCGTCTACATGGTAAGAAATAAGTCCTCCTGAATTTGCGCATGTGCTCCCTTTCTTGCAAGCGCGGGCAAACGGCAAGTCGCGTCGGAGACGCGTCCCGCGGGACGACGCGTCTGTGGCGGTGGCGAGGCACCATGGGACCAATCAGCGCGTGAGACGAGTGTTATTTACAGCGCGACTTTCGCAGTGTCTCGAAATGTGAACGCACTCTGAACGCACTCGCCGCTCGGAGGACCACAGCCTTCTCGCTCTGCGTCCAGCGCATCGCGAATCTAGAGTCTTTCTCCGCCACTCGTACACGCTGGGCTTTAATTCCTTGCATGCCTAAGCCACAGTACGCTAGTGCACCGAGAAGAGCCTCTCATCCTTACGACACGCAATCCCTCGTTCGTCCCTGGGTGTCTTTTATCGCACTCACCTCCTTAAGCTTCCATTCTTCACTCAGCTTGCCCCTGCCAGATGACCATTGCGCTCTACAGCGTGCCGTACGCGTAACTGCTAATATTCACCATCTATGCAGTGGCAATGCATGGTGGACGTCAACTTTACACATACCTTTGCATGCGCTTGTCCACGATCTCGCCGACAGCGCTTTGCGCTCGAAGACAGCTTGCTAAGAATGCCGGCAACTTGACTGCTGAGCAACGTTGGAGACTAGGGGATGCGGACATTCCCTGGAGCATGCATGTACGTTGCGCTTCTATTCTCGAAACCCGCAACTCGTGTCTTGATGCCTCGTTGCACTACCAGGGAATAATCCTAGCGGCCCCGGACATGTCGTCATCTCGGAAATTGGCAAGGAATGAGAGGAACGCCGGCTCGTCAAGCTATATGGCCCTGCTGACCTTGTACGTTGCACGCACGTTCGCCCCTTCACTGGATGTACGATGTTCTTTTCGAGCGATGACTTCCATTCGAGACTATATAGCCTACATTCTATGGGCCCGAGCGGGCCGTGTGTTGTTCGAACTCGACCTCCAGGCTCGAGCAATTCGCGGTCGCGGTGATGACTAGGGCTTTGAACCTCGTCCTTGGTGTCGCTTCACTGAGGGCGGTCCTCTGCCTCCCTAATGGCTTACAATCGGCGTATACTGCAGCTGGTGCATTCCCCACCAGTTTATATGCGTCGTATTACAACGACCCCACTGCTACGACGGCTGAGCCTCAGCCAGTTGTCTCCGATCCTGTCACGGTGAGCGCCTACGTCCACGTTCTACCCACTCTCACTCAGTACATGATGTAGCATGAAATCTATCCGTACTGGTTGACGAACGCGGAAGAGATCCCACAGGTTCGATACAATCCCCTAGGCCAGCCGTGCTAAGCTGACTCCCTCGCAGAACGACACTGAGGAGATCCATCCTCTGCCGCCTCCGGCGAACTCTTCGGTGTTCCTCGAGACGGCTGTCGCGCAGATCGTCTCGATAGCGAAGAATCCTATCTTCGCAGCTGACTCCTGCGCAGCCTGTCAGGCCGCGCTCGAGGTCGCCAAGTTCCTGGTGATGGCGCAACCCCAGCAGGGCCCAAACCTCGCCGTGCGTCTGTGCGAGTACTTCAACTACAGCACGACCCTCGATTGCGAGACGACGTATGGGATATACACACTTGGCTCGGTCATGACGCAGACGATCGCGGCCGCAGACGTCGGAGGCTACGACGGGCAGGTGAGTACGGTTTGGTGCTGATGAATATTATATGACTGATGACGCGCTTCAGACCATATGCAACCAGTTTCTTAGTCTCTGTCCGAGGCCGCCCACGAGTCCCCTTGACTTAGACAGTTGGTTCGCGAAGCCGAAACCTAACCCGCTCCCTCCGCCCAAGCAACCCACGGGGGAGCGCCTGAAGATCCTACACTTATCCGACTTGCATATCGATCCTCGTAAGTTTATATGCTAATTAGTGTCTCCTCGCTTATACGAAGGTATGCGGCAGGTTACGCTATCGGAGCGGAGGCGAACTGCAGCCAGTACTTGTGTTGCCGCGTGAACGGCTACAACGAGAACAGTCTCAACCAGACAGTGCAGCCTGCCCCCCGTTTTGGTGCCTTCAATTGGTACGTGTATGCTACTACCAGGCATCGTCGTGTTCTCATTGCACCTGCTACGTATCAGCGATTCCCCCTACCCCTTGATTGTCGCAGCGTTGCAAGCGGTGCCGGCCCTCACAGGCACGGAAGAGACGGGCTTCGACTTCACGATCTATACTGGCGACCTAATCCCCCACGACCCCGCCAACGAGCTTTCAAGGTAAGGATGTGTCTGCTCGGCCTATTTGTCATCTCACCAACTCAACCTCGTTGCGTAGGGCTTACACGGTCTACTCCGAGGTGCGTATAACTCAGTGCGCAGTCTCGTGCAGTTCCGACCTCCTGCCTTTAGTCCGTCTTGTATGACCTTATCAAGCGGCTTGTCAACACCGGGCCCGTATACGCTGTGCAGGGCAACCACGACACGTACAACATGTAAGTTACAGCCTGTTCCGATCTGCCCAGAGAACGGACACCTGACTATGACTCCGATAGGGCAATGAACTCGCCGTACAACATCGGGAACGGTCTTCGAGATCAGTTCGATTGGTATGCCACGAAGGATTGATGTGTCGCCCGAGGCTTAGACTGGCCATGCTCAGGGACTACAACCACCTCGCAGCGCTGTGGGAGCTAGAAGACTGGATTGACGGAGACACGGCGCAGCAAGCGCGCACGCATTACTCGGCGTACTCTGTGCAGCGTCAGGACGGTTTGAGGATCATCACGATCAACACAGATTTCTGTGCGTGATTTATGAGTGGTCTCAGCTGCTTGGAAAGTCATTAACGGATCTGCATGCGAACAGGGTACACGTACGTTCGATTGGCCGAAGGCTCCAGATTCGGCCCACCAAACTGAGACGCCGATACAGACAGAACTACTTCAATTACATCGACTTGGCTTCGTCGGACAACTCGGGCATGCTGCGGTTCTTGACCGATGAGCTGCAGGACGCGGAAGATACGGGTGACAGAGGTGTGCATGGTCTACCTCAGGAGGAACTGTCCTGACTCTTCGTTCATCAGTGTGGATCTTGGGCCATGTTCTCAGTGGCTGGGACGGAACCGAGCCTCTGGAGAACCCGTCGAACTTGTGTACGTGCCCTTGTATTGCCATATTGTTGCTAGCTAATGGGAAATATCTCAATAGTCTACCAGATGTAGGTTTCTGTGCTAGTATCCTTGGCGTGCGTACTCAACTTGTTCCGAAGTGTCGATCGTTACTCGCCGCATGTCATCGCAGGTGCGTCTCGTCAGTGACTTCGTGTGAGTGGTACTTACAGTTGCTTCAGCCATCTTCTTTGGGCATACACACGAAGACCAGCTTACTGTAAGCTGACACACGAGGGAGCGACAAGAGTGCGACTCACCTCCGTACAGATCTTTTACGCGAACAACGCCACGAACATCAGCGCCGAGAATGCGCAGACTGTGGCATGGGTGAGTTCAGTCTATCGACCTGCGCGGAGACTGGTACTTACTGACCTTGTGAAGATCACTCCGTCGGTTACACCTTTGACAAACCTCAACTCAGGGTTCCGTATCTACGAGGTGGATTCAGGCGTGCGTTCTTCCGTAGTCCAATTCTTTGAGATGTTGCAGTTCTGACTCCAATTGGCACTAGACATTCGATATCCTTGATGCCTACACGTGGGTCGATTGGCAGGCTGCACGACGCTCGCAATGCTTACTTTCTGCTAGGTGGCAGGCCGATGTCAACGCTTTCGGCGGTTTGGACGGTCAGACCGAATATGGGCCAACGTTTGAACTTGAATACAGCACTCGCGAAGCGTATGGCGATAGTATCACTGGATGGGGTCCGGACGACCCTCTCAACGCGACTTGGTGGCATCTCGTCACGGAAGGTCCGTGCGACAGCACCGTGAAGTGTCAGGTCCGCTGACGTTTGCTTCACTCAGCCATGGAGACGAACTCGTCTCTCATACAGCTGTACAACCTGTACCAAAGCAAGAGCTCAGTCATGACGCCCGAGTGTACGGGTGAATGCCTCACCGCCAAGATATGCTACTTGCGTAGTGGAAGTGCCAGCCTTTCGCTTGCTAATTGTCCAGCCGGGTACGGCAGCACGCAGGGTGGGGCGTACCCTTGAAGGTTGGATAGTGGTGTAGGTTTGTGTCCTGCTGGTGTGTTGTGTCAGGCGCTGAGTGGCACGACGGTGTGGGACAAGACCAGTGGCAATGTATATACAGCTGCGAGCGCAATGTCAGTTGTATTGTTCATGCCTGTATATGCAAAGGAGATCGTTGTCACGACATTGACCCGGGAAAGGTGAGTAAGGACATGTTCCGGACGGCGGAAAGCATGAGTATACTACAACCACGTGTCTATGGCTCTCCCGCACCCGTCACAGGATCGCGTCGTCCCGCGAGACACATGTGATAACTGTCTGATCGAGCGGTATAAGGCATCCGAGACGAGCGACCTCCCGCTCAGATCCAGGTATTCCCCCGCACGTCTCCTATACCACCCTCAGCGACAGCAAACAAGTAGACAGCTATGGCCACGAAGGCGCTTAAGCAACTCACACGGGAGGAGGTCGCTCAGGTCAGTGTGGCTCCCGATCATCTCAGGAGCGTAAGAGTAATGGGCCCCTCTTGATTGGTCGCTGTAGCACAACAAGCCAGACGACTTGGTACGCTTTCTCAACAGCCCGTCAATGTTGCGCAGAGCTCATGCAGCAAATGCGTACATAGTGGATTGTAATAGACGCGAAAGTGTACGACGTATCCAAGTTCAAGAACTTACACCCTGGCGGAGCCAACGTATTCCTTGCAGAAGAGATTCGTGCGTACTCTATCTTGCTCATGTATATGTCATACATAAGCAGACCTACCTATTATTACAGCTGGTCAGGATGCTACAGAAGCGTTCTACGGCCTGCACCGCCATGAGGTCCTCCTAAGGCCTCAGTATGCACGGTTGCAGATTGGCACGATTGGCGGCGAGGAGAGTCACATTGTCAGCAACGTCTCAGGTCAATTGAGCGAGGTTCCGTATGCCGAGCCAACGTGGTTGTCGAAGGGATATCACACCCCATACTACAAAGAGGTACGCTACAATCCCTTCCCCTCAGGTCGGCGACTCACTGTGCCGCAGACCCACCACCGGTTCCAGAAGGCGATGAGGAAGTTTACTGATGAGGAGATCACCCCTGAGGCGACGGTGAGTCGTGTGTTCGTCAGTATCGAGACTATTACCTAAACATCACCCGCAGGCACGAGAAGAGGACGGTAAACGACCCAGTCCTAGTTTAGTCAAGAAGATGGGGTTCGTCTCGTGATTTGCCTAGCATCTGCAGCACATTGACATCATCTTACAGGGATAACGGTCTGAATGCAATGCGTCTTGGCCCTGGAAAGCACCTCAAAGGCCTAACGCTATTGGGAGGCGCAGTCACCCCGGAAGAGGTACTCATTTTCATACTTCTGCTTCTTCATCACTCACCAGCGGCTTTATCCCTAGTACGATTATTTCCATGAGGTATGCCTACGAGTTTGGTGACATGGCGCCGAAAGTGCTCATCATGGTTTAGCTCATACTCAACCAAGAAGCTGTCCGCGCCGGTATGCGCGGCTTCCAAGATGGGTTTAATGGCGGAATGGTCATCGGCTTGCCGCCCGTGATGCATTTTGCGAAGCCCGAGCTGCGCGATCGTGTCATGAAGGAGGTTCTTTCCGGCGAGAAGTACATCAGCTTGGCGATCACCGAGGCGTTCGCAGGCTCGGATGTCGCGGGCTTGAAGACGACCGCTCGCAAGACCGAGGATGGCAAGTTCTGGATCGTCAATGGTACCAAAAAGTGGATCACGAACGGGGCGTGAGTGGGCTGTATGCGTGTGCTTTGCAAATCTTCTAATGCGATTACTGTCTTTCAGGTTCTCCGATTAGTACGTGCTCTCGCATTAGTCCGAAACGGCGTACTAATCCACATAATCAGCTTCACCGTCGGATGTAACACCGGGGTAAGCCACACTCTGATATCCTTGCCTGAATATCATCTCACACGCTCTCAACACCTGACAGAAAGGATTGACTGCAATCCTTGTGGAACGTGGTGACGGCGTTGAGACAAAGCCGATCAAGACTTCATATTCATCAACAGCCGGGACCGCGTATATCACCTTTGACGATGTCAAAGTTCCCGTCGAGAACACCCTCGGACCCGTTAATGGCGGTGTCTTCGTCATCCTCAGGTACGTTATATGCTTCTATTTAGGCTGGCGAGGAGGATGCTGATTGTTGTTGGCCAGCAACTTCAACCACGAGCGATGGGTTATGGCTTGCGCGTCCATCAGGGCACAACGGACTATCGTCGAGGAATGCATGAAGTGCGTGGTTCGCCGTCTACGCCGTGAAGTGTTATTTATTGACGCCTTGGCAGGTGGGTCAACCAGCGGAAAGCGTTTGGCAAGCCGCTCAGCTCGCAAGCCGTCATCCGCTCGAAGCTCGCTGAGATGATCGCTCGCGTCGAGAGCTTGCAGGCTTGGCTAGAGAACATCACGTACCAGATGAACAACATGGTCCGTCGTCACTTCTCTGTCTCTCCTGGAATTTATATTGACCCGGACTTGGTTTAGTCGTACAAGGAGCAAGCTGCCCTACTTGCGGGGTAAGTCTAGGGTCGGTGATCTCGGTGTCTCGCGCAAGTATTGAATATACGTTCTTGTAGCCCTATTGGTCTATTGAAGATGGCTGCGACGCGCGCTGCGCAAGATACTGCCCGTGACGCAGTGCAGATCTTTGGTGGCCGTGGTATCACGAAGACGGGCATGGGTCGTTTGATTGAGCACGTATGTGTGCATTGTCTGCAGTTTAGCTTATCAAGTTTGACCCGCTGTTTCCTTCCAGTATCACAGAACCGTGCCGTTCGACGCGCTCCTCGGAGGAGGTAAGATGCCATGTACTGTATTCGAGTTAGAGGAGTATGCTCATGCAGTCGTCTCACAGCGGAGGATGTCCTGGGCGACCTCGGTGTTCGCCAGGCGATCAAGAACATGCCGAAGGGAGCAAGGCTATAGCCGCCGTTTGTTGCAGCGGCGGAGGACGCATTCGGGTTGTGAGCCGCCATCATAATGTTATTCGTTCCTTGCAGTATTGGATGTACAGTACCCTCGTGGCATTTGGATATCAGCCTTCTATTCTCAATCGTGCGCGTGGTATGCGAGCGTACACCTCCGTTGCCCTTGAGAGCAACTGTCAGTCAATAATCGCCAGAACGGTGAGCAAAAGGAAAAGAGACATTTCACTTCACAAGGAAGCGTAGTGATTCCAAAGATTGATGATACGGCCGTCAGTCGGAGTCGGTACACGGAATCCCCTAGTAAAAGGCGAGGGGATTATATGTTGTACCAACTCCAGCCGTTAATGTGATTGGTGAGAACTCACGACATGCGACAAAGTTTTGCATTTCGTGCAGTCCGCGCTGAGTACTGAGTACGGGCGTTTATGCATATGGACCATTGGCTGCCTTACCGTAAGTTAGCTGCACTCATAGGCGGCCATATGGACTTTGTGTCGCCACAGTCTCTTTCGGCAGCGAACTTCCTGTCATGTCACGATCCGTGTGTTAATGTTAATCAAATAGTTGTGATGCTCTTCAAGTTCGTCTATAAATCGGCGAAGCAGTAAGTTGCGTAGACTGAGGTTAAGTATCGGACGGCTCGTATCATGGTGATCTCAGTCCGTGGTTTAGACACCGTCGCAGACAGAGGTTGATGTCAAGACGAACCAGGACATGCATCAATTCTGGGCCAGTACTGGTGGCGGTCAAGACTACACCGATTGCCTGATATGGAGGGGGCAATCGAGGCGCGGCAGAAGCCGAGACGGGTGACGAGCGTGCTCGGCGTCGGTGGTCTTGTTGTCCATCCTTCCGCCTCCTCTCCCTCAACCACCTCCCTCGACCCATCTCTGACGGCCTCTCTTCCACCAGCGTCGCCCACTCTCTCTGAACGACGGTGCAGTCTCTCGATTAATTGGACACCGTCGCCTGTATCCGAAGTAAGAGCTCTTTCGTTTTCTGCGTCGACACGGCAATCAACCTCTCCTAGACTTTGTTGTCTGGCTCGCTGTATCCTGTCGCATCGCTGTCTATTTGTCTGTCGGTACTCGCACCCTCCTGTCGTATCCTCAGAAAAGTGCAACGAAGTTTTATTCCACTTCACCTGCCTGAGTCGTGCAAAGATGCCCGAAGACGATTTTGACATTTACGGGGAGGATGAAGGGTTCAACTCCACTAAGCCTGTAGAGGTGAGCATGCGCCATGTATTTGGATCCATCTGCTAAGGGGTCCGCGAGCACCAGGGTCTTGAGGAGGAGCAAGCTGCACCCGACACGAACGAGATCCAAGGTGAACATCGCTCCAGCTCCCCCGTCACAGGAGAGAAGAGGCAGCGTGAAGACGACGAGCCTGAGTCTGACGACCGCATGAACGGTGGGCACTCGTCGCCACCCAAGGAGCTCGAGATCCAGTCAACCGCTGATGCTCGGAGCCCCGGAGCGTCTAACGGTTTTTCTGGAGGGACAACGCCTGGTGTTCCGTCGGTCAGCGGCGGTGCCGCTGGACAGGGTGCCTTTGACGCGTTATATATCGGTGATTTGCAATGGGTCTGTTGGTTCATACACTTAGGTTCACACATTCATGTCATTCTGAGACGTTCCCATGCAATCTGTTTGCCTTTACAGTGGACGACTGATGAGGACGTGCGGCAAGTAGCGCTCAACACTGGCGTGACACTGGACCATAAGGACATCACCTTCTCCGAGCACAAGGTAAATGGTAAAAGCAAAGGGTAAGCGTGAATATATGCGTTCCTATGCTGAGTGAATATTCATTCACGTTGACAGAATTGCCTACGTGGAGTGTCATAGCTTCGAGAGTGCATCAGCCCTGAAGAATTGGTTCGACAACAAGTAAGATCTGAGCCTTTGTAGTCGTTGCCAGCTCACTGAGAGTTTTCGCAGTGACTTCCAGAATCGCCGAGCCACGGCAAATTACACGAGCACATCACAAGGGAATCCCTTCCGGACCCTGCCCAAAGGTCGGTGTGCAGCACCCAGGCCGTAGTATATCGCTCATCACTCTACACAGAGCCCCCACCGCGCGAGATGCGCCACGGCGGTCAGATGCAGAGCGGAGTGGGGTCCAACCCTGGCCGCGGCGGCGGCAACTTCCGCGGAGGAGGTATGCAGAACAACAACATGGGCGCGAACATGGGTATGAACATGCGCGGCGGCATGATGGGCAACGGCGGCATGATGCGCGGCGGCATGCCTAACATGATGGGCATGGCATGGGTGGTATGGGTGGTATGGGCGGTATGGGTATGGGTATGGGCGGCATCGGAGGCGGAGGCATGGGCATGGGCGGTATGGGCGGCGGACGCAGCGGGATGATCCCTCAGGGCCCGCGCGGCAACATGATGGGCCGCGGCGGGGGCATGATGGGTGGCGGAATGGGTACGGTGTTCTAGGACGATGTCCGTTTCCTGTACTTGTGACGTGGTGACTGATCCGTGTTGTATGACCGTGTAGGAATGGGCATGATGCCAATGGGCGGCAGAGGCGGCGGGTTTGGGAACGTCCAGGGACACTTCAACCCCGCGTTCATGCAGGGCGGCGCTGGTGGGGGTGGTCCGTTTGGGCCGGAGGGACCGAGGAAGAGGTTCAAGATGGAGGACGGTGCATAAATGCACTGCAGCACGGTTCACGTCAATCAAGGACACGTAGAACCTCGGACAACATACTTCTCCATTCACGCCTTCCTCACCCATCCGCTCGTCTTAGCTTTCGTGAAGCAATGTTCAGATACTGTAGTCCGCATAATGTAACCCACTCGCAGCTCAATCACACATGTGGTGGATCTTCCTGACTGTATTGTTGTCCATCAGGAAGCGGATACATGTGTGATGTACTAAGGTGTGTTCGGTGCGAATGCGGAATAAGATAGATGGCGATGGTACAGTGTGGCGACAATATATGAGGAGACATACAGAGAACCAAGGCATGAAGGCAAGAACAAGAGTCGCGGCAAGTCCGATGTATATGAACCAACACATGCTAGTATCAACCCCTGCGGTCCTTCTCCTTCCGCTTGCGCCGTTCTCTTCTTCGTGACGCCTTTCCTGTTCCTTCTCGAGCTCGTCCTCTTTCCGAGCAATGCGTGCACTGCAAAAGCAATATCAGCAACGGCATTATGAGATGCGTCAACCAGCAGACGTCGCTCTGCAGCAGAAGTAGGATCGTGGCTGACCTTCGCTTCTCCTCCCTCTCGAGGTCGCTTGCGCCCGCCTCCATGTCCTCGTCGTCGCTCATCACATCTGCAACGACATAGCGAGAGCGGTCCTTGCCAAAGAGGCTCCAGATCTGGAGCTGATGTCGTTCTGGGAGGACCCGGCGCGCTTCTTTGGCGGCGGCGGCGACGTGCTTCGTGAAGAGGCCATCGAAGGAGAGCGGGGCCGCTTCTTGGGAATAGGCTTGCTACTGGCTGAGGATGCGAGCTTGATGACGTGGCCGCGGTCGCCTTGCCAGCGGGCACAGGTGTCCTAGAACCGGAGGAGGATACCGACTTGGTGGGAAGCGGCTTGACTGCGGCCGGTCGTTGAGACGAGGAGACTTTGGAGTAGGAGCGGGGCGAGGTTGCTGGGAACTTTGGAGGCGGGAGAGGCAGACCCGCTCTGCGTCCTCTGCAGGCCTGTCTTCTGGCCGATGCCTGCGGGGGTGTTCGCTCGCGACGTCGACGCGGACTCCACCTGCGAGACGGCCTTCGTCTCCTTGGCCTTCCCAAACCAGTCCTTGAACTCCTTCGCCTCGTCGCCCTGCAGGGTCTTCGCCTTCGCCTTCGCCCGGTCCTGCAGGATCTCGTCAATCGTCCGCGTATCCCGTTTGTTCACGTTGAGCTTGATGAGCGTGGCCGGCGCCTGCGCGAGGCGCTGCCGCACGGACATCGTGCTCTTCCCGTCCGCAGACAGCGCGCCCGTGTTCGTCGTCGTGATGTCCATCGCGCCGCCGGGGAGCCGCCTGCCCGCCTTCGCGTACCCGCCGGCCGAGTTCGCGCGGCGCGCGCTGCCCAGGCCATGGCGCATCTCGAGCTCCATCCGCCGCTTGCGCTTCTCCTCGCGCGTCAGCGCACTCGCGCCGCCTCGTCGTCGCCCGGGTCCTCCGAGCCCTTGCGCCCCGCCGCGCGCGAGACGGGGTACCCGTTGCCGTCCGTCCGCGCCGCGCGCTTCGGGCCGTGCATCAGGCGGGCGCGCTCCTCCTCCTCGCGCCGCTGCAGCTCGCGCTCCCGCGCCTCGCGCTCGCGCTCGACCCGGGCCTGTCGCTCCTGCTCCCTTTTCTCCTCCTCGAGGCGTTTGAGCCGGAGCTTCGCCTCCATCTCGCGCTCCTTGCGCTCCTTCTCCTCCGCTCCTTGCGCTTCTGCGCGTCCCGCCGCTGCTTCTCCACCAGCGCATTCTGCACGGCTGCCTCGGACTGGCGGGTCTGGGTGGCGCTGAGCGCCATGAGCGCAGCGAAGGAGGACATTCTGTGGTCGTGAGGTCGTCAGAGAGCACTGTAGGTTAGATGGAGACAGCCCAGGTGTATAAATGAAGTAGGTGGGCAGGGCAAGGGCGGTGAAGGTGGTCGTTTGTGGTAAGTTGCAGTGCCGCTCGAAGGCTGGCTCAGCGCACATACATATACAGCAATCGCGTGCCCGAGGTGGTTGGGCGCTTATTCAAGTTCACACAATAAAATGGGTGGCTGGACAAAGCGGTCCTCCTGAGTTCTGTAGTCGTATTTCCTTCTATGTAGTGCAGTCATGACATGGTGGTTCGAGAGGTATCGCGCGGAGACACTACGGTATATATGCAGCGAACATGGTGAAAACCAGGTGCGAAGAGTGCCGGGCCAAGCCGACGGATCATGAGCTCGACTTCTCGTCCTTCCAAACCTGTGCAGGCAGCAGCATGGCCCCACCCAAAGCTACGATGGCGAGGAAGGCGAGGAAGAGATAGATGAACATCCCCCGAGGAGGTGATGCGACTCATCGATGGACAGGGAGAAAAGCGAGTTCGCCATAGCGGGGCCAATGGCGCGCATGACCGATACGCTCATCTGCGAGAGGCCGTTCACGGAGCCTAGTGAAGCCTTGTTGGGCGAAGAGGCGGTGATGAAGATGAAGACGCTTCCTGTACGACCGATCAGTACACGCTGCGCGGGTGCAAGACGGATGAACGGACCATAACAGAAATTCGTGGCTACTGAGATGAAGCACTGCAGCGCCAGGAGCGCCCATAGGGCAGTGCTGTAGCCCTGCTCGCGCACGACGAAGTTCGTGACGGGCATCAACGCGAACACAGGGAGAGCTGCGGCCATCCCAAAGACATAGATCTTCTTCGGACCGAAATAGCCCACCGCCTTCGAGAACGTGAGGATCTGCATGGTGCCATTCGTGATCCCATACACCGATAGGAGTGCGCCGATGGCCTGCGGCGACAGTCCGAGGCCGCCCAGTGCGATCGGCGTAGACATCCACACCGGGAGAACTGTGCGGTAGCTGATGTCAGCTATCGCAAGGAGAGCATAATTCCCGGCGGAGATCATGACGCGTGAGGTTAATAGTGCTCGAAGCGGTAGTGGTTCTGAACTGGACGTCTTGCCGGGCGCGATGGGTACGACTGGCCGAGGTCCGTCGGCACCTGCGACGTTTTGGAGAGTGAGATTCGCCTTGCTCTTACGGAGGGTGAAGATGCGGCGGAGAGAGATAGGTGATTTGACGGTCTGCGGATTGCCTGGATTAGGTGGGGAATGACGCATGATCGTGATCTACGCACCTCCTTCAAGAAGATCATTGTGACGAAAAAGGCCAGAACCGAGAATGTCGCAGGTACAGCACAAGCAAGGAAATAAGGATACCTTGCCATAAATTCGTTATGCCCAAACAAGATGGGGAATCGTTCATGTGGTCGTGATAATAAGCCACCGATCATAGGCCTGGTGTAGAATTCATCATGTGTCAGGAGATTGTTGCAGGCCACGTATAGATGGAGGACTCACCCTAGAGTGCCGCCAGTCATCCATGCAAGGGGCAAGTAGGCGTACGCCTCCGCGATATTCGTGGAGTCGGTTATTTCAGCCATCATACTTTTCAGCACGCCGATATTGCCGTTCAGAGCTCCATTGAGACTCCGGCTGTGATAGCGGACTGAGTACGAGCCGCACAGCTACGGGAACGTGGGGCTCACCTCACGACCAGACCCCAGAAGGTACGCGACATACCGAAGCTGTACATGGATAATGACAGTCCAAGGAGGCCAATCATGATGACGGGCTTGCGCCCGACGCGGTCAGACAAGCGGCTCCAATGTAGGACGGTCAAGGCCTGAGTGGCGAAGAAGAGGGAATGCTGAACATTGCGACGTTAGACCGCGTATTCATGCGCCGTGGGTAGAACTGCGTACCATGAGGCCAACATAGTAGCCAACTTTTGCCTCATCGCCGCCGGTGATGCCAATGTTGCGGATAAGCTACCAAACGCTGCCAGTGAGTCCATGCAAGCTTGCGGCTCTGAAGATGAGAATATACTGACGTCCGGGGCGAAGGGGGAGATGACTTGACTCGTGAGTGGCTCCGCTAATTGGAGGACGAGCAAGATGGAGAGTTGTGCCCAGGGGATGGGCGTTTTCGTCGGCTTCGCCTTGCGCAGAAGCGGTGTCTCCTCGTCACTGCGTTCGACGACGGTCATGGTGGCGAGAACGTGAAGTCGTGAAGAAAGTAGTGGTACAAAACTGAGGCCTCAGACGGACTGGAGGACGACCGTTGGATGCGCGGGTGAAAGAACGCGACAGAAAGTCGCGGGCGCATTGGAAGGGCCTTATAAGGAGGACTGTCGGACGTCTGGAGGTTGGGAAGCGGTCCGAGGGTCTGCGCGAGTCAGCGATCCCTTATCCTTACATAAGCGCTTACGTTCCCGCCCACCATGACACCATCCACATCGATTCCTCCGTCGTGTCGCAGCTGCCTCTTCGCTTGCATCTTGGGCCTGGCTTCTGCGCGACGAATGCGAACGGGAGCCCGCATGACGAGGAAGGGTCGAGGTGGGAGAAGAGAAGGGGAGACGGGTGGGCGACTGTCGTGGTTTGCGTTCAGTAGCCTGTCGTCGTGGCGTCACAGCCAGACCCTGACGTCTACAGGTCTCGAATCCCCCGCCCCTTGTACCTCGACAGCCTCGTTCCTTGCAAATGCTTGCTTACCGACGTAGGGACGCGCAGAACGACCGGGCGATGGCACAAACCGGTACAACACAATTTCTGGTGCGCGCTCGCATACCACAAGTTAACACCTGACACGGAGGCCACCCATCAGCAAGTCCGCTGAGGCCGTGCCCTGAGACGAGAAACAATGTAAGTTAGGTAAGTACCCCGTTTTTCCTTTCCTTTCGTTCCAAGTCCTTCTGACAGAATCGGCCTGTCTACCAAAGTTTCGCTCAGAAGGGTGTGCACCCGCGTCGCTGGGCGATCCGAACTCGCGTATGGCGTACTTACTTGCATCTCGGTCGCGAGGCGTACTGCTCTCCTGTTGTAGGTGCCGTTGCACCGTTCATTGATGTTTTGTTCCATCTTTATGACGTCTAGCATCCCGAAGATTGAACCAGTACTTGTTGTTGTCCGCATCCTCGAAAGGTCCAACGACCTCGATGAATCCCGACACCGGGAGTCCATTATGACGGAACCATACATTCTCAGTTTGATTTCACGTAGGAGCAAAGTGAGACAAACATCTTGATTCTAAGCCGGCTTGCTGATGTCCACGGAGATGACTGAACGGCTGGCATGATGAAGTGATACTGTACGCGTCGCGCGAAGAGCAAACTGACTATCATTATATAGACAACTTCACGCACAGTCGCCATTTGCCGACCGCATCTTCGTTTCCCTTTTGTGCCCATCGCGCCTCAGCGCGACGCCAATTCGACTGTGGATTAGCGTTGTGTTGAGGCCGAGGATGCGGTGAAAGCAAAAACGCCTCGTCTCAGCGTGGTCTCAAGTTGGCTTTGGGTTCGCGCGAAGTGCGGAGATTCAAACTACCTTGATGCACGCGTGAACCGTGGCTGCCCGCAATCCAAACTCTGGCCATGTACTTATCGAACAGGACGCCGCACCATGTTTCTCCGCCTCCTCAAGCAGAGCGGACGTTGCTGGGGTGCACCCGCCGTAGAGCTCGATAGGTCCCTGTGGGCGCCGGCCAGCTAGGGGCTCCCGTATTCAGGGGGTTGTGGGTCCACGCGTCTGCAAGCCACAAATGTGCGTGTGTGCATTTTTCTGTGTTGTACTCAAATTTCACTCACCGCTTTCCCCCCATTTGGACTTCCCATTGTCCTCGACGTGGACCTCGCTTCGCGACCACCGTTTTGCCTTTTTTGTGCAAGCCTCGCATCGATGCCTCCGTGCCATCAGTGACCGCCCTTCTCTAGGTCAGAGGCAAGACGAATCACAGATTGCGTCCACGGCGTCACGAGGCTTGCATGCGTCCCACGGCCCTTACAAGGAAGACAAGCACAGCCTCGCGATGCCTTCCGCCTTGTCTGATTGCACCGTCCATGTTCGCGGACTCACAGCAGCTCGCAAGCGACGGCTAGCGCGGCTAGACATGGCTTCTACGGGCATTGCCACAGGCTGCCACACCTTTCAGTTGCCAGGAATGGATGTGTGGTACGTGCCCTCATTGGCCTGGCTGACTCGTTGGCCGTGGCACAGACGCGCACAAGGCCGCTCCGCCACATATAAATACCGTGGCCCTCTGTACAGGATAGACATCAGCCTCAACGCCGCACACAAGCACAGTCTTCCCCCGTCGCTCCTCATAACAAGTAACTATGCGAAAAGACCTAGGTCCCCTCGGGACGCTGTTCGATACGGAGCCTCGCGAAACGCTCGGCGCACCAGACATGCCTTCAGCGCCTCAATTATCGCACGCCAAAGCATACGCCTTCCGGCTGCCATCAGCTAAGCCGCCACCATTCGACGCCGCAAACAAAGGTCGATCGCGCCGGGCATCGTCCGCCGACTACGGTTGTGCGTTCCTACAGCCGAATGACAACGTAACGAGCAAGCAGCCACCCACTGGCTCGCGCCACAGCGGGACGCCGCCACCAATGCGGCGCATGGTATATTCAGTCCCGAATGACAACTTTGTAGCCACATACAAGTCGTCTCGCGAAGCATCAAAAGGAAGCCCCGATCGATCCCAGCACAATGCAAGGGCAAGAGAGGCAACTTCTAGTACGCGAGACCTCGGACACCAGCACTCGGACGCTTCTCTCTCTGCAAGCGTCGAAGAACCGAGGCATGTCTTGTATGAAACAACGGGGAGCGGTACTCATGCTGAGCCGACATCGGCCAAGAACACGGTTGAAGGGCATCGAAGCACCTCGTCAACGGGGGACAGCACGCAACAAGTCCAATGGTCACTCGCAGTGCAACGCGTGCCCGCCAATGCCAACATCTGGAGCTCCGCGGGCCTGCTCCTCCCGCCACCGGGCATCGGGCGCAGAAGTGCAAGCGCAGGCAGTCAAGACAGGCCCCAGGAACAGCGCCCGTCCGTCGCCCGCCCCTTCGACGACGAAGACAAGGAGAACCTGCAAGCGGCCGAGTCTGCCGAATGGAACAAACTGTCCAGAGAGATCTCTGCGGCCACCGCTCTGCCCGTTCGACGGAGGCTGGAGCCCGGCGAGTGGAATGCGCCTCCGGTGCCGTCGCCCCTCACCTTCGGCGACGGACTCCCAGACACGACGAGGCTGCCTAGGCCGTCCTACTGCACGCCGCGCGACTATAGGGGGATGGAATGGCCCTCCTATGTGACAGTGGCCTTCAAGTCGCGTTGCAGGTGAGTGCATGTTCATATACCGTTGGAAGCGATCTCTAACCGGTTGTTGGTAACAGGATGCACTGGCGGTGCATGCCTTGCCGGGAGTGCCGAGTTGAATCGGATCCGCAGTGGCAGTTGTATGGCCTTTGGAAATCTCGCGGTGCTGCGGGGCGGGCCCAGGAGGATGGGAAGGGGTGGGCATTTCCTGGATTGCAGTGAAGATATTCGGCACGAGACCCTCCAGTGTATGTGATCGCGGACTCTGAGAACACTTCACAAGCAAAGCTATGTAGTCATATGTACCATCTTCGTTGTATGCTGTATGTCGCGTAATACCTGTAGGACATCATGAATATACTGTATCATTGCTTGGATCCCACTGCAATCATCGCGCTCAAACAATTACATCATAATACACTGATTGAAACCACTCAGAACAGATTGTAGGCCCTTGCCAGAGGCAAGCGCTCCGCGGGCTCGATGTCCATCAGAACATCATCCGCCCGCACCTCATAGCTCTCCGGATCGACCTTCATTTTTGGGGTGGCAAAGTTCCACTTCATGTCCTTTTTCGTGACGTTCCTACAATTGCTCACGGGCTCGCAGCGCTTGCTCAGCCCGTAGCGCTTCTGGATCTCCAGCTCGACCGAGATGCTAGACACGAAGGCCACCGAGTTCAGTGCAGCTGACATGGCGTGGGACCCCCACATCGGCCGGCCCATGACAGGCTGGACCGTCGGGATGGACGCGTTTGCGTCACCCATCTATGACACCTCCGTGAGCGTTCCATGTCCAGTATAGAGCGCCCGATGCGCACCTGTGCCCATGCAATGACTCCAGACTTCAGCACCATCTCGGGTTTGGCGCCGAAGTTCTCTGGCTTCCAGAGTACGAGGTCGGCGAGCGTGCCCGGGGTAATCGAACCCACGAGGTGGCTCATCCCATGCGTGATCGCGCTGCGCTCTGCAGCGTCAGAAGAGAGCTAGACCACCCGGGACGAAGTGGCTCACGGGTTGATGGTGTATTTGGAGATGTAGCGCTTGACGCGGGAGTTGTCCCGGCCGGCGATGTCGCCCTCGAGGGTCAGCGGGCCACGGAGGTCCCGCATCTTGCTCGCGGTGCGCCAGGTGCGGCTGATGACCTCACCGACGCGGCCCATCGCCTGCGAGTCGGAACTGATCATGCTGATCGCGCCGATGTCGTGCAGGACGTCCTCGGCGGCTACGGTCTCCGCGCGAATACGCGATTCGGCGAATGCGAGATCTTCCGGGATAGACTTGTCCAGATGATGGCAGACCATGAGCATCTGTCGGATGTCCGTGATGTGTATGCTCAAAAATTTCTCGATATATGACTCACGTCAAGGTGTTCATCGAGCGTATTGTTGGTGTACGGCCGCGTGGGGTTCGTAGATGAAGGAAGAACATTCTCATGCTCGCACACAACGATGATATCCGGCGCATGTCCGCCACCTGTCAGAACGTCAAGGAATTGCGGCTTTGAAATGGGGGCACAGTATACCTGCTCCTTCCGTGTGGTACGTGTGGATTGTTCGTCCACCAAATGCCTCGATGGTACCTAGTCAGATGGTTTAGAATGAATCACCCGGAAGCAGTAAAGGATTCACTTTCGACAAATCCACTCTCATTCAGTGTATCAGTATGGATGTTCACCTCAACGTTTCGTCTTAGCATATGCAAATTCCTGTCTGAGATCAAGACGTACCTGAACATCATACTTGTCTCCGACATCCAGAGCCTTCACGATGACAGACGGAGTCGAGCCCCAATCCTCATGCAGCTTCAATCCGGCCGCGCCAGCTTTCACAATTTCCTCCAGTGCGGTCTCACCGGAGTCATTTCCCTTACCGGTGAACGCAAAGTTCATCGGCAGCGTGTCCGTCGCAGCCAGCATGTGCCGCATATAGAACGGACTCGGCGTGCACGTCGTCGCGTTCGTGCTCGCGCTAGGCCCGGTTCCTCCGCCGATCATCGTCGTCACGCCCGATGCGAGCGACTCCGTAACCTGCTGCGGGCAGATGTAGTGCACATGTGCGTCGATCGCGCCCGCGGTGACGATGAGCTTCTCCCCGGCGATGACTTCCGTGGAGGAGCCGACGATGAGGCTCGGGTGTACGCCTGCCATGACGTCTGGGTTGCCCGCTTTGCCTATGCCGACGATACGGCCGCCCTTGACCCCAATGTCTGCCTGTGCATGGAAGAAAATGAGCATATATGCGCTCATCCCCGCACGGAAACGCTGGCCTTGTAGATCCCGGTCCAGTCGACGATCAACGCGCTGGTGATGACAAGGTCGAGGGAATCTGCCTCAGACCGATTGGTGGCTTGGCCCATGCCCTCTCTGATCGTCTTGCCTACAAAGGAAACACGTAAATCACCCGGCTACGGCACTGCGGACGTTGCCTTACCTCCACCGAACTTGACCTCATCCCCGTAGACAGTCTGACCAGGTCTATGTAAGAGACGTCAAGTGCCGAGGGACGCATGGGCGTACCTCGTCGCGCTCGACCTCAATCCACAGCTCAGTGTCGCCCAACCTCACTCGGTCGCCGACAGTAGGTCCGAACATGGCGACATACGACTCCCTGCTGACAGTCGTGTCCACGGTGATCTCAAGCGTACCAGGCTGGGGTGTATGTCCGAAGCCCCTCTGTACCAAAGCTGATACGATCTCATCGGTCCTTGCAGGATCGAACACGCCCGTCGCGAGGCGATTCCCGCCTGTGATGAGCTTCTTGCCCGCAATGGCGCAGAGGGTGACATGTTTGCTGTCACCAGGCTCGAAGCGCACGGCTGTGCCTGCAGGTATGTCAAGCCGTTTGCCGTATGCCTTCGCCCTGTCAAAGACGAGGGCCTTGTTGGTCTCAATGAAGTGGTAGTGGGAGCCGACCTGTTGATCGTAAGTGGTACCTCAGAACGTGTGATACGGAGGCGGTGGGTCTGAATGTTCTGACCTGGATCGGGCGGTCTCCATCGTTTGTGACACGGAGCTTGACGCGCTCGCGTCCGCGGTTGATAACGATTGGTTCTCTTTTGACGATGACTGCTCCAGGAGCCTTGGCTCGAGAATACTCGTCCGGGTCGATCACCGGGAAGGCATGGTCCGGAGGGGCAGGCAGGAATGAGCCGTACAACGCATGTGAGAGCTCGACAGTATCGTTGCAAATGGGGTCGTGCACGGTAACTAGGAAGACGCTTGTCGAGGTTGAGGATCAGACGAAGTGGTCTGTGAGTGGCGGAGTGGCATGATACGTACCCGTCTGGAAACGTGCCCTCCACCTGGATCTCGTGCAAGAGGCTGGAAACACCGGGAAGGACGTGTCTGCGGCCGAGCAGCGTCTTGCCGTGCTGCATTAGCTCGGCTACGGAGTGCTTCCCATCGCGGATGCGCTCTTGCAGCTGCGAAGCGATGAGCGCGACGGCCTCTGTTTGGTTCAGCTGCAATCCCCGCGCGAGACGCTTCTGCGCGAGAAAGCCTGCCTATGTCGGGGTTAACTCGTTGCGGAAATAGGAGAAGGGCGTGAGCATACTTGGTGCAGCAGGAGCTTCGCCTCCTCCCTGGGAGAGATCCTCATCGCAAACGTTCACAACTCCGACCAGGGTAGCTGGATGTTGGCCAGATCACCGAGTTGGTGCACTCGGTCTTCGAGGTTGAGCCTCACGCACTCCTGCCCGTGCTCGTCGACCATGGCAAGATAAGATAGTGTACGTCGATCCCCCGCAAATTAGCGCGAAGTTGGAAATGGAGAGATTCGAATCTGCCTCATGTTCATACATAGCGCGCGTAGCTCTTTTGAGTTCTCTTCGTGCTTGCTCTCATCCGCCCAACGACCATCCAACGACCACCGCTGCTCTTCTTGTCTTTGCAATTCAGTCCATCTCTCGCTGTACTCTGCTGCTTAGGCAACTATCACTATCAACAGTCTTGCATGGCATGGGAGTCTGGAACTATCTTTGACCGTCTCGTTCGCTCTGACCCCAACTCGACAAGTTGGCTGGCTGTCTGACCGTTGCTGGATAGCCTCGATGTCCCTTTCCCAGAATTTGCCACTCGATGACGTTCAACTGCGCAAAGGCGTGTACCAGGACTCGGTGGCGATGCCCCGATAAAGCAGTGCTCCTCTAGCTTGGGCCGGGTGAACGGAAAGAGTGTCAGACTGCTCAAGATCAGTTGACTCGCTCTGGGAGAATCAATGAATATCAACAGTACGAGTCTCAGCTGCCCTCACGTCTTGTTGGCATCATAGCCCGACGCTGAACATCAACTGACACCTACCTCCAATCACTTGATGACTCCCATGCAACAGGTTCCAAGCTCACGCTGCAGATAAGCCGACCGGGCAGCGCGGCGTGGCCCGTGCGGCCGAGTCTGAGGATAGGATTGTATCGAGCAGCATTGTGTCCGGGTCGGAGCAAGGGCGGCGTGGCTGCAGCGAGGCGGACGAGCGGCGTCGAGGCGCTGCGGGGGAGCGCGGAGCGCCCGCAAGTCCGATGAGTGGCTCTGCCCGCGCGGCCCATCTTTGGCAATTTCGCACGTGATTTTCATTTTGCGACGGACTCATATCCGCTGGGGACCTTCCCCGAGCTGTCTTGTCTTCCGTTCCATCACTGCCCTCCGTCCCACCATCACCCGGGACATCACTTAAACCCCCTCCGTCGTCGATGGCCTTCTCTTCGACCCTCGCCGCGACACCCACCCCCTCGACCCAGCCTGTTAGCCGTAAACGCACCATGTCTTTCTCCTCGCCACCGCCCCGCAAAGCTGCCCGTACAGGCCTTCAGCGTACCGGCTCCTACCTGTCTTTGGAAGACATGCAGGCTGCCGTAACCACAACCCTATACGGCCGCACCAGCAGCGCTTCGCCTTCTTCGTCTTCGCGCTCGGAGCGAGTCCCCAACGGGCCCACGTCCGCAATCCGCGACATAGAGACGAGCGTGGCCACAAGAAAACTTCACAGCGCTCGACGCCCACCGTAGCTCAGCCATCCACCTCTCCTACACCGGTTCCTACGTCCGTCTCCATCGTCATGCCCAGCTTCCGCCGTCCGTCGCCTCTCGCGGCCAAGCCGTCCACAGCGCCGCCTCGCACATGCTTCCCACGCTCCAAGCCAGAGCCGACCTTTACCGTGTGGCCATTACAACCCGCATGCGCATGTCGCCCGAGGGTCGAAAGATACTCTACATGGGCCGCGGTTAGCGCTGTCGATGTACACGGCGAATCGGGAACTCGAGCGCTCGCTGCAGATGGCGACGAACGACCTGAGCGGATAGTCGCGTCTCAGCGCGAGGGGGATGGTGACACTATCATGACGGAGGACGTTGGGCAGCCGTGGGTCGTCGTCCCACCGGAGGATTGGGAGATGGTCGATTGCGCGGCGTAGGATGGATGGGTGGGCAAGCTTTCGATTTACGGAGGACGGCGACCTGGACTTCGATGACAACGGCGACCCCATGCTCCGCCGAGCCCCGGCCTCGCGGAACAGTGCATGACTGCAATCACCCTACACGGATACATGCTTCCCCGCTTTTGTTCTCTCACAGGGCGTGGACGCCCATGGCGGCTTCGCATCCTGCTATAGTTCTTCTGGCCAACTGGCCGTTGTATCTTCATATGGAAAACAGGGACTTTGTTGTAGTACTATTGTACAGGAACCAAGATCGTATGTAGCTCGTGTGTAGCTGTAATCAGAAGTGTGCCTCGCTGCGGATGTTATCATTATTGGCTGCGAATGCTCGTCGCTATGTGTTTTCCGTGTATGACGACAATAGCTGCTGCCTGGAGGTATACCAACTCGGATGTTCGCTTGTGAGGCCTCGTCTCCATTCTTCGGCACTGTTAACAAATGACAATGGAGCATCCGGATACGACAACATGAAGGAAGCGTTGTGCTAGTATCTCGTTCGCCTCTTCTTTGAGACTGGCATCTCAGGGACGTGCGTCCCTTCGGTGCAACCATGCGACCGGCCGTCCTCTTTACAACAAGACCAGAAGAAACTTTCCGGGAAGGACTCCCTGTTCTCTGGAGTGTCCATAGGACCGTGCACATCCTCGTCATGGTCCGGAAACCCCTCCTCGTCGACTCTAGTTCACCTACGGTGGGTGTCGGTCAACAGCGGGCTGAACAGCCAAATCAACGTATAGGCGTACCAGGATGATACATGCATTCATCCTCTTCCCGTTCTTCGGCCACGTCGAAGTCTTCGCCGCAGCGCAAGCAGGTCGCCCATCGGGAGATCATTTCCGGTGCCCCTCCAGCGTGTCCCTGCGCAGCGCGTGGCCGAGCGAGGCGGTCCTCGGCAACCAGGTTCTCGAACAGTGCATGCGCCGAGACGGCGTCGTCTGCCACCATGTTCGCTAGAACGTCCCGCAGTTTGTCCTCGGGGCACGTCTCTATGGCCGTATACAGCTGCTGGCGCGCTCCTGCGCTGAGCGGTGGAATTCGGACCTCATTGTGACGTGGGCCCGCGGCCGCCGGATGTCCAGCATTTTCTGGCTCGCTGTCGTATGTTAGGTCTATGATGTCCTCTTGAGCTGGTCTAGGCATGATGTCGTCACGACGTTGGATGACCGTCTGGTGGAAGCTCACCGTCAAGGCGGTCAGAGCCTAGAAACGGTTCAACCAGGCTTGTCTATGCGTACCTTGTGAGGATACGTATACCACTGGGATATTGTGAGAGTGAACTTCAGCTTCTCAATGTGACCGTACTGCTGTATGACGCTGCTAATTGCACGAGGCTGAGAGCCTGAGAGCGCTACTGAAGGTCTTTACATACTTACGTCACTCGACCGTCGGTCCGTGATGTCCGATTATATCGGAGGACGGTTCAGTAGTAGTCCAAGTGAAGTACATACGTGCAACATCCTTCCTTGCACATGGATGGTGGGATGAGTTTCAAAGGACTTGGACGATGTTTGACTGTCGGGCCAGACAGCCTGGAGCTACTTGTTCCATTGGCACCACAGCCGGCGGCGGCGTTCGATGGGACACGCCAATTGAAAGCAAACAAATTCGTAGCATATGCCTCGACGCCATCCTGAACGTTATGAAAGTTAGTTCTTTGCGATCTTCTACAGATACTACAGGACATATCACAAGGCGAAGACGTGTTTATTTGGGTTTATCTAGAAACATTGGCCAAACTTTGGGCCCGTTGAGGAGATTCCCTGAAGGAACGCTCACGTGGCGCGACGCGCGTCGACGTGCTTCCCCGGTGTCGACGGAACCATTGCACCAGTGCAGCAGCACCACTCACCTCGGCCCCGACTCGTATGCGCACACCTTCCACCCACCGACCCTCCCGTCATTACGATGAACTGTACGCGCGAGACGCGGCGGGAGCTCGCCTCACTTAGTTCCTAGGTGCGAATGTATGAAGCTTTGAGGAAGGTCGGGAACCCCGACTCATATGTGGTCAAGGTCGGTCTTTCTGTAACAGCCATCAAATTCATGCCAGACGTTTGCAGCGAGAGACCACGTGGATTATGGGTCTAGCAAGCCGGCCTCTGCAATACGCAATGGTGTAGGAAGTGGACCTTATACTTACGGTACGCATGCCGTATATACGCGCCACGCTCATGACTTCTACTCCATATTTGATGTAATGGTACACGCGACACGAGCCGGTCTCTGGTTCTACACCTGTGCAATTCAGTCTTCGGGTGCCATCGTCGGCGGCGTCCACTGAGGACTCAGTAACATTGCAAGAATTATCTCGCCGAGTACCAGTACGTTTTTATCGCCTATAGTCTGTGTCACGAAGCGCGCTCAACATGCTAGGAATGTGGGTTCCGCAATCGAACTATCAGCCCTAGGACTCTCGAACATGTCATGTGCAGGCGTCCTTCTCAAAATGATGAACATGCGTCAGCGTGGGTCAGCACGGATTAAAACGCCCTTAGGATCAACTTCAAGCTGACCGCAGTAACTATGTTAGCCACAACAGCCCTGCTTGGCCCTTTGGGGCACTCAAACGCTCATCAGACCACCAGGCCTCCGACAGGTCGTCGGGTGGTCCCTCTGTCCGGAGGGCGATGACGTCTCTGTACGGGTACGTGGGAGAACAAGATACGACCGGACCCGTGGATCGGGCTCTTTGGACACGGGAGTCTCAGGCCAGTCTCAGGTATGCGCTCACCGGCTCAGCGCTCACAGCGTCGATGATCCCGTCTACAGGACGCTGACTGATTGGGTACGATATATGCCCATCCAGTACGCACCTACATCGAGAAGACCTCATAGACCTAGTCAGTCGCCCTACCATCTCAACTGGGGCAACGAATTGTAACCTAAAGATGACCCGGCTGATCAGGTACGCCTGTGTGCCTGTCGATACATCTTGTACGGGTACACGCGCAAACCGGGGGAACAGCCTGGAACAGCATGATCGAATGCCCATGCTATCGCTTGGCCAATCTCACGCAGTGGCAACAGCGAACCCGAAGCTGGCTTACTGCTGCCCAGATGTGCCCTGCCCGCAGTTGGACACGCTGACCACATGCTGCAAGGCAGCCTAGTACTTCTGTGGGATAGCCGCCTGTCTGGTGGACTTGACAGCAGGGTTAGCTCTCAACATGCTACCGTACGTGTCCATTTGAACCAGAGCTCTCTCACCTGCGGAGAAGGCTTCGACTTGGATGTCCGTTTGGCTCGATCACGGAATGCGGTTCCATAGGGGCGGGTCGAGCGCACATGAAGACGGGACGCTCAGGTACTGTTCCGACTGATCAGATCGGGCTGTACGAAGCGATCAGGGACCTCCGTGGAACAAGTGCCGAGCAATATGTCATGCCTCTTCAGAAGCCGTAACGTTCAGCAGTCACCGGTACGGCATGGAACGATACTGACTTACTGCGGTATCACAACACAATGGCGTCGTATCGGCTCGAGAATGACCAGAGGATGGGTACGCGCAGAACGACAACGTGCAGATACTAACAGAGCTAAAAAGCAAGCTATTTTATACAGATCTATACTGTGGGCGTTTTTTTGTGTTCCAGAGGTCGCGTACACCGCGCCGTGGGATCAGCATGTGGATGCCCCCGGAAAGGGCCTACGAAGCTCACGGAGAACTCAGGGCCTTTTCAAGCGGAGCGGCCATCTCCTCCGGATTGCCAACCCAATGCACTATTTGGTCTTTGGTGGTGATGATGAACACTATCGCCAATAGTCAGTCTTCAGAAACTGTATTGGACGGGAATGAAGAGCTAACCTAGCGGATCGATAGGTTTTGGCCTGGCTCGAACAATCCTATGGAACGCGTCTTAGCTGACATCTCAAGAGGCTAGTCAGCAGAGCACCAATACCTTGCACGGCGACGCGATGCGAGTCGATGTATATCGGGTAGTCCATGTCACTCCGGCTATCGATGAAGTTCTTGACGATGGACCGACAATCGCCGTTTTGTTGAAGATGCCTTCGTGATTGAAGGTGATGACCTTGACGTCCGGTTTGGTCGCGTTAATTCTCGAGAGTACGCCGCAGACCACATGACAAGGCTGAAGAAGATGGGACACCAATTGAGAATTGACATGGAAGCGGGGGTGCCGCACGTACCCGGCACCACCTGAGAAGGATATATTGCGGTTAGTTATCTGACGTTCTGCCGAAGAGATAAGCGACGAGACTCACGATGCCCAGAATTCAATCACGACTACCTTCTTGTTTCTCCACCCGTCCTTGGTCGGTCGTATGCACTCAAATGCGTCCGAATCGAGCCATGACAGGTCCACCCTCTTGCCGAGGAGGGGGCTTCGCCAGCCAGGGCGCAGGAACGCAGGTGGACCCTTCTTCATCTGCTCCTCAAGGGCTTCCCATGTTGGCAGCCGTGCCTTTTTCATAAAGCGGTCCACGACTGCGGGGTTGTGCGTTGCCCTGAACCGCGCTTCGGGGAGCTAGCGTCAAGACGCCGACGCGCGGGGGTGCGAGCAGGTGCGTACCTACAGCGGCATCCCACCTAGCTGGTGTTCAGCGTTCAGCGGGCGGCCAACAATGTCAGAGCGTGACATACGGAAACATAGCAGTGCGCACCTTGATCCCACTTGTCCTCGTATAATGGCTGAAACACGGACCATATGTTGGTGCGGAAATCATTCATGGCGGCCAGCTCCTCTGGTGATTCTCGGCCAGTTGGGACGCCATGACGCTGCGTTATACGTAGCGTCAGTCGCGAGCTCGAGTGAGACGATGCAAGTTGCAAACCTCGGGAAGTTCAGGCCGCCGCTTTATGGGAGCTGTAATGAGATATATGAACAGGCAGGTGGGTCATAGAGGGCAGGAATTCGGCGGTAAGTTGGATAGGAGCTTTAAGATGCCGGTAAGGTGCGGCAGGACGGAGAGGGAGATTTCTAATTACGCCTGCATGGAAGAGGCGTCGGCCTGGGCCAGCAATCAATCACAAGAGCTAGAATACCCCTCGGCGCTTCCCGTCATCTACAGCCCTAACGTAACTCTTGTTTCTTCTCCTTTTCCAGAGAACCAGCATCTTCATCGTCCCATTACGTGTTTGATCGAGATGCTCATTCGTTCCTCCGCACCCGTCATAGATTTGTCCGGCAATGGGCGAACAATGCCAAAACATCATAATGCAGTAAAAACGGGGATCATTAAGGGCGTTTAGCACAGTGGTAGCGCGCATGCTTTGCACACATTGTGTGAATATTGCATGAGGTCGAGGGTTCAAGCCCCTCAACGTCCATTTTGTTTTTTTGCTGAGTAGCCGGAGTCTTTGGAGAGGATCCTATGATACGCAAGTGTGTTCGCTCTGGGCTGTATGCAAACTACTTTCGTGATTGAGTACGCGCGGTACTAGCCAAGCACCCAAAGGACCTAGCCATTCCTGCAATTTTACGCTGAAGTGGTCACTTTTCACGCTGTTTGCTCCGGTGTCGAAGTGGTATTGTCTAGTTACTATGCCGTCCTGGTTGTTCGGCAACATGCACGCCCGAATCGAATTCAAAAGACCTCGTACGTTTGTACACTTTCAATAGCGCTCTGGGTCCTTGTCATGCACACAATCACGCGCATATCCGACTCGGATGCAGCCTTGAATACAATAACCAACCAGGGACGAGTCCCCGACTCGGAGTAATCTCACTGTCGATTAGTGCCGCACGTACGTCGGCGCTACCGCGATGAGCGGATGCAATTAGGCTACACAAGAAGGGGAACTTCGGTCAGGATATCGGATCCCTACATGACTCTACCATACACATTTGCGCACAACTGGGGTGACAGGATACATGCAGAACTATCAAATACTTCGAAAGCGCGCCAAAATTTACTGTCCGCAGCGTGGTTCTGGTTCATGGCTATGGCAGTAAAATGGGCGCGTGCCGGGCGTATTGCGGCTCTCAGCATCAGCCGCGCGGGCCCCAAGGCCAGAAGACGGGAACAGTCCTGCGTGAGAACACGTCAGCATCTTGAAGCTCTCGCCCTCCTGGTCAGTAGGACTTGCAAACGAAGTTGCGGAAGCGCATACGTAACTCTCACGATGCAAGCGAGGGAACGCGCAGAATGACGACGCCTTCCGACACCAAGCATAGTCGGAGAGTGGGCGAGTCTGCAGATTGTGTGGGTAGGCTAGAAGTAGTCTGTCGACTAGCGAGCCAATACTCGCACGCTGGGAAGAGGAGTCCACAGAGGTTCCGAGGGAGTGTCTGCGAAGGCACACCAGAACGTGAAGACATAGCAGCCCACAAGGGACAGCAATTAACCCATATGAGGTTCAGAAGACGCGACTGACAACACGTCGTGGCCGAAGCCGCTGTGCAGAGCCCAACGTGACAGGATACCGGGTATGCTCGTGGGGCGTGACGAGCGGAATCGTCGGGCGCCATGCTCGGAAATTTGACACATGTACGATGGTTGCAGACTATCGGTGCGGCAATCTGAATGTCTGGGAAAGGCTCCAGGGACAAAGATGTAACGGCCAGATGTCAAAGTACCACACACCGTTTGTATTCCTGCCACCTCGGGTCGTTGCCGAATTTCAAGTTTCCTGCCTTCTGTGAACAACCATAACGCAGTCAGGTTCGCGGATATTAGCTATGACGGGTCCTATGGAAGCACTCACCTCCAGTGGCGGCACCCCCGACACGTTGCGCAGCAGAAACCACGTCAATAGTGGACTCGCGCCGGCGAGCAGCCATGAAGCGCGCGGAACGAGGGCGTGCACAGCGAGTGGACAGAGAGTAACCAAATGCCAGTCCACAGGCCCACCTCGCCTACGTAGCTGAGAAGCAGGGCGCCGTTTATAAGACCATAGTGTCGCAGGGAGATGACACGTACTTCGGGTGGCGGCTATGCTCCATAAGCCATTGGTAATGAATTTCTCGTTATGCTCCTTTTTGTCTCTGGCACGGCGCCAGGTGGTCTTCTGCCTGTCGGCGACTGCGAATTCGGGTCAGTCTCATTCACTTCGACACTTCGAAGGGTCCTGTAGGATGGCGAAGCACCCACTGATCTCAAATAGCCAGGAACCGGCAAACAAAGCAAGTGAGAAATAATCAAACGGGCGAGTGGCGGATGTGCGGAGGCGGGTAACGTGTTGACCTTGCAAACATAATCGTGTCAGAGAGCCTCATGTCTACCCGCCATCTGCTGTCTGAATCGACGTACCAGATACACTGGCAAGCCGACGACGAAAACCACGTAGCTATGGGAGCGGAGACATTCGTACGTCAGTCCGAAAGACCATTACACGAGGCTTATGAGTTCGGTACCTGAGCCATCCGAAAGCTGTGAACTTTGCCGGCTGGTATTTAATTTCGTCGAACCTTGAGTCACCCCTGCTTTTAGCGCCCTCTGCCAGGTTCGATAAGTTCAGCGGCTATCGACTGCGAGGTAGTGCCTGTCACTCACAGTGACAAGAAATGTACCGAGCCGCGTACTCAGACGACTATGGCAGCACTCAGCAAGAGTTGCCTGGGGGGCAAGCTGATAAAGAGGGAAGCTGTGCATTTGGAATCTATCCCAGTACTTCGCCTTCATAGATGGGTAATACAGCGAAGTGAAGGTACTCGTAACGAATCCAAGCGCTCCGCCGAGATCGTAGAATTTCTCGTTTGCCTGCGGGACAAAAATGACAGCCAGAGCTTCGAACGCATTACCTACTGTCGCTCATCATGAAGGTAGAGCATACCTGATTGTAGGCCATAGGACACTGCAGCCGTTGGGAGTAACTCGAGAAGGATGGCATTTGTGCAGTATTATATCAGTGAGGATTTGATCAGAAGTTCGCCTGGATAACGTCTCTGAATCAGCTTGTCGCCGCAGTATGAGTGTACACAGAGCTACGCCTGACGACAAAGATGGGGTAGCAGTGAGAGAAGGAACGCAGATAAGCAGCAACATCGTGACCGTCCTCATTTGGGATCCTCATTGACAGGAAAGCAGCTACGACGCGGTAGCACGTGACCGCGACGCGTCATGGTGACATCATGGGGTCTGGCGCACCCCGCCACCGACGCCGGCGGGTCTTGCATATGAGGCCAGCCTGCGTGCTGCAGTACGCAAATGCTTCCGCCACCGCCCGCACGCTCCCCGCTAGCAGTACGGCGGTCTCTTGCGCGGCAACGAGTCTCGCAATTGCACTTATTCGCGAGTATTAACCGACAAGTCGTTGCACAAACCAACAATACGCGCCTTATGTCTGCTAACGGTCACGTCAGCCCAACGCGCACCCCGAGGCACCGTGCGCAAGGGACGCAGTCCCACATACCCCATCCCCCGCCCGAAGACCATCCGACGCACGAGACGCGTGGGATCCCCGATACTGGATGGCGTGGTGAGCTGCCAAGCATGAAGGGCGGTACATACGAGCAAGACTACATGCGCAAGCCACCATACGAGTGGAAGAGCGAAGGCGGCCTGTTCAAGGCGAAATACTATCGTAGGTCGCCCCCTCTCATGCTATTGACCGTTCAACGAATTGGATCGCTGTGCAGCAGTGCTGGTGCGGCCATGTCGCGTTTGAATCCACGGTGACCCGCTTGACGCAAAGCACTGCCACTGTCGGCAATGCCAGCGTTTGCACGGAGCACCATTCCAATGGGCGGTGATTTTCCCCAAGGTCATATATCACCTACTCGGATGCAACCGTGCACTCACCCGTGCCCGCGGACAGACTTCCGCCAGGATGGTTCGCAACGAAGGAAAAGCGCTGCACTTCTTCTCCACAGAGGACAGACTGCTGAGCATAGTGTGCCCTGCAAAGTGTCATGCAACGTCTGCCGATCACCATATTTGACGAGGGCCGCAACACCGTGCTCGCGTACCCGGCGTCGTTTCGCTTCAAGGACGGGCAACATCCACTGGACTTCCAGCCCACTGCGCACATCTTCTACGGTCAGCGGTAAGACGATCCCCTCCTTTGTACAATTCTGAACGGTATGCTGAACACGATGATCAGTGTCATGGACGTCCCCGACGGTGTACCCAAATGTCTGGTCACAAGGGCGAAAGCGAGCTGCTGCAGGAAATGGAAGAGGAGGAAGGGTACGCCAAACACTTACGCCGTTTGTTCTACGCTGCTGAACGTCGCTCTCCGTCCCATTCAGAACCATGCCGAAATACAAGGGCAAGCCGAACGCGTATTCAAAGGCGGAGAAGGAGGACCAAGGGCCGGAGCTCGCATAAGACTGGCGAGAGGTCGTCGTGGTGAACATCACCTCTCAGTACTGCACAATAGTCACATCCGTCTTCAAGATCATAGAATCAGCACCGTCACGTACTTCATCGAATGCAGGTGACTCTGACTTGACCAAGGAATAGAATCGAAGCATTGGGTTTCTGTCAAGTGCAATCGTTTCCAAAATGCCTTAGCTCGAGCCTCGCGTCAAACATGTAAGTTGAGTGAATGCCAAAACAAGATGACGGTGAAAGCTGGCCTGGACGTCTGCTAAGTACTTGTGGCAGGAGTTGCAACGACGCTTATACGCGTCGGTCACGCTCACGTGCACTGTGACATTGGCCGCGTACGCGTTCCTACTAACGCGTTCTCGTGCTACATAGTAGTGTAGTTCTCCTTCGGCCGCTGCCAGTGGACAACGTAGTACATACGGAATAGCTTCCCGCCACATATCCGATACGGTGCCACAGACAGTGTTCACCTTCGTGTCTCATATCATCTCACAGACAATTCAAACCAATGCATGAATATGCTACAATTAAATTTACATGACAGTATACTCCGGCTAGTCATGGCCGACGCTCTGAGTAAATGTACAGGTGTCCTGGCTTGAGACGCGCAGCTGCATGAAACAAGCCGTCAAGACAGTGCGGTGAGGCTCAATGAAGGGGAACGACATTACCTTCTGAACCGAGGTGCACGAATGCGAGCAGACTCGAGCACTTTACTTGCTCTTCGGGGGCTCAGCGCAGCCGCACGTCGGCCACGCGCAGGAGCCGCCGTTCTTCTCGGTAGTAGCGCACTTTACGGTGTCCTACGCACGGAGCATCCAGTCAGTGGTTGAACGCTTCTATCGCACGAATGGGTAGTACTCACAGACATTGTGTTCGAGGATGTGATAGTAGTCGAAGACTGGGGATGCGACGGTCCCCTCGACGCTCTTTTATAGCGAGGATTGGGTCCTCATCGGATGCTATCGCGTAGCACGCGCAACGCCAAGTCAGTTATTGGGCTCCATTTATCTTCCCAATCGCAGCGATCAGGTATGTCGCCAACGCTATTCCCTACACCGTGCCCGAACCCGCGTGCCGCAGGTAAGCACCTCACCACATCGGCCATTGGACTGACTAACAGGGAGGCACCTTGTCGCTCAACATCGCCTTCACACACCGCTCCGAATTTATTTGGGATAATTGGACGCTACTATCAGTCACGATCAGCACCTCTCACCTCCGGACCGACGCATAGCCGTATTGTTCGACGCTCCTGGGGATGTTGTATGCCTCCGCGTCGGGGGGTGGTGACGTCGGCCGTCGACGCTAACCTGACCATCGATCGCAGCTGCGCACTAGGAGGCAAGTTCTACAGGCGATGGTACCTCGCGCGCATGATCGATAGCTGACAATGACATTGGCGCATGGAGAGGAGCGCGGTGTGGATCGGTGGACACCTACTACGTTGAGCAAGTCGTGTAGCTGGAGCAGTCAGCATCGGGCGCGCAAGAAGATGTACAACGCCGGGTTGTGCTTGCAGAAGACAATTGTGATCTGCGGATTTGATGGGCGTCGACTGCGCGGGGATGTCAGGAGGACCCACCTCGCATGGTACCCAATGGAAACAATGTCTTTGGTCAACCTCCGTCGACGACCAAGGGGAACGTGATTCTACACCTCCCGTTTGTCCACGAGTTCGATGCATTCCGTGAGAGTATTGCCCACGGAACGTAACCTTCTCCATCTACGAAGATGTGAGTACCTGACCTTCTCTCGCATTCCCACCGACAACGGATGGTTTGTATTCTTTGTCAGGCCTAGAGCCAACCCCCCTGGTCTGGACAGGCCGTCCAGTCGGTATCACCTCTTGAATAGTAGGTGTTGTTCTACAAGTGCTCAGATCAGCTACGCCCGCAAGGAACAATTTGACAGAGGTCTGCCCGTACCAGGTAGCGCCATCACTTCCAACGGTACAACTCCGTCGCGTTGAATTGCGACCCCACAGCGCGGAGACACCTGTGCAACGTGCTGGCCAATAGAGCAGCGATGATAACGCCAGTTGCATAGCATGGTTGGGGAACAGCCGCGCCTGGACGAAGGGGCGAATGGTCGCCCGTGCATTTGGTGACGCCCGGCTCGGAGCCCGGCTTGTGTCCTTGTATAAAGAGTCGCTACTGAGAATTGCTGGACTCCAGTCACCGACTACAATCTACATCCGCTATCATCATGTCTGTGAGTAGCACACCCGACGACTTGCACTGCACAGGATACTTACCAGATATCGTAGGACACCGTCAAGTGCGCTAACGTTGAGAAGAACGGCGGGACCTGCTCCTGGCCGGCATGCGGCTGCGCTGAGCCCCGAAGAGCAAGTGATCGCACTCATGTCCTCTACCGCACCATAGCGTAGGTAGGCTTGCTTCTGTGCATGCAGTGGAGACATGGTACTTATGACGTTCTTTGGATAGGCAGCTATGGTCGGGTTGATTGTGTGTGGTCTTGTACGAGGAGTCGTCATGTAGTACAGCGAAAATACACGGATTTTCCTGTTTCTTGCCCGGTCCGAGAGAAGCAAGCAGTGATTCTAAGTTACCCTCTGTCCTATAGGATATTGAGTTGCTTTCCCGGTTTATCTGCAAAGAACAGCAACTCGGAACCTACTCAATAGCCATTCAAAGCATCCATCAACCGGCGCTACAAACGCGTAAGCGATGTTGAGAACCCAACCTCGGTGACGAATACGACCGATCAGCTCCTCTCGGATGCGGGAAGTTTCTGTAAGGCCCTCTGCATCCTCTGAAGCGACGGAGAACATTGTCCGACAAGCGTGCGTTCTGCATCATATGCATCCCTTCAACGACGACAAATCTGCCGTGTTGGTATGTTCTTTCACAGCGCCTGTCAGAAAAGCGCCCTTATAAGAGAAATGCGGACGAAGAGACTGGTTGGTGTACTCGCCACGTATGGGTTAGTCTGCGTGGAATCACATTCTGTCAGCTGGGAAGAATGGCCGACCGGCAATCCGTCAAGATGAGCCGTCCGACAACAACTACCACTGTCCGAGGTGAGCACTATCAGATAAAGGGGCCCGAGACCCACTGTCGCTGTACGGCAGGTGATACAGTGTGAGGTCCGAGAACGTTGAAGTGCAAGTTCGGGAACAAGAAGCTCCGAGAGGAGCAACAGCGGCCTTCATCAGCCGAAATGGTTGATTGGGTATTGGTCAGAAGTACCGCAGTCCTGGAGAGATGCCTGGATCGAGAACAACATGACAGAACTTGCAATTGTGATTGGGACCCACGTACGCCAATAGAATACTTGACATTAGAATCTCAGCGCCAAATTTGGCTCACAGTCGCCAGTCTTGCGGAGTACGGCTAGACAGCTGACGGGAAAGTACCGCCCGGCTGCTGCATATAAGGTGGGTCCGATGTGGTAGATCGCCAGCAGTCCTCGACTACTACACACCTACACTCGAACATCATGTCTGTGAGTAACAGGCAAGGCAAGCGACGACGTACACAACACTGACACTCCTCTGTAGGACACCGTGAAGTGCGCTAACGTCGAGAAGAACGGCGGGTCCTGCTCCTGGCCGGCGTGCGGCTGCGCCGAGCCCCCGAAGAGCAAGTAAGCCCGATGCTACAGTGAAGCGACATGGTATGTTCCCTTGTACCTACGAGATTGAGTTGCCGGCTCATCACGCTTCGACCTCGCATTGTAGGATTCTCATGTCGCTGCGTACTTAGCCGGGATGTCCACTGCTGCAGATGCTATGTCGGTCGTCGTATCTATAATGAGGGAATCCAGATGCATACCAGTTTCATCATCGTACCTCACTGGAAGGTGTAAGAATGCCAGCCAAGCCTGTGTAACACTATCAAGCATCATAACAAGCAGCGTAGCCTCGCGTCATCGGTTGACATGTCTGGTCTGACACCGGCAATCCGAGATCGCGACCTGGTGCCCCCGGTGTTCCACGAGTGCGAACCTGCGCGAATTGGTTTGTGTAATGAGTGCATTCCATCGGAAAAGTGACATCCCTGCCTCACCTACATACCAGCAGGAATGCCGAAATGTCTGAATATTTGCCTTGTACTCGCAAGTTACCGAGCCTCGCCCGGGTCCGAGTCGTGGTTGGCGTCAAGAATGGTCACGCACACGTGCCGTGACTGAACGTGTCGTGGCTTTGGCGCCGTCCCTGCGTCCGAGCCTCCAAGTCGTACTTCGCTATCCCCGACGATCATGATGGCTATTATTGAACAGGATCACTAAGACACTCGTCGGGTGCCATGAGAATCGCCCTCAATGGCCGAGATCTACTGCAGGAAAAATGCATAGCGAAACGTTAGCGATGCCATTCTCGACGGCGTCACATCTAAGGCTCACCTTCGGAGACGACTTGTTCTCCATCCGAGGCTCCGAGAGACTCGGAAGGCGTCCTGTGCAACCATGCGAGAATCCCGGAAGCGACGTCTGTAGGCCGTGTCAGCACTGTCCAAGGCAACGGTGCAGTTTCAATGTGTCTTCATCCTGTTCGTCAAGCTTGAACAATCTTCACGGGCAGCCGCTTGACGCATGCCCCCTCCTGATGCAGACGTGGCTTGGGAGGTTACGCCCCGTGGTATGCATATCGCCTCCTCGGCTATAGTACTATCATGCTATACGCCATTGTCCTGTATGAATTCGGTCATGCAGCACGCACGTTCGGGCTGGGAACACTCACGTCATACGTACTTAGTTCATGCATGTCGCATAAATGTGTAGCGACGCAGGCCGTGCGCGTGAGATCGACGACCACTAGTTGTGCGTAGATCCTCGCCAGCATTATGTCCTATCGTTACCGCGAGCTTGCCCAACATAGGTCATTAGGGACATCCCAAGAGTAGCACGACATCGATGCGTTGAGACCATTGCGTCAGAGCCGGAGTAGAGACGGCACGGTCCGCCAGTATTGCTACCGCGCACCCTCGATTCGAGGACGAGGCCCGCCGGGGGGCTGTTCACCGCCACCCCGCGGGCCGCGTCACTGCGGCCAGTCGCACGCACCCTTGAACCTTCTGTAGGCGACGAGCACAGCAGTTATGCATATGGATGATAGTCTACACGAGAGACTTACTGTAACATTGTACGTTCGACATACAATACATGGCACGAACCAATGCCAACCCTGGTCCATACCCCATACCCGACACAAATACAGGGGGAAGAGCGCTGCATCTATAAATTCAGTATGAATATGTTAAAAGTAGGAGACAGAGTAGTACGTGGAGGAATGACGAAATGGCAGGATGGGGAGAGGGATCTCGCGATAGATACACGACATTACTAATGCATTGTGATGAATGGCATGGATGAGCGCGAGGGATAATGCTACGGGGATGAGATGGGAGGGACAGCATCACAATGCAGAGGGTCAAGATGTCGGAGGAAGGGAGATGCGTATGGTTGCATATGGTTGTACATGCGGGAGACCTCCGAAAGCGCTAGACGAAACAAGACGAGACGAGGCGAACAGCAACGGAACCACACAGCATTAAGTACTCCTATAGAGTGAGGGACGTGGCACCGCCTGTCCGTGACCATACCTAATGAGGAGGAAATAGCATAGGCATGTTCATTGTTCGTTTGGGACCGTCAGCGCGAAATACGGGTGGGCGAGCGCGTCCCGTACAGATATCCGGAGCGCAGGGTCGAAAGTCAGCAACCTCTTGACGAGATCGAGGAAGTGTACGTTGATGCCGTCTTTCGGCGGGATGATCTCCTGCTTAGGGAGGCCAATCAGCATATTGTCACGAAGAACAGCACCCTTGGTACTAACCTGTAAGCTCCGGCAAGCACGCACGTCCTTCTTGCTCTGCCGCGAGACCTTCGGTTTGGGCCAGTCGAGCTTGCCCTCCTTAAAGAACTCTGGCTTCGACCGAGCACCTTGCCTTGCGAAGCGGTCTGGCATCTTCCCCATCACCTGCTCCATCATGGCGAGATGCTCGAGATTATCGTGGGTCTGAAAGAGGGCCATCCCGGTGTAGAACTCCACCAGAATGCATCCCAAAGAGAAGACGTCGCATGGAAATGACCAACCAAGACCTACGACAACAACGTTAACCCAATGGTCGACGAGAATGTTGAGGTGCGCTTACCAAGAATAATCTCGGGTGCACGATAGTGTCGAGTCGACACGACGTTCGAATGATACTCGTCTTCGAACGTCGCTGAACCGAAATCGATTAGACGGATATCCGTAGACTTCAGTATCCTCTTTGTTCTTGTTGCTGCAGCATTACGCTGGCACGATGTCAGTACAGCGAATGACGCCACATAAAATCAGGACATACTCCTCTGCCCGGTATAGGGATCTGAGCAATCCGATAATCGTTGTTAACCAATAAGATATTCTCCGGCTTGAGATCGGTGTGGATGAGGTGAAGGTCGTGAAGAACTGTGGAGACATGATCAGAATGAGAACTTGCTATACAGTGCGAAATCACGTACATGCTACACTGCCGAGGAGCTGCTTCGCGAATGATTGTATGTGTTGGCGAGGGAACGGTGCGAATTCGTTTTCCTTGAGGAAGTCGTAGACACACATCCCCAGTAGCTCCGAGACGAGACATATATGGTTACGATGGTCGAACCACTGTATAAGATGGATACATTTGCTGTTACGTGGTGCGCTTGAATAGCTGATCGCGATTCACGGTTGGGAATACTCACTTGACATTTCTCGGATCTCGCTCCTTTAGCTTCTGGAGGACTCGCACTTCCATCTTACTTGCGTCACGGTACTTTGGGACGGCTCGGATGATCTTGATAGCTACTTTCTTATTCGTTTCAGTGTCGACTGCCTCGACCACCTTGCCGAAAGTCCCTTGGCCAAGCAGCCGTACAGTGCGATCTGAGAAAGAAGTCAGCCACATCGCGCAATAAGTAACAGAAAATCGCGTACAACGACGGTGTATTATGTCGTCGGGCACGACGATGTAGTGGCCTTCCTTGTCGTCGCAAGAGACCTCTTTCGACGCCTGCCAGAGCTAATCAGCACAACTGCGTCGTCTCGGCCGAAGATGGGACATACCTCATCGACAGTAGCACCACTACCACTCGCAATGGACTTGTTCGCAACGAGCTGCTGCAGATGACCTGTGGCGGGCTTCTTCGCGACGGTGCCAGCATCATCAGCGATGTCCCGCCTCCGCTTCTTCGCGGCAGGCCCTGTGAGCGTGACTGAGGAAACGCTCGTCGACACCGCCTGTGCCTCCTGGGCTGCGCGAGCCCGTGTGCGGATGGGAGCGGAGTACAGCGGGGGCTGATACGATGCCGAGAACATGTGTGTTGTGGACGGGGACGCCGTCGTGGGTGGGGGAGTGTCGTCGATGACGATGACATCGCGGACCTTGCCGGCACTGTCGACCTCCTGGACCTCGCTGTAGCTGACGGTGTACTGGTGAGGAGCCCGCTTGCGCTTGCGCGTTGTGGGAGGCGTGGGCATGCCGGTGGAATTGCCGTTCAGTGGGCGATTGAGGTGGGAATACTGGAGCAGCTGCGGTGCCATGGCGTGCACAGCGGTCTGCATAGCAGTGAGGGTAGTTGTGGACGACGTGGTGGTAGGAGTTAGAGAGCGAGGGGAGGCAGTTTATCGGGCTGATACACCCAGGACGACGAGTGCAACTGAGCAGGAGACGCTGGCCCACGGAGCCTTATTTGTTGTTTGGCTGAGCCACGCCTTCAGCCACTCTTACGAAATCGCCCCTCTGTCGCGACCAGCTGCCCTCGCTGCCCCCAGCGGGCCCAGCGGGCTGCTAGATGCGCCTCTGCGCGTCCTGCAGCTTGCGCGCGGCGGGGAGACACCACCGCTGGCCAGGGCGGCGCAGGGGAAGCGCACTCGAGTGGCCGCGCTGTGTTTGCCCAACATGGGCGCCTCGGCGTAGCATGTTCCGCCCTCCCCCAGCTGAGCCACCCGTTCCCTGGCCTGCAGGCCCCGCTGGCGCACCGCTCTCCGAGCATACCGTCCCAGCATACCTCCCGCTTCGCTGTGCTCTGTTGCTGGGAGAGGTTGGGCAATGCACGGCGCCCAACTGGCCGCCGCGGTCATTCCCGAGTGTCGATCCCGGCACGTGAACGCTACAGCGGCCGGCTCCAGAGCGCGTGAGGTCGTTCGCTCTCGCGCAGAGCCAGTCATATCTCCCCCATCCGATGCCTAGATACGAATTCTCGTAGCGCAGTCAGCGTAGCTAGCGCGAATACAGCATCCCGAACATCCGAATGAGTCGTTGCGCGCTTCGTCGTTCACAGAGACTGCCAAAAAGGGAACAGTTCCACAGCGCCAAACAAGGCCCAAATAATCTGGATCTAGCTCACCGCCGGGCACGACGACGGCGACGTCTTTCCTTGTCTCTGCACCCTTAGCAGCCTCCTGAGGCGAGGAGAGTCTTTGCTGCGATGAGCGGGGAGGAATACGCGGCAGCCTCGCCGTTCCAGCCGGAGCAGCACCATCAAAATCCCACCTCCAATAACGGCGGCGACGACATCCCCATTGATCCTGCTCTGAACGCAATCCCAGTCGACCCGGCGCTGCTTGAGGGTGGAGAAAGAGAGAATGGAGAGGTGAGTCGTCATGAAGGTCTGAGCGTGGTCACCGACGCGGTTGTGCGCGAACGCGTCGCGTCGCGCTCCGCGGTCGGTCTGCATGAGAGTCAAAGAGGTCGCTGACGGTCCAGATGCAGGTCGTCACACCTCGAGTAGTCGCGCCTCAGCCGAAGATTGCTCAGTTTCGACAGTACTCGCAGGCCCCGCAGGGAGACCCGTTCGCGCCACAGCCGAGCCCCTCATACTTGCCCATCGAGGAGCCAACGCCACCGCTTGCAGCGAAACCACCGAAGAAAAAGCGCCAGCCAAAGCGCGAGGAGGAGTGCGGGTTCTGCCAGGGAGACGACTCGAGGAACGGACAGGGACAGGCTGAACGCATGGTCAGTTGCACGGAATGCGGCCGGAGCGGTGAGTCTCCCACCTAACGTTTCAGCTGGATGCTTCGTACTCATCTCGTCGCATATAAGCGCATCCGAGCTGCATAAATCTCTCAGACATCGCCGAAACGATGCATTCGTACGCTTGGGTGTGTCACAGTTGCAAGAGGTGTGAGATCTGTCAGAAGAAAGAACGAGAGGTAAGTACCCAGCCACCCTCCATTATTAACGCATCCTCAAGGTGGTGTTTCAGAACAAGATGGTCCTGTGCGAACGATGCGACCGAGGTATGTACACAAGTGTCTTATTAGACGCCGTACATAACAAACTCATTCTCCTAGGCTGGCATATGGACTGTCTGCAACCACCGCTGGAGGAAGCTCCTCCGGGGTCGTGGTACTGTCCGCTGTGCGAGGGCGCCCTCGCGCAGGAAGCACAGTTCCCTCCGCAACCTGATGTACACTACCCCACCAAGGTCCCACCAGCGGCCAACACTCCTTTCGCCCCCTATCCTGCACCCCTCCTCGAGCATCCAACCAAGCTCCCGCCAGAACATATCGCGGCATACCGCTCGTCTTCAGTCGCGTCCTCGTCTCGTCTTACAGATGGTCGTGGACATGACACAGCCGGCGCGACGGATGAGTCTGAGGCCGATGCAAATGGGGAGGCGACCCCGGCCGCGTCAAGACAGAAGAGTAAGAAGAAGCAGCGTCCTAAAGGAAAAACACCCATGCATGACGACCCCGACGACGAAGCCACGCCGTCGACCCGGTCTCACAAGCGTCCGCGCGTTCGACTGGCCACTCCTGCACAGCCGTCCTCCCCCACGCAGAAGTCCGGGACCGGCCTGCGGATCCGGCTGCCCTTCCGAGACAAGGGCAAGGCACGCGAAGACGACTCCAGCGACGGGCCCAAGGGGATGTTCGACGACATCCTCAGCCCGGAGGACCGCGACATGACCGAGATGACGATCATTGGGCTGGACAAGCAGCGCTTCGAGAAAAGCCGTGTTGTCGTGGAAGTGTGTTTTTTCTACTCGTCCAATCCGACTGTTGTTTGATGTTACTCTTAGGAGCGACTGAACCCGAAGCCGCCTCCGGCTCCGCTGGAGGCTCCAGAGACACCGGGCGCGGGACCGTCTTCGCGACCCTTGCGCTCGACTCGTCAAGCCACAGTTACAGTACCTTTGTCAGAACGTTCGGAGTCTCCTGCGCGCTCAACCCCGGGGCCTCAGGCCCAGAAGTCCTCGGATGGCTTGCGAATACGCAGGATACGGTTTGGTGACCACGACATCGACACTTGGTTCGACGCTCCGTTTCCAGAAGAGTATGCGAACATCTCCGACGGCAGGCTGTGGTATTGCGAATTTTGTTTGAAGTACATGAGGAGCAAGTTTCTAGCGAATCGGCATCTGGTAAGATAAGGAACTCGTCATCATTGACTTCCAAACGTTGAACCACGATGATATAGATGAAATGCAAGATGCGGTTCCCGCCAGGAGACGAGATCTACCGTGACGGCCCGATCTCCATCTTCGAGGTCGATGGGCGCAAGAACAAATCTACTGCCAGAACTTATGTTTGCTGTCAAAGATGTTCCTGGATCACAAATCCTTATTCTACGACGTGGAGCCGTTCCTATTCTATGTAATCGCCGAGTTCGACGACGTCGGCGCACGCTTCGTAGGGTACTTTAGCAAGGAGAAGCGCAGTCCGAAGGATTATAACGTCAGTTGTATCATGACGCTCCCGGTTCGACAGAGACGAGGGTGGGGTCAGCTTCTGATCGATTTCAGTAAGATCGGTTTGTTCGCAGATGCTGATGGACGTGCTGACATATTTGTAGGTTACCTGTTGTCGCGAAAGGAGCAACGGCCTGGGTCCCCGGAGAAACCCTTGTCGCCTTTGGGGGCGATCAGTTACAGGAAGTACTGGACCTTCGCTTTGCATAGGTACTTTCGTACGGCCTTGCCCAATCCTCGCCTTGAAGGTACGTGTCTCGATCCTCTGAGTTTTGACGTCATACTGAGTGACATGCAGACATCAGTGCCGCCACCGCGATGACGATCGAAGACATCTGCAACACACTCGTCCATCTCAAGATGATCAGGATCGACGACCCAGCGAATCGAGCGAAGCCGATGCCTGGGCAGGCCATCAAGTTCCCGAAGGGCAGGAAGAACGGCATCGCGAGGAAGCACTTGCAGCGCAGGGAGACGCACGACGACGAGAAGGTCAAAGGGCCGTTCATCATTCCGAACAAGTACGAGATCCGCTGGAACATGGAAGAGGTCGAACGTTACCTGGCGAGCATGGAGGCGAAGAACTATGTCACGCTGAAGCCCGAAAAGCTGAAGTGGAGCCCGTTCATCGTGTCGAGGACGCGCAAGTCGGAGCAGTTGGCGTCCGCGAACTCGGAGACGGCACGAGCGATGGGTGCGCAGGCCATGACAGTCTCCGATGCCGTGGCAGCAGTGGTCGAGACGGCCACGCCTGGAGCCGTAGCGGACTCTAGCGCATTTCCTTCTGTGTCGCCGTTTGACCTGTTTGATGACGACGTGGTGGTCGCATCCAGTCCATCTCATGAAGCCTCTACGGGACGTCCTGGGATGAACGGTGCTTCCGATGCCGGCGTGGCTCCCAACTCGGCTCCCAACGACACGCTACCGATTGCAGCACCAGAGTTCGCGTCGGCTTCAGCACCGGCGCTGGCGCCAGATCCGCAGCCAGAGGAGATCCAAACGGATGAGCAACTGCAACTCGAGCAGGACGAATTGCTTGCACGGCAGTTAACGCGGGACCTACAGATGTCTGACCGGTCTCTACGTAGGCGTGGGCAGCCCGATCCCAAATCGACAGAGGACGCGCGTCAGCGAGGCCGGGACGAGTCGCCTTCCGTGCGTAAGTCGCGTCCTGCGGCCGCTCGCCGAGCATCCGTGCGTGTGACGGGGAGCGTGTCGCCCGTGAAGGCTGGGAACAGCGCGCGACGCGTCTCCCAGGACGATCATGACGAGACGGGGAAGCGGCCCCTGCGCTCCCGCGCGACGACGGAGCCTGACGTGCGGGCGGCGTCGTCTGCGCGGTCCATATCGCCACGCAAGCGCAGGCGGATCGAATCACCGCCACCTCCGGAGCCAGAAGTGGCCAGGACGCCGGCGCCGTCCCGTAAGAACTCCCGTCGTGGGGTGACGGAGGACCCTGCTCAGTCTCCTGCTCTGCCACGCAGTCAGCGCAAGCCCACCAGGCGGAACACGGATACGAACGCGAGGATGGCGTCGGCCTCGCCTACCAAGACGCGACGCTCGCCGAGGAAGCCCACCAGCGACAGCAAGATGCTCGATGAGCCTCACGGCGGTGAGGAGGATAAGGGCGAGCCTGACGTGGAGATGCAAGACGAGAGTGCGAACAGTCCGCTCACCGGGGTGACGAGTCGCCATAGCGTGCCCAGCGAAGACACCGTGGTGGTCACGCCGACCGCCGGCGGCATGAACAAAGCATCCCCTGGCGGTGTGCCACCTGTATTGTCCACTGTTGACGGAAGCCACGCGGCGGAGTACGACGGGGCGGACGTGATGGATGTGGACGAGGATGAGAAGGACGAGGACTACACTGGGAACAACGATGATCAGGACGCGGAGGGCGAGCCGGACAATGACGGGGAGCCCAACCTCGGCGAGGGTTGAACCATACATGTTTCTATATTATTTTTGCGGTCTGTATTGCGCGGGTCCTGTTGCGTGTTAGACGGTGTATGATGTACTATACCTGCGTTGATGGTGCTTTCTGTAGTTTATGTCCGGTTTATGCCGACACGTAAAGGTATGCCGAGGTTTGGCAGAGACGATGACGGTGCGCCGGGAGGCGAGGCGGGGGACCGGAGTCTCTGGTCTGAATAGGTAAGGCCAGGCTAGGGAGACTGTCTGAAACGGAAAGGATGTTACTCTCACCCCAATAACAAGTCTTTTTGCTCATACTCACAGGGCCAGAGAAACACCGTTCCTGCGCGCACCACGAAACTATAAACGGCCGGGGGCAGTGATACCTGCCGCCTGACTAGGTCACTAGCAAGGTTGGAGACTGCGCTTTTTTGGCCGCTTCTCATGCACTGGTAGGACCAAGCGGCTTCGCACGAGCGATCTTCTGGGAAGGGGGGAAGGCACGGTGTGGAAGAAGAGTGCAAGCCGAGTGAAAGCGCTCTGACCTTGCAGGGGCAGGTTAAGTACCGCGATGAGATCGCAATCTCAGATTCTCTGTTTGACTTGGTGGCGTGAGTGCGAAGATGGCCCGGCGACCTTGGTCATCTACTCATCATGATGCACCTGCCAGCCTTGAGTGCCACTGGCAGTCCTGACAGCAGAAATATCGGACGGCGCGCTTGGAGAGGCACTGAGAAAGGCGCGGGTGGATTCGGGTGCTGTACCATCTAAACAGACTGATGTGGTTCCGTGAACGGGAGCCCCACTGATTCCTCCATACGACTCAATCGACTCATCATGCAAGTGTATTCGCATGGTATCACTCAGAGTCGGACGCTCCGCCAACATCGGATACTCTTGACGGGGCCTTGTTTCCTCACTCGACGTTGACATCGTGCGTCGTACCTGATACAAGACATTGGTAGGGCGGCAGCAGTGTAGCAAGGGTGGCCACAGCTGTTCTAGAGGTGTTGCACAGTTACACGTTGGGATCAAATAATTACAAAGAGTGCCATGCTAAGTTTTGGATCATTATACCTTTCAAGTGTCTACCATATCATGTCTTGAGACGGCAAGTTAGCGCTTTGCAAACCCGGGCCACCCTGCAGTAGGAAAGGCTGATGCACTGTCGGAAGGTATTCAGGTGCAAGCCACACTGGTTCACTTGATTGTGAGGGGATGTCGAGAGAATTGGAACCATCCTACGTCTCGCGAGGAGAGTGCACGCGTAAGTAGCACGTACTTTGGAGCAATGGTCTGACGCGTCCGGTCACGGTCACGTGACCGCGTTACTCGCGCAAAGATACCGAGGATTCGGGAGGAGCGTGTGGGGACGACTCTGGGACGACATTCATCTGCTTGAGTACCAGGATCTGCTTAACCCAATCTCGAACTTGTGTGGACTCATCTCTCGCTGCTACATGTGCGCTACTTCACCTGAAATCTTCTATGCGGCATTCCTGGGTTATGTCAGATCAAAGAACTTATACCGCTGCGGTCCGTCGTGTGCAGGTTTCCTCAAGCTGCCCAGCTAGAGACTTATTATCACCCTTCTGGGATGATGAACACGACATCAGTACGACATCATGGTGCCCATTTGTGTAGGTTTGTGCGATGATGGAAGCCAGCAGTGGCGACGCGAGGCAGGCGAGGGCTTCTGCACGCGTGCTATTAATATGCGAGGCGGTCGGGAGCGAATGGGAGGGCGCGTTGGGTGGGGCCCGGCGGTGCGCTGATTGGGCGGCGGGGACGTCGGCGGGCGTCTGCGGGGGTGGCCAATCGCGTGTGGGGAGGCGGCCTGGCAACGGAGGTGGCCGCGGTCGCTTTCGAAGCCCACGAAGGCCCCTCGACAAGGCGCAGGCCAGGCGACTTATATACTCCAGCGTCCGCTATGCTGCTCTGGTTCCCCTCTTCTTCTCTTCATCCTCTTCCCAAGGCCGGGCCTTCAGCTGTGCTTTCCTTTCTACGGCTGTCCTCTCTTTCCCTGTCCTCTCCGTCCCTGTCAGGTCACAGTCCATCCCCCTCAGGCAGGCCCAGTCATGCAGCTTCCGGTTTCTCTTCCCGTCCTCCTGGCGTCCCTCTTCCTCTCGCTCGCTCTGTTCGGCGATCCCGCGATCGCTGCACCTGCGAAGCGCAATGCGAAGATGATCACGCTGCCGCTCAAGCGTGCACACCAGGCACGGACCGATGTCCACCCGCAAGTCGTGCGTCCAACACAATTATCTAGCAGTCACATCGGTCTCACTTGATTTCTGTGCAGTTCTTGCAGCAGCACCTTAACCGCAGTCTCAAGCGCTACGCGCGCATGACCGGGAACATCCAGCCAAGCAGGCGCTCGCTCGAAGCAAAACTACACAGACGTATGGAAGCCACTGAGCCTCTCATCGGCCGTGCGAACCGCAAGCGGTCCCGTAACCTCACGAAGAGGAGTAGCAGCGTCGTAGGCGCGGCCGCGAACAGTTCGTCGTCCGCAGCAAATGCGTCCGCCACTGGTGCGGCGGCCAGTGCAGCTAACTCAACGGCTGCCGCGGGTAGCGCTGCACCTGCTGCCACTGGCGCCGCCTCTACCGCCCAAGGCTTCCCCGAAATTGACCTCGAGGCTCAGACGAACGGTGGACTGACTGCCGCAAACACGCCCACCACTAGCAACACCCTTGGGCTTGATATTGAGTGGGCAATGGAGCTACAGTAAGACTTCTTGCATGCCCTGACGTCGATTTGCAGGGCGAATGATGTGGGCTACATCGCGACTGTGCAGATGGGTACCCCCGCGCAGGACTTTAAGTTCCTCATGGACACCGGCTCTGCAGACATGTGGGTAGGCTCTGAGAGTTGCACGACGCAAGGTACCACCCAAGGCTGCGTGCGTATACACAACTCTCGTTCCGGAACCTTCCGTTTGACGTTGCATGCTTCATAGGGCAATCACACATTCCTGGGCACGAACAGCTCCTCAAGCTTCGCCGAGATTGGTCAGCAGTTCCAGGTCACATACGGTACCGGCGAGGTGCAGGGCGTGACGTGCAGTGACAACGTCAACATTGCCGGCCTCGCGTTGAACAACCACACCTTTGGTGTTGCGAACGTCGAGAGCACTGATTTCTCAGCCGATACCGTTCCCTTTGATGGTCTGATGGGTCTTGCGCAGTCCGTACGTGCAACGATTTCGCTCTGCTCTCGCGGTCCCATGTAATTCATCACGCCACACGCAGGGCCTCTCCGAGGAAGGTGTGAGCACCCCACCGGAGTCGCTCGCAGCCGGCGGCCTCATCGAACAAGCGATCACTTCCTTCAAGATCTCGCGGCTCGCCGACCAGCTCAACGACGGCGAGATAACCTTCGGGGCGCTCGACACGAGCAAATTCGACCAGGCCTCGCTCGTCACCGTCGCCAACGTGAGCCCGCAGGGGTTCTGGGAGGCGGCGATGGACGCGGTCACCGCGGACGGGCAGGACCTCGGGCTGCAGAACCGCTCCGCGATCCTCGACACGGGCACGACGCTCATCGTCGCGCCCCAGACGGACGCAGACGCGGTGCACGCGGCGATCCCCGGCGCGCAGAGCGACGGCCAGGGCGGGTACACGATCCCGTGCACGAGCAACACGAGCGTCGCGCTGGCGTTTGGGGGCGCGCAGTTCGCGATCGACCCCGTGGATATGCTGTTCACGCCTGTGGACCCGGCGAACCCCGCGGGCGACTGTGTGTCGGGGATCTCGGCGGGTGAGATTGACGGTGCGACGACCTGGCTGGTGAGTGGTGGTGACACGCCTCGTGGTTGAAGACTTGCTGATGCGACGTGCCTCTGCAGGTCGGCGACGTCTTCCTCAAGAACGTCTACATGTCCGTCAACCAGAACACGAACCAGATCTCGCTCGCGAAGCTCGTCTGAGCGTGCCCTCACCCCGCCCCGCCCCGCCACACCCACACTGACCCCCACTGGCGCCTCCACGTCACGCGTCACGATTCACCTACCTACACGTACCGTATCGTTCACTGCTCTGCACGGACTCGCCTGCTCGCTCTCGGACACTCGCTCACGGACTCGCTGCTCTCTACACTAGCCACTGACTGCGGACTCTTCCGGACACTGCTGCCCCGACGGACATCGCTACTGGAGCTAGTAGTACTTAGCGCACCGCACCCACTGTACTACTGCTGCTGACTCGGATACACGGATTGGGCGTTCCTTGCTCCCCCCCTTTCTCTCCCCCTCCCCCGCCCCGACTGCTTGCATTCGTGTTGTTCTCGCTGTCGTTCCCTTCGTCGTTACATCATACGTTTGTCGTTGGTGCTGCCCCTCTGTTTGTCCCCTTTCTGTGCAGGGGCGGTACCATACGCACAAGCACGCGCACATCACATTGCAATACAATGAGAGCAAGGCCCGCTGTAGCGGGGAAGCACAGATGAATCATTCTGGGTGCGCGAGAGCCTGCTAGAACGTACGTACTCGTGGTAAAACGTATGTATATGCTCGTGAATGCCTCCGCATCCGTCGATGTCTTTGCGGCTAGGGTGACGCGCTCACGTGCGTGTGACGGAGCGCGTTTCTGCCCGTCGGACTCGGATGGGTCTGAGACGAACTGTCGTTATTATGCATTGATGTGAGTACGTTGCTGTGACTCGCATTGTACAACGCGATGATGAAGTGACGGTGCTCAACTGAAGCTGTACACTGAAAGTGCAGTACAGCTTCGGGGACGCGATGTTTGCCCGGGCCTGATCATGACGCCTCTGGCAGGTCCAGGACTACTGCTACGATTCACTTCTCTGTCGGATTGGGGACACTCGATAGACCCACTGGCATTGACAGGTTCTGTGATATCGATCAAGGCAAAACGGAATGGGTGAACAGTCTCATACGTTACGGTCGGCGAATCGAGAAGCTTAGGGCACAACGTTTTCGTCTGCCATACAATCGAACGTCGGTTGTAGAGCGCAAGGCAATATATTGTGCACATTAACTGAAGTACATGACTACCGTGACAAGCAAATTTTACCATTGAGCTGACAGGTATGCAAGACAGCTACGTCTTGCCACAGAGAGCAGCTGAGACGCGCTTAGTACACACCGGTTCATTCCCCTGGTTCCCGAGGCTACCTTGCTTTGCAGCGCGAAGCCGCGCGGACCTATGATGGTGTATGATAGGCGATACCGACAAATGAATCATGCTCACCGAACGACGCTGCACCGCAGCGACGACGACTATTCCTTAAGCAAATTCGGCGCGAGTTGGTTTCCCCTCGCGCTCGCGTTGAGCGGCGCGAGGGTACTTATCCCGAGGACCACGTAAAGGTCCGCGCCCGGACGGACACCGCACGAGTGCAGGTGCCCGCCCGCCCTCGAGGGCCTCTTGTAGGCTCTTGCTGCAGCCTCGCTTGCGGCGCTTGACCCTTGAGGCCTTGAGGTTGAGGTTGAAGTTGACGCGGCTCAACTTGCAGCGCTTGACGTCGGCCCCCCTTGACGCAGCCCCCGCTTCCGGCGATTGACCCTTGACGTTGCTGTTGACGCAGCTCAACTTGCAGCGCTTGACGATCCGGACGGCCCACTCCTTGACGCAGCCCTCGCTTCCGGCGCTTGACGGACCTTGAGGTTGACGCAGCTCGTCTTGCAGCTCTTGAGGCAGCCTCCCTCCTTGCGGCGCTTGACTCTTGAGGTTGAAGTTGACGCAGCTCGACTTGCAGCGCTTGACGGCCCGACTTGAGGCAGCCCCGCTTGCGGCGTTTGAGGCCCACCTTGAGGCAGCCCTGCTTGCGGCGCTTGACAAAGGCCCGCCCCGGCTTGAATCAGCCCGTTTGGGGCGCTTGAACCTCGGTGTTGACGCAGCCCCGCTTGCAGCGCTTGACCCTTGCCCTTGCCGTCGTCACCCGCCACGACTTGAGGCTGCCAACCTTGCGGCGCTTGACGGCAGCCTCTTTGAGGCAGCCCCTGCTTGCGGCGCTTGACACTAGAAGACCTTGCACTGGAGGCAGCTACACTTGCAGCGCTTGACCCTTGAACTAACTGACGTGAGCGACGTTAGCAGGGAACAACGGAGCGAACAGCTGAATTACGTACCAACAAGTAGGCGAGCTGCGACTCGGAGAGGCGGCCTCGAGCAACATCTTGAAGCAGCGGAGTTGCAGCGCTTGACGACCCGGTCTTGCCTCAGAACTTGACTATGTAGCCAAGTATTAGTGTATGAGTGAGGACGATAAACGAAGACCTGCTCACCATTTACAGAGCCACATAAACTTGCGGTGATCCCAGTAATCAGCTCAACGTATACTAGACATAACATATAGCGCAGGCGAACATGCAGAACACAGACAAGCAAGAGAAAAGAAGACACAGTACAGAACAGGCACAGCGACACGTTCTTAAGTGGACGATCTTGCGGCTGACTGGTGGCTGGGAGTGGCAGAGGCTGACAGCGAGTGTGGCGGCGAACACCGGATAGGACTTGTGGCTGACGAACGAGACAACGCCAGAGAACGTCAGGATACACTCCTTGACCGAGGGGTATAACATACCTTGACGAGTGGCGTTGGTGGCGTACACCCCTACGCCCGCAGTGGCTCACTACACGGCGATGTCAGTAAGCGGGGACCTAATATCCCGTAGCAGCTACGAGTAAGTTACAAGACAAGGACACGCCCCAATGACATGACATGGGAGGGGGGATGAGAGGAAAGGGAGATGATGGGACGAGAAGAAAGACGAACTGGGCGGAAGGTGCGGATAGCTGCTTCCTTTATACGCACGGGCGGGAGTGGCACACTTCTTGCACACGGCCCAAATCCGGGCATGGTCCACGGAAGCTCTGTTTCACCGCGCTATCGATGTGCTCGGGCCAATCAATCACTTGCAGATCGCCTCATGGGACTTTGTGGGTCCACACCGCGTCCAAATGCGGAACAATGGACGACTGGAAATGGCAACTGCTTGGCGCGCGCCGCCGCGCCGGTCCAGGCGTGTGGAAGAAGCAGCCTGCACAATAGACAGCGGAAAAGATTTCCAACGTCTGATGTGCGGTTTTCTGACTGCAGAGCTCTCCGGCCAGGGAGGCAGGAGGGCCATGGAGGATGGGCAAGATGACTCGAGGAGAATCCGGATCCGGAAGCGCTGAGTCCCGCTGGCATCGATCTGGATCTAAGGAAGTGCACGGTCCGGATAGCGCGCCATTTCGCAGCGGGCCGCTCCCCCGCAGAGCTCGCCCGCCGGCACCTCTAAGTTGAAGTTCCACTCTCTGTTCCCTCCACAAATGTCAGTAATCCACGCCTCATAGAACGCCATTGTGATGCTAACATCTTAGTAGACTGTCCGCCGGCGCAACGCGATGACCGAGGTAGCCCTCGGAGGCAGCTCTGTTTCTCTCATCCTGCATGAAGGATCCGGCGCGTCCAACCCACTGCGCTGGGTTCTCTGCAGCTGCCTTCAGGTGCTGGATGGTTCAGAACCAAATGAACCCACGCGCTGTACCAACCCTACCTCATGTTTAAAACGAAGCTTACGCGGACATCCGTGGGATATACCCCGAGGGCCTGAATGTATCCGTCGCATTCCTGAGCCTGCCTCGTTCAAACAAGGAGACCTCGGACCTCGATGCCTTCCTCAGTACGTGCTCATGCTCATTCTCGTCGGCCAATAATGTGACAGAGCTGAGCCTGTTGCTGTGGCTGCACACATTCGAGACCGCTCGTCGGTTCACCCTCCGGGACTTGGTCGAAGCGCTCATCCGCCACCTCGGCGGTGTACTCAACCATGCAGTCGACTCAAAGACTGTTGGGGGTACTACTGCGATAAGCGGCCTCACCAAGCACCGCAAAAAGCATGCCGGAAAGCCTCTTTGGCCCACGGACACCAGCCAACTCATCCCTTACGGCCTCGAGCAGTCAACAAAGGGATACGTCACGTCTTTCCGCTTGTGTCGCGACGATAGATTCCAGGAAACCCTTCTACTCGTCACCAGAATGCTTGCTATCTGTGGTGGAACCATTATCCATCATCTACTCCGATTCCAGCCTGAATGGCCGTTGAAAGTCACCCGACTCACTACTGCTGTTTGTGAAGAACGCAACCAGACGCTAGGAGAGCCCATCGACATCGTCACCCAGGCAAGCTGGGTGTACATACTCGTCCTTGTCATGCAATTCTCTGGACATATCGCGGACTCCGGACAGGTGGATCCATCAGACCTCGTGCTCTTCGTTCGCACGATCGTTAAATACGAGGGCTCGGACGAGGCCCGCATCCAAGGCATTCTCTTCGTATGCGACACCATCCTCAAACACCTCCCGCTCTTCCGTGAGGGAACGACTCTTTTCACGGAGGATATGATCAGCCAGTTCACCCATTTCTTCGCCCACATTGGAAATACATGCTACTACGTCAGGCTCCCAGGGGATACAACAGCCTACCACCCAGCGATCCTCCGCCAGTACGCGAATCTGTCACCTCTATTCATGACCCATTGAGCATGGCCTTCAATGGCTTCGGCTGGGCATCCAGGGCGCGGCACTGCTGCGCGCCAGAGTGCGGTGAAACGTTCGCCACCGCCGGACGCGCGTTCGCCCGCTGTTCAGGTTGCACTGGTGTCCTACGCTACTGCTCGCGTCCGTCCCAGTCACGCGCCTGGAAGCACGCGACGGTCCCACACAAGGATGTCTGTACGAAGCTGCGCGTGTTGAGGGAGCGGACACACCTCCCGCAGGATCGAGAGTTAAACCGCAATAGCGATCGCCAGGCGTTTGTCGATGCGTGCAGCGTGGATGGGGAGCTTGCGGTGTTTGCGCAGGACTGGGGGAAGCATTGACACGAGTTGACCATCGCGCGGCGGAACCACGGTGAGGGCTTTGACCCGGATGCGTACCGGGCGTGGCAGATATCGCCAGCTACCGGGCTCGGTGTTCAGATCGCTGGTTCGAGCTGAGCGTTTCATATACGCATGATGTTAGCGTCGCTCAGAACCGCCGCGGTATGACGATGTTATCCTCAGCAACAAGCATCGTGTGTGTTACGGCTGACGGTATTTTAGTTACTCATTTAGATCTTGGCTGCGTCGATGATAACTCCTGCAGTTATTCCTGCTGGCAATTTGACCACCGGAGTCCTGCGAGTTAGGGACGAATGTAGTGTGGTTATGCCTCATGGGCACTCCAGGTCACCAGTAACACCCCCGGATATCACACACCGCTTCACCCAGGTTGTGGGCTAGTAAAGGTCGAGTACAAGGTGAGTTATGTCAGTGTTTAAGGCATTCTGGGCGCTCAATTTACATTGTGAAGTTCAAACTCTACACCGTCCAGATGTTGGACGTAGCCTCGACCAAAATGCAGGATACCGCGACGACGTCCCGACTCCTGCTCTCCCTCCCGCGGGGGTCGTTTATCGTCCGACTACCGTACCAGTTTCTAGTTTAACGACTGAACTCGGGGAGCGTGCCAGACCGAGACACCGTGTCTTGGTGAAAAATGTCTGGAGCGGGAGTCCTTCTGCACTCGAGGTCGCCGGCGCCACACTCGACACCCGCCACGGCGTGCGCGTGAGGCCCGGGACCCGGAAGCACTGAGTCAGCCTCCCGCTGGCAAGTCGAACGCATCGATCTAAATCTATGTAAGGAAATGCACGGTTCGGAAGGCCAGTACGTCCTGTGTATAATACATGTTCTGGCTGAATACATCACTTATGAGTCGATGACTTCACTGCTGCATCGACCACCCGACGAATCTGCCCATCGCCTTGGGCAAGATTTTCTCGCTCTCGAGCTGGTCGAAAACCTTCTCGAAGCTCTCCCACGTGTCGTGGTACCCCGTCCACCCCGCAGCTCTCGCCTTGCTCATGCTGACGATCAGGTCGAAGTTGCGGCCCAACACGAAGCCCGTGAACATCCACGTCGCCTTGCCGAACGCGTCCTTCTCGAGGCTCTCCCGCTCAGCGAGGCGTTTCCAAGCCGCCTGCACCTCCGGCTTCTGGCTCCACTTCGCGAGGTCGATCGTCTGCTCGACGTGCGACTGCGGCGTCTTGCCCTGTAGCCCCAGCCCCTTCGCCAAGATCGAGATCGGCGGGTTGTCCGCCATGGGCACATCGGACGCGTCCGGTGCGGGGCGCGAGAACTGGTCCGCGGGGACATTCATCCCGTAGCGCGCGGCGAGCTTCGGCCACATGTTCGACCAGCTCTCGACATCGCCGTTCACGACGTTGAACGCCTGGTTCTTCGCGCCGGGCGCGGTCGCGGCCCACACGCAGAACTCGGCGTGCAGCCGGCTGTACGTAAACGAGTCGAACTTCTCGTAGAACGTCGCCCCGCCGGGGAAGGGCAGCCCGCCTGTGCCGAGTTCGCGGTGCACCGCGGCGTAGAGCCCGATCGACGCGGCGAGGTTCATGAAGTTGCCTTTGGCGAAGCCGATGACGTCGTTTGGGTAGGTGACGACCCACTCGATGTTATGCTTTGCGCTGAAGGCGTGCAAGCTGCGCTGTTGGCGATAGTAGAAGTTGGGTGGGTAGGGCGGCTCGGGGAGCCAGGGATCTGATTCAACCATGGGATTCTTGGCGCGACCAAGGTGGACGCCGTACTGCTTGCACCCAGTGACCAAGACAATGCGCTTAATACGCGAGACGGTATTGTTGATCTCAAGGGCCTTGAAGAAGTTCTCCAGCATATCACCTAAAGTCCACATTGAGTCTCGTTCAGCGCGACTCAGATGTTAGCAGCTCACCGTTGACTTTGGTGTTGTCCTCCTCCGAATCCTTCTGTAGATACGCAGCGAAGAAGACATAATCAGCAGACACGTCCTTCAGCTCCTTCGCCATCTCCTGCGCATCCGCAGTGAGGTCGATGAAGTTATGGACGACGTTGGATGGGTACGCGTCCTTCTTCGAACGTGAAAGCGCGTGAACCGTAGTCCATTCTTGTGGATGACGTCCGAGCTCGTAGACAATCTCGCGACCGAGGATACCTGGAGCAGCATGAATGACAATACGACCTCTTCGAGGGCTCATATGAGACTCACCAGTTGCGCCAGTAACAATTGCGGTCGGCATAGTGAGAGAGACGATTAATTGTAAGGGTCTGCAGTCCGCACAAACGAAGGGGCTAAAACAAAGATGGGTAGTATAGCAGACCTTATAAGCTCAGACGAAGTGGAGATGTGTATTCAGCAAGAGGCGGCGATGTTACAGCTGTATGATGTCATAAGTTCGCTGCCTCCGAGACGGCATCCAGGACAGAGTTGGTCTTCTTTCAGCTGACTCTCGTTTAATGTACTGTTTATGTGGCGTCCCTCGGCATAGAACGGTGGCCATGAGCTACAGCAGTCGCACGTTATCCGTGCGGAAATATCAGGTTGCTGTATCTGGTAGTTCACCTTCCTAAAGCGGGCATATAGTGGGTGCGGAGCCATTGAAGTGTCAGTATCACAACGGTCAGTGCTAAATACAACTCCCAGCAGATATAAGTATACTGTGTTCATAGCCGTGCCTTCGCGGCTGCATCATCCGCGTCAATAGTCTGCAGAAGAATATCTCTCGCAGAGGCCTCCAAAACATCCCGGTACAGATCGCGCTGCGGACATGCGACCATCAATTTGGAGTGCCGTGAGTCATGGCTGAACCGCTCATACCTTGATGACACCCCATGCCCCAGCTGAGGCCATCTGTGCAACCGACTCGCCTACCGCTCGGGCCTTCGCGATGACAGCCTCTGTGTCGCCCTTGCAAAGATGATCGACAATGCCAGCTTGCAAGGCCTCCGGAGGCGTGAAGCGGTGCCCCTCTAGCGCGACCTTGCGTTGCGTGCGAGGGTCCGGGACTTTCGCGCGGATGATGGCGGCGAAGGAGAGTGGGTAGGCGGCGCCGAAGTGTATCTAAGGACGAAGGTCTGTGAAGCGATCTTATGTGCGGGGTGGCGGTCGTACCTCGTTCATGCATATCCACGCACGCTTACTGCTCCCGTCCGTCATCACTCGATAGTCGCAGCAGAGCGCGAGGATCATAGCTGCGGCGAAGCAGTGGCCGTTGATTGCGGCAACGGTAGGGACTGAATCATAACTTTAGCTCTCGACGAACGTGAGCATGAGAGTAGTGCGCACTAGGGAATGCCAGAAGCCTCCTGAGGAAAGGATTGTGTACGACTGGCGACCCATCGGCAGGGGTGAGCAACGCCTCAACTAGCAACCGCCCCAGGTTCACTCACGAGGCGTGAAGTTGTGCGCAGTGTGCGGGTTACTCGTGAGCTTGTCGAGTTCCAGTCCTACGACACGGTTCTCGCGTTACACACAAGACTGATTCAGGGCTAAACCGCTGCGTACCATTGCTGAAGAACTTGTCCTGGCCCCTCTTCCCGACGATGATCAGCGCACCGCGTCCGCCCTCCTTGTCCTTCGCGTTCCGCGCTGCGCGCCACCCCTCGCGCCAGTCGCGTTCAACGATGTTCAGCGCGGGCTGCAACGCCTTGTCGATGAGGGTCTCGTTGATCCGACTGTCCTCGCCGTTGTGCAGCTCAAGGATCCATATGATCGGTGTCGCTGCAGAACACCCTCATCAGTAAACGCTCTCCTATCGTATGCAAGGAACGTACGATGGGTGAGCGTGACAATTGGGTTGTCGGACGGCAGGCTCACAGGGTAAGACATGGCTGGAGAGGAACAACCGGGGAAATGCAGAGCGCGGGACCACGACGTACGAGCCTTGGCAAGATTTGCGCGCGGCAGTCGCAAGACCTCACCTCACAGGTTAGTCCGTCCGAAGACAGGGTGCATGACCGTACTTAGCAACAGTGGGTTTGATGATGACGGGCCGGCGCCATGACCAGAAAACGACAAGCTGAGGATGCCATTAAGTATTCAGTCGGATACAGCGTCGCCGTCAGAGAACGCCGAGCAGTCGACATCGCTGGTACGACAGAGCGAGCACACTGGCAAGATGCAGGCTGAGGGAGCCTGGAGGATCACTTTCCTCCGATGCTAAGCGCTCGTTACTCACATCGGGCCAGTCGGGCGCTTCGATGCAGCCGTGCCGCGACGACCGACGACCGCCCGCCAGCTTGCAGCCACCACGCACATCTACCATGGCCATCGACGAAGCACGGGCAGAGGAGCTCAAAGGTGCGCCTTCCCCGCTTCCGTTCTTTGTACTTCTCTGAACAGCGTGCTGACGGGGATGGGCAGCGCGGCTGAAGGAGCGCGAGGACCACATCCGCGAGTCGTGGGTGCGTGCGATGGAGGCGAAGATCGTCCGGGACAACATGCAGAAGTGCTACCGCGTCGAGGGCGTGAACCACGGCGAGAAGTGCAAGCACCTGGCGGAGCGGTATGCGACGATGCTCCAGGAGAACAAGGTGCGCTTTTACGGTACCTGCTGGGCTGAGTGTCGCAGAGGAACTGACTGCTGGCTGGCCCTTTGCGACAACAGGTTCAGGGCTACAAGCACATTGATGTATAATGCTGCCCGCCCGACATTGTATGCTGAAAGCCTCATGTAATACGTCTGCCTTTCTCGCTCAACCACCGAGACATCATAGCATGCAGTCATTCGAGAGGGAATAAGCGATGAACCAACGCAGATCACCAAAACTACGATAGCAACACGGATGGTCGTACGTTAAATACACATGCATCCTTTTGTGATCCCTGACATGCAAGATGTACCCTACTTCTTCCCTTTCCGCTTCCTGCCCTCCGTGCCGCTCATCTCCGTGCCACTCGTCTCGTCCCCGCTCGTCGCCACACCCGAGGCCCGCGTCTTCCTGCCCTTCGTCTTCTTGAGATGGTGCTCCGGGATCCACTCCTCCTGGTAGCCGCCTGCGCCTGTTGCGGTGACGGTGCCGACGGGTGCGCTGACTGCGGGCGTCCTCTTCTTCTTTGGCTGGGGAACGAAGGAGAGGTAGGCGTAATAGCCGAGACCACCGAGGAGCAGGGAAACAACCAAGTACGTTGAGAGCCTGCGATGCGATGAGCAGCGGCCGCGGTGGCATGTACACGCGTGTTACTCACATCTTGAAGTCGAGGAATGCCGACTCGGGCTCAACAATGGTGACGACCGAGTCGTATGCGGTCACGCGATACCTGTTGCCCTGTAGCATTGCTGTCAATCACGACACGCCCATACGACCATGTGCATTAGGACGAACGTCAGCTTCGTGTTCCATCCAGATGTTCAGCCTGAGGTCTCCTGGCTACATTTCCATGTCAATATGGGCCCTGATCACTGCGCCCAGACACTGCCATACCTTGAACCTTAATGTGAATGAGTATTGTGAACTGCGGTGAACAGAATGGAAGGTCGCTCACTCGCTATAGAAAGTATAAGGGAGTTGCATCTTGGCGCCCTCAAGCAGCAACACGTCGTATGCCAACGCGGTGGTCTGTCACGAAGCGGGCTGAACGCTGCGCACAACTGAGAAGCGAGACACACTCACGTTCTTGACCAAACCATGAGACTCCGGGTGGTGGAAGGAGCCAGCGACGCTCTTGACGGTGATGTTGCGGTCGGACTGATTCTCCACGTTCAACAAAATCTTGTTCCGCTCCCCGTTCACGACGTCTGTACGCCGAGCCTCAGCACCTGTTCTCCATACCCGCGGAGAACGACTGCTTACGTCCGAAAGCATTGTCCTCAGGAAACTGCGCAATCGCCAGGATCACAGGCTCCTCGAGAGTAACCGGTTCAGGAGCTAGGGGCCAGAGGTCCGAGTCCTCTCAGCATTTCGGTACCAGGACTTCGGGGAGACGGCGCAGACGTACCAGCGAAGGCGAGCTGCAGCAAAGCAGCCGCAGCGACGGTATAGCGAATAAAGGACTGGACACGCATTGTACCTGTACCGATGAAGAATGTCCGGGAGAGAGAAATGTAGAGGGGAGCTTGGAGAACGCGGCGGCGAGTGACGTTGGGATCTTTGCCACGTCCGCCTTCCATACGTGGCAGCCCCGCCCTGATCGACCCCTGGGGTTAGGGTCGACGCGTTAAATACTCCAGACGCGTCCTCGACGCGCATCACGTATTGGGGGGAGCACATCACACCATATATATACGTGAATAGTACGAGTACTGGTGCAATTAAACCAACCTGCAATGGTGAGGGTACGTGCCCCAAGAACGAACTTAAAGCGACAGTCTTTGGTGCAAGATGCACACTCTCCAGGGCCCGGTAGTATACAGCACAACGGAACGAGGACTAGCATAACAGATAGGTTACAGGAATAGCACAACAAGGGAGCAAATCAGCTTGCGCCCGTCTTCTTCTGCAAGAACTCTTTTGCGAACTCGTCAGGGTCGCCGGACTGGTCCGGCAACCAGAACGCCTGCACAGTACTCGTCAGCCAACGCGACTACTTAGATGGAGTGTAAGCTCACCAACTCTGGACCGGCAGTACACATCATGGCAAAACGAGGGTTGAACCTCACACATCTCGACGGGCCCGGGTGTCCCTCCAGCGCGGCCATCGGTCTCAATAGAAGAGGCGTGTCCTTCAGATTGATAGGGCCCTCCTTCACTGGAAGGTTCTGCACGTCCCACATGACCACTTTGCCGTCAAGACTCCCGCTCACAATGAACTTGCTATCGGGCGTCCATGACACTTCCTCACCACTGCACCCTTGTTCAGGCTCGATCTTCAGTGGTGTACTCAGCTTCCTACGCTCCAGCCCAACGTGGCCTTCCAGTTTCGCGAGCAGATGTCCTTCGAAAGCGTCCAAGATGTAGTGCGCGGCCCCGGAGCAGCCTACCAGGAGATACTTCCCGTTGGTGGAGAACGACAGTGAGGTCATGTAGATTGCGCGTGGCGGGAAGCTGATGAGCGCCAGCGTCGGGTCCTCCAGAGTGATTACGAGGAACGGAGCCTTGTCGAAGTTGGCTTGGTCGTAAAGCAGGATACGGGAGTACACGTTGACGGCGACGGCGAACACCAGCCCTGACGCGTCGTATGCCACTATGGGAGAAGCAGGGAGGTTCAGAAGGCCTCTGCATGTCGGTGTGCGTAGATCCCAGAGACGCACAGTCTTGTCCATCGAGCCGGACATAAACCCATCATCGACCGGAGACACCTCGAGGGACACGACTCTCCCCTTGTGTCCCTTGAAGTACTGAAGGTACTTGTTGTCGTGGAGGGAGTGATACCGCACCGTATCGTCCTCCTTCGTCGACGCGTGCACGATCGCGGTGTTCTTGTGTGTGAAGCGCGGTAAATCGACGCCGTATTTCTTGGAGTATAAGGTCTTCAGATGCCTGTGCCACGTCGATCAGTTGAAGCGGACACGAGCTGCGAATCGAGCGGAACTCGCTTGCCGCTTTTGCAACTGTACAGGCGAAACGTCTCGTCCTCCGACGCCGTCACCACCTGGTCTCCTCTATCGTCAAAGCTGATGCCAGTAATATGCTTCGGGCCCGCGTTGGGTGACCGCGGTGCTGGCGTGCCCGGAGACGGTGGCGTCTGTGGTTGCTCGACCGCGGCTTTGAAGATTTTTGCGGGCTTGAGCTTCGTCTGAGAGCGCTATATGAGAGTCGAGCATAGGGTATATTGATGTATAGATTACCATAAGCTGCGGCGTCAGCACCAGCGGCGCCGACGGCGGTGCGCTCGCCGCGTCAGGAGCGGTCGACATCGTCGGAGGCAGAGAGCAGAGCGCGGGCGCTAATCGCGTCGAGCAGACAGGCGGTCCGGCGCCGCGGGGTTTCAATCACGTTGTGAACAATTTTGGCGCCCATTACTTACTGGACCTTGTCTTCGACCACTTCGCCATGTCTGAGGGAGACGAGTCCGCAAAACTATGGAAGGTTAACCGCACAATACACGAACTGGTCAAAGATCGGGTGCGTATAGCCGTCTTTTCTCCACAATTGAATGCTCAAACGTCTTCTGTGTCGCGTAGGGCTTCCAGGTCTCCGACGATGAGATCAACATGGACCTGACCACCTTCCGGAGTCACTATGCGAACAACTCGGGGAGTGTAGAGTACATTTGATCTTCTCCTGCGGAGAGTGCCTGCATGCTGACGAATGCGCAGCCGGAGTCAACTCAATTTCTTCACAAATCACAAGAACAACCCCATGACACAGATCTTCGTGTATTTTTCTGAGGAAAAGAGTGTCGGCGTGAAGACTATGCGAAAGTCAGCAACAAACAATTCCATGTCGAGTGTGTGTGTTTCTGATGAGTTTGGAACGCGTACAGAATGCTTGGTATTCTGGAAGAAAAGAACATCCAACAGGGTGTCATTGTCTTCCCAGGGAACATGACCCCGTCCGCTCGGAAGGTACGCAACTGAATGCTATACCCCTTCGCAATTGAGAAGGAGGGTCCTACTCTATATTCACTAGGTGATCGCGGCGATGGCATCGCAATACAAGTTGGAAGAATTCTCGGAATCTGACTTGTTGGTGAACATCACGCATCACACCCTGGTGCCTAAACACGAGGTCCTGTCCCCTGAGGAGAAGAAAGAACTCCTGGAAACATAGTACGCCTCCATTCTCCAAACGTTATCCATCGACGCGCTAACGCGTTGCGGTCAAGTCGGTTGAAGGAGACACAGTTGCCTCGGATCCAGCTCGCGGACCCTGTCGCCCGCTATTACGGCCTCAAGCGAGGAAACGTAGTCAAAATAACGAGACCAAGTGAAACGGCTGGACGTTATGCCAGCTATCGCTTATGTTTCTGACATATCTGTATTTGGTGGGTGTGGATCGGATGTTCCAAATCGGAACGTCGCGCCACCGTCTGTGCTTTCTTCTTCCTGGAATGCCCTTTGTATCCTCGCTCTGTAGTATTATAATGTTCATTTCCCGCTCTCAGCTATCTTTCAAGAACTCACCACCGGGAAACCTTGAGTAAACGCATGCCATGATTGACATTGCCTTTGATCCTATCCTGAAGTGGCGTCCCTCCATGACGAATCGCGCGAAGGAGATATCGGTGAGTTCACTCCCCTGCTCATATGGGGGGGCTATGCCCAGATCCTCCGACCGACGATACTGACACCTCAAATATTGGCAGGCCGAACTGTTTCAGCCGAACAAGCGGAGGGTATCTTGGATCTCGGCATAATCTGTAGCACTTTTATGCGGCGTGCAAATGGAAGTCCAGCATTGCTCTGCATTGACAGGTGACACGCGGTGAGTTTTCTCCTGTACAGCGAACAACAGCGTCATTGGCCACTTGGAAGAGTATCGCCGTGTTGTTCGTATGTTCAAGGAGGTGGCTTATCCCCGAAGTCTATTTCGTTTCGGTTTGAACGACCCCAACAGCGGGGATACCTGCCTTGTCTGGTTCGTTGCTCTCACCGCTCAGATGCTCCGGTTCATTGTAGGTGACTTGCCAAAGGACTGAATACGCTGCGCTCCCATTCTGCTAGTTCTGTATTCATCGGTCCTCGCAATGCAAAAGCGGGTGCAGTAGGACACCGGTCTCCTTTCCCCTTCATGAATACCTTGCTCTCAATGTACGACCCCCGGTGTCCTGATTATCCCCGCACTGGTATTGCCGTCGACATCATCCGGGCGTACTGGACTGCGTCCAAAGGTTTCATGTGTACCGATCTACGTCACGGAATTATCCTGGATCGGACTCAACGCGCGGCTCCATCTACACGCAGTGGACAGCCTTTACTGACCTTCACAGTATCTTCTGATGGACCCAGGCAGGAGGGGCTTGCGCTCTCAGGGGAAGCAGCTGTGAATTATAGCAAAACTCGTCAACGTAACAAACTATACCGGTCAAATGCTCATTTTGGATTCTAGCTTGGAATCGCGCAGTGACTCGGGTTAACTGTCTAGGACGAAAAGGGTCATACTGCCCGCCGCAACACAGTCATTGACTTAGTGACATGTATGTCTGTCATTCTATACAGTATCCTGGGTTTTTACTGAGGCATCCTGCGGTCCTCGACGCCGCCGTCTAGGAACTCGAGTACGCACCGTCAGCTTGATTTTCATCGGGTGAGTTGGATGCAATTCCGATTGACATCTCTGCTTGCCGCTGACTATATTGCACCATCCTCAGATTATAATTCAAAAATACAGGCAGCCTAGGCGTGGTACACACAGGGGCCATAGTGCGGCATTTGTGCGGCATACCGGTCGAGTGCTTAACAGGAATCCTTTTGTGAGTACTCCCAGACGTCGTCGGAGTGTGCGACATGTCCACTGTACTTATTGCATCAATAGGATTAAGCATACTAATGCTGTCGCACCGCTCAACTCGCTGTAAGTGGTAATGTATTGCCCGGCTATTAGCTGTCGGTGAAGTCCTGCGGCGTCGGGTGTTGCTGGGCCGGTTGACGCGCGGTCATTAGGTCGTAGCTCACCTCAATCGACACATGTGGTTGTGGGCGAACGTCCAACATATCCTAGTGAAGGGACATAGGTTGGAATACATTCCAAGCACCACGGACAGGAGCTACTGCCCAGTCCCTGCTGCCCGTGTGGCATCCAAGATGTCTAAAATTGCGTGTGGCCCCCACAGCCTGGTTTAGGCATCCAACGGTCACTCAACAATGCGGTACGTGGAATGGCAGCACCGCGTCCAGAGGTTCGGGATCAGTGTTACCTCCAATGGGCGGCAACATTTCGTTGCAAGCTTCTTGGTCCGGAACCAATCGGTCATCACGAGCTTGGAGTATGGCAACTTGTTTGAACGCCTTAGATAGGTGTCCAACATTTCGTACGTCTGATTAAGACTCATAGAGCTGTACAGAGACGCTGCCATGCATGCGGACTATGCTCGGATCATGCATAACACCCCGTAGCCAGCTAGAAGCACAATGGCTGCGAGCCTTCGACATCGATCCCACCGTTCGATGCTTTCAGAACAGTGAGCCTCCATCCCCTGAGTGTAGCACCGCTCGATCAGGCCGTTTGTGCAACAGTTCACCCATCACTGACCACCGCAGCCCTCAAGCTAGCGCTCATCCCGTACAGCGCGACGGGAGCAGCGGATATAGTTCAGTCATCGCAAGACGCTGCACTGTGCGTCTTGTTCTCTGAGACTGAGGAGGCTCGGACCTGCGGAGGAAATTGTCTCTGGTAAGCCCTGCATCCGAAGCGGCGGTAGGTGTGGCACGTGTGTTCGGATCGAATGATTGACTCGATCTGCCTTGCCTGGATCTTGTTTACCATTCTCAGATGCGCCGCTGTGGCGGGACGTACGTTGTTGAGCACAGCAGCCGAATAGGTGGTAAGAATTGCATCCCAATGACCTTGCCAACGTAGCTAAGGTCGCGAGTTTCATCTTCATCGGAGGTTTCGAATGCAGCAGTCGTGTACGGAGCATCATCCCGAGGACCAGTGTCAGTGCACTTCGATGACCCCGGGCTGGTATTCACCGCACTATTTACAATCCGGACGCGATTCTATGCCTGCTCCGATGTAATCCGGCGGGGAGCTGCAACGATCAGTATAGTACTGTTTTCGAACCGCCGTTGAATCTAGGGGGAATCACCGCCGCCTGCCACGGGCTCTAAGGCAAGAAATGGCCATTTCAAGTTAGTAGTTACGTGGTCATCTCATGTAGCGTCTCTGCGCTAACAGTGATCAGCTTTCCAGTGATTCGTTGAACGCGGAGGATATCGTGAATTGGATATCTGGGGTCATGGTGGATTCTACTGCGGTCTCTGCATTTCAGCCGGTACCGCTTTACTCACCACCAAGCGCGGGTGTGTCGTGGGCAGTGTTCCTTTGCTAGTGCGTTTCCGCGATTTTTCGCTCAGGGACAACACTCCATTCTGGACCAGATCGAACGACAATTGTATACCCCATTCAGGGCTTCAAACACCGGCAAGTCTATCATGTTGTTCAGCCGAATTTGTACTAGGTCTGTTGCGTCAGCGAGCGCATCGCACACGTCGAGATCGTATAAAAGGATGGTCCATCCAAGGTACTGTAGCATCCGCATCCTCAGTCGCACCAAGTATTCTGACCACGCCATGTCTGCCACCTCTCCCCGCTACTTCGTTCTTCCTGACCTCTGTTCTCTGTGCCCCTTCGAGCCGTCCACAAATCCCCACTACGCCAGCGCCGCAGCCGCGTCTTCAGCCTGGATCAACGCCTACAATGTTTTCACCGACAGAAAGCGCGCAGCCTTTATCCAGGGGTACAACGAGCTGCTCGTCTCCCACACCTACCCATACGCCGACTACGAGCAGTTCAGAACCTGCTGCGATTTTGTGAACCTTTTGTTCGTCGTCGACGAAGTCAGCGACGAACAGAACGGTGCCGACGCCCGAAGCACCGGCGAGATCTTCCTGAACGTCATGCGCGACCCGACCTGGGACGATGGCTCCGCGTTGGCCAAGATGACCAGGGAGTGAGTGTCTGACCTCGTCCTTTCCTGCTTCCGCGATTGACCCAAAGATCAGGTTCAGGGACCGGCTGCAGCAATTTGCGGGTCCGGGCTGCATGCGCCGCTTCCTGAAGCATTGCGAGAACTACATCGACGCAGTGGCCAAAGAGGCCGAGTACCGCGAGCGCGGAGTGGTGCTCGACGTGACCTCTTTTGAAACGCTGCGCCGTGAGAACAGTGCCATCCGCCTTTGCTTCGGCCTGTTTGAATTCTGCTTCGGTGTCGATCTCCCGGATGAAGTCTTCGATGATCCGACGTTCATGGCGTTGTATTGGGCCGCCGCGGACATGGTCTGTTGGTCTAACGTAAGTCAATCGCGATGTCTTGGTGCCCATCAGATTCCTGACCCTGCTCCTCTCTCCCAGGACGTCTACTCCTACAACATGGAGCAGGCGAAGGGCATCGGCGGAAATAACATTGTCACGGTGCTTATGCACGACAAGGGCGTCGATTTGCAAACCGCGTCGAACCTTGTGGGAGATCGCTTCAAGAGCGACATGGCCCGCTTCGTCGAGGCTAAACGCCGGCTGCCTAGCTGGGACCCTGCCGTCGACCAGACGGTCCGGAAGTACGTGAAGGCCATGGAACACTGGATCGTCGGAAACCTGGAGTGGAGCTTTGAGACCCAACGCTACTTTGGGCCGCTGCACGCTGAAATCAAGAAAACCCGTGTCGTCCACGTCCGTCCCCGTGAAGAAGACAGATAAGGTATGTCAGTCTAGACTACATCCGCCACGACACCGTTAACTGAAGGCCATGCAGCGTCTTCGCTCACCGGCTCGCCGTGCTACTCCCACTGGCCCTCACGTAGCATATTATACGAGTTACAGTATTTATTGCGTACCAGCGTACTAGCCTAGTGTTTCTTGGATATATATCGTGTCTATCATTCAAACCATCCTGTGCCGCCGCCTGACCGGCGAACTTTTTGCTGCCGCACATAGCGCCACATTGGACTGGTCGACGTCCGAGACCGCACTGTGCAGGCTCCACGACGCCTATTCAGCAACTGGGACACACACGCGAGCCGCGTCGACGAAACAGGCAGCACCCGCTTCTTAGTGTCTCGTCTTGACAGACGTCCAACGAGTCGTCCACCGGAGCGCGTATGTGCTAAGTTCCGATGTTGCAGCCTAGAGGTCCGACAGATGAGATGCGGCGAGGCTGGACGCTGAGATCGATCATACAGCCAACACCCGACACAGATTACTACTGACATGTACGACTAGCGCGGACCACCCTCTGTCAAGCGGCTTCTCCGCCTGGCCCTAGTCTCCATTCGGCAGGCTCTGAAGAACAATCAAGCCTTTCCGACGGAGCTTCGCACTGCGGCCAGTACAACTTGGAAATGATACATGGATTCCTGTTCAATTCGAGGATGTCCCTTTGACATCTTTTGCTGCATTACATACTCGTACATGTGACGCATTACACAAAGGAGGGGAAATTAATGACAACTGCACCAGCGAAAGGAGTTAGACGATGCAGGTATCAAATGCCGGATGCATCGTACGCCGGTGTACATGCAGGAAGGAGCAGGTAGATCTGTCAGGGCTCACAATGCTACCCACTCTTTTTGTGGTGGATATCATAAGCCAACACCACCGACGGACATGAAGAGTTCGCCCTGAATAGTCCCACGTTGCCGCCAGATCCACCGGGAGAGAAACTACGCAGCGACCGGTGTCGAGGGTCTGCTGACAGATGCGTCCCGGCTGTCCATCGTGCCCTCGCGGTGCTTGCGGAGCAGACGGTCGAGAGCCTCCTTCTGTCCGACAGCGAGCTCGCCGGACTGGATTCCGGAGTGGTACACACGGAGCAGCGAGTCGACGTCATCCATCGACTGTGTCCGCACGTCCGCGAGCTCCTTGATCTTGGCCGTCGCATCCTTAATCTAGAAGGTGCGCGTCAATCACCTGTGAGCGTCCGGCGGCGGGGGGAAGGGCGCCGAACGTACCTCGTCGTCAGTGAGCTTAAGGCCGAGCTGCTCCACACGGCTCTTGACGGCGTTCCATCCGGTCAGCCTGTGTCCGATGGAGACGTAGCGCGTAAGACCGAAGTCTTCGGGCTTCAGGATCTCATAGGTCGACGGGTTGTTGAGAATGGCCTTAGCGTGGATGCCTGCCTTGTGCGTGAAGGCACAGTAGCCGCTGGGTGTTCGTCAGTCGAGATGAACGCGAAGTTCGGCACCGCACGTACGTGATGGGGTTCATGAACGGAATGTTGACCTCGACAGCCTCGGCGACCAGGTTCTCGATCTCACGGAGCATGGGCAGGTTGTACTTGCTCTTGACGTACTCCGGGTTGGCAGCGTACAAGCAAGCAACGAGACCACCGAGAGGAGTGATACCGACACGCTCGCCGATACCGAGGACGGACGTGTCAATGTGCGTGGCACCAGCCTCGAGCGCAGTGTACGCGTTGGCAATGGCTAAATCGCATCAGATGGTCAGCCTTGAAAAGATGGGTCACGCCGCATTGTACTTACCCATCCCAGTATCATTGTGCAGGTGAATCTCGATGTCACAGCCAACGACACCACGAAGGGTCCGGACGAGATCGTACACCTGACGAGGATTGGCGCAACCGACCGTATCCGCAATACCGACACGGTTGACACCGATCTTATCAACAGTCTGGTAGATGGACAACAGGTCGACGAGATCGGAGCGGAAGGAGTCTTCCGACGAAAATCGGACTTCGATGCCTATACAATCATGCTGTGTGAGTACCGACGCCGAGGAGTCACATCACACATCTATAAACGCACCCTTGCTCTTCACAAATTCGATGACCTCGATGGCAGTCTTGGTGATGTACGTCATGTCCTTTCCATGCGAGAATTCACGGAGGAACGATGATGTTCCGATGACGACGTCAACACCATCGACGCCTGCACACATGGGTTAAGGGGGATATGCGGTAAGCTGCCAGGTATGACGTACCAGTGTCGACGGCTATCCGCGCATCATCCATATGGCAGCGAATGTGCGTCAGGATCTTGGCCTTCAAGCCGAGCTTGCAGATGGCCTCGCAGTCTAAACGAGAATCAGGATCTTGAACGGCATACAGTGGAACACCTTACCAGCGCGGGACTGCTCAGAGGCAGCAGGGCTCGTGAGCTCGATGTACTCCACCCCGAACGCATCGAGTGCCTTGGCGATGGCGATTTTGGTCTTAGTATCGAAGAAGGCGTTGGCGAATTGCTCGCCCTCTATGCAAAAGTGTCAGGATGATCGCCGCTGAATCCTGTCTCACCACCGACCTCGCAGAGTGCTCTCGATGATCTTGAAGTTTGAAACATTGCTCAAGAAGTCCGATGCACGAGGAGCGTAAGGATTCCGTCGCTGCTCGGGCTTCTTGGCAGCGCCATTGACACCATTGACATGGCCGTTGACACCGTTTACGTGACCGTTCACGCCGTTGGTCTTGACGGATGATGAGTGCGAGGTGGAACCGTTAGACATGTCTACGGCGACCATTTCAGAGGTGCCGTTCGGAAGAGCATCGCCGTTAGTGTGTGGGCACATGCTATTTTGTTTGATCGGAGGTAGTGAGGTCGGTCAGGAGCAGAGAAAGGGGCTGCAGCACTGTGCGGGGGAGGACGAGGACGAGTAAAGAGATGGAGATGGGCGGGCGGCTTCAAAAAGCAGTGATCCATTCAAATTGAGTCATTGAGTCAGGTCACGTGCATCTGCTGGACAGTGAGAGTCATCTCATCACGAGAATGGCAACTGCCCCTCTTGCCACTAGCGCAGATCAGCAATGTACGGTCCGTAATACGCCCATGCCAACACTGCCGTGACAGGAATAAGTCTGTAGCTTCCTGTCTTCCACTGCTTTCTCCCGACTCATTTGCTGGCAGTTCCGCTGTCTCACGCATGGATTTTTGCTCTGACCAGTGGCGGCCTGTTCATTTCATGTTGCCTGGCCGTGGGCCGCCGCTGGTGTCTTCGGCCAGTAGTCCGAGCCGCTTTGTACAGGATAAAACTCTATGCGGGGAAACTGGTTGTCCCGCAGAGCCGGGCATACTTTCCCCACGCGGGTACCCGGGAACTGAGGTCAATGTCGAACACGGCAGCCCAATTCTTGTCTACCTGCAGTACACCACTACACGTAAGTGCAACTGTACTACGGACTGCATTGGATGACGGCAAGTGATGGCCCTTGCACTTCCTAAAGCAGTATGTGATTATATGAAGAGGTGATCATAGCGAAGGGAGATGGGCGCCCCTCCCGGACAGATACCATTCTCGATCCATGATCACTCTCGCGACGGCGTTGCTAGTGTGAACCTTGTCTGCATCAGACGAATACCCCGAAAGCTTTCAACGAGTCGTTTCTTTTTCGTTTTGAATCCCTTTATTGTCCGCGAGGGCCGGGCCTTATGTAGACAAGGCTCGAACCTGGAATTGACGGATCAATGGGCCTGGGAAGATTGACAATTGATGGCGGGCCGCCGCGGCGTGCCCTATGTAGACGACCAGCGTCCCTCAGCCCCGCCTGTTCACAGTCTACGTCCTAGGAGAGATCAGCCAACCTCTAGGATCTGCTAGCCAACGTCGGACGGAATGATTGCCACAGCACACTAGCATGTAACCCGTTTCCCATCTCAAACGCCGCTCTGTTGCCGCTCTGAGAACTGGATTTTTCTGAGTTCCACCGGCTTGCAATGAGCGCAGTGTGAACGGGCTCAATGGCGCTTAGTAGCGGGTTATGACATGTTGGCAACCTGCTACGCAGCTAGGCTGTGCATTACTCCTGTTTGCGAGCTATTATGTAAAGCACGCCGATCACCTTGTCTACCACTCCTCCACTGACTGACGCAATCCCCTCGAGGTACATTCGGGTTCTGCGAAGACGAAGCATCTGAGATCTCAACCTGCACGATGTCTCGAGCGACAACTGAGTCGAAATCCGTCGTCAGGGAAGCAGGTGAGCTGTTTCGTCCTCTCGCCTCGTCTCTTGTGGGCCAACGGTAGCTCCACAGGCATGCTAGAACGATGGCATGTCGCCCGTCAAAACCTGGGCGTGCTCGGTGCTGTCGTCATCTCCGGACGATACACACGTGCCGATGGGAGCATCCTCGACAAGGCCCTTCTCTACGCAGCTCTGGAGAAGGTCATCCACAAGCACGGAGCCTTGAACGTATGCGTAGCAGGTGAAGCGACGCCCACACCTGCTTTCGTTCGCTTGGATCGCATCGACTTGGACGAGGTCGTCACTTTCGTTGACGGAGACTTGCGCGAGGTCCTTGAGGCCGAAGTTGCCAAGGGATTCGACATGACTCGGCCTCTCTGGCGAATCCTGGTGGTGCCAGATGGCACTGTTAACTTCAGCTTCCACCATGTGATCGGGGACGGACAGAGCGGGATCGCCTTCCACCGGACACTGCTCGCCGCTCTGAACGAGATGGGCGAAACCTCCCCTCCTCACTCGGCTGTCGTATCAACTTCGGCTAAAGTCACACTTGTGCCACCTATCGAACAGGTCGCGAACCTTCATGTCTCGCCTTTCAGGCTCATCCGCGAAATCATCAAGATGCTTGTCCCCGCTTCCTGGACCGCGGCCTATTGGGCGTGGACCGGCTATCCCTGTCCATCAGAACGTAAACTCACGGCCAACCTACGACTCCTGTACCACAAGCCGGAGGCAGCGCATCGCATTTTGCAAGTCTGCAGGGCTCATCAGACGTCGCTGACGGCTCTCATGCACACTTTGGCAACGCTCATCATCTCCGAGTACCTCGCCGAAGACCCGTCAAATACCGGCAGGTACACTTCCATATCGACATCTATACCCGTCTCCCTGCGCGCTTTCGCCAAAGCACCCCCGGGCGTGATGTGCAACTATGTCTCGACCCACTTCTCATTCCCTACTCTCATAAAGCGGACGCCATCTACCGATAGATCGTGGCTCAGAGAGTTCCCCTGGGACAGCACGAGTGAGCTATCGAAAACACTGCGCAAGCAGCAAACACACTCCGCCGAGAGCTTAGGCATGGTCAAGTTCATCGGGGACTTCGAAGCATACCACATGAACAAGCTCGGGAAGAAGCGCGACTACACCTTTGAGATCTCCAACGTCGGGCGGTTCCCGGGTGGTGCTGAGACTCCAGGGGGGGATACGGGATCGTCGGCGTGGACCCTCGACGGTGTCTATTTCTCGCAGTCGAACCCATCCTCGGGAGGCGCGATTCACGTGAACGTCGCCGGCGATCCAGCCGGTGGGATCGGAATCTCAGTGAGCTGGGCCGAGGGCGCGATAGACGATACGTTCGGGGAAGCCTTCTTCGAGGCATTCAAGGAGGGACTCGAGGAGGTCGTTCATCATGACATTGCATAGGCGCGGCGCACGGCGGTAGGTTCCCCATGCTCCCCGCACGCTCTGCTCGGCCGGCTCACCCCTTCCCCCACGACGCAGGTCGTCGGCGGGTGTACACTGCTTCCCTTCCTCGGGCTTCCGAGCTTAGACACGTTCTCGCGCCCTCTCCTGAACCTAACTGCATGGAGAACTTCTTTGCGGCAGGTGATGCCTGTGTGTCCTACCGAGTTGATCTCGGAGGTTTCTCGAACTAAATAGTGATCCAGGTTAGTGCTGATGCCCGCATTCGGACCTATAGACACCTGCATTGTACGCGACAGGGCGATCTAATCAACCTTGGAGAACCATTGCTATTCTGCCGACCGATCAGTTGCTCCGCTTCGATTGCACAATCATCAAACGACAACACAACGAACAACACAACGAACGCATCAGCACAGTGATTTGTCATATCCGACATAAACTCTACACGCGGCGTCGGAGACTTTGAACAATTAGATCCCTCGTGTCTTCCAGCAGCTGTCTGCTGCGCGAACACCTCCGGAAGAGGTGGCCCCGCTTTATCGACGATGCCGTTTCAAAGGCGACCCGGAGGGAATACGGCTGGAGTACCCGCATTGCAAGCATTCGTGTCAGATTAACTCTGATATAGCCGTCTTCTAGCTCCAGAAGACAGTACATTGGAGCTTCGGGAGCACCTCACGTCTTCCCTGGGCAGGAAGTCCATGAACGCAATCATCTCCTATGAAGGGCATGCGGAAACCGCGTGCGTCGACCGCAGACCGAACTATATTGGTCTGTCTGAGAATCACAATCAACAAGTACAACGCACAGTGTTATCCAAACAGAACCGTACAACTCATAAATACAGCATCCGGCCAATGTAATGCTTTTGCCAACACGCATGGCGCGCATTCAACGTGTCCTCCCAGCTACACGTACATCCAACGACCAAGGTCCTCTGCCCACCCTGACAGAGAGCCAGCGTCGACGCCCCGGAAGTTCTCCTTAAGGGACTTGCGCACAGAAGGCACAGCATGTGAATCGTCCTCGAAAGGAGTCTCGGGGGCGTGGCCAGACCAGCCTCGTCGTACTCCTTGTTGTATGGCGAGAGGATGCCGAGGCCAGACCCGCCGACGGACGTCGTGTAGGTCCTGAAGCTAGCGTCCTCAAGCGCGGAGACCAAGGCCTGCAGGGCTGTGTCGCTGAAATCTGTAGGGCTTCTGTGAGCTTCATTCATTATTGTCAGCGGGATGCGACTTGCCGTCTGGGACAAGCGTGACCGCGCATCCACCACCGCCGGCACCGGTGAGCTTCGTGCTCAGGCCAAACTGGTTGGCGGCAGTAGTCGACCGAATGAGCTCAAGCGACGGGTGCGATACGCCCAGTGACACCAAGTGGGCATGGTTTTCATTGATCAATGCCTACAAAGAGGTCACTTAACTGTTTCACCCAAGGGGAGTAAATGTCGTACCGAGAGTGCGTCAAGCAAAGACGATCGAGGTAGCTCAGGATCAGCCAGAGCTCGACGTGCCTCATCGCTGATAGCTTGGATGGCATCCATGATCTTGTTGATGACCTCGGGCTCCTGATGATAAAAACACCTGTAAGTCATACCATCTCCGGGCGATTAAGGGCACTCACCTCCGCCTTCTTCAAGGCGACGCCCGCCACAAGCTTCTTCGTATCACGCGGGACCCTCGAGTCAACAAGCAGGAAGCGCAGCGACTTGAAGCTGACGACAAGCACAGAGAACAAGGGTCAGCACCTCCTTCGCCTCTAATTCATGCACCACTCACCCTTGAATCTGCTCCATCCCGCTCTTCTTCCCGAACCCAGGACGTGTATACGCCAACGCCCCACCAAACACAGCCACCGAGTTGTCGACGCCGCTTGGGTTCCCGTGCAGCACCTTCTCAGCGACGAACGCCCAGCGGTTCACCTCCTCAGCGGTGTCTGGCGGTATAGCACGACGACCCTGATGCGACATGTGCAGGTGTCCCGGGTCGTCCGCGCCCGCAGGACGCGTGGGAGCGGGGAGGGGCGGGATCTTGATACGCTGGTGCAGGAGCAATAGCGCCGTAGCAATGCACGCAGAGTATGACGCAGATGACCCAAGACCCGCGCCGACAGGGAGGGTCGAGCGCACAGCGAAATTGAACGACGGCCTCTCACCGCCATGCGCCATCATCATATACAGGTACAAGAATGCGATCCCAGCTGCGTGCGCGCCTTTCGGTATGTCTGACGGCGCTGGGAGCGCACGGGCAATGATGGCATCCACGAGCTTCTGATCGAGCAAGTCCGTATGATGCTCTCCTGGTAGCACCGGCGTGACGGCGTCCCAGGGGAGGTCGTCCAGGTCCCACTCGTGGACGTAATCGCCGATGTCCGTCATCTGAAGCGACAGCTTGTTATCGTGTCGGGGCGACGTCACGCCGTAGCAGCGGAGATCCACCGACGCTGCGATCGCCGTCTGCGGGTGGGCATCCGAATCAGTCGGGGCTAGCAAAGTGCGAGAGTGGCTGACGTACGACTCCATGCACGACCGCGTGCTCGCCGAAAAGGATGACTTTGCCCGGGGCGCTGACGAACCACTCCCGGTCTTCCCTGGGCCTGTTCGTGAGCGACTGGTTGAAGGCAAGCTTCTCGACGGCGCGGCTGATGGGGTTCGGCAGGCGGACATACTCATCCGCGGCATACGTGATGGCGCCGGCTCCCATAAGAGCGTGCTGCAAGTCGTCCAAGAGATCCGCAGGGTCCTCGATTCCAACGCATAGGCGAATCAGGTCCTCAGGAAGACCGCGAGCGGCGCGCGTAGCAGGGTCGATGGACGCATGCCTTGTGACGAGCAGTGAGACCGGGGATTTCGCAATGCACATAACGAAGGGACTCACGACATAACGCAGGGCATGCTGATGAGGCTGTTGACGCAGCCGAAGCTAACACTGATCCCCCACAGACGAGTAGCACCGACAATGCGCTCGCTGAGCTCCTTGTCACCGGTCTCAAAGGAGAGCACGGCGCCGTACCCTATTGAATGGCGTGAGTTGGAATGACTAACAGACCGACTGAACACACGCACCATCAGCGATGCGCTCGTGGATTTCCCTGCCAGGGTGGTTTGGTAGACCAGGATAGTGCGTGACGAAGCCAAGGCGGGAGAGAAGCTGGGCGACGAGCATAGCGGTCGACTGCTGACGGTCCATTCTGATAGCAAGTGTTTTGACACCCCGCAGGAGCAGGAAGGAGTCGAAGGGCGTAAGAGCATTCCCAACCGAGTTGATCATGAACGCAATTTGCTGTAGTGCCCATGTAAGTAGACAGAACCAATAGCACGAAGAATGTGTGTACATACCTTGCCGAGGTCGTCTCGGTTGCAGGTAATGATCCCAGCCATGAGATCATGATGTCCGCTAAGGTACTTGGTCGCACTGTCATAGACGATGTCCGCACCGTGCTCGAGCGGACGCTGGAGGTACGGGCTCATCATCGTGTTGTCCACCACGATGACCGCATCCTGGCACTTCTCTTTCACCATAGCGCTGATCCGCGCAATGTCCACAATCTTCAGTAGTGGGTTCGTAGGTGTCTCCAGCAGTACCATAGCGACCTTGGGGGTGAGGTGAGGCACAAGGGTGGTGGGGTCGGTCGTGTCGACATGGTGCACTGTGATGCCCATGTGCGTGCGCAGGTAGGTGAGGAGACGGTGCGTGCCGCCGTAGATGTCATCTCCGGCGATGAGCTCATCCCCGGGCTTGAGAATGCGGGTGATGATGTCAAGACAGGCCATGCCGGAGGAAACAGCGAAAGCATGTTCAGCTGAGGAGATCTTGGCAATGTGGTGTTCTATGGGGGTGCAGTTAGAGGGGTATAATCAGACATCGCACAAGCAGCAGACGCGAGAGAACAGCGCAGTTCACACTCTCGCGTACAACACAAGGTGCATTCCACTCACCCAAATGAGTCCTAGTGGGGTTCCCACTCCGGGTATAGTCATACTGTCCACCTACACCCTTGAAGGTCGCCGTCTGGTAGATGGGTACACTGGAGCTCCCATGCTGGTCCTTATGGTCCGCGTTGGGGGTCTCCACCGTCGCACACAGCGTCGAGAATCTATAGGGCTGCCTCGCGCGGGGCAGTGACGGCGACTCCGGCTCAGGCGTCGGGAGGTCCTCAGGCATCCTGAGCTTGTGCGGCGTTCCGTCTGCAGACATAGTGGACGGACAAACAGTCGTGCAGCGGAGAAGGGAGACAGTGACGATAAGGCAAAGGCGGTGGGATGACTCGTTTTAATGCTTCCCGCTGTGAGATGGTGTCGGGTGAGCAAAGTGGTTTTAGCGGGGCAGTCGAGCCACTCTGCAATACATGCCCATCCCGATCACGTGTGACGTCGATCGCGCAATCGCGCGTCCTCAACGCGCTCCCATGATCGCGCTCTCCCTCCACCGCGTCTACGCCTGACCGCCATGGCTCCGCGAAGACAACGTGAGTACTCTCTCAGGTCTCGTGTATCTCATATGCTCAACTACGGTGGCAGACAGCACAACGCCAGACACAGGTAGCTGCGTCGTACCTCGACCCAGAGGTCATCGCAAAGCGCACGAAGCGCCATCTCGACGAGCTCGAGGTACGTGCCAGAGTGTCTCCTCTTCCTACACCTATTCAACGCTTGTGACTCCAGAAATCAAACTATGCGGAACAGTCTGCCGGCCTTGAAGATGACGACGACGCCCCGGGCGGCCGCTCCGTGAAGGGCAAGGCGCGCCAATTCGTCATCTCCGACAAACGCGAGTGGCCGGGTATGCCCAAAAAGAAGTCGAGCCACAACGTCCGCACGGCCGTGCTCTACAAGAAGAATCTGGAGAAGCTCATCGACGAGTCCGTGAGTGTTCATCCAAGCGACCCCCTAAGCCATGGTTCACGGTGACTCAGGGCATCGCGAATTACCCGCCCGAGGTGCCCACATATCTCAGTGCTGCAGCACCTCCGCCACGGGAACCTCCACGCCTGATTTGTTCGGTTTGTGGGTATTGGGGCAAGTACAAGTGCAGGAAGTGCGCAATGCCCTACTGTGACCTCAACTGCGAGGGCGTGCACAACGAGACACGCTGCGAACGCCGGGTCATGTAGGTCTGGCGACGGCAGCATATGCCTTGTCGCACAGTCGAGAGTTCCCCCCGTTGCAAGCTGCGGGATGGACTGTTGCAGGGTTCACATGACGATATCTCGAGGTGATGAGAAATCCCGGACGCCCACTCTGCGCGTTCACCAAGCAGCTGCCACCATTCAAGAGGTGGCTTGTCTATTGCGGCCGTAGCTCTCGCTTTTCTGTGATACAGCGCAGTATCACTTAATGAGTGTGCATTGAAGAGACGAGAGGATTACTTTGCTAATCAGGAACGAAGGTGGAAAACAAGCGCTGTGTAATATCTAGCCATGTTGAAGACGTGATAGATAACCTCGTTTATACGACAGTTGGGTAGTCGTTCCATATACTTCCTACCACCTGGCAATGTCTGCCTCTGCTTCCCCGAACAAACTAGTCTTTTTGATATCAAACCCTTCTTCGGGCTCCTCTGCGACCTCCACCTCGTAGTAGTCCGGGAACTCCCTCTTCAAGAACCGCATGATATTTTCGTTGATGAGCTCGAACTCCAATAGGAATCCATCATGTCCCTCCGGCGACGAGATGATCACACACTCCGCACCAGGAATATGCTTCGCGATCTCACGCTGCTCGCTGGGCATGAACAGCCCGTCCGTCTGGATGCCAATGACCAGAGCGCGGGGCGGGAGCGTTGCGAGGACGCGCGCGAGCGCGGCGTGCTCGTCCTCGCCGGGGAGAAGCCGGTCCCGAGAGACGTCGTGGGTGTCCATCTTGCGCGTGATGTGGATGTAGCAGTTCGCGTCGAAGCGCGAGATGAACTTGTCTCCCTGGTACCGGAGGTAGCTCTGGGCGCTGAAGATCGGCTTCGCCTGCACGGGCGCGGGCGAGAGCGGGCGGGAGGCCTGGGGCGTGCCTGGGGCAGACGGCGTTGACCGCTTACGCTGCCCGTCGTTGTGCGCAGCGAGCGCGTCGTCGGCCTCGCGGGGCGCAGGCGAGAGCGGGGGCGTGGGTACGCCGTCCGCGGGCGGCGGGAGCTTCTGGGGCTTGCGGCCGAAGCGGTGCTCGAAGGAGTCGCGCGAGCGGTAGGTGAGGAGCGCGGCCATGCGCGCTGCCGCGAGCCCGGACGCGGGCTGCGCGGTGTAGTAGCCGTCCTCGTAGTTCGGGTCGCTGTAGATGCTCTGGCGCTGCGCCTCGCCCCAACTGATGCACCAGGCGGAGTGCCGCGCGGAGGTGGCGATGGGGATGATGTGCCGGACGTAGCCCGGTGGCGTGCAGAGAGGCCATTCGAGGATGGCCATCCCACCCATGGAACCGCCTATGGCGACTGCGACGGAGCTGACGCCGAGGTGATCAAGGACGAGCTTGTTCAGTCTGCGAGGGCTGCGTTAGGAGTGGGGTGAACGAGAGCGAGAATTGACGCGCCTGACGTCGTCCCGAATGCTCGTCCCGGGGAACTCGGGGCCATACCGCTTGCCCGTGTCAGGATTAATAGTGACAGGAGACGCAGAGCCGTAAGGCGAGCCCAAGACATTAAAACAGCATATGAAGAAGCGCCGCGGGTCAAAGGCCTTGCCACGCCCCATGAGCGGACCCCACCTATGTAGAGCTTGTCAGTGTCAATTGGAAGTGGCATAAACTTCCTTGCGCACCAGTCCTCGACATCTGCACTACCAGTGAATGCATGACAGATGATCATGACATTGTCCTTGGTCGCGTTCAAGTTCCCCCACGTCTTGTACGCCACCGGGACCTCTTTTAGCACGCATCCCGACTCGAGCGTGAAGGAGGGCACAGTGTATATGCTCTGGTCGATGAGACCCGCGAAAGAAGCCATCCTAGAACGGTCAAGTTTCTTCGCTGTGCGCGCTCGTCGACGTTCGATGGTTGTCCGAGTAACTCGGAGTAGTAAGAGTAGTTGTTTAGTGGTGCTTTGCGAGACGGGATGCTATACGAGCTTGGTCTGATCTCTACCGTCCAATGGCCTATGGCTCATATTACGGAAGGGCTGGGAACAGTGCGCGAGCAGCGAGTCTGAGACTCTGGGGAGGAGAGAGGTGAGTGACGACGCGCGCGATGGAGTCACTTCGATGGGAAATCTGTGAATTTGACGACCAGCCCATTCGCGGGCCGCCGAAGCCCGATCACAGTCAAATTCAATGTTGCCCTTCGCCTCCCGCATCCACCTCGGCACGGGTTCTGTCCTCGCCATCGCCCTCTCGGTGCTCTTCGTCTCTCGCAGGCTCTTGCGACGCGCGAGTCGCGCGAAGAAGGTCAGGAGAGAGGATGAGCGGGTCGTCATTCTGGGAGCGTCGAGCGGCATCGGACGCGCCCTAGCACACGAGTATGCACGCAAAGGCGCGCGAGTGTGCGTTACCGCTCGCAGGCACGATGAACTGAAGAAGGTCGTCGACGAGTGCAAGGCACTGCAGCACACTGCAGACGTCGCTGATCAAAAAGATGCAACAGTACTCAGCGTTGCTGCGGACTTCACAAACGTGGACGACATGGTCCACTTGCGGGACGTGTTAGAGCATGGTACGCCTTACCGTCGCATCCGTCAGTGCGGTATCGATACTATGGTGATGCATCAGATTGGAGCGGGCTTGACACGCTAGTTGTCTGCGCGGGCGTGAGCGCACTTCGACCGTTGATGGAGGTTGCCGGTCTCGAGCGAGACGGGCGGTCATTCACGCCCTCCCAAGCGACAATGGAAGGCATCAAACACACAGTAGACGTCGCAAGCAAGGCTGTGAACGTCAACTACATTGGACCACTTGTGTCTGCAGTCACACTGGTACGTCACCCTGCAGCTCCCCATACTCACTAAGATTCATAGCGCGTCTGCAGCTCCCTCTCCTCCAGCGTAGCTCACCCTCACCCTCCGTCCTCCTGTTGTCCTCTCTCGCTGCCCTCGTCCCCGCTCCCACACGCGCCCTCTACGGCTCCTCCAAAGCCGCCTCCCTCATGCTCTACCAATCCCTCGCCATCGAGCACCCGGCCGTCACCTTCACCTTCGCCATCCCCGCCACCGTCCGCGGCGACTTCCGCGCGTCCGCCGTTGATGGCGGATCTGTGCGTGAGGCGAATCCCAACACACATGGTGCGAGGCCGGAGGATGTTGCACGGAGGTGCGTACAGGCTGTGGACGCGGGGGAGAAGTTTGTGTGGATACCATATATGTTCAGCAAGCTCGGGCAGCTCTTATATTGGGTCTTCCCGGGCTTCGTAGAGGGAATGGCGAGTAAGAAGTACAACTTCGCTGCATGATCGTATGTAATATATAGGATGCATGGCCACAGAATCCACTGGGTGCATACTGCCTACACACGGATTTGCCCTCCCTTACAACAAGATAACCTCGCGAGATGCGGTGCCATACGATTGTGCACTGTCTGGGATGGCACGGACCACCAACTGCATGAAATGAAGACGGCGATCACATCTATTGCAATGGTGCTTCGGCATCAAGAATCCGTATTGTATCATAATATGTGGCTAGAACGAGGGCTAAGTGGCTACAGTGGTGTGAGGATGCAAAGGACAAGAGCATGGGGCGACATCATTACGAGGAGCAAGCAGCGATAGAAGATATGCTGTACATAGTGTGCGTAGCAGTGGTGTCATGAGACAAAAACAAGGGGGTATGCCCGAGAATACTATATAGGATGAGCAATGCGACAGGGATGGATACCGATGTGACGGTGTACGTCTTCGCCAATAGACATTCGAGTAGGATAGGGCCTTCACGAGACGATGCCTAGCTTCTGGAACATGGTGTCCAAAGTTTTGAATGCAACTGGCTTGACCATACTGGGGCAAACTCTCTCAGTGACACACGCGCCAAGTCAGATAAGACTACCCACTAGCCATCCACGCCAGCCTCAAAGGCGCGTCGTTTGTCTTCCAGAGACGACATGCCAGTAAGCGCCAGAATCCGGGCTGCAGGTAGCTTCTGGTCAGAACCTTCTGATGACGGGTTAGCAAGCTTTCGCGTAGTCTCGATCGATCGCATCTGTATAGTAGCGCTAACGCCTGAATAGAGATCTGTCAGGAAGTAAGTTCACCGGAGAAACATATTGGACCCACCATCAAGCACCGGCATAGACAAATCTACTAAAACCACGCTAGATGCATCGTCAGATCGCGTACGGGAAAAGCGGTCAAATGTCCTTACTCAAAATGACCGTCGGTCTCGAATATACGAACACCTTCCAGCCCGTCAACGGCCTCGCGAAATTCATGGCCCTATCCCGTTTTCAGCCTTATGTCAGAGCCCCTCAAGCATAGTTCTCACCTTGTTCCTGAGCCATTTTATTCTGTTGGAAATGGTCAGTGTCGTTTAGTGTGGACACTATCTCCACACTCACAGCAAGTTTCGCAATATGCTGTTGTCTTCGATAACTAAGACGCGCAAGGCACTTCGGACGCCAAGTGAACCAATAGACGATTTAAGCAGCGTTCCACTTGTACCGATGTTGACCGTGGGGCTAGCCGAATTTGGCGAGGATGGTGCCGAGTCCGGAGGTTCAGGCTCAATGCCGTCCATGTCTTCTGGAGGGGTCGTCATATGCGACCAACTAGCTCCTGGATGAGCCGTCGCGGCGCGCAGGCCTAGAGTTGGCCGTGCCTTCTTGTGCACTTGCATAGTGGTCTCCTCTGAGAAGCGGCGAGGTAGCGTAGAGTAGACACCCTCGTCCGAGAGCGCAGCTGGACTGACTGGCTGAGGCGATTCTGGCCGGCCGTGCAGCGCGGAGTTCTTCTTGGTACCTTGACCGAACGTCAACACATGCAAGCACAGCTTCAGCGCAGCATGTAGTCGAACGGGGCCGACAGGCTTGTACACAATCCTGCAGAAGCCTCCGATGCGCTCGTACTCGCCAACCATGTTCATCAAACGGGGATCACCCCGCAGCGAGGAGAGAATAATGAATGGCCGGGATCCGTCCTTGTTCTCGATAGCTTGCGTAATCGGCTCGAGGACCTCGTTCACAATGACGAGTTGACCAGGTTGATCGTCTTCAGCGATGTCGAGGCCCCACCGCGAAGACAGATATGACGTGGTGACGGTGCGTAAGAGTTGCACCCCGCGATGCGGGTCTGAGAACCCGAGAAGGGAAATCAGAGGACGATTGAGGGACTCGTACACCTTGATCAAATCTTCATCGGCTGCTCGAGCGTGAGCATCCTCGAGCACCTCGGCGGCAAAGGTGATCTTAATCTCGGTACCAACGCCCTCGGCACTCCAGACATCTACCTTCCCGTCAACGCTCTTCGAACGAACAATGCTGTTGACAATTGCAAGACCCAATCCTGTGCCTGTCTGCAGAGGATTCTCTTGAGAGAATGGGTGGAACAGTTGGTTCTGGGTCATAGTCAGTAAGTTTCTATATGCGAACACAGGCCAGGTATACCTTCAAGAAATTTTGGCTGATCCCCTGGGAAAAGTGTCAGACGGGTGGGATATGTACACGGTGCTAAACTCACCTTCCCGGTGTCTATGACGGAGAGCTCTACCATGACTTTGTTCTTCGCATTATCGTCGCCTGTTGGAAGCTGACGAAGCATGACATGTACATAGCCATCCTGCAGATAGTATGCATCGGCACCTCACAAGCTCCACGGACACCACACTTACAGTCGTAAACTTCAGACTATTCCCGAAAACGTTCATCAAGATCCGACGAATGCCACCCTTCTCACAGAGAAAGGTCCAACCCTGGAAGCGAGCATGTGAACATCGGCCGGATAGAACATGACAAGACTCTCACAGTTTTACTATGCCCAATGTCGAGAACGGTCTCGACATGACGCGGACGCGGGTCCGCAAGCGCACTTGAGCGGTCCGCCTTGGGAGGTGAGTACACGCTGCCAATTTCAGACGTGAACATTCTCGCTCGATGCCCAATCCAGCATCCCTCCGTAGCCTCCTCGACCAATTGCATCAAATTGACTCTGCGCTATAAGTCAGGGTCGGCACCAAAAGTGATTGTGACAAGACGACATACCGGCTGTGATGAATGGTGTGTTCTACGCCTCCGGCTTTCGAGTTGCCGCTCAGCTTCGTGAAGTCTAACACATGGTTCACGGTCTCGACCAAGGACGTCCCACACGCCTGAACCGTCTGTAGGAAGGACGCCTGGCTGTGATCCAGTGGCGTGTCCGACAGCAACTCCGCAGACGCCAGGATCTGGGTCAGAAACGAAGTGAGCACGGCGACCTTTAGGCGCTGAAGAGCTGGCTACATACACCGTGCAACGGGGTTCGCAGCTCATGCGATATGCTGTAAGTCGAAGCTCAAAAAACGGAGCGCTCTCAAACAGGCGATGAAGAACGTACTTGGAAATGAAGAGGCTCTTAGCTTTGTCGGCAAGAATCATCCTGCGCTTCAACACTGCCGAAAGGATGATGACACCTGATACGAAATGTCAGTGAACAAGCGGCGTCGCTTCACGCAAGGAACCTACCTATCGCACGAAGGTATGACAACTCATGACCCTCAAGCTACGCCGTGAGTCAGCAAATGCTGTCAAAGCCTCGAACATAGTTCCACTTACGAAAGGTGTCGTGCGTTCACCAGTGCTGTACGCGCAGAGCAACGCGAACGGCTGCTTGTCGATGTTGAAGATAGGGACGACTGTCACAAGATCAGATCTCGCCAATTGACAACGTATAACCGTGCTAAGACATACCAAGTGCATACTGTATACGCTGCGGCAAGAATGGCCTAAGTGTTGTCGGTACGATGCCTTCGCAAACCTTGCCATCTGGGTTTTTTGTGAAGAATTCTTGCAGCCGCGAGTACTCCTCTTTGCTGAGCGACTTGCTGACCGTAGCACTGCCCGCGATCCGATCTGCGTTGTGTACTGTCACGGCCATGGCACTCTCCGCGCCCACGGTCTCGACGACGTCGACATGGGACACGTCTAGCACAACCGCGCCTTCCACGTCGAGCGTCCGCTTCACGAGCCGTGCAGCACGCAGGTAGACCTGCTCCATGGATGTACCCACAAAGACGCCCTTCTCGCTCTCGACTTCCTTGTCAAGATCGAGGCAATCTCGCGTGAACTGCTCCATCTACACGTGATGTCAGTAGCAGCATCACACATCGCCCAGGGACACCTACAGAATTTTGGATGCGATCGCGAATGCGAAGCTGGATCTACAGAAGCCTGTCAGATATACCACAAAATATCCATCAGAAACCCCGTACCTTATCTTTCCACAACTCCAACTCCCTCATGGCAACTTGCTGTCAAGAAGTCAGTCACGAAGTGACTATCCTGATAACTCAACACTGACCGCGAACTCCTTGAGCGTGTGCCTTTGCCGAGGGCTAAACTCACGTCGTGGAGTGTCATCGATGATCGACAGCCTTCTCGAGTGATCAGAGCCATGTTGAGAGTCGCAAGGAGTATCCTCAGACTTACGTGCCAATGTTGTACCCTTCGTGCGTGCGCAGTGGACACGCAGCGTAAAAGCGAATGTGAGGGTCTCCGATGACGAGGGGCTGCAAAAACTGGTGTGAAGACCGGCGACATAGTCAAAAGACAAGATCCCACATTTTTGGCGAATCTCCAGTCTTCCGACGCGTCAAGGACCACAGTGGGTTCGTCATCCCTTACACATCACCGCATCGTCAATTTCACAGCTAGCAACAGGAATGGTGACTTACCTTTGCAGGATCGTATGTGCGTCAAAGCATATCGTCCTCGACATGTTCTGTACGCCCAGTCCCGCTGACACAACAGCACTGAGTCAATCACGCCCGTCAACCAAACGACTATTTGCGAATATCACTTACACTCTGATTTAAAGAACCTAGAACAGTGCCCGTCAGACGTCTGATCAAACAATGCCCTAATGGCAGAGACTTACTCCTCTGTTCCGTCCACCAACGAGATCGTGACGATCTTCGTATTGAACACAAGTTTGACGAGGTGCACGATCCGGTCGAAGTTGAGGTCCCTTCCCGTGCCCCAGATATTGAACCTGCGTTCAGCGGCACGCGTCAAAACGGCACGAGCCGCGAAGCATACGAAGCAATACGTACTTGTAGAGCGCTCTGCGTCGTTCGAGCTCATCAGGGGGGTTAGGCGGTGCGAGGTAGCCCAACTCCGAATACATCTGCTCCTCCTTCGCCGCCCTCCCCGTTGAGCCACTCACATAGCTCTCCGACGCCGGCCGCGCCGAACGTATACGCCGCTCGTACAGTGATTGCGTTGGCAGTGGCGCAGAAGTCTGACGCGTGAGACATATCCTCCTGGGAAGTGCAGGGACCGTCTGCGGGTCGACGTCGAATGGGGGCGCGGAGACCTGGCGTTCCGGGTGGTGATCCAGAATGATGTTGGTAGGGAAGGGAGGCTCGCCTGCCTGAATGAGCGTCTCGACTCGCGTCGGCTCAACAGGCCCGAAGTAGTCTTCATCGGGCTCCTGCGTGTTGTATTTGACGGGGGCCGTAGCAGGCGGTACTGACGCGCCTATGATTGGGATTGGTGGGTGTGTGTCGGGCTGCTGAGCCGCAAAATCTGGCTCTGTGCGCTCGCTTTCCGGCTGAGAGTCGACGGCGCCCTCACTTGGCTCTGGCGGGCTTTGCTCGATCGTCGGTAGACGCCCATCCTCTACGTCCTGAGTACCCTGCCAAAAGCTACTGAGACGCGACTTGCGCAGCGTGCCGGGAGAGTAGAGGGGCTGGTTGGCCGGCAGCGTGAGGTACGTGCTGTCTGAAGGATGTGACCCCGGGATGGTAGCCGTTACGCCGCGCATAGGATCGGTCAGTTCGTGTTCTGGCGAAGGAAGTGCCAGGGGTGCCACAGAGACACCCGCTCCCGCCCATCGCATTGCAGCCGCCGTCGTAGCCGCGTCCGTTATTGGAATTGTAGCATCTCGTGAGCTGTCGCTAGCTGCAGACGGGGAATAGGACGACCCCGCGACAGAGGGACGCAGGTCTGTGAAAGAGCTCCGGAGTCGATGCGAGAAAGCCCCCAGGTTGAACGGAACGTTCAGCCTTTTCGGCTTCGATATGGCACTGCGCTGGACAGCAGGTGCAGACTGGGAGACGGGGAATGTATCTGGGGGACTGTCAGCGCCTGACATACCACCGGCGTCAAGATCAACACCGTTTTGGGTGGTAACATCGCTGGAAGAGCCAAGAGACTGAAGACCCAGAGGAAATGATTGGCCTTCGAGCGGGTCGTGGTCCGGCGAATCACAGATCTCCTCAATTGGTCGATCGAGTATGGATGCGGCAGACTCCGACCGTACCGCTCTTGAGTGCGTCGGTGCGTTCAAGCACGACCGCGGCGCGTTCGGAGTTCTGAGAGGATCCCAACGACCCATCGCATAGGCACTGACGAACGTCGCCCAGTCATAGTCGCCCTCTTGGTCGCGTTTCTCGTGCGTGGATTGAGTCGTGGAAAGCTGATCCTCGGCTGGCGAAGGATCAAAAGGGGATTGCAACATGTCGACTGGACGCCTCAGCTAGGGTGCAAGACACGCCGAAGCAGCGCATACCACTCACCTGAATAAGCAAGACGCGACGCTTCTTCTCGGAGGCCCTCCACTGCTGCATGTGCGCGCCGGTTCATCTCGAGGATGCGCACGTCGTCGGCTATGTCAGACTTACGGGGTTCCGGCTCCGCCACGCACTCCTCGCCATCGGACGCAGGTGTGACTGCAGTAGTAGATAAGTCCGTAGTAGACGGGGATGCGGAGGAAGGTAATAGCATGCCTCGCTCCTCCGCAGAGGAGGCAGTCGAAGGTCTGCGCAGTGGGCGTTTCCTGCCCGGCAAAGCGATGTTCGGGATTGGGCGCAGAACGGCGTACGGCGTCGGCGACGAGGAAAGCGACAAAGATATGTCGTTGAGGGAAATATTGGAACCAGAAGCAGCGGAGAGGATGTCGGTGTTCCGCTGTGCTTCAGGAGATGATCCATCAGCCCCACGCTCAAAAAAGGACAGTGGGGAGGACAGCTGGAGCAGAACACCGCGTGGAGGAGATCGCTGTGCAGGCTGAGGGGGATGGAGGACAGATGGAGGAGACGAGCGACATTGGACGCCCTGGACGACTGGAGCGGGTGGTCGCTGCAGAGGAGTGGAGGCGTGTCTGGGCGCTGCACGCAGGCGCCTACGAGACTAGATCGCCCGATTTGGCAACTGTCCTCTTCTCCAGCAACCCTCGGACAGTCGACGTCATCCCAATCTCCGATCGCTCAATTTTGCGCTCCGCGACGATGTAGAAACGCCAGGCACCAGGTGAAGCGGAGGTGAAGTACGGGCGGTCCGCGTCCAGCCACTCCGAGCCAGTTCCAGGGCGAGGTACCGTACATACAACAGATGTACATTTTGTCTACACGTCCGCAAATACAAGCATGCTCCACATATACAGGGGCAGCAGCACATTGTCGTTCTGCACCGAGAACGCCTCCAGAGCAGAAGATAGCCCAGCGACCACCGAGTAGCGCAGTATCTGCACGCCCAGCCCCTGGATTAGTGTATGCTCCGTCCGAGAGCACCAGCAATGCACGTACCGAAAAGTGCTCCGAAAGCCCGCACAGGCGCAGCATCCACGCGCACGCAACGATGGAAACCACGAATGCAGCACTCCCCTCCAATGTTTTCGGGCTCGTGGCCAGCCAGCGATGCCGCCCCAGCCGTTTGCCGGCGATCGAAGCCTGACTATACTCAGAATGGTATCTTTCGTTTGCGTGGAACATGCCTACCAGAGCATCGCCCACTCCAAGCACCAACGTACCAGTATACTGGAGCATCGAGACGGCCTTGAGCCCCACAGCGTCGCATCAATGTCCCGGTCGGTATATACCACTAAATGCGAACTTACCCTTCGAACCACACCGTGCCCGCACACCCGATCAGGAGGTAAAAGTGGCTGAGAATGGCCGTGCCACTGTCCTTCTGGTCGAGGAACTCGTTCATGAAGAGATGTACCGACGCACCGAACGGATACAGCGCAAATAGCGTACGTACTCCGCAAAGACGAACAGCGCAAAGGCCGCGCTGAACGCCAAGTGTGTGAATGCTGGCTAAGTCAGTCGACCATTAGCTGAATCGCTCGTGAGCATGCGGAGCTGCATAGCTCCTCATGAAAATGGACGCTCACATCGATCGCTATGCCTGGTAGAAACATCGCCACAGCCAGTGCATGGAAGAACTTGCGCCGCGCGTTCACGCTCAACGTCGGTACGTGTTTGTCCGCTGCGTCAAGCCAATCCGCAACATTCGACATATTCGCCCCATTCGGCAATCCCGACAGGTTCGACAAGTTCGGGAGGTTCGAAAAGCTCAAGCCCAGCGGACCCGCTGACTCCGGCGGTGGCGTCGGTGGCGCACTGGGGTCGCTAAACTCTACAGCGCCGCCTTCACGTTGGCCCGCGTTCATCCCGCGGACCCCGCCGTCGAAGCTACCGTGGTGATTCAGCACGAACTCTCCCGCGGCGTTGACGACGTTTCTGTGGCGATACCGTCTTGACCGCGCGAGCTGCCTACTCCACCCCGCTACACTGATACTTCCCAAAGCCGCCCAGTACGCCAGGAGAGCCGGCCGGCTCCACTTCGTCTTGCCTTCGAGAATCCAGAAGAGCGCCCAGAGCCACGGGTCTCGGCTGCCCAGAAGCCAGCGGGTCCAGAGGCCAATGAGGCCACCCACGATCAACACCGCGCCTGCATAGAAGCCGAGCGCGAGTAGCCTGCGGTGCTTCTGCTTTTGCTCGGGGTAGCGAAGTCGGCGGACGGGCTGCTGGGCGATGTGGCGCGAGAGGTAGAGTAGTGGGGAGAGCAGAACGCCGACGAGAAGCGAGCCGGGAATGAGGGCTATTTGGTAGATGAGAAGTGGGGTGGGAAGACGGTAGGTCTTGATAAATGACGTGGTAATGGGCGAGATCTTGGTGAAGGTCAGCACGTGTAAACCGGTGTTAGCGAGGACAGTATCACAGCACGTACACGGGCGATAGTGAGGCTCAACGCTTCCATTAAGAGCACGGTGGCGCCAAAACACACCACTGCAAGTTCGCCGAGGGTGAAGCCGTGATGGCCATGCGGATGGCAACATATAGCGAGAATTGGAAGAACATAGCGCATACCAAAATCTCGTAGTAGTTGATGTCTAACAAGGTTGTCACCCTCGTACCTCGCTCGAGCCAAAGGAGGAAATCCCGCTACGCACTTTGCCATATTCCCAGTCTCATCTCGGACAGGGCGATTCGCACACACAACACCCATAGACTCACGGACACCGTGAACAGAATGGAGAGATATGTCCTTCGACTCTCCTTACGCGGAACAGAGCTCACTTCGCCCTCGGAACCTTCAGCTTGCGGCGATGGCGGCGTTCTGTCATCCAGGATGCGATCACATGGACGATAATGATGGTCGAGCACACCGTCGCCATGTCTACCAGGTTTCTCCGAGACAGGACGAGTGCCTGCAGCGCCGTGAGAGGATGATTGGACCCGTCCAGAACCTTGGGCTGTTCGATGATCCAGCTCTGCGGGAGCGGATCCAACGGCGGGGTTGCGGCAGCAGCCTTCTCGGAGAGATACAGCAAGGCTGCGGACATCAGCGGTCCCGTCAACAGGCCAAATAACATGCCGTCGTCTGCAGAGTCCCTGGATACCCGAGCTTGAGCCAAAATGCAGCATGGAAGACAGCGGTCGCATTACCTATAGTTTTTCGGCACCGTCATCCACACGAAGCCGAAGTAGCTTCCCCTCGACGCCGCATTTGGAATAAGGTTCGAAGTGCGTCTGTTGTCACGGACAACAAGGCCAGGCGATGCAGGCGTGTCCTGGGGATTAGTCTGTTTTGTGGTCGTCTCATCACTTGGCGGTAATTTGTTCCAATAGATGCGAGTGACGCAGAAATAAATCATAGATGCAATGATGAGAAGTGCAAGCTCTGCGGAGCAACGGTTAGGTTGTGACCGCTGCATACGTGGAACGATTGTTACCTATTGAGATCCACATCTCTGGCGACAACTTGTCTCGTGCATTCCACAGATCTGGAGGCAAGCGTTCACGCACACATCCCCGCATTTTGGTGGCGCAGTATCCAAGAGAGCAGATCAGCAAGGAGGTTTCGAACGTTTGCCGTAAGTCAAGGGTAAGCTTCCAACTGGTCGACGAAAACGGAGGTCGGAATGTAGCGTGAACAAAGCTCGGCAAGAGATGGCGTATCTCAAACTGAGCGATCTTCTGACGACTGAAGATGGAGGACGGGCTGTTCCCTGGCATTGACATCTGGTTAGAGAACGAGAACCCATTTTGGTCGGCATTAACTGCAGGTGATCGTGAACGAGTGAATGGTCTCCGTTGAAGCATTGCCGGACTGCTCTGCCTTGCACTTCCTGGACCAGCCGAAGCAGGGGCTTGCTGCGGGGTACCGGGACGGGCTGTCTGTACAGCAAGGCCTTTCACATTCTTCCCAGTACTGCCGATCGCGTGCTGCACGTCTGGTCTCCCTCGGGACTGCCGGAGGCCTTCGTCGGTGTCGTCGGAATCGTCGTCCGTGCTGGTGCCAGATTCGGAGCTGAGGCAGGTAAGTTGTTCCGGTGATTACGAGTCGAAAGAGAGAACACACCCGGAGGACCCTGCCTGGTAGCTCGTGCTCCACCCCTGCTGCTGCTGAGGCTTCTGCTGCACGGCGACATTGCCGGAGCCCAGCCTGCGAACCTGCGGACGACGAGAAGCCTCGGCGCGGCCAGAAGCGTGTCTGGCAGCGGGAGGAGAGGGAGATGATGGTGACCGAGGCAGCTTGGCAATGGTAGAGGGGGACGTTGCGGTCAGTGCATGGAGCGAACAGCGCTCGGTGGCTGCGACTCGGAGTCGTCGAACGCACTCGCGGCCAATGCCCGGGCCCAATGCCGATCGAGTCCGCCCACGTGGTCGATTTAACCTTCCAGCCAACCAGAGCCCTCGAGATTGACGGACCGTCGGACCCAAATCGAGCGGCCCCATTTCATCGTTCACTCTGCCCGCTACTTACGCTGACCACGACCGCTACCAGGCGAGTGACCCGCGCAATGCACTCTCGAGCACCTCGGCGCCCTCTGGCACACGCCTTCTGGCCTGAGCGCCGTCGAAGCGCGTGGACCACGTGCTCAGCGCGATCGGGGCTTTTGTTCGGGCGCTCGACGCGTCGCGTTGATGTTCACCACGACGCGCTTGACTTCCACCTTCCCGGCATCTTCACGCGTTTTCTCCACTGCTTCGCGTCCGTGCCTTACCATGTCAGCCAAGGAGCGTGTTGTGTACCTTGAAGACCTCGATGGTTCTGCTGAAACGAAGGAAGACGCAACAAATGCTGTGCAAGACGCCGCCCGGGAGGGCAAGTCCGCCGGCGCCACATCCGCGCTCATAGTCGAAACCAATGTTGCTGTCGCCGAGCAAAAGACGTCCTCGTCGACCGCGGTAAAGCGACAGAGGACACTCGTGGACATGTTTTCCGGCGGCGCGTCTGCTAACGCGCCTGCAGCCAAAAAGATCAAGGTCACCAGGACAGCGAGCAGTATAGCGTCGACCGCGTCTACTTTGAGCTCGCAGCCGTCCCTGAACTCCATTCCCTTCTCCATGTCGGAATTTCAGGCCGCTTTGTCAGACGAGGAGCGTAAGCTACTCGCCCTCGAGTGTGAGACCCTTGGCAAGAGTTGGTGAGTTGGCCACTGTCAGTCAAATGTTGCTCCGCTCATGGCGGAACTGATGTGCCTGGCAGGTTCAAGATGCTCAAAGATGAGATTCGGAAGCCTTATTTCCTAAAATTAAAGCAGTTTCTGTACGACGCGGGCGTCCACGGTGCGAAGGACAGCGCCCCAAACCTCAAAATCTATCCCTCGCGTGAGTCACAGCGTCAACGGTCACTTCGATATCCGACTCTCAACGGAGGTTACATAAACGCACAGCGAAGAATATCTACTCTTGGTCCAATCTTACTCCCCTTGGCCGAGTGAAGGTCGTCATCATCGGCCAGGATCCCTATCACGGTCCCGGGCAAGCCCACGGTAAGCATAAGCATATCAAGGCCTCCGACATCTTCCGTCTGATAGAAGTGCCCGACTCGTGCCAGGGCTGTGCTTCTCCGTCCCTCCAGGCGTGGCCGTGCCTCCGTCTTTGCGTAATGTAAGCATTCATCTCCACCGGGAAGACCATGCACGCCCATTGACCGCACCCGGTGGACAGATTTACGCAGAAATCAAGGCGGAGCACCCGCAGTTCGAGCCCCCCAAGCACGGGTAAGCACACTCACCCACTGCCTGACTCATCGCGCCGCCACAGGCGCGCGGTCCGTCTTCCCACTTACACGCCGCTCCACAGAAACCTGACGGCATGGGCCGAAAACGGCGTCCTTCTGCTGAACACATGCCTCACCGTCAAGGCAGGCGACGCTGGTTCCCACTCCGGGAAGGGCTGGGAAGAGTTCACCGACAGGGTGGTCGACGTCGTTGACAGATACGGCGGCGCCAATCTCGCGAACCCGAACGGCGCAGGAGGGCGCGGCCGGGGCATCGTCTTCCTCGCCTGGGGAGCCTGGGCCGCGAAACGCGTCGCGAAACTGGACAAGGTAGGCCCCATTCAGTCTGCGGTTCCCGCCCTTCACCGCATCCCGCGCGCCTGACCCGTGCGTCCCTCCGCCAGAAAAAGCATCTCATCCTGAAGAGCGCGGTGAGTGGCGTGTTCCTTTGGAGTGGTCCGGAAGGTCTCACATAAGCACTGTCTTCTCATTGGCAGCATCCGTCCCCGCTGAGCGCGAGCAGAGGCTTCCTTGGTAACGGGCACTTCAAGCAGGCGAATGAATGGCTAGAACAGAAGTACGGTCCAGACGGCTGCGTGGACTGGTGCAAGCTTTGACACCAAGCGCGCACTATTCATTGTCGGACCTACGAACACACATCGTAAGCCGACCTCGCTCCCATCTTGCCTGGACGGGCGTTGATGAATGACGAGAAGCGTGATGCCCGCCCCCGTCTTGGGAGGCCCATCGGCGCGAGTGTCATATGTGCCATATGTACCCTTTGACGGCCGGACATACGGCGGGCTCTTGCTTCATATTTAGCTACTCACCTCGCGGCGTCGGCGCTGCCCGTGCGCCGCCCCCACTTGCGCCTGACGGGGATAGCGCCTCGGGCGGATGCGCCGACGGAGTTGATACCATCCCTGCGGGCTGGGAGCTCGGTGCACGGCATCAACCGCGGGTGGACCCTGTATGCCCACAATGGTCAATACTATTCCCGGATACATTACACTAGCAACCCAGTAAATGCAGACTGTGTATATACAACCTCGTAACTCGCATCATTACGCAAGACACGCCCCGAGAGACAGCGCGCTCAGCGCGCCACGGACTCACATGCGTCGAGCGTTGCTGGAGACTGATCAATGCAGAAGGGCCGGCTCCGGATGGCGCGTGCGCAGAGCGCAAGCAGTGCCTGCTGTACAGTTTGCGTGCATTGCGCGAGACACCCCCCGAGACGTACCCGATCAAGCCCGCACTCGACGGGGGCGCTTCGGCGATGCGCACGCCGCTGCAGACATCGATCCGCAGTTTGGTGGGACGCGAGGCGGGTCTGTCATCACGTTCAGGCTCTGTCAGCGGTGGCGAAGGCAACGTAGACGCGCCGCACCTTGATAGCATTATTACGACGGGGCTTGCCCGGACATGTGGTAGATTCTAAGTAGACAGATGCTAGTACACGTATATGCAGGAGAGCGGATGGAAAGCGGCTGCACGAACGAGAGCGTTCGGTTAGAGTAGCGATACAGTAATATGCTTTTGTGATGCGGAAGTCCTGGAGAGAGGTGCGACGATATAGATCCAAAAATATAACCTGAAGATGCAATTAATTCTAGCGCAGCCTGTCGAGTTTCCGCTCGTCGCCGTACTCGTAGCCCGGGTGTAGCGGCGGTGGCGCGCCACCCGCCCCAGAGAGCTGGTTGGGGGACGGCAGGCGGTTTGGCAGATTGGGCGGCTGCGGGGCGCGCATCTGAGGAATGGAGCCAAGCTGGATGTTCGACCGATATCCCTGCGGCTCGGTCGCTGACCGACGGTGAGCGTATGGTGAATGAATGTGCTGGCCTCCTCCAGATGGCATCGAGGGCGAAACAGCAGAGACCGGAGAGGAATGCGCATGAAGCTGACCGGCATGCGTGGGAAATGAAGGCTGTTGATACGTGAAAGGGCGGCGCTCGTCCCGCAAGAGAAAGCCCGAACCGGTGATCCCAGAGTAAGGGTCGGAGGCCATTGATCTCTCTGGAGAGTATTGATAGCTCGTAAGAGGGACGTACGATTCGTCCAGCGACTGGCGCGATGTAGAAGATGCATACGCGGAGGAATGCGAAGTGGATGGGCCGGGTACGGGCGGGATTGTGTAACTGTTGGAAGTGGAAGAGGGACCAGGTTCTGGCTGGTCCTTGCCCATGTACGCAGAGCTGTCCCATGGTGAGGAGTCCATCCCCGACATGGGGCCGGCCTGCCCGAGCGAGGGATTGAAGGCGGTCGGGGACAAGGAGTGTGTCCGGGTCGACGCGGACGACGGAGAGTCGTGTCGACTGACGGGCATGGAGGGAAGTGAGTTGGTCGGCGATACCTGCGGGAGGAACTGTATTGGTGGCAGCGTCGAAGAGCCGGGCTGGGAGGCGGTGTTTGACTGCTGCGGTTGCGACAGAGACTTGGGCCTATCCTTGCCGGTGGGGCCCTTGCCGAGTGGCATGCGGTTCGCGGGCGGAAGATTGAGCGCAGCACGCAGATTGTTGTTCTCTTCCTCGAGCTCCGTCACTCTGCTCTCCAAAGCCTGCAGGGCGGAATACGGCGGGCATTAGCAGACATGCGAGAGTATCGGATATGTCGGGCGCACCTCGAGATGTGCTGCGCGGCGGGCGCGGAAGGCTCTCTGGACGTCTCGTGCACGATTGGGAGGGAGGTTGTCATTCCGCTTGCGGCCCCGTTTGGAGGACATTCAGTGAGGGCGGACGGTCGAGCGAGGCGGGTGGCTGGAGGAACGAGAGCGAGCGGGGAAGGGGATGGGGAGAGGATGCATGTGACAGATATAGAGGCGCTAGCAGGGCTTTGAGGGAGCTTGGGTTTGGCGCGTCGATCAGCATGCGGCGCGGGAGGCCAGAGGGGCCTGACCGAGACAGGTAGGCGCGGCCACGTCGCCAGGAGGATGGCCCGGCTCTCCCAGCAGATGTGTTTCGTCTCACTCGCCGACGACAGTCGCCGTCTCGCGAGCCCGTCGCCACCACGAGGGCCCGCCACCCGCCCCCGACCCAGCGCCCCCACCCCGCCCGCTCGCCGCCCACAGCCCCCCGTCGCGTCGCCCCCCCGCCCGCGTCCAGACCAGTGCGCGCACTTCGAGACCGGCCGCCATGTGACGCACCCTCCGTTTAGGTCACCCACATCGGCCTCATCGCCTTGCCGGCGGCTTATTTGGCGCCTGTACGTTAGCTTCCCGCTGCTTCCGGCTCCCAGCCCACGGGCCAGGGTCTTCCCTCTCTCCATCCCTCGACGCCCAGCGCTGCGCGGTAAGTACACACCCATCACAGCCCAGCAGCCCCCGTCTTCCGGTGGCGCTCGCACTCTTCATCCCCGCTACAACACGTCCAGGAAGCCCCCTCGCCATGTGCGACATATTCGGAATGATTCGAAACCCAGGCACCCTCAATCGCTCAACAACCCGTTACCGCATCGTCAGTGTCACCGATCCGGCGTGACGCCAATGCCATATCCGGCAATTTCCCGTCACGTGCACACCAATCAATTATCGTCCAAGATCCTCCGGTGGCTGCTCGTTCGCCTAATTCTCAGATCCGGCTTTCGCGTAGGGCGATTGCAGAAGCAACTCTTGATCACGATATCTTCTCCCGGGCTGCAGCAACGGCTGCAGCTACTGGAAAGGTAACGACATGTACCGAGTACTTGTCCGCAGCAAACGGTCCAGACAACGGGGTCCGGGCCAAGAATGGCCTGGCCAAGCCGATAGTCACTGGCAGACCCTCTCAACGGCGGAGATGGCGCCGCGAGCACTCTCACTCCAGCCTGAGCCAACCACGATTCAGTTTGCCTATTGTATGTAACCTCTGCCTGGCTGGTGTCGCATTCCCTATCTCCGGGTCATACCTGGATTCATACTGCACTCCAGCAGCTGCCCGATGCACCTGCAGTGTCTTGGTACCAGCTGGTACTGCGCCGCGTAAACCCTCGTGCGCGTAGTGGTTCGGAGAGGCTCCAAGTCGGTGTGGTTGGGCCGCCGTATGTACAGCTCGCAAATCTTTCCATGCTGTGCAATGCCGTGCTGCTCTTCAGGCTCCGGTTCTAGGGTGACAACCATAAATTTTATTCTCTACCGCAGCCAGCCTTGGTTTTTAGTCTCGCCGAATCGTGTTGCTCCGTCCGCACCATACACGAGGTGCTCCAGACCGCTAATCCGCGGCCTTCCTTCACAAGCAGTACTTCGCTCGTACGGCCGTCATGTTGCCCAGTCCCTCGTCTCGTCACTACTGACCAGCCGTCAGAAGATTTGCCCTCATGCAGCCAATCGTATTTTCGCGACTGGCCGTCGCTGTGGACTATAGGACCAAGATGACCGCTGGACGTAGTCCACAGATTGACGCACTGGTGCGCATTGGTAATTCCGAGAAATAACAAATGTGAAGATGTATCGGGAGGCGGGGAAGCAGACGAATTCGCATGAATAGCGACTTTTGTCTGCAAGTTTGTCTGCAAGTTTGTCCCAGCGGAACACATCCTGTCTGTCGTCGACCCGCCTCGATCAGCGGGCTCTGCCCGGGGTGGGCCCGGAGCGACCGTCTTACGTCGCGCTGTTGATTCATTTCTATTCAGCCTCCAGAGTCCCAGGCTTTGAGCGCGTTCAGATCACCGACGTCGGACCTGGCCCGTGGAGTACGTCACGAAGCCTGTTCTCCAGCAATTTGTCAAACCGCCGACGTCCGACGTGCACACCTGATCGGACCTAGTGCATTAAACAAGGTGTACAGTATACAATCCGTAGTATACATCCAACTACCAGATACGCCGCCGAGCCTGAGCCACAGGAGCGCCGTACCCACGACTAGCCACTGCGCGTAGCCGCCTTGGCCTCCTTCCGTGCGGAGGCGAGGTTCTTGTCGCGCTTAGCGAAAAGCTTATGTCGCGGAGCCTGCTCGCGCGCGAGCTTCTTGTTCACGGACTTGTTCTGCTCGACGTACGACATGTGCTGCGCGCCGCTGAGCGCGGTGAGCGAGCCCGACGTCCGCTGCACGCCGGGGAATTTGGACGGCATGCCAAAGTCCTTCGACGTGATCGTGCCGGCCAGGTCGCCCTCGCCCGCGCGCACGTCCGTGCCGAGGTCCGCCTCGCTCTCGTTCGCGAGGAGCACGGACGAGAGCAGCTCGATCTGCTCGTCGCGCGACTTGTAGACGAGGTCCGGGAGGTTCTCCAGCCCGTCCAGGTGCGTGATGACCTTGAACGCGTACCCCTGGTCGATCAGGAACTGCTGGCGCTTCGTGCTGTAGAACATCTCTTGCGTGTCATTCGAGACCAGCGAGTAGAAGAACGCGTTGAAGCCCTCGTCGTTCCGCCGCTTGGCTCGCAGTATGCGCCCTAATTTGCGGTTCAGAAATTAAAAGAGCGCGACGGGACACCACACGCGGGGAGGCCTACCTAGGCGCTGTGCCTCTTGTCTGCGGGAACCGAAATGCGAGGAAATCTGAATAAGGCATGTGGCTTCGGGCAAGTCGATGGAAGTATCTCCGACCTGATAGCGTGGGACAGAATCAGCTTCCGACAATGACACATACACGGACGAATGGACGCCTCACTTTCGATAGGAAGATGGTGTTGACGTCCGGACTGTGTTGGAACCACTGTAATATCCGCATCCGCTCTACCTGCCCCGTCCCACCGTGAATGTAGAGCTTTCCGAGCTTCTTGGCGTAGGCCTGGCTCGCACTCATGTCAGCCGTGCCAAGCGTATCATGAGAGCACAACGGCGTACCTCAAGCGCGAAGACGTTGTCCGAAAATACAATGATCTTATCACCACGGTCCTCGTGGTACTTGATGAGAAATTGGCAGGCTTGGAACTTGCGCGGATTCATACAGTACAGCAGCATGCGTTTCCGCGACTGCTCGCGCAGGTATTCACGGTAGAACTCTGGTGTCATCGGGCACCAAACCTCTGCACACTAGTCACATGCATCTAATCAGGGTGGTGACGACGGTGATGCCATGACAACGCACCTGGACGTTTGCAATATGTCCTTTGGCGGCAAGATCCATCCAGTTTGCCTCATATAGCTTCGGCCCGATCATGTAGTTTAGGTCAGCGATTTTGTCGTCCTCGCGGACCAGCGTCGCTAATGGCACCGTCAACGCAGGCGCCAAAAATATGTGTCAGTGAGCACACCTGTCAAGCCGAGCTTTGAATGCGCCTTGATGGTCGTTACCACCCTGCGGAACATCGCAGCGGGGACAACATGCACTTCGTCCAGAAGAATAAAACCCCATTCACGCGAGGTTAGGAACTCCATCATCTTCTTTGACTCGTGCGACCTATTGTGCGTGTTCGCGACCATGGAGTAGGTCGAGATGACTATACCACTATCACCGGCAAACTGCACGGTAGATGAGATGGATAAAGATGCGCCCGTAAAGCGCAGTCTGTTAGACTCACCTTCTCCTTCTGGTCAGCGGTGAACACGGCAATCTGGCGGTCGGTGACGTTGGACCATTGTTGGAACTGCTGTTTCCACTGCATCACCGAAACCCTAAATGCGTGCGCGACATCAAGGGGTGCCGAGGAATGCATTGATCGTGAGGCAACTTACGACGACGTGCAGAGCACAAGGCAGGACTTCTTGATCGTACACGCGGCAGTGATACCGACGAGGGTCTTACCGGCTCCGCACGGTAGGACAATGATTCCAGACCGTGCACGACTAGGTTACGGGGTCGATTTCGACCACTGATGTATAATAGCTAAAACACTTACCCGTTGCCGAACATTTTACTGAGACTAGTCTCCTGGTACGGCCGGATGACGGTAGATGGCTTCAGGTCGATGTCCAGGTTGGCGTTGATTGTATCGTTGCGGAAATCGTATTCCTCCAGCATTGGATACTCGAGTTCATTACACCGCTTCTTGACGTCCTGCGATTGAAAAATATGATCTAACGACCGTCCATTGGGCACGCACGACCACAACCTACGTCGATTTTTCCATCGTCGATCTCGAAGGCATGAACATTGTCATCGTCCTCGTCCACTTCGTCTGTAGGCGAGGGAGGATAAGGATAAACCTCTGCGCTGTATATATCACCGACGTCACCGACGTACCTCCCTCCACGCCGACTACAGACGTGAAAAGCTCCGCGTCCGTGTTTGAACCATTCGCAGTGGAGCCTTTGCCAGCAGAGTCGTCTTTCTTCTTTTCCGCTTCCTTTGTTCCCGGGATAACAAGGTTGCCTCTGACGGGCGCCTTTGAAGTCGTGAAGGTGGCCGCCTTGATGCTATTATCCGTGGGCTGCGAATGCACACGCGCCTCGCGAATGATCTTGTCCTTCAACAAGACTTGGAGCGTTTCGGGGTGGCTCGACTCCACGAAATATTTGTTGTGCTTGAGGACAAGCTTGACCTTGCCGTAAGACAGTGTTCGCTCCCTGATAAACGCGACAATGCTTTCGGGCACCGGAACCTTGGTGGGAGTGAAGCTTTACACTCCGCGGACGATCCATGACCACTGACCTTTGATAAACGGTTCAAGACCTTTGTAAGGGACTCGACAATTAGTGTCTGCATGCGAAGTATGAGCGCGGAGCGCACGAACTTCTATTATGTCCTCCGTTTGGAGACCGACGGAGACGGCGGCATACAGGGAATAGGAAGTGAGCTTGTACTCGTGTATGAAGGCAGGTCTGTTGATATCTGTCTAGTCCTAGTCCTACCCGACGGTCATGGCATGCATACCTGCTAACCGGCTCGCTAATAGCTACTAGGAAGTCTTGCGCTTGCTCAGCAATGGGCGAGAAGGCTTCAAGGATGATGTGCCCGTCTTCGGGACTAATCCACAGAGGACGAGAAGCGTGATCTGGCTTTAGATGCAACCACGAGAAATCTTGCTCCTGGAATACGTGCGAGACCAGCGTGTCCTGCTGACGGCGATGTGCATCGAGGTCGCGGCCATCACCATCCTCCACGCCGTCCTGTGGTTTCCGTTTCTCCGCCAGCTTACGAGACAATGCGCTGAGCTTGATCGTCGCGCCGCGAGGAATCAGAGATGAATATGAAGGTGAAGGCTCATCGCGGATTTCGTCGTCGTCATCTACATTGAGGTAGTCGTCGTCGTCGTCCCTCGTCCTCCTTGACCGCTTAGACGAAGAGGCCCAGTCCGCGGAATCTACTAGGCTGAGCGACAGATGTCAACCAGACGGCGCCCTGACGTACCTTCTGCAGCACGTTTGCTAGGCATAACAAAGACAGTGGCACTCAACGAAGTCAGGCCAGATACTAAACTGCACAGGAGACCAAGAGGTAATCCGAAGATGGCGGAGACGAGCTGAAGCAAGGCTGGTGAGTAAGCGCCGTCACAAGGCACTTGTGCCACCGCCACACCTTGTTCAATCGGAGATCGAAATGCGTGGAGAGACGCGAGATCTGGAGGACGGGTCTTTGCAGAGATCAATCATCGTCTCGCACGTTTTCTCCGTCTTGTCCTCTTCCCCCTTCCTGCTCGTCCAGCATGTGGAGACCTGCTACTCGCGAGGTTACGGGAACCAACGAAAGTGTGTTTTTCATGTTTTACTCGTCATACACTTGCTGACAACGCTGTAGCGCCGTTGGGCAACCGTCGTCGCTTCGGACCTGCACCTGCGGAGGAAACTGCCCCCCCTCAGCTTGCACAGCCATCTCCATCCGCTTATCCGCGTCCCCCTACCCAGATTGACAGAGATGGCTCGAGGAGTGACCGAGGAGAGACACCGCAGGCTACTAATGGTTCGGGTACGTGTCCATTCTTCAGCGCGGACTGGCCGTGTGCCTTTCCTAATCGCAGCAGATCGTGCAATTCTACGATATATCTCGCATGCATTTCCCTCAACCTATATCACTCGTTCATACTGACTTCTTACTAACTTGTGACCTGGTGTCGTCTTCTATGTGTAGCTGACCCTAACGCACCTCGCAAGCGCCGTAGCCGCTGGGGTGAAGCCAAGAACGAGATCCCTGGATTGCCGACGGCTATCAATGCCAATGGCGTCTCGCAGGCTCACCTTGACAACTATGCGATCCACCTCAGGCTGGAAGAGATCAATCGCAAACTTAGGCTGAACGACTTCGTTCCTCCGGAGCGCGAGAGGTAAGTAGACATTAATATATGCGGGCTTGCCATCTGACGAAACCGCGGATCAGATCTCCTTCCCCGCCGCCGACTTACGACGCGCATGGTCGCAGGACTAACACTAGGGAAGTCCGCTATCGTAAGAAGCTAGAGGATGAGCGCATTCGCCTCGTCGACCGCGCCATGAAGAACGATCCCAACTTCCGACCTCCTGTTGAATATCACCAGCAGAAGCGTTCCCAGCGCCCTTCGGAGAAGGTGTACATCCCCGTCAAGGAGTTCCCGGAGATTAACTTCTTCGGTCTCCTTGTAGGCCCCCGTGGTAACAGTCTCAAGAAAATGGAGAGGGATAGTGGCGCGAAAATCAGCATTCGAGGCAAGGGCAGTGTGAAGGAGGGCAAGGCGAGACCAGAACAGTACGCTGAAGATGCCGAGGAAGATCTCCACTGTCTTGTTACTGCTGAATCAGACGAGAAAGTCACTCTCTGCGTTAGATTGATCAACAGGGTCATCGAAACGGTACGCGGCCGTGTCTCATTAACATCAGTCTTTTAGCTAATATCGTACTTAGGCTGCTTCTACCCCCGAAGGTCAGAACGACCATAAACGTAACCAGCTTCGCGAGCTTGCTGCACTGAACGGAACTCTTCGTGATGACGAGAACCAGATCTGTCAGAACTGCGGCGGTGTTGGTCACCGGAAGTATGACTGTCCAGAGCAGCGTAACTTCACGGCCAACATCATCTGCCGCGTTTGCGGGAGCGCAGGGCACATGGCCAGAGACTGTCAAGTTAACAGAGACCCCAACGCTATCAACAACACTCCTCCTTCTTCTAACTCGATGGCGATGACGAAGGGCGGTTTCGACTCCGAGTACGCAAGTTTGATGGCGGAGCTCGGAGAGGGCGGAAAAGGTCCTGGAGACGGTCCCAAGAACCCTTGGATGGGAAGCGCTGGGCACGATATCACTGCGGGCGGCTCCAACATTCCTCCCTGGCGCCGTCCGGAAGTCTGGCAGAGCAGCGCCGTACCTCCTCAGCAGAACAACGGCTATCGCCCACCGCAGGGTTACGGCGGCTATGGCGCTGCTGGCTACAGTGCCGCTCCCGGTCAACAGTGGGGCGGCGCCGCCGCTCAAGGCGGATATGCAGGCCAAGCCGGCGGTTACTACCCCCCACAGGACTACTCAGCCAACTACGCTCAGTACTACCAGGGCCAGTACGCTCAGCAGCAAAATGGCACCCCGTCTCACTAACCCGATTCGTGCTCTAACGGTCACTCGTCCCCTTCTGACTCTGCCTCTCGCTCTCATCGTCCCGCGGCCTCATCGTTCAGTCCAGGTCTTGAAGCCGACTCCAGCTCATTAACAGTTCCCACCGATGCATCCTCATCCTCATTCCTCATCCTCGTACCTGCAATGAGGTTGGTCTGCGATAAAACTAACCATCGCCAACTGACATGTGCAGTCGACCGCTTCCGCTCTCGTCCGATATGTAGCCTCGACTCTTCTGACTAGCGTATGACGATCTGTACTCCCGACGAATAAAACCTGGTATTGGGTATTCATGTACTACTCGGGATCATGACGCTCTTTGTGCATCAGAGACGGCTTTTTTCCGGCGTTTGTGACGCTTTTTGTGTGTCGTATCGGTGGTTTCATCCTCGATCCGCCGTTTGCTGGTGACGGCAGGTGCGTCGCCGCCGGCGGCCCTCTTTACGAACAAGCATACAAAGAACCCGTTCGTCGCATCCCCATCGGGAGAACACCGCACGAGTGACTGTGCATCATCTGTGACCGCCGCCGACGATCAGCATAGCATTGCACTCCTGTTGACCATCCAACCTACCCGGACTGCTCATCTCCTCGGTCAGGCCTCGCCGATGCCATGTTGGTAGGACGTCCGCCTGCGGAGCGAGGACGAAGTGGCCATCAAGCGCTTCAGGTGTCTCGAGCGACTGCCGGACGACCCGCTCGTTCTCGATGGCATGGATGCTGCATGTTGAGTAGGCGATCCGCTTGACTGACGGAACTGTGGATTTCGTTAGTCGCTCGGCGATGGCGGACATGAGAGAGGATTACATTTCATTGCGTGTCTGATCATCATGAGCTGGAACGAAGCAAGCTTGGCCAGTCGCTTCTGCCCTTCGTCGTTCTGCGGTTCTTAAGTGCCGGGACGTGCGTTAGCGTGCTCGAAGTAGCTTGAGACGCCCACGCGTACGCATACCTGATTCCAGTAAATGGTCCATTCGGTTGACAATACCGGACCCACTGCACGAGGGATCAAGTAGGCTGTCGGAACGCTCAGCATGGGTCAATTCACTGCGTGTGACTACGCACATGTGGGTCACTTTGCTGAACTTCTCGTCCGTCGGGCTCGTCATAAGGAAGTCAGCATTGACGGCCTCGACGTTCCTACATCGAGCTTTGGACAGCATCATCTTCAACGTGGAAAAGCGCTTGCGGTCGCGTTCGAAGGCAAAGAGCTTACTCTGCGCGTCAGCTTTCTGCGCCATCGTCGGTCATAGGTGTCGCACGCACCTTGCCTTTGTTGCCCATCAATGCGCTCAAGTGCGAGGTTTTGTTTCCCGGCGCAGCGGTAGCGTCGATGACGACGCTGCCTTCGTCAGCCGGCGGAGCGAGGACGTGTGCCGGAAAGCACGAAGCCTTGTCCTGCAGTATAATCTTGCCTTCCTTGTACAACGCGTCTTCGACGAATTGCACTTGTGGGTGGAAGGCGAGGAGGTCCGGGATATGTTTATCCTTGGCGAACGCCTTGCTGCAGTCAGATTAATAGCAGAACGCAGGGGGGCCCAGGCGTCTTACATCGAAGTAAGCGGGTCAGCCAGCTCGTACCCACGGGAGCCGAACGTCTCAATCGCATCTTCTACTGTCCAGCAATTCCGGTTGACACGCACGTAGCGTGGTATGTGTGCTGCGCAACTGCCAGTATGAGCACGCCAAAGCAGTCGAGATGGGATGCGGGCTGACCAGCTCTGGAATCGTCAGTTTGCGCGAGCTCGGCGTTCGTCTTCGCGCCCCGCTTGATCTTGATTCTGGTGAACTCGCCATGTAGTCTCGTCTTATGTCGCAGTACACCTTGTTTGATAGGCCCATCCCCTGCCTGTATGCCATTCGCGAGCAGGAGGTCGTGTATAAGCAGCAGCGCGAGATTCCTCGAAGTGATCTTGCGCTCTTCTTTCAGAAGCTTCGTAGCATCGAGTACTTCATTCAGGACAGGCTTGTCTATTAGGAAAGGGTTAGCCTTGGAAGCTAGCGACGACACTACGGGCCTCACATTTCAGAGTCTCGATGACCAACGCGGCTGTCCTCTTTCTGTCTTTCTCAGCTACCGTGGCGATGATGCCCTTGATCGAGCCCTTCTTGGAGTCAAGTTTGTCAAGTACTTTGGCAGCCTCGAAGTAGAAATTCATTGTATAGTGCTAGTACAGGGCGTAAGTCAGCCTGATGCAGGACTGAGACAGAGCTGAGTGTACACGGCCAGACAGATCAAAGTCAATGCCAGCCCAGCTGCCGTGCCACCGGAGTCGTCTTGCTTTAGAGCACTCTGTAGACGTTTGAATCAGAATGTGTGTTGAACGGTCAAATGGAAAGAAGAGGAGAATCAGTGCACGTTTCGTCCTCAGTTGGGGAGACCCAGTCGGACAATGTAGATAAGTATGTGTAGAGACATCATGTTCGCCTCTTGACTGATGAAAGCACGTACCAGTGATACACGCGACTTCGGCACGTACTTAGTGAATACGACACACGACTAGCGAAGCATGAAGGAACGGTTCAGGTCGTCTCGACTTTCCGCGCGAGGAATTTTGCCTTCCAGACCACGTGAGTAGGGATCTCGATAAGCGCTCAGCCACACTCGGCGCGACCGTCCACTGGATGATGCATGGAGGAACGCTTTCCGTGTCGCGCAAGCCCGTACACACCGGACAACCGATGTCGAGCTAATAGCTAAATGCAAGGCGTATATAGAACAATGAATCCAACATGGAATAATTAGAAATGACGATTCGAACATAGAAAAAAAACAATCTAGAAATTCAAAATGGCGAAAAAGAATCCATTCCTATGTAGAGTCGATAGAGCGTAAAAATAACACGTCAATTAATACATGTGAGCTTCGCAAACGGTTGTCCGCAGTGGCAGTTGTGTATAATGCTTCTAGCACGCATGTTTTGAGATACTTCGCGCTACGGAGAGACCAGATACTTTATTTTGCGGTACGACGCGCTCCGACGTGCTGCGACGCGTTGCCACAAACGCGACGAAGGCTGGGCGCGTGCAAGGCGCGTGCTTCGACGTGCTTCGTTCGGTGCTTGGCTCCTACTGTAAGCTTGTCACTCCCACCGACTCGCAGATACCGTTCTCAAGAGTCCACTGCCAGAGCTCGACCCTTTTTCTCGCCATGTCTGATTGGATGCAACAGCTCGATGCTCTCGACGAACGTCTAGATGCACTAGGCGACGGTGATGAGACTGACGAGGAAGAGACGTCTGATGGCGGCGGCGATGGCGACGGCGCGGTGTTGAAAGCGACTCTACGGCGGGTATGCGAAGTCGTGCGCAATGCTTCGGCACAAGGCGCAGGGAACATGGACGAAATCGTAGTCAAAGCGGAGGCTATCATCAACAGAGGTGTCGGGATTGCCTACGGATCGGATGATTCGGAGGGAATGTTTGACTTCATCCCGTCATTTGCACATGCAGCGATGCGGACTTGGTGGAGGACAATACCAGCTTTCATGGTCTTGGTCAGCGTCCAGCTATGTAAATACGCAGTCCTCTCACTGATCTTTCGCAGGCCAGGGACTGATTGATTCTTTCGTATCCCATTTCAAGGACTTCATCGTGAGCGCAAGTTCGTATTCAGCGTGCACAATTGAACTTATGTCTGATTCAACTTTTCGTTGCAGATCCCGGTGGGATCCCTGCTGAGCTGCTGGGCCCTGCCCCGTGGAGGCCTGATATGCAACCTCACATCAAGAGCACCCGCCTATCGCGCTTCCGTCCCGATGTCAGCACCTCAGTCACCGACGCCACACCGCTTGCACAGGCCATCCACCAAGCTCGCTGCGAAATCACTGATGACGACATCACGGTCCCCTCGAAGATGCTCATATCTCCCGGGCAAACATGCCTTGCCATTATCGGGGCAGGTGGATGGAAGAACCGCAATCCCACGCTGGCTTGCTACTTTCTGGACAAAGACGACCATATGCAGAAAGGGAGATCCATCACTCCTGGTCTCTCCGACCTCGCCTCTACGATGGCGATGGATGAGGAAAGGAAGTTGGTTTTCATCGCGGACAGCCACAGGGTAAAATCGTACTCCTGGGTAGCGAATCCCAACGCATCACGCCATAACAAGCTCCCCGCAGTCCACACACTGGATTCCGATGAGTGCTCTGGGTGTTTGGCCGTCCTCCCAACGGGCGCGTCGCACGCGCAGGAAAGGGGAAAGCGCTTGTGTGGAACATAGATGCTCTCCAACAACATGGGCCTGAACACAGACGGATTGGGAGGGGGCGGTTCGATGTCGAGGACAGCTGGCGTGACAACGACGGCGACGACATCGAGGATTCGACGGGAGCATTCCGCACGCTTCCATTGCCTTTGCAGACCCGACATTCTACCCTGCTGTCTGGCATCGCCATGCGCCGAGCGGCAACATGATCTGTGGGACTAACGGACGCCGAGATAGTAACGAGTATCTATGCGCATCAATCGACTTGGAGCATGGCGGACAAACCGTCGCGCGATACCTTGGCCATGGCGGGGACGTGGAGGTCATTTCTACGAGCGAGGGCGATCCGAATGTGTTCGCGACGGCTGGTAGTGACGGCTATGCGCGACTCTTCGATGTACGACAGCCCCTCCCGGTCATGACTTTCAACCACGGCATCGACCTGGAGTATTGCTCTTCGGTCGTCCTCGTCCACCCAGATGGAGTGCCCAGTACGTGCCCTTGACTCACTTGCCTGGCGATGCTAATGTGCGTGCGTGCCAGCTCTCTTCACATCCGGACAGCAGAGCGAGCACATCAAATTGTGGGACATCCGTGCTAAAGCAGCGGTGTACGAGCTGTCTACCGGGAACAACGCGGTCGCATCCATGGCATGGGACCCGAAGCGCTCTGCGCTCTATGCTGCGACGGAATGTGAGCGGATGGACCGCATGGGGATCAACCACGACTATCGCCCTGCTCGTATCCCGAGGTGGGCTGACATAGAACTTCCAGATGACCCTGCAAACGGACCGGGCGAAGATGACGACGAAGACGACGCAACGGACGAGGACGAAGAGGACGACTTCGATCGGTGCTGGCCTCGAAAGGCGCACCACAATGAGAAGTATTTCGGCTACGCCTTTGATGCAGGCGAGCATAGGCTCTGTAAGAACATACATTCTCTGGTTGGCAAGTGTGACTTAATGCCGTACAGATCGATACGCATTCAAGGAAGATCCCGATCCCACCCAATTGCCTGCCTATGGTGACGCTGCCATGGACGGGGGGTATTTTTGAAGGCTCTCGCGTTGGAGAATGCCCACATGGCAAATGTTGCTGTCTCGCTAGCGTGTGTGTATGAGTGTACTGCTAAATCGCCTGATGATCTTGAAGTAATCATTCAAAGCACTGCGAATGTCTATGCCTTAGAGAAATGGCAGTGGCACATAGGCCCGCTGGGCTTCTGCCGCGTATACCCTATTTCTCGCTCATATTGAAATCATGAACGTCTGAGCCCTCGAGCGTATCTGTTCACCTTCATTACTTTCCTTGATAACATATACGGTGCGATCGATGACCACTTGAAATCGGAAGCTCGGTTGCTGAGTCTGTGCGCACTAAAACATTATTTGAAGTGCTTCTCAGTGAGCCTCCTGACTATTGTATCATAGCGAACCACCCCGGAGGTCGGTAGCCCGCATCCTATTTGTGATGACCTCATGACCAGGCTCATCACCTTATCTACAGACAAATCCGAACCTTTCAACTCACTGTTCTACGGTCTTCTCGTTCCCTGACTCACATCATGAAACTCGCTGTGACGGGATGCACGGGGGACGTTGGCAAACGCGTCGTGATGGTCGCCCTGAAGCAGGGGCATTCGGTCGTTGGCATAGATCACATCGCTCCGAAGGACTTGCAATTCACCACGGATCTAAACTTCAAGTTCGTTCAGGCGGACCTCCGAGACTACGATGAGACATTGAATGCGATACGAGGATGCGATGGGGTTGTCCAATTAGCGGGAGTGCGATGGCCCGCAGACTATGTGGCCACTACTCATAACACGTATGCCACCACGTAAGTCGTATTGAAGGGACGCTAAGATTGGTATAGGAATGTAGCCATAACGTGGAACGTTCTGCGAGCGGCAGCAGAGGTGAGGTAGCGAGACGACGACGGTCCACAGGAGCTGAATTACTGCGCAATTAGCTAGGGATTAACAGGGTTGCTCAAGCCTCCTCCGTCAATGTAATCGCTCTCGTGTTCAGCGTGCAACCACGATTCAAGTACTTTCCTATCGATGAGGATCATCCTGCTGAACCGGACGAGCCATATGGCTTGTCAAAATTGTAACAGCATATTATACCGAAGCCGATCCATTTTGACGACCCCTGTTTAGGATTTGCGAAATGCAGGCGGACACGATCGTGCGGCGATATCCATCAATGCGTGTTGCCAGCATTCGCTTACACTGGTCCGTCCCGACACGCGAGGCAGCAACGCGCGATGATCCCGCGAGAAGAGCCAAGGATCTTTGGGGCTGGGTGCAAGAAGATTCCGGCGCGGAGGCATTCCTGCTCGCGGTATTCGGGGAGAATGGCAGGTGGTCGGGTCATGAGAGGTTTTTCGTTGCGGCGCCCGACATAGCAACAAACGAGGAGACAGTGGAGCTGAAGAAACAATTTTGGCCGGATGTTCCGATTCGAGATGGGCATGATCTGAGCGGGAGGAAGGGCTTCTTCGACTGCTCGAAAGCGGAGCGGCTGCTTGACTGGGTGCACAGGGTGCCATGAGTGGAGGTTACGATGGGTGAAGGAATGTTTGCAGCTATGACATGGATGTGAGTCTACATGCGCGCAGTGACAGAATGATAGGACGACTGACGTATTCATCGTAATGGTGCAGTACCTCTCGGAGTTGTTTCCTAGAAATCTCTGCTCGGAATAGAATCTCATCATCCGTACACTTGCCATCGAAATATTGATTGATCCTAGTGATTGAACAATTTGTGAGTACGTGCAGCTGTATGCTTCCTGAGAAACGAACTTTTCAAATCGTGTGGCTATGTAAGGATCCTTTCCTTCCGACATGGCGGCAAGCCAGCGCCTTTCCAACCGCGAGGCACGCGCAGGGTCAGTGATCATAGACGAGTACGGGTTGTTATCGTCTCCATTGCCACGGTACCAATCTTCCACATCCTCCGCTCCTGACGAGCCCACCTCTTCATCCAAATCATCGATTCCGCGCTTCTCCGCCACATCAGGATGTGTCTGCACGCTTCCCTGATTTTGCGCACTAACAGACTGTCGCCTTGCGAGCGCCCTAGCCGTCTTTGGTGAGAACGACAGCCAGTTCGTGCCAGGACTTGACTCGGAGGACGTCTCGATACTGGGTGCTTCTTTCGACGCGACGGTCTTCTGTGAGTCGTGCGAGTTTGACTCCTTTTCTGCCTGTGCCGACCTAGCCTGGATGCGCTCCCGTTTCGCGCGCGCCATCTCGTATTTCATTCTTACGCGATGCTTGAGTTCCTCTGTGGCGACGATCCGGATACGCAGGTGGAGAGTGATGAGCAGGTCACGCTTGAGCATCCACACGACGACGTTGTGGTACAGCTGAATACGCTCCTTCGATCCGACTACGGTCCCGTAGAAGTGGTTTGCGCTTTGTTGATGTGTCGACATCGAGACCATGGCGAGAATCTTCGGAAGAGGGCTCACATCGTGCTCCGCAAACCTCCGGTCGAAGTCAGCAGTCAGTTCGGACATCCTAAACACAATCAGCGCACGCCACGAAAGACAGTCCAGGCTACATACGGAGTGTTGAACTTGGGCGGAACAGTGAAGACGGTCCTTAAACCAGGATGAACGATATCGACCACTTTGGCTCGTCGGTGATGGACCAACCAGCGCACGGTTGGGTATACTTGTGACTCAAGGTCCCAGTCCAGCAAACTAGCCATGTCCGCGAGCCTGTACGCTGTTAGTGAGCCATGATGGCTTGGCAGCGGAGAAAGAGATACATACGATAGAGTGACGTTCGCTATCTCCAGAAACCTGGCAAGCTGCTCCGCAAGCTCGTTGTCTTCAGCTGTCGGTTGGGGCGCCCTAAGCCTCCTGTAGAGTTCATCGTTTCCTCGCTCGTCTTCATCGTACAGGCGGAGGAGACTCTTCCAGGGCTTCAAAGCGGGGAGCCGCCAGCCGACGCTCATGCTGCCCCAAGAATTTGGCAAATCGTCTTCACTACGTGATTCCATCGTATCGAAGTCACATTCTTCATGAGCATGTAGCAGGGAGTCAAGATATGGAGGCAGCTGCAGCTCAAGAGGCAAGTCGTGGATGACAATTCGCGCTATGGACCTCTCCTTCATGGCCTCGTAGAGTGTCTTCATGGACACCGCTATTGACGACACGTTGAGTGCTTCGCGAAGGTACTCGGCAAATGGTTCGCCTTGAGAACATCAGTATGCTATATGCCCGGTAAAATACCTTACTGTACCTTTCTTTGAGTATTCATCTCTAAGAGATCCAAGAGTGTCACACTCGCCCTCCACGAAGTTGTGCAAAACCTGTTCTTGGTACAGGACGGCGGTCACGGTGAACGCGATATGTTCGTAGATGGTGTCGAAATACTTCCACACCGTTCCAGAGGTGGAGGATGACGGGTCGGGACGATCAAGTACCAGAACGAGATGGAAAGTCTGTAGCCAGGATGAATCCGGCAGGGGTTGTTTGTTCTGTTCCGTGCTATCGGGTGTGAGAGAATTTCCCTTGGGCTGAGGGGCCTCTCCCTTCTTCGACACTCGCCCGCGAGGAATTGATTTTGCCTTGTCAGGTTTGAACCTCCACAATCCGTCGGGTTCCGCGCAAACAGGATGCCCTATGAATGCAAGGTCGTCGACGATGAATTCGAACTTCTGGTGGCACATGGATACTTGAGGGCATAGTAATCCGGCGAGGAACTCCGCAGAGTATCCGAGTACAGTGTCGTACTCGTCATCACGAGGCAGCCCTGGGTTCCCACTGGAGAATGACGCCGACATGTCCGGTGCAGGTGATGCTCTTCTCGAAGCAGGATGTGAGCGCGAATGCGACACTGACGACGATCTATGGCGAGACGCTCCGGGTCTTTGCCATATGTACGCATCCTCATCGTATCCGAGGATTTCGGGGCATACCCTATTCTCCGAGGGATTTTCGGAGCCATTGGCGGCCCGCCAAGGATTATCTCCGTAGATACATGTGACGTCGTGGTTCAGCCTGGGACGCGCAAGCCTGACAGAGGACTCGGGCGAAGGAGGCCAGCGGTAGACTAGGCTCGAGCCTTTCGCTGACGAAGTGACCAGTAACACGGCGATCAGTGTCTCGCACATTGCTCTGGTATATTCCGGCTGGGAGGTGGAGCTTCAAGCCAATGATCCAGTGAGCCAGACTGAAGCCTCAGCCTCAGGCTGCAGCGAAGCAGCCGGGCCAGCTCTGTCAGGCCAACTATTGCCAGCGTAAGATCATATTCCACGGCGTATGAAAGTGACATGGGGGTCTGCACTCACGGAATGATTGTCGCGGCGAGTCGACCGATGAACTTCGCGTTGAGTGATGCCTCAGGCTGTGAAGGACCACGGTGCCAGCGGCTGTGGCGGTCACTGAGTCTGGGTGGCGGTGGCAAATGGGCGAACTTGGATCGGAGATCCGAAGGGGGCTCGACCGTTATGGCAGTTGTCAACGTTCACTACTTCCGCCACAGTGCCCTACTGGTGGTTCCTCCCTGTCTGATCTTTTCCCCGCTGCTCTTGGATATCCTGATACCGCCATAGCCTGAATACTCGCACATCACGGCCGCGGTTCGACCTCTCAGTGCAGTGTGCAAACCCGGGTGCTGTCCTGAAGCAACGACATGGGGCTCATGCCAGGCGACCATTCTAGTTATCACTTAGTCTACTACTGCTCGGGACATGGTACGCAATACATAATCTCCCTGTATTCCATATCTTACACTGTGGGACGCCAATAGGATATGGACATGCTACGCGAGTGTCCGCCTTCGCGCGTCACTTGCTGAGCCTGGATCCGCCTCCTACTGTGCACATTGTCTCGTCTGCACCCAAACAGGTGTTTACAGACAGTGTAGCTGTCGGTGGTATGTAATTTCATAAGTATCATCTTACATCGGAGTGACTGCTGCCCGATACCTAGCATTGTACAGGAACGCAGACATCGACCCTGTGATTGTACAGCCATTAGCGTGAGTACGGAAAGCGTGCCCGCACATCTTCATGCTGACTGCTATCATGCTTAGGTATCGTGTCGACCGTCAGAAGAGCGTGGAAGTACTCCAGTCTTTCCTGCGCAAGAAGGACATGAAGGTCCTAGAAGAATCACAATGGCTGAAGGATATAGGTGCCGATTGCGTTCTCAGCGATGCCGCATTTCTCGGATGGTGTGTATGCTCAATCGAGTGCACTGCGACCTATTCTGACGTAATTGAAAAGTCTAGCTGCTCACCAAGCTGGGATACCTTCCGTCCTGATCAGCAACTTCTCCTTCGACTCAGTGTACAGTTACCTGTCTACTCCGTTCATTGATGCACCGCCTACTCCGGAACCAGACCTCTTCGACGGTCTTCCTGCACAAGTAGCTATGGCTCTTCCACCGGACATACCGATATCTGAAGAGACCCTGGCACCTCTGGTGGACGAGATCCTATCTGGCTTTCGCTGTGCAGACTTGCTACTTAGACTGCCAGGAGCTATCCCTATGCCGTCTTTCTCTGTTCTGCCTGGGCTTCCGTCTCCGAGCTGGGTCGACCTCAACACGCGAACCTTCACTGAGGAAGTCATCACGCATCTCAAGGAGCCTCCGTCATCTCATCTCCTCCATCCATGCACGGAGTTTTCCGACCAATATGCTTCAAAATCTCTGCCTCGCACGGCCATCTCTGCACCTCTGCTAGTTCGCTCGCCCAACCCCTCAGTGTATACTGCCGAAGGTCGCCGGCGTCTCCTCAACATCGTCGGGGTACCTCCGTACCTACACAATCCAGAGCAAATCAAGATCCTGGTAGTCTCTTTTGGAGGACAAGTATTCCGCAAGCCTTCTAGTCGGATCCACAGTCGCTCTCCCTCGCGCGCAGGCACCCCCGGAGCGTTCGCGTCCGCCATGACAAAGTCGCTGAACGGCATCCAGCGAGAAGTAGCCCTGTCCAAACCGTCTGACTTGTCGAAGGAGTACTTCCCTGATCCAGCTCGACTCGCTGCAGCGCTGCGGTCTACCAGCCTCTTCGATGGCCCTGCCTCCGTCGCGGCGTCTCCGGGCCTTCCTCCTCCTAAGCCTATGACCACGGGTCGTGCCTCCTCGCTGAAGATCCCTGGTGCACCGCCTGTTGCAGTCCCTATGTCTCCGCCTAACAAGTTTGCTAGCAAGTCTCCTGGAAAGCTGTCTCTTCCAGCACTGCACACCATCCCGCCCTCTCCGGTGCTGGCAAGGGAGGTCAAAGCCCAAGACACTTACCCTGGCTGGTCGTCTTCTGTGGAAGAAGAAAATGAAGAGGACCTCCCGCGTCTGCTGCCGGATGACACCTGGGTCGCTATTGTCTGTGGCGTGTCGAAGGAATGGGGAAGGGAGAATGGCGAGGAGCTTCCTCCGGGTTTCTACGTCGCTCCTCGCGATATCTACATGCCGGATCTGACTGCGGTGGCGGACGCGCTGTTGGGCAAGCTGGTGAGGCCTAGATTCGTGACGTTGGCGGCGATGAGCTGAAGTCGTTGTCGTACTACAGGGATACGGTACAGTATCGGAGTGCGTAGATGCCTGCACACCCTTTGTCTATGGTGAGCAATACGTGCAGCAGAGACTAACGTGACCACTCAGACACCTTCGCAGTGCCTCGTCCCCTATTCATCGAAGAGCACGGCCTCCGCTTGCTCCTGGAATCAGAGGGTGTAGGCGTTGAACTATCCAGGAGTTACTACGAGAAGGGCGAGTGGGCCGACGCGGTCCAAGAAGCATACGTCAGAGGCAGAGACGCGAAAGCCAAGAAACGGCAGGAAGGGGAGACGGGAAAGAGACGGAAGGAAGGCAGGGAGATGGCAAGAGGTCTCCTAGACTGGCTCGACAGATGGAAGGCCGGGACACGCGCCATGGATCCAGATCCTCAAGCTGAGGAAGACACCGCGGACATAGGTCACGATAACGAATAGAGGGTTCGCTAGGATTGCATGATTGTTACTTTACACTGTATCTCTATTCCCCTGTAGAGCAAGTGTCCCCTTCAATACGACGTTATAGACTAGTGTAGATACCGTAGCTTATTGCGTTGGTCAAGCATGTTGTAGATGAATTGTATACCCTCCGTGAAGCCAAGAAATATGCATGTTGACCGTCTGGACAGCCATCAGTTGCCTCCGTGGAACAAACCATCGGGAATGTCACAGCTGCCCAACCTGGGTGGCACAGCAGGAGCCGGCTCCACCATGAGCTGCAGCAGTCGTCAGCAGACTGCCATACGAGAAGCATCGGTGCAACGTACGCGGACTGTCTGGACAGTGGTGTAAGTGGCGGCGACTATGCCAAAGATCATCAAAGCGATGTCTGCAACCTTCTGCTTGCGCGTGTGGGCGCATGCCTTAAAGTGCAGCATCGCCGGGTAGACGTAGCAGAGCGGGACGCTGGCAGAGAACATCATCGTCAGCCTTATGCTCGGAACGCGCACAAGTATACACGTACCAAGCGAAGCTCCCAACGAACGACACGAACTTGTCCAGATCATTCGCGCCCGCCCAGCTGAGCGCGCAGCAGAACATGATCGTGACGAACCGGAAGCAATTCTTCGTCCACTTGACGCGCGCGTCCGCCTTGCCGCTGCGCTCGAACAGGCCGTTCTCCATGATCCGCACCGCGGGGAAGAGCTGCAGCGGCACGGACAGCAGGATCGCGAGCGAGTACAGGAACTGGACCACTTGCGTGAACTTGCTCGTGGTGTCGAGGTTCACGATGACGACGGTCTGCACGTCGGAGCCGAAGGTGAGGTAGGACATGACACCGCCACCGCAGAAGAGGACTGACGAGCGCAGAAAGGATCAGCGTTCGGATTAGGCAAGTATTGTTCGTGAACCGTACCCATGAGGAACAACATGACACCAGTGAGGACCTTGGGGAACTTGCGCGGCTCTTTCATCGCATCGGTGATCGGGATAACCTAGCAAAAACACCTAAGCTTCCATGATGCTAAACACAAACAGCTGAACCTACCAAACCAATACCCTCGAACGAGAAGACTGCCGTTCTGTACAACGATCATCAGCACGACCATCCGCGACGTGCCACCAGTTCGTCACATACCCGATCAGGAGAGGCCAATCCTTCGCATTGAAGAACGCTACATCCGCATGTCCACGGTCCGCCATGATCGCCGCCTCGCTCCCGAAGATATAGATAAGGCCCGCGAGAATGAACACGTCCGCCACGAGCGCGGTTGTGCTCAGCTTCGCGAGGTTCCGGATCAGCACGAGCGGCATGAAGATGATCATCTGCAGCAGGATGAAGTACTGGATGCCGAAGAGCTTCGCGCAGTTCGTGATGGCGAGCACGAACGCCTGCAGGTTCTCGGAGACGAAGATGATGTAGGCAGAGACGAAGCCGAGCTGGGAGATCGTGATCGACGCGAGGATGGCGTAGCGCATCCAGGGGCCGTAGAGCGTTCCACCGATGTCTGATGAGGTGTTGAGCAGTAGCACTGTGGTGAAGGATGACACACATACCACCGAAACTGCCTGATACCACGAACTTCGTTTTCACAAGCAGCAAGAACGAGTATAACGAGATCAACGCAATGAACGTGAGGACCGCGCTTGAGAACAGGATACCACCATTGAAGAAGGCCTTGCCCAGGAAGAGAATACCAGTGCCGACGAACGACTTCAGCAACTAATCACATAGTCAGCTCACCGACACCATCACATGCAAAGTGATAGACTCGCCATAAGCACAGCCTGCGTCACCGTCGCATCTCCGTGCGGGCCCACGCTACCGGACCTTGCTCTTCTCGAACGAGAGCGGGGAAGCAGCGGCGAACGTTCGCTTGCTTTGTGAAGGTCCGTGCTCGTCTCGGGCGGCAGACCAATGGAAAGCGGGGCGGTGCCCGCGAGGTCCCTCTCCGCGGATGAAGGCGTCCCGACTTGGGCTTCCATGTCATCCCATCGGTACTCGTCCTCCTCTTCGATCTCCTCTAAGTCCTCTCCAGCCTAGCGGGGGCAAGATCTCAGTCAGGCCAAATCAACCGAGTAAGATAACACTTACGAAGTGTCCGAATAGATATAGGAATTCAATGAAGTTTCGGGGGACGTGTGGCAAATCTGCAGTGCCGTCCTCACCGCGTCTCATGAGCAGGTAGTTCCTTCGGAAACCTCCTGGCTCGTGAATATGCTGGAAAGCAGGGTCTGTGGACCTCGTCGACCCAGCAAATGATGCAGCGCGTGGACGCGCTGCCTGTCGACGCTTGTCTGCCTGCCATTTGTATATGTTGTGACTGATACATAAATGAAGTTAGCATGTGTTCACTCCGGGGAGACTGGAAGTGTGGGACTGGTCTAATTTTCCGACGACGCTATGCAATAATATGCAGACGTCACATACTAAATTCCGATTCAGACCGCTGTGTCAGAATGCACAGAATGGCAGCTCAGTGATAGCTACCTCTGATCTGACGAGGTCGTGTGCGTGCCTTTGAAGCAAGGCGACAAGGAAAACACTATACGAACTGGTACTCACGTCACATCTGCACCAGGCGCGTGGTACGGCACAGGGAAGGGTTCTGACTCCTCCCTTTGTGTATGCAAGTGCGAGAACGACGACCGTTTCGACGCTACACCGTTATCTGAGCCTCCGCTGACGGACGCACGCGACGACTGTCCCGCCGGTCCGTCGCGTTCTTGCCGCGAAACGAGATGGCGCCTGAGTATTCTCGCCTTCTCTTCGTCGGTGAGGTCATCGAGAGCATTGCCCTCGATTCCACTACCAGGCGTGTCTGGTCGCCGCGCGCTGATACCGCCCAAAGAGGCCACAGAGGATGGCTCGCCTCCTGCTAATGGAGTGGGCATAAGAAAAGGCGAGCTTCCTGCTGCACTGGGAGTGCCAATGGGGGTTCCACGTCGAGGGATGTTAGGCGGCTGTGGGGTGCCGGCATACTGAGCTCGGAGAGCGCGAGGGCTTGGTGAACCAGACACAGCGCGTGCAGTGGGTGGTGTGCCCACACCAGCAATCTCTGCGTTGGCCCTGCGAGGACTGACGATGTTGACTGGCTTTGAGGGCGAGGACATGGTGGTAAGCGAGAGGGAGAACGAGGTAGGGTACGTGGAGAAGGACTGCAATGTCGGAGCGCCTCTTCAAGCCGCTGAGCGGATCTAATCCCATGACTCCGTTTGGGCCAGCCGCCACAACGGCACCCTCCCCCAGCATCCCTCTTGAGCTTGAGTCTTTGACTCTCCTTCTCGGTCGCGCCAGTTGTTGCCGTAGCTTGTAGAGAGTCTCATAGTAACTTGGCTACGAGTGATAAGTAGTCCGGCGAACTCTCCAAATGGCGGAGGCTTTCAATCAATCAAAGCACTGGCCAATTCACTTGCCGCAATTGGAAAGCCAGGCGTCGATCGCGTGGTGATCGCGTGGGGGAGCGGGAGGGGACCCTGGAGCTCTGGTGTGAAACTCAAAACCAACGGTCAACAACTTGAAGAACACAGCTTGTCGCAATACTATCGCGCTACAATTGCCCTCTGTCCATCTGATTCTGTACGAGATGACATATTCATGTGGCAATTCGGCGGATAAGCGGCTGTTTTGTCTCTGCTCCTCTAGATGACCTGCCCGAAATGAGAGGGTTGGCGACTCAGCGATGCTGGCGGGCCAAGTTTTTCAGCGCTGGCTGGTCGACGGCTTTCTTGAACTGCCAGTGCCCCTGCTGTTCATTCAATGAATGGAGATGGTAAGTCCCGTACATATAAATACCCTCGGTGCCGGCGGTACTGCGTTATGTATGTAGATCGACAGTCGCGCAGGGAAACGAGATGTAAGAACTCTTCGTCGTCTGTCTTGCAGTAGCTGACAGTTCTCACATATCAGGTCTCCGCCACTCTAGACAAGCTTAACTAATAATACCGCCATCAACGTGCCCCATTCCTCAAATCGTCCGACCAGCAAATCGTTCGGGCTGTGCTCTATATCAACCCATTGGATGCTTCCCCGAGAAGCGCTAGTCTTGATCAATTGACATGGGCCAAGATCCATCAGGCTCACAACGTGTTCTCGCACGGTCGCAGACTCTCTCCATGGCACCTCCGAGGAAGTGTGCTGCAATCGCAGATCTCTTACTTCAGGCAAGGACTGAGTGGTAGCCTGAAGTCGGGTGAATACCGGTTTTCTGCTGTGTCGTCGTGAACCCACTGGACTAGCGCAGGACAGGTTTCGCAACTAAACCCGTCACATCCGACAGTCCGACTTTTGCTCCATGGACCCAACGCGTGTGTGCCGGAAGCGCCCTTGTGCGCATACAACGAGGCAGAGAAGTTGCGGACACCAGGCAACGGCCAGGCCTACACGAGCGGCTCAAGTCTTATGGCTTCCCACTCATTTGCACCGTTGCTCGCCACGGACACCTCTGGGGCCTTCAGGAGGTCTGACTCCCCCCACTCTCTCGAACCGCCTTGATGTCGTCGAAGGTCAAGCGCAAGCCGCCGCCGGCGTTCCCCTACTCACCGCGATACCCTTCGCCGGACCCCTTCGACCCCTTCGTGCCTCTGAAAGTCTTACGCGAGCGTGCATCATCAAATAGTGCTCTACAATTCCGCTTGGAAGACTCGTCGCAGGGTCAATTCCTCCCTTCACTTACGTCCGACGTACTTGGAGCCGGTTTGGACATAAGCTATCCATCTAGCAGCTCCGATCACCATGGTCCTCTTACGCCCCCGCGTCCATGGCTGGACTCGGCCGTGTATCACACTCCCCTCGTCCATTACAGGAGCCCTCAGGCGGCTATCATTCTGACACTATTGTGACCCGGCCGACTCGTCCTCTACGTCCTCGCACCAAGTCAGGTCGTGAGTCCAAGGCCTACTTCTCAGAGGCGGAATTGCCTCCAGTGCCTCCAGTCCATCGGCATCACGAACAACACGATGCTGAACCTGAGCAGCCTACAGACTCCCAGTACCACTACCGTCAGCCGTCCGTCTTTATCCCCCGTCCTCCGAGTCAGGTCCAAGAACAGGACCATATCGAGCCCCAGGCTCTCGCTGAGGTGTCGCCCACCGACGCGAGCTCGGAGGCGCTGACCACTCCTCAAACAGAACCGAGGTCCGACACCGATACAGTGCACGACCTGGTAAGGCAGTACATGTACGATGACCGCCAGTCGCACGGCTACATCTTCGACCAGTTTGCGAGCGACTCCGAGGCGCAGGACTCGCCCACCATCGACGCGCACGTCCCGAACAGACGCAGTCGCAGCCTCCGCGACGCCGCCAATGACACCGGACGACACACTGAGCCTGAGCAGCTCGAGTGCGCGCGGCCGCTCGGCCTCGCTCTCGCCGCGCTCCCTCGTGCAGGAACTCCCGCGCACCACGTCGCAGCCTGCCCTGCGTCCCAAGTCGACGCATCTGGACGAACAGGCAATGATTGTGCAGCAGGAGCAGGAGCCTGAGGAGACCCCATCGACTGCGCCATTACAGAGCGCTGACTTCCCGCTTCTGCGCACGCCGTCGCGTCTACCGTCGCCTGTGTCGACGCCGCCCGGCCTCGCGGTCGACTCGCACGCGGAGGCTGCGGAGACGGACCCAGAGCCAGATACATCGACGCTGCGCAGGCGCACCTGAGTGCTAGCAAGCTGCTGCGTAGGTCGTCCAGTACGGGCACGGGTGGAAGCCGGAGGAGGAGCAAGATACTGTCGGTGCACGACTTTCTGGTGAAGAAACCGTCTACTGGGAGCAACACGTCGAAGGCCAGTCGGCGTGCGGGTAAGGCAGTTCTTGCGCAGCACGTGGACGCGTCAGTTTCGACAGAAACTACACGTATGTCCGTGGTTGTTGCAGCCCCACCCATACCTGTCGAGCGTCCGCAACCGCAAGCAAAGCCACAGACGAAGTCAGAGGTAAAGACCGAGGCGAAGTCGCAGGCACAAGCCCATGGCCATGAGCATAGATTGGCGAAGCTACCCCCGCCGACGGCTATGGCGACGCGCCGAGGAATCTCTCCAGCAACTGGGATCGAGGAGCTGACAGCGATCCAGGACACAGTGGCAAAGGGGCGCGCTTCATCATGCATCGCCCGAAGAAGAGCCTCAGTCAGGTCAGCCTGGCGTTGGCAGGGCTTCCGAATGTCAGCGCGGGGCCTCCTATGGCGCGCAGTGCGAACCCAAGCATCGGGAGTGCGATGACCACGGGCACTGGGTTTGGATCGACGGCTGGCTTGAGCGGTGACGACATGTCTACGCAGACGCATGAGCTTAGTCTCCTGCAGCCGCCGCATCCGCATAGTGCTCATCCAGTCCCTGGGCCGGCGCACACGGGCCAACCTTCTGCTGCAGTAGAGGAGGCACCTCGTAGGTCTGTGGAACAGGAAAGGCCAGTGGAGGCGCGTCAGCCGAGAGCAACTGACAAACCACCTTTGACTGAACGTAGTGCGAGGCGGCTTTCCGGTTTCCCGGTCTTCGAGGAGGATAGAGACGCGGTAGACAAGAAGCAGGAGCCTGGCGAAGTGCGCCCACGCGACATCGAGAGGCGACCGACACATACGATCGCAATGCTGACGAGCACTCGGCCACTCACTATTATCTCGTCGCGAGCTGCATCCCCCGAACAGAATACTCCAGACAACTCCTTCCAGCTCCTGGAGCGCCCGCCCAGTCCCCCACGCTCGCATTCACGCAACACCATCCCGTCAATACCTGCTCCCTCACCACCGCGGCGGACGCCTTCACCCGATCGTCAGCGTCCATCGTATCGCAACTCACCGCTCCCGCCTCCGCCGTCAGACTCTCCTCCGCAGTTCTACTTGTCACCGATCCCTCCTTCCACGGACAGAGATGTCATTCAACCCGCACCGCTTCCACGTTCCCCTCCTCAGCATTCGGAGCCCCCGACACCTCTGCCCCTTCCTACGCCCCGAGCCAAGTCTCCTGCGCCTCCTGTGCCTCATCCTCACTCCCGACCAAGAGAGGCACGCGACGCTGTACCAACGGTAATCCGCAATGAAACCACCGTCGAGCATGCGGTGTCCACGCGTCCCGGTACGCCTCCTATGGAAGGCAGACAGCGCCGACGAGAGCCAATTAGAGACGAACGCCGGAGCCGATGCAGTCGAATTACCTGCCCGTGCCGCAGATGCGGCCTCAGCCTCAACCCGAGCTGCGCGCAGATTCGCGGCCAAAGGCACTCGAGAGGCGGCGCATCAGTACCGCGCAGATTTCCGGACCGATACAGACATCCACCCCGCCCGCCGACGTACCGCAGCGCAATCACATACCGGTGTCTCCGCCTGTCCAGTACATCGCATATAGGCCTCAGTCACCCGAACCCGAGACGCCTTACCAGTACCCTTCCTACCCGCCTCACGACTATCCCAGAGCTCAGTCTCCTCCTCCGGTGCCGGAGTTCCGTGCTCAGTCTCCCCCACCGGCGGCGCCTCACTCTCGTGTACGATCCCCTCAGGCGACCTCTCGCATCCAGACTCCCGCTGCGAGGCATGCGTCCCGGGCGCGTTCCCCACATTCCGCTCAGGACCATAATACAGTCGCTCGTGGACGAAGCTGCGATCAATTGCAAGGCTTCGGATCGCTGTCGCGGCAGGAGACGACACATAGTAGTACGCAAGGCTCACAGTCTCACACCAGACATCACGATACCGCGCCAGCCACGCCTTCGCCGACTATGTCCGCCAACTCCCAGCCCCTGCAGTACACGCGCGGTGACAACGTGAACGAGCCTCGGCGCGCGCGATCGTACCAGCCGCTGAGGGAGCAGCAGCACGATCGGCGCCAGCAGCGGCTTGTGGGAAACCTGCGGTTCGACGAGTACGCCATACCGACGCGGGACCAGATTAAGCATGCTGGCTCGCTGTTCGTAGTTGCGCAGAACGGGCTGCGAGTGCAGTTCTCGGAATTGTTCAAGGAGAGGTGCACGGTGGTCTGCTTCATCAGGCATTTCTGGTACGTTACTCTGCATCTTGCAGGCCGCATGGTTTTGACTGTGATTGTTGTAGGTGTCCTGCGGACCAGGACTACATGTACTCCATCGTGAGGAACGTAGATGCTGAGGAGCTGAAGCGCGCTGGTATCGACTTGGTGATCATCGGACTGGGTTCACCAGCTATGATCAAGTCGTACAGACGTAAGCCACCTATCGTCCTTCCCGCGTAAATCCACTGACGCAGTTTGCTATGATATCAGAGATCTTCCGAAGCCGATTCCCAGTATACACCGATCCAACCTTGCGTCTACACGCCGCGCTGGGCATGACGCGCCAAAGTACAGATTCTGGTGCAGACGAAGATAGGGGCGAATACGTCCGCCACGGGGCACTCGGCGGACTAGCGATGGTCGTGAAGAACGCGATCCGCGTCGGCATGCCGGTCTGGGAGAGGGGCGGCGACGTCACGCAGCTCGGCGGAGAGTTCGTCCTCGGCCCTGGGTAAGCACCCTACATTCAACCGCCCTTACCACGCACTGATACCCCTCACCTAGGTCTACCTGCATGTACGCCCACCGCATGCGCGCCACGCGCTCGCACGCGCCCGTTTTACACATCCTCTCCGTCGCGGGCTTCACCCCGGGCCTGCCAGGGATCGCAGCGACGTCTCCCTCCTACATGTCACAGGATGACGATGACGAGGCGTGGATGGAGGACCGCCGGCGGAGCTACGCGCGCATGCAGGCGCGGCGCGAGAAGCGACAGGAGGCGAGCGGGAGCAGGCAGCAACAGTGGCACCGGCGCGAGGAGTCGCAGGACACCGCGGCGGGGTACGCGAGCGACGCGGGGAGTGGAGCCTCAGCGGGTGCTGGGGGTCCGCGGCAAACGGTGCGCCCGGATCCGGGCCCATGAATGCGAATGGGAGTGGTCGTGGGGAGGCGGAGGTGGCGCGCGTCGAGTCGCGCGGGCGGTCGGAGAGGGGGGAGCGCAGCATGAAGGCGTACCCGAGCGCGCGCGACGAGAAGCGCGGGCTTACGATGTCGTCGTCGGGCGGCGTGGATTCCACGTCGCGAACCCGGACTTTGGGCCGCCGACGCCGCTGTCGGATGAGGGCACGTATGGAGAGCATAGATGGGAGGGCGATGTGTCGGACCTGCCGTACCTCGATGGGATCGGGCGCACACGCGACGAGTCGTATCGGCTGACGCAGGAGGTGTTGGCGTATACGTTTGGAAAGCAGTGAACGTGGACTGTTGCAATCTCACTTACGATACACACGCAAGGATCCGTAATTATGTCGTGTCGAAAGGCTTTCGTGCTGTATTTTATGTTATGTAGCCTTACCTGTTATGACATCGCTTTCGAATGGCCGCACCTAATAGCATATCTTTCCAGTCAATCAACAAAAGGCAAACTACAAACGCACAAACAGGCTCACACGGGCTCGTACTCACCCATCCTTACCCACCACCTCTCACCTCCTCCTCTACATCACATATCTCCTGCACGCCCTCCCTAAAGAACACCACGTTATACTCCACCAAGCCCCTACGCTGCTCCCACACCGCCGTAGGGATCAATGCGAGGAGCGCGAGACGCTTCGTCACGACGTGGTACGCGATCGTCGTGCCCGCGGGCACGCCCATCGTCGACGGCGTGAGCGTCGCCGACGCGCTCGGGTAGAAGAGTGCTTTGGACTGAGCGCGGGATGAGGGGGGTGGTTGCTCGGTTTGCTACGCGTGGAGGTGGCGGAGGAAGTGGTGCGTGAGAGGAGGAGGGGGGAGCGAGGGGCGGAGGAGGGTGATAATGGGAGGGAGTCAGATGGTGGGGTGGGTGGTGGTGGAGATGGAGGTTTATGGCGGGCAGTGCTTGCTGTTATAGATCTGTTGGCAGCGGCGTTGTATGAGTACAAACACAGTGGACGCGCAATAACGTGCATACTTGTACAAGGGTCCGAAAGAATTCAACATGAGAAGGTAGTCATTACAGAGACTGTGCGTGGCGCGTCGACGGTGACGCGTCCGTCGCCACATAGAGTCGTGAGTTGATGTCGAACAGGAAGGCCTTTGATGACTGGGAATTCTGTCAAGAGGCGCTGATGTCAGCGATGCTCCCACATGCACACACCTGGACTCACTGTACAGAATACATTGAGCAGGTCTTCTAGATAGGGCAGGGATTCGATGGACTTGTGCAGCGTCCGTGAGAAGGCGTCGTGCAGGGTATGGTCGTGTATGGACGTGAGATGGAAGTTGATGGGATCATCTGCTCATACTCTGGCGAGATGTCGGCGAGCTCATCCAAGATTCGCTGTTGGATGTACCGCCAGTTCTCTGTGGTGTCTATCAGAACGAAGTCGCGTTGGACGAGATAGCACGCACCCATCCTGTACTCTTCGGACACGTATCAGCCTTGTGCACGAATACTTCGAGGTTAATTCGAGGGCTCTCGTTGTAGGCTGCGATGACCATGGTGACGAGCTTGGTGATGGGAGGTTGGTATAGGTCCTACATCTCGTTTGAATGAAGTGAGCAGTGCTGACATGGGGCCGCGCACCTGGATGTCAATGACGAATATGAGGGTGGCAAACTGCGACACTGGGACGTCCAGCTGGTCCAGATTCATGTCCCCTGGGCAGTCCCATATCTCCAGTGGTATGACTGTACTGGTACGGCGAACGGATTGGTCCGGACGCGCATACATAGGAACAGATGGACGTACTCGTAGGTATGTTTCGTGAGGCGGGTCGTGCGTTCGAGGTAGAACGTTTGCTTTGCGGGGAGATTGTTAAACAAGACCTCCTGAATGGACGTCTTGCCGCTCCTGCGCGGATACACATTGAGCACCACACGTTTGAGGGCGAGCAGCAAGAACGCACCTGCGCATGCCGAGGAGGAGGATCTTTGTGCGCATCACGTCGCCGTTTGCATGTCCGTTTGTCTGGGAGGGCGCCCTGGACGTTGATCCATATTCGGGGCGCATGTCGTCGGGGTCGTGGCGGACGTTGAGGACGTTGAGGAGGGCGTCGAAGGAGGGAGGAGGCTGATCGGGATGGCGCGGGCCGGGCTGGTGAGTGGCGGGTGCGGGCGCCTGGTGTGCTTGACGTGTGAGCGGGATGCCGGGCGACTCAAGAAGCCCACACTCGCACGTTCGTAGCCTCATTGGCTGCCCTGTCCCGTCTCTGACTATATTCCTCCCCGTCATGCAGGCCCTGCACACGACCGCCCTCTCTCCCATTCTGCCATGAAGTTTGGCCGCAAAATCAGCGTGAGTGTCCTGCCCATCAATGCGGCTTCACAGACTGAACAACGGCCCAGAATGACCTCTATAACGAGTGGAGACCGTTCTACATCAACTACAACCTACTCAAGAGAGAGCTGAAGGCGAGGCGCTCTCTGCGACATCATTCATGGACGCCCGTCAACTCATCTGCTCTTTACATTAGGAACGCACAACCGCTCATGCATGGTCCGATGATGATGAGCGCGACTTCACCGCCATGCTGGAGAAGGAGCTGGACAAGATCCATGATTTTCAAAGGTCCAAGGTACGGCATCAACGCGTGCTACCAGGCCGCTCGTTTCATGACCACCAAATCACATAGACCTCCGAGCTCGCAAGACGCATAAAGGATGCTGAACGGGCTGTCAAGCGTCTGGTTGCTGGCGAGCATGGCAACGGACATCTTCAAGCTGGTTCTTCGTCCGATCCCGAAGGCGGACAGCGAGAACCAAGTGCAGTCCAGGATGCTGGCTCCGATGACGATGACTCAGACGATGAGGAAGCTATGTCGGAGGATGCCATGGAGGACCAGTTCTTGCACTGGAAGAAGAGGTTGCTACGCTCGTCGCCGATGTGCACGACCTCGCGCTGTACACCAAGCTCAATATCACTGGTTTCATGAAAATTCTCAAGGTCCGCCAGTTGCCATGTTCCTCAGACGATGCCTGACTCATGTTGCATTTTCAGAAACACGACGTATGCGCGACTGCCTCCTGTTGCCCTCTCTTCACGTGCTGACGTTCTCCTGACCTTGTGCAGAAACAAACTAATCGTCCGTTGAAACCCACATTCATTCAAGACTATCTGGAGAAACGTCCGTTCTACAAGTACAACTGGGATGGCCTAATAGTCAAGCTCTCCAAGCTCTACGACCTCGTCCGGACTCGCGGGCACCCTGTACAAGGAGACTCGAGCGCGGGCGGTAATCAGAGTGCATTCGTGCGCCAGACCACCAAATACTGGGTGGGTGTATGCGCGACTTTGCGTACACGGGTTACCCTCTGAAGCATCCTCCGACTAGGTACATCCTGACAACCTAGTCCACCTCAAGCTGGCCATCCTACGACATCTCCCCGTGCTAGGTGCGCAGCAGTGGCACTCCTGTTCCTCCATGGCGCTGAAATCTTACTAGTGTTCAACCCTGATAAGGAGTTCGAGCAGAAAGACGCAGGTGAGTAGACGTCTTGAGGGGCGCATACTCCCACAGAGTGTCTGATTTGAATTATCAGCTATCACTTCTGTGTACTTTGATAACGAAGACCTCGAGCTCTATCTCGGCCGTCTCGAAAAGACGGAAGGCGCGGAGGCTATTCGATTGCGATGGTACGGCAACACGGATGTCAGAACGGTTCGTACTTCTTCACTATTTTCCCGAACTCTAACTCAACGTACCCCTAACCCTACGTTACCACCATTCAGATCTTCGTCGAGCGGAAGACTCACCGGGAGGATTGGACGGGCGAGAAGTCGGTGAAAGCGCGGTTTCCGATCAAGGAGAACCTAGTGAATGCGTTCCTGCGAGGGGAGTACACGATGGACGCGGAGTTCCAGGAGCTCGTCACAAAGGGGAAGAAGACGCAGCAGGATGTGGACGGAATGATCCAGCTCGCGAACGAGGTACAATACGCGATCCTCACTAAGAAGCTCGAGCCCGGTGAGTCCTTCCTTCCCTCCCTCACATCACCGGCCTGCCCGTGTGTCACGCGAGGACGATGTGTTCTGACGCTTCGGACCGGCTAGTGATGCGGACGTTCTACAACCGCACGGCGTTCCAGCTGCCCGGCGATGCGCGCGTGCGCATCTCGCTGGACACGGAGTAACGATGATCCGCGAGGACAACTGGGACGGGCGGACACGCTCTGGCGACAACTGGCGCCGGGCGGACGTCGGGATCGATTACCCGTTCGACCAGCTGCCGCCAGAAGACAAGGAGCTGTTCAAGTATGGCGTGTTGGAGGTGAAGCTGCAGACGCAGTATGGCCAGGAGCCGCCGACGTGGGTCACGGATCTGGTGTCGTCGCATTTGGTGGAGGCGGTCCCGAAGGTGGGTGGCTGCATGTGAGGTGAGGGAAGGTAGGGTGACTGACGGGTCTGAGTGCAGTTCAGTAAATTCATTCATGGGTGCGCGACGCTCCTGCCTCATCGTGTGGACCTCGTTCCTTTCTGGCTCCCTCAAAGTATGTCCGCCCACGCACTTTTCTTAGCACTTCACTAAATAATGCCCCTGTACAGTGGACACGGACATCCTCAAGCCGGACACTGGTGCGCTCACCATTGAGCGGCCCGTGCAGTCTTCCTCCTCAAAGGGCACGTCTGAGTTGTCTGCCGGTCGCAGATCATCTGGGGTCACTACGCCGGAGGATATGCGCCCAGTGTATGCTGAACCAGTGTCTGAGGGCGAGGAAGACGAGGCGATGGACCTTGCTCCAGGTGCGTTCAGCGTCCAGCTCATTGTCTTATACTGCATTCATCTTCACACTCTTTCACAGCGCGGGACGAGGTCAAGCGCACAGGGCTCAGTAAGCAGGACGTCGCCGCGGCGATCGCCTTCCGCGAAAGTGCGCTCAAGCAGGGCGACCCTGCGAAGCGCAAGAGCCTTCCTCCCGTCGCCGCGCGCGACCATATCGCCACGGCTCCTCAGCCGGACGAACACGACCATGCTGAAGAGGCTGACGATGAGGGGGACGTGGACGAGCGCACACCGTTCCTCCGCGGGCGCAGGGCGTCGAAGACCACACTTTCGGAGCGGCAGGGCCGTGCACTCTCGATTGACCCGCTCGCGCCGTCGTCTGCGTTTGATGAGACACTAAGAGACCGCCTGCGCGAAGAGCGGAGGCAGAAGAGGGCGGATGAGGAGGTAGAGGTGGAGGACGAAGATGAGGAAGAGGAAGAGGAAGAGGCCCAAGAAGAGGAGAGAACGGGTCGGAGCCAGAGCGATGACAGGGTGTTGGAGAGGCACTGGGTCGCCCCGCCTGGCAAGCGCATTGCGGTGCCGGTGAGGATCGAGCCGAAGGTGTATTTCGCGGCGGAGCGGACGTTCTGGTGAGTCGGCTCGCGATTGACCATTCGTACTCTGACCACCGACGCAGAAATGGCTGCACTTCGCAATATACATCGGCACGATCGCGACGACGTGCTCAATTCGTACCGCCGGGCGATAAGGTCGGCCTCATCAGCGCGGGGCTGTTCACGCTCGCCGCGCTCGTCGCGATCGCGTACTCCGCGGTGATCTTCGTGTACCGCGCGCTGAAGCTGCGCAAGCGGCACGCGGATGGGCTCTACTACGAAAGTACGGGCCGACGATCCTGTCGTTGTCCTTGATCGGCGCGTTGGGGGCGAATATCGTGTTGAGGCTGAGGGAGATGGCTGAGTAGGCGGCCGGAGGGGTCATGTACAGTGTGGTCTGCTTGTCAATTGACGGTCATTGCTTTGCTGTTCATTGTTTTGAACCCAAAGTCGCCCTACTGAGTCGTCCTGGGCACTGGTGATGCTGCCTCAGTAAGGCAGCCATCTTCGTGAAGAAAAGGGATCCGGAGTTGGGATAAGCACTACTTAAGTGTATTGCTTATCGAAGCACGGGATGCGACGTGTCAGTGCCCGTGCGCTTCTACTGCACGCCCTATGTACAACCTCCCCGCTTGCATTCATTCATCGCTCCCTCTGTAGCAGGTGGACATTTGTTCTGCGCCGGCCAGACCATGAATTTTCCGACCATCACGTTCACTGCCGTGCAGATACCTTCTGCAGGGTGGGGTCGTCCCTCCCCGGAGCCAGAGGAAGACAACAGCCGATCTGTCCGTGAACGATGCGCGTACTGCTCCAAACGCCAAGGGGACGATGGTATGCCTCTGAAAAAATGTGTTGGATGCAAGGCAGATAGGTACTGTGTGCGTCAAATCCCCTACTGTATGTCACCGCGCTCGACGCTGACACGTCGCATGCGGGCTTGTGCAGAGCAGGAAGTGCCAAAAGGCTGCTTGGCCAGTCCATAAGCAACGGTGCAAGATAGAGGCACAAATCCGTCTCGCCCCGGAGACGTTCGCGATATACCTGACGGGGGAAGCTGAGTGCCCCGAAACCCTGGAGTGCTTCCTAAACATACATGTCAACGCCATCAGCCAAGCTGCGGTGAACTCCGTTCGCCACCACTACCTACCCCCCTCCTGTCCTGACCCTGTCGCCGCTTCAAAAGAGCGCGAGGACGTACTGGTCATTGACCTACAAACCAGGTCATATGCCCACCATTTACCACCAAAGATGCGCTTCTGTGTCACGGACGCGCAGCAGGAAACGTTGGCATACTTCCCGCCACGGGAGCGCGAAGGTTTGCGCCTCAAGCTCCAGAGATGCAGAGAGGAGGCCACGGATGTTCATGGGCCATGTGGCTCAATGCTTGTCCTTCTGCGAGTTGCTGGGTCGCAGTACACTGGGCACCGAGTCATGACATATATGTTCTCGCTCGATCCGAACTGGCTGAACCCACGGCTCCACGCGGGTCTATGGAAGGAGTTGCTGTTCACCATGTTGAACAACGGCCTTGTGTTGTGAGCAGTGGCTCTGTATGGATTGGAAGAACTTTAGGTGTGTCAGATAGTACTACTGCATATAGGCTCAATGTTGTCCGAGTCGTCGATGCTGTGTTTGCTGTGTCACGGTATTGTGATGCGCACCGGCGGTGCGGCGTCTTGTCACGATGTAGTGTGTTTCATTGTACAGTATCGAGTTGTCGAGCTTTGGCTGTCGTCAAGGCTTCTTGCTGCGAAGCTCGGGAGGCTAGCTGGTCATGAGTGTGTTCGAAAGGAGCGACGAGAGAAGAATCTATTCACTTCGATTGACCATCCTCTGACCTCCCAGCCAGGTGTACTCTTGTGTCTCGACGAGTATACAAGCATTGCTCTTGATACATCAGGGAATCCTCAAGTCCAGAACGGTAAGTGAATGTCAACGCAACTAAGCCTAGTACAGTGTTGGTGTTTTTGGCTTTGACCCAGATCAGCTCATGCCGTTTTCTACACAGACTACATCCCAACATGAGCTTCCTGGGCCTCCGCAAGTGGCCACTCCTGCACTCCATCCGTCTGACTCGTCTGCGCTCTAGGTCGCCGAGCCTATGCGGCCTATCGTCGCCGCTAGTGCGGTCACTTTCTTCCTCGCCTCGAAGGCGCAGGACATAGCGGTCAAGTGTACGTCTGTCTGTTCGTGGGGCCCACTGTATGCATGCCCTGAGTATATCGCTCAAATTATGTACTGAGTACGGTGGCGATCGTCGGCGTGCTCCTGCCTGTATTGCTTCTCCCATGCCCGGCTTCAAGTTGTATGTCAGATGGTGATGAGTCTCCTCATTTTCTCAGCGATTAGCGGACTACACCCGAGGTCTGTGCAGGCTCGGGGGCGCGGGCTTTGGCCGAACGAGGTAGTGACCCCATCCAGATGCCAGTGCTGCGCGACTCGTTGGTGGACTAATAACTTGAAGTAGTACACTCAAACGGGTTCAACAAGTTCGATACATACTCGGTGGCTCGGGCTTTGGCCGAACCAGGTAGTGACTCGTTTCAGCCCCGGTGAGTGACATGATAAGTATAGATGAGCGCTGAGCTATCACTGCGTCCAATTGACTGCAATGACAGCTGCGGGTGCATGGTCTCGTACCCATCCGATGGGAGGATGTCACACCCTACCACCACACATTAATGTGCGGTGGTAGGGTGCGACATCCTCCCATCGGATGGGTACGAGACCACGGGTGCATCACACGGTGGCTGTTCATGTCGATCCATGCGGAGAGTACGCGGATTTTGTACTGCGCTTCCGTGCGCCGAGCAGTAGCCTGTCGACTAATGCCGCGTCAGGGGTTCCGGAATCCGGTCACTCGGGCATGCATATTCGAGAGCTGGTATAAAAGACGACAGGGGTGCCGCCGATAAGCATCATCTTTCGACCAGTTAGCATCTCTACTTGTCTAGCATCGCACAATGAACGTCTTCGCCATCGGTGCATCTCGCAACATCGGCTACCATGCAGCGCGTCGACTGCTTGGTGGGTTCATTCGTCGTCATATTTCATCGCTCAGCAGATTATCTAAACATCGTTTTTGCTACAGCCAAAGGCGCAATAGTGACGTTCCTCCTGCGCTCGACCTCCGTCTTCGACGACGACGAGGCGATTCAGCCTCACATCCGTGCCGGAACCGCACGCCTCGTCAAGGGCGATGCTTTGAAGGCAGAAGATGTGAAGCGCGGCTGGGAGGCGGCACAGGGTGCCAATAATGATACTGTCGACCTTGTCCTTTTCAGTGTCGGTGAGTTGTGTCCCTAATTCCTTGCGTCGTCAATAGCTAAGCATACATTGGTGATATAGGTGGGGTACCCTCATTCTACGCGACGAAAGGCTTCATCATCACCCCACCAAACCTTTGCACTCAGTCCTTCCTCAACCTCGTCACCACCATGCCCACCTCCCTCCGCGCACCCTCCGCGCAGCCGCGCTTCGTCGCCATCTCCTCCATCGGGCTCTCGCGCGCGTCGCATGCTGAGCTCCCGCTCCTCCTCAAGCCGTTCTACGGCTATTTCCTGCGCGGGCCGCACGCCGACAAGCTTGCGATGGAGCGCGTCATCGCTCACTGCGCAGGGTGGGAGTGGACGCACGAGACACCCGACACGGAGGCTCTCCCCTCGGATTGGACGAATCTACCCGGCCTGCCCGCGTTCGGCGAGCTGCAGCACGTCGTCGCGGTCCGGCCGGCGTTGCTGACAAGCGGGGCGTGCAAGGCGGACAAGAAGGATGGGAAGGAGCCGTATAGGGTCAAGGACTGCGAGCTCGGAGACGGGTATACCGTCTCGAGAGAAGATACCGCACATTTCTTGGTGGAGGGGCTCTTGCCGCATTGGGATCAGTGGGAGGGAAAGCGGGCCCATATTGCGTACTAGGATAGTCTACTGGGTATTTTTCTGCGATGTTGTATGATGCGTTTGTACTAATAACTAGCAATACAGTACGTGACTCGTGGTATGATGGCAAGTAGTCCTGTTTTTGTAGTGAAGGTGTCACGGACAATCAGTGACTGAGATATGCTCAGAGCATTCCACCAAGTACCGACCCTGTCCCTGGCACTGAGCAAGTCCTGCGGTTGACGACAGACGTGCAACTCGCTCTCGGACTCGTGAAATCCCGCGCGATGTATTTCTTGTTCGGGTTGTGATGAAGCAATAATGCGGAAGCTTATGAATGCCAGGGCACGCCGCGCGAGGCCGACTCGGAGTCCAGTGGCTGAATGTAGAACACTACCCGTGCCGCCGTGCAAGCAGCCCGGCCCCTGTGGGTGCAAGCATTACCATATATACACGTACCGATACGTGTATAGCTGACTGTTGCTGAGCTTCAGTTCTAGGTTCGAGCTGGTTCGAGCTCGAAGTGCAGTGAGGCGCAGGCGCCTATCAAAACACCAGTAGCCAAAAAGGGAAACTTTATCCGGAAAAGGAAACTTCGCACTCAGACTGTCCACTTTGATTCTGATTCTTGCTCTAGACAAAACTCGCTGCTCTTCGCTGCTATGGAGGGCTCAAAATGACGACAAAAGAGGTCCTACCAGGAATCGAACCTGGGTTACCGGAATTGTGCTGCAAAGTCAGAATCCGATGTGATAACCGCTACACTATGGGACCGTTGCACCCCTTTTCATGTACAAGAATAGAGAGCTTCTGGCCTACAAAGAACTGCTGATTACTAGCAGTAATAGCCCCCTGTGGTCACGTATAATAGTTACCCAGAAGCTCCGACGATGCAGGAATTCGAATAAGCAATTAGGTACGGTACCAGCCAGGAATGTCTGTTGTATGTGTTCGGAGATGCGGCTCGGGAAATCGTTGGGGGCGTGGTGGGACTTCTTCAATTTAGGCTGCTTCTGCCGGGCGCCCTGTACTTGGGCGCTAAGATGTTGTCTGGCCTTGTTTCCAGTCACGGCTTTGGGCTGTCTTGTTCTCTGGGACAATAAGTTGTCTCTCCCTCCGCTCCCTATCCCCACTGTCATTCAGGTCTTATGGGCGCCGCACTTTGCTGCTGCTCTGACCCCGTCGATCTTGACGGCGAGGTCGACCTCTACCACTTCGACCTCCTCCGCGCCGTCGGCAAAGGCGCCTTTGGCAAGGTACATCTAACCCCGCACCGCGCTGGCACTGTAACTGACCGCGTTCGTGCCCCAGGTTCGCGTCGTCGAACACAAGAAGACGAAGAAGCTTTATGCTCTCAAGTACATAGACAAGGCAAGGTGCATCAAGCAGAAGGCGGTCGCGAACATCATACAGGAGCGGAGGTTACTGGAGGAGGTGCGTTTCCTTTCTGCGTTTCCTCAGCTTCTGTTGACCACTTGCCAGATCGACCATCCGTTTGTTGTCAATCTGCGCTATGCATTCCAGGACGACGAGAACTGTTTCTTCGTGCTGGACCTCATGCTAGGAGGCGACCTGCGATGTACGTGTTCACATGACCGTCACTATCCGCTCTCATGCTGCCTACCAGTCCATTTGGATCGACTGGGTCGCATACAGGAGGATGTCGTGCGGTTCTGGACAGCAGAGCTGTCGTCCGCGCTGTCGTACCTCCACAGACAAGGTATCGTGCACAGGTGCGTGCCCCCTCTCCCACAGGTACCCAACATATGAACATCTGCACAGGGACATCAAACCCGACAACGTGCTGCTTGACTCCATGGGCCACGTCCACATAACGGACTTCAACGTCGCCATCCACTACTCCGAACGACGCCTGCATACAAGCGTGGCTGGGAGTATGGCCTACATGGCCCCGGAGGTCATCGGACACAAGGGCTACACTTGGTCTGTCGACTGGTGGAGCCTCGGTGTCGTCGTCTGGGAACTGTTGTTTCACAGACGTCCGTTTGATGGCCGGACCGCTGACAAGATGAAGCACTCCATCATGAAAGACGCTCTCCGGTTTCCCAGCAAGGCCAACGAGCTCTGCAGTGCAGAGGGTCAAGACGTACTACGCGGGGTACGTTCCCGTCACGCCACCCCCTGATGTCTGGCCATCTGTCATATTGACCTACGCGTCGGCAGCTCCTGGACAGGAATACCAAGACGCGTCTGGGATGCAAGGGCAGGGGCCGTGATATTCCCGACATCAGGGAACACCCGTGGTTCGCGTCCATTGATTGGGATGCGCTCGAGCAAAAAGATGCACAACCGCCTTTCGTGCCTGATGTGCGTTTCCACCGTGTACACTGCCTCCTGTCACCGGAAACGCTGACGACCTCCATCACAGATCAGCAAGGCCAATTTCGACGTGTCGCATGAGCTCGACGATTCTTGATGGTCGAGAAACCACTTACACACTCGAAACGCAAGGCGCATCCCGACCTTGAGAAGATGAAGCCCGAGTTGCGACAGCTTGAAGAACAGTGCGTCCCAGCGAGCTCCCCCCTGTGCCTGGTGTGGCTCACTTGTGTTGCGCGCGCAGATTCACGATATACGACTTCACGAAGAGCCGGCGAATGTCGTATTACCCGCATAATCAGCCGATCACGAGCGCAGGGCACGAAGCAGATGCAGAGGCTGTCGAGGTCACTCAGTCGACGACAAACACAGTGCAGCCAACGGCCACCATTGTCGAGCGATCGCGACCGGGCACGCCGTTCGAGGAGCAGGATGCATCGGGACGCGAGACACCCTATCCCATGCCTCAATCGCACTGAACTCTGAACGCCAGCCGTCGCAATAGTCACGGTGCGGCGTTGAGTCTCCTCCATTCGCTCTATCGGCCGGTCCTATCGTTGTTGCCTAGTGCCAGGCGCGCGCTCCACCTTATTGTCTCGCACGGCCGGACATTGTTTATTGCCTGCTCTTCGCTGTTGTATCATAGCCCATTCCCTCTCACCTGCTCTAGCGTCCGCGCGGCACCGGCCAACGTCGTAGTTACCCGGCTCGCTGGCCCAGCCTGCCTCATTGCGCCCAGCCCTCCACTTTCGGGACTTGGATACTTTGTACTCGGCGGCACGCCCACACCATCCACTGTATTATCACCATGCTCATCTCATCTTGCAACCCGGTGCTTGTCTGCACTTTGTTCTTTGTCTCATGCATGCTGCTTCGTTGCTTCGCTGCATTTCTCCGTCGACTTCTCGATGCTCGAATCTGGATACAGTTCACTTGGGTATTGCGTACACTATCAGCGTAGACATAATAGTCGGTATAATTAGACTAGGAGAACAAGGAATACCTTTTGGTATGCGGAACTGCGTCATATCGTATCGTGTCTGGGAGACTGATGGTATGTACTCTCGTTGCGCATTCCACGCGTGAGCACGAGCAGCAGGTTCTCAATCCGGGCTTGCCGATCCTGCGGAAGACATTCATTCATCATCAGCTCTTCGCCGTTGGCACGCTGGATACAAGGCGGAACCGCTGACAGACAACGACCGCGCCCACGCACCTGCAGCTCCTTCATTTCGTCCTTGAGCTTGTTTACGGGCAAGCTTCTCACATCTTCGACCATAGCCTCCAGCTTGCGGACGCCCGCGTCCATCCCGGCTGCAGCAGAGCTCACACGCTCGAGCTGGTTCGCGGAGCCGCTAGCCCGAGTGCTGTACAACCTACTCAACGGGCTGCGCGACCCAGCTGTCTGCATCTCCCCGGAGCTCGAAGCCGGCACTGCAGTCAGGGTGATGTTCCGCGGACGCGGCGAAACACTAGGTGAGACGCCCTCACGACGACTACGGCTCCTCGCCAAGGGGGGCGAGCGCGGTAGACTCACGCGTCGTCTGTGTCTAGGAGTTTCTGGTCCTGGCTGGGCTGAGGGCGGACGAGATGGGCGCGTGGGAGATCTTGGGAGAGGCTGTAGGTTGTCGCGAGAGGGGAACGAGAGCAGGGTCCCGCCGGGCACCGCGGTGCGTTCGTCTTCATGCTCGTCATCAGAATCGAAGAGGTCGGTCTCGTGTGAGACTTCGACGTCGAAGATAGCGTCGTAGACATCTGCAGAGCCGGATCCAAGCAAGTCGAATAAGGGTATCCTCTTCACGTTGCGCGTTAGGCGTGAGTAGAAACTCTGGTCGGCGTCACCCTCCCGCCATGTCTGGCGCTGGGCAAGGTACCTTTCGTAAAGGCTGATAATGATCAAGAAAGGGAAGGACTGCTTTGGGTGAGATAAACGTTGGCCAAGAAGAAAATTAGTCGCACCGTCAGTTTGATCAGCAATACGTTAGCGGAGTGCAGCGTCCGAGGGGATACGACGAAGCTTATTGGCCAAAGGATGACAAAGGCGAGTAGATTGAAAGGTGGCTGATAGCTGAAGAGGGCATCGGACTTGACCCTGAAGAATGCAATGGTCATGATGGGCCTCGTGGTAGGAAATTTTCAGTGGACGTTACCCCTCGATAGTTGATATCGCATATTGGAAGAGGTACTGATGGTCCCCAGTCAGCACTAGCCTATAATCCACAAATAAGTCTTCTCACCTCCTGTTTAGCGTTCTATGAAAGACAAAGCAGGTCAGTGCATGTTCTCAATTTATCATGAGTGCTAGGCCTTACAGCGTCGATTTGCGCGAAGGTGTTGGTAAGGATGGAAATCAGAACTGAGTTTGGTATCAGCCTTGATCAGACGGGCTGAACCTACAGAGAATGGACTCACTGGTGAGCAGTAGCGTGTTTGAGAGCGCAGCAAACATGGTCATGAGAATTGGCCCGAACACGGGATGAAAACTCGAAGCCTGCGCAAAGCTGAGATATGTGTTTCCGAACCAGATCTGGACCATTAGCCAGGTGATAGCCTTCACACTCCACGTGTCCTCGGCTTCAGGACAAGCCCAAACCTACATCAGCCATAGCCTTAAGATGAACTCATCGGGGAACAAATACCTAAGCTGTGTAGCGTGAAGAGCAGCCCGGAGAAGCATATAGCTGCGATGCCGATGAAGAATATGAAGTCCACAATCATCGCGCGTAGAGCTCTGATGCGAAGTTAGCAGAAGAACATGTGGATAAGAAGGCCACCTCACAGTACTACCACGTTGTTCGAGATGGCAAAGAATGCCAGACTGCATTGCAAATCAGTGATGAGATACAGCCGGAATTCGTCAGACCTTGGCTTACCGAGGGAATAGGATGCATGCGCCGCAAGCCAGTATGTCGAATCCCATCTCAGATGCACCGACTGCGCGAACGCAAACATAGCATATAAAAAAGAATGCACGCGACAGGCATTGTGCGACTTACCGTCATGATGCGCGAGACCTTTGATGCGGAAGCCGAGGTACACGAAGAACACCACGACGAACGATGTGTCGAATACGTTCCACATCTAGCACAGAGCTCAAGCGCGGACAGCCATATAAACAAACTCGTGGGACTTACACTGGCCATGTACACTGACAAGAACACGGTGAGCTCGAAGTACGTGTTACAGACAGTTCAGGTACTCACTGCCCCATCCATACTCCTTTGAGGCTGTGTACTCTTCGAGCGTGAACGCAGTAGCGAATAGTATGAACACAATCTCGAATCCATTCACTGTGCCGACTTCTCGATCTGTGCCAGGAGGTCATTATACGCGCACGCGTCCGTCCAACATACTGTTGTCACTCACTGGACAGACACAGAAGAAATGTGGTCAGCAAAAGAGCAAAATTTAAGAATTCCAAAATTGCGCCATATCTAGGCACGCGCAGCCGGTAGTGGTCAAGGAAGGGTGCTTTCCGATAGTCGTACATCTCAATTGCACGTGGCTTGTAGTTGTCAGCGAGAACAGAATGGGTCGACGCCATGGAGAAGATGACCCTCCCTGAGTATATATCGTTAACCACAGTTTGGACCACAGGTGCGGACAAGAAGGCCTTGGCTTCCGTGGAGATCGCGAGCTGACATTGAAGATGAGACACCGAGATGTCCTCTCACAAGGACGAAAGACTGACCTCCAAAGCACACTGCGGATCATCCTGCTCCTCAGTCCCCATGATGGACTTCACTTCCTGTATCACGTCTAGAGGTGCACCTGCAAGCGGACTCCAAGTAGCAGTCAAGGCAGCCACTAATCGGATCTTGGTGGAAGCGAACGTCCCAAGAAGCTTCATGGCGAGGATCTCACAGAGGCTTGCTCTGGAATACATGACGCCCGAGTATGCAAGGTTCTCTTGGGCTTCCGAAAGGAAGTGCGAGCGGACCACGAAACACGCGTACACCACCGCCAAATTGTCCAGTTTGGCATACTTGAAGACCAATGGGCGAACAACGGCAAAGTTAATATCCGACGCAGTAAGTTGGCTATATGCGTGTCAGGCATGATTACAGTACTCAGAAACGAGGAAATGCGTACTCCCAGCTTAGTGCCGTGTCTACGTGGCAGTGGTGTCATTCATATGTGCATGCATGAATGCATTGGCACGCACCGATGTCTTTCTGAAGCACCCGTTAGCCTAAATAACATGTCTCTGGAGTGTACTCACTTCAGCATCTCGCTTGATGGCTGGGATGAGCGGAAAGACCTTGACAGACGCAAGCATTTCCGGGGTTGGTCCAAGCAGCGAACTCGTTTGCTCTTCGTCCATGTCCGATTCGTTCCTCCCGAGTCGGAATTTGGCTAGGTATGCTGCCTAGTGCGAATTCGGTCTATCAAAGCAGGAGCAGAAGAACAGCTTGGTTGCTTCACGGCTTGCGCGTGTCTCGAGGGCGGGCCATTTGATAACCCGCAGAGCGGCGCGGTGCTCGTCGGACGTCGGTGTCCACAACGCGCGGTGCTTTCCAGTGCGTCAGAACACGTGACGGTTCCTAGATGCAGATTGCCAAAAAGGGATCGGATGCCACAAGGCAAGTGGCTCTGACTTCGCGCTTCAGACCGACCCTCATCTCTGCCTGGGAGGATTACCATTGTGCACAAGTGCCTATCATCCACATATCGACCGAATGGCTGCAGTGGGCCTGTCGAAGATCCCTACCTTGCGTGAGCTGTACAAGGCGGCAGCTCTTCGGGCCAGCGCGCTTCGATACCAGCCGAAAGATCAGTACCTGGACAGAGTATCTTTGTAGTGGGTAATCTCGCGTTCGATCTCTATGCATTCTCTTGTACGACAAATATTGGTAGCCAGGGGGATATCACCAAACTTGAGGTAGATGCTATCGTGAATGCAGCAAACAGAAGCTTACTAGGTAAGTACAACCACCATATTTTCTTGGTCTACTATGCAGACCTGACAGCAATCGAGGCGGAGGAGGCGGTAAGTACTTGTATCCTCGTTTGTATCCCACTGATGCCAGCATGTTGCAGTCGATGGTGCCATCCATGCCGCCGCAGGGCCTCACCTTCTGGACGAATGTGAGTATTGAATTATAATCCCGAATGTCACTTTTCTCCATATAAACTATAATTCGACAGGCCGCACTCTGAATGGTTGCGACACAGGAAACTCGAAGATTACGAAAGGATACGACCTACCTGCGTGAGTGCGCCTTTCCGCGAGAATGAGTGGCATCGTCACGCAGAAACATTCAGCCAGCATATTATACATACCGTGGGGCCCATCTACTCGGACCATAATGTCGAAGGGAAGGCGGAACAGCTGAAATCGTGCTACCAGACAAGCCTGCAGATAGCAGTGAAGAGTTCTCTCAAGCACGTCGTGAGCAGGCGTTCTGGTTTTTCAACAACATGAGTTAGCCTATCTAACTCGCCGATCTGTGTTCATAGGCATTTCCTTCGATCTCCACCGGAATTTATGGCTATCCGATAGAAGACGCTACCCACATCGCACTCGATACCGTACGACAATTTCTAGACTCGGACGAGGGAGAATCCGTACGTCGACTGAGTAACAAATCGTTCTTAGCTGTCTGACATGACCTGGTAGTTGCATCGTGTCATCTTCGTTGTTTGGAGCGACAAGGACAAGGGTGTCTACGAGTGAGTTGCATCGACATATTAGGGAAGAGCATCTCTAAATACTGAACCGACATTTAGGGACCTCATCCCACAGTACTTCCCTGAATCGGAGCAGGAATGACTGCCTAGGAAACATGCCCTTTGATGTCGTCTATGGGCCAAATTTCCCACAAATGTTTTGCAAGTTGTCTGCCTTGTATGAAGGCTCTATTTCAAAAGTTCAATCGTGCCGGCGTCCTTGCGTGGCTGGCCTTGAACTTGTGGCATCAGACTATCCCGTACTCTCCGGAAGCAGATGGCCCTCGTTTCCCCGATTGGTTCTGCTGCTGTGTGTAAAGCCTATTTACCTCGATCCGGATCATGGCGGATGGCCCGGACCGCCGTGTCTGCTCTATTCTACCCCGCATGACCTACGGAGCAACCAGTCGGACTACTCGTTTCTCGGTGTCGTGCAGCAGACCTGGATCCTGTGATCCAGAGTAACCTAACTTATGGTGCACGATGCTTCTGTGCAATGTTGTGCCTTGAACTGCACCTGGAACTGCACTCACGAATCCGCCAATATAAATGTCGAGGCTAACTTCTCGTGTGATTCTTTTACTGCGGCGTCTTCGCGCACAATCGCACAAACAGCCTGCGGGTCGCTACTGAACGCCGTTTTACTGAACCATGGGTCGGGTGTATAACATCTTCATTGCCATATTTTGCTCTATCGGTACGTCGCTGCCACAATGACTCTCAAGCGCGTAGCCCAGTTCAACGCAATACTCATCAGGGTCATTTCTCTTCGGGTATGCTCAACTCTCTGTCGTCTGAGGCCCAGCTCAACATCTTTATCAACACTGCAAATGTTTAGTTATGACAGGTGAAGAACTGCAGCTGGGACATCGCAGCAATGGCTGACTTACATGTCATTGTAGTGGAGTTATCGCCTCCGTCATTACATTTGGCCAGTTTGAGGACTTCGTCGACGACCCTGCAAAGTACAGTAGCCTTTCTGGAGCTGTGGTCTCTACGTTCACGGGTGCGACTCATTCTACCGACGCCTACTGAACTAGCTCATGTGCTCCGCGTAGGTGGATGCTTCTTCGGATGCATGTTGGCAGGATGGTATGTCGATCTATCGTTCGCCCGTCGTGGTCTTACATGTCTAAGTGGGTCTCAGGACGAGTGACAAAATAGGGAGAAAGCGGAGCATACAGGTCTGTTGCTCGACTGCAGAACTGTATCAGCTGTGACAAGGGATTGCTTTATCAGCTAGGTGCTCTCATAGACCTATGGGGATGTGCCATGCAAGCCGGCGCAAATAATTTCGCTTGCATGCTCATAGGTCGTATCATTGCGGGCTTTGCCATAGGGTGCTTGTCGCATTGTATTACCAATGACGTCCATACTGACCACTCCACTTGCAGAATTCTGTCCATGTCTGTGCCATTGTACAACGTCAGAGCGTTACCTCTTTACGGAAGCTTGCTCTAATATCTGCTGTCTATAGACGGAGATCGCACCGCCAAGAATCCGCGGCTTCATCGTAGGTCTGGCTCAGCAAATGATCGGCATAGGGTTCATTGTTGCGAATTGGGTATGCATAGCACCGCCGATTTATTAGAGCATGCGTCTCAGAAGTCTTACCCATAGGTCGGCTATGGCTGCCAATACATTAACGGTTACGGAAGCTGGCGGCTCGCGTTGGGTCTACAGGTCCGTCAAACCCAGGTCAGCGTCGCACAGCCTGCGTGGTAATACATTGCCGTAGCTTGTACCTGCCTTCATGCTGCTCGTCGGCATTCAATTTCTGCCTTATTCGCCAGTAAGCTGACTATTCCAGCAGAGCGTACGTTTGTGCTGAGTCCTTCACCTCAGCGTTGGCTTCTCGAGCAAAATCGTGACGACGAGGCTCGGGCGGTCGTCTATAAGCTGCATGGAGTGGAATCCACTGAGAAGAAGGAGTCCGCAGACGCCGAGTTCACTGACATGCAGCTCACGATCAGGGCTGAGACGACGACAAGATCCCGACGACTCAATGATCTTTGGGAGACGCCGGCGATGCTCAAGCGTACTCTGGTTGCTGTGGGAGTGCAGGTCTTCGGACAGTTCTCAGGGATCAATGGTGTCGTATTCCCTGCATATTCTTGTGTCTCATGCGCTCAAGGTCTTCCACGTATGTCGCAGTCATCAATTACTTTGGACCATCGATGTACCAGTCGCTCGGTCTGAGCTCCGGACAATCACTGCTCATTCAGGGGATCTACGGCGCCGTAGGCCCTATCACGAACTTCATGTTAGTCCTTGCATGTCGGGTGATTTGCGATGTCTACTGAAACGAACGCTGCAGATTCATTACATGTATCCTCGACAACGTCGGACGGAAGAAACCACTCATGTTTGGCGCGGCCGGCTTTGTTGCTACGTACTCCGTTCTCACTGCCATAGTCGCAAGCTTTCCACCGGGATCATCGGACAATCATCCTGCTCAGCGTGCTGGAATTGCCATGATCTTCCTGACCAGTATCCTCTTCTCGCTGAGCTTCGGACCGATCAGCTGGGTATTGACGTCTGAGGTGAGTTCAGTGCTTGCGCATGGCAAGACACAAAGATAAAAAGCTACTGTGTACAGGTGTTTCCGACGAAGACGCGATCTATCGGTACGGCAGTCGCAGTATGCGCGAACTGGGCCTTCAACGTGCTGTTCTCTCAGGTAGGTTTATTTCTTGTCCTGCAAAGTCTGCGTCTCTGATTCCCATCCTCCTGTACTACTAGGTATCCAACATGGCTATCGACAACGTAGGTTGGAGGTATTACCTGCTATTCATTCTCCTCAACTTCGTCGACTTCTGCTTGATCGCACTCTTCTTCCCCGAGACGAAAGGTGCGCTCGTGACCGCCATTTCTAATTACCAGATAAAACTGAAACTGCCACCTCGTCAGGGAAATCGTTGGAACAGATGGCAGAGGTCTTCGGGGACGATGTTGATCCTCACGAGATACTGGGACATCATCCGGATGCTCAAGACGCACTGGATGACACCTCCGGGAAGCATAAAGAGGCGTGACGAGTCTTCATTGCGATAATATCGAATGTATCTCAGTCACGGTGGTGCATCTCTTCGGGTCATGTATGTAGGATTAAGATGATGCCTCACAACAATGCTTTCATGAGCACGAAATTGTCGCCATCAATTTTTGTGCCTCTATCCGAGTCTATCGCTGCGTTCAACCAAGTTACTTTGCCAATGATACAGCACAATCTGAACGCGTGCCAGTGCACTGGCACCCCTCTTCCTGAAGACCGCTGATCTGCTTGAGCTAATTCTTCCACTTAGAGCGACTGCTGTACCGCACATGAGTCCTGTAAAGCTAGCTTCTGTGAAGCCCTGACTTCTAAAGCTCGAAGTGAAGATATGTACTTCAGTACGCTTATGCGTGCCAGTAAAACAATGGCCCACTGAACGCAATCACATGACCGCCTTTCTGCTTCCGCCACGATCGTCGAATCTCGATCAGGTTGCAGACTTAATTCACACCTCCTGCCTGCATCCAAAGTTGCCGCAAGCCTACTAGCAGCGGACTACAATATGGAGCGTACAAGTGTACTCTCACTACCCGTTGAAGTGAGTCCCCTATTGTCCCGCTCGTACGTTTACCAACATAGTATCAAAGCTGCTATACGACATACATATTCACGCAGCGTCCCCGAATCTCCCGCTGGCATGCAAGCATCTCTATGCCGTGTGCAAGTCTGCACCAACCTCTGTCCACGCTCAGTATCTCATTGAGAGCTATCACTCCGCTCGTGCCTACAGCACCGTCGCCGATATCATCTCCTTGGCCCTTCGGTACCCTGTCTGCACTCAGGCCGTCCTTGACACAATCATCAGGAGCCCCGAGTATCCCACTCTGTCCTCAGAAAACCGAAGAAAGAGGACGGAGCTGCCGCGGAGACTCTTTCGCAACTTATCGCCGCGTCCTACAAGCATAGGCAAGCGGAAGCGAGGCGAGCCAGAACCTTCCGGGTGGACAGAAGACGACGACCCGCTGCCTTTCCTTCGCTACCTCTATGCCCACCCGCGCATTCGTACGCCGGGAGCCGACTCCTGGGAAGGCTACGCGCTGACGAAAGCTGTACACGCCGAATTCATTCCTCTCGTGCAATTTTTGCTCGAACATGGCGCGTCGCCTCAGACGAAGGGCGCCCTCGCAGTCATGGTCGCCATCCGGCGTAAGAATCTGCCGTTGGTGCGTTTGCTCATCGAGCGCGATGGCCCGCGACAAACCTACAAGCGGCCAAGGATGAGGGATGAGGGACCCGGTGTGGTGACGGGGAGGGACGGGATATCTGCGGATTCAGCCCGGGGGAACGATACCGTGACGCGCGATAACGGTGCAAAGAGACGGAAACTGGGGGACAGAGTACAGGTGAACCAGGAGATGGTCAAGACGGCGGTGCAGTCTAATGCTCGAGACATTGTGGAGTATTTTATCCACGAGAAAGGCTGCGTGCCAGACATGCAGACAGTTCTACTCATGGGAGCGAGTAGATAGCATTAACACTCGTTGGCGCTTGTACATACCGCAAGCATGGCGATGTTCACTCCTGCACAAGACATCGCTCAGAGTGTGGTACACAGGTTCGGATGTATCTTCGGATAATGAGACAAGGAATGCTAGACTGAAAACAACAATGCGAAGAGCGAAACGTAGCTAGTCGTCGAGGGTCGTCTAGACACGGAGGGATGGGAGGTAGAGATATACACGTACGCTGGGGATACAAGGATAGAAATACATCTCAGATGTCGTCGATATCAACCTCGTCCTCGTCGCCGAACTCGAAGGTACACTCGCCCTCCTCGTCGCCGAATGTCTCTGTTTCGTTGATCTTGGCATTCTCGGGGAGCTCGCCGTATGCTTTCACTGATGATGTAGGTGAGCCCGCAGTGCATAGATAATGCAGGTGGGAATACATACAACTCCGTGCCTCGTCGGCAGTATACTTCACGATGACATCCGCCTTGTCATCCTGGAACTCTCGGAGGGACAGAAGGATAATGTCGCCCTGATTGATCCAGACCTATGATGGCGGCGTTACAGCATTGGAAAGGATGAAGTAGACGATTGGGACGGACCTTCTTCCTCATCTTGCCACGGATATGAGCCAGTCTCTTCTCGCCATCGAAACATTGCGCCTCCAGCCGCCCATTGCCCAACATCTTTATTACTTGAGCATATTCCTGGCCGTCCTCCCGGAAGACCAGCTCGCGCTTGTCACCATCGTTCTCGTTCTTTCCACGTCTCCGGTTCTTACCACCCTATAGTCACAGTAAGTATGTGTCACAATGGGATCCCCTGCAGGTCGTGCTAACCTTTCCCTTGTTCTGCAGAAAAGTGTAAGTAAGCGATCGTACCGATTATGGCTGAGGACATACCTTGGGCATGTTCGATGGATTGGACTACTTTCTCTCGCTGAGAACTGTCTCTGCCGTGTGGTGTGTATGTCCGTCTATGTATACGGACGAGTCAAAGGGATCCCAGAGGGATGGCGGTAGCGAGCAAGGAGTCAAGAGACAGAGCGATGGAGGCGCGGCTTGTGCAGCCTTGCGCCGGATCTCGATCTTTCGCACGCCCCGTCACGCGTTACAGCTCCTACGTGACTGGGTACTCGGCTATCGGTCACATGTGACCCCGCACAGACTTGCACGCGCATCACCAGCATCCCTCAACCCACCTCACGCATCTTCGACTACCCGACTCGACTTAAACCACCATGGAGAACGAGATAGACGGATGGATCGCACAGCTCAGCCAGTGTAAGCAGCTTTCGGAGCCCGACGTGAAGCGGCTATGCGACATGGTGCGTGCCAGGTTGCACTTGCGGTTGATAACAACGGTTCGCCACCAGGACGTGTGCGAACCGCTGTTAGCATCCCGGTGTATGCGATGTTCGAGGTGTGCTCATGTTGGTTGTATTTCACGCCAGACGCGGGAGATTCTCATGGTCGAATCAAACGTCCAGCCTGTGAGGTGTCCTGTGACTGTTTGCGGTGATATTCATGGTCAATTCGTACGTGTACAATACGGGATCGATCGGAGGTTTGGTAACGTTAACGTTTGAACATGCATAGCACGACCTCTCGGAGCTCTTCCGCATCGGCGGGAACTCACCCGACACGAATTATCTATTCATGGGCGACTACGTTGACCGGGGGTACTACTCCGTCGAGACCGTCACTCTTCTCGTCGCGCTCAAGCTGCGCTACCGCGACCGCGTCACCATCCTCCGAGGCAACCACGAGTCGCGGCAAATCACGCAGGTGTATGGGTTTTACGATGAGTGCTTGCGGAAGTATGGCAATGCAAATGTGTGGAGATACTTCACGGATCTCTTCGATTACCTCCCTCTTACCGCCCTGATCGAGAACCAAGTGAGTGGCCAGTTCTGCGGTACAGCACCCCGCGTTCTGACGGGCCACAATCAACGATCAGATCTTCTGCCTTCACGGGGGCCTCTCGCCATCCATCGACACTCTCGACCATGTTCGGGGCATTGATCGTGTGCAGGAGGTTCCTCATGAAGGGCCGATGTGTGACCTCCTGTGGTCTGACCCCGATGACCGATGCGGTTGGGGGATATCGCCGCGTGGTGCTGGTTATACGTTCGGGCAGGACATCAGTGAGGCGTTCAACCATAACAATGGTCTTACATTGGTTGCGCGGGCGCACCAACTCATCATGGAGGGTGCGTACTACTTCGGAGGCATTAAGACGCACTCAAACCGTCCTCCTTCCAGGCTATAATTGGAGTCAGGACCGGAACGTTGTCACTATTTTCTCTGCACCAAACTACTGCTACCGCTGCGGCAACCAGGCGGCGATTATGGAGATGGACGAAAAACTATCGTATAGCTTGTGCGTTACCATCATGCCCATGTATGTTTGAGCCCGTCACTGATCGATGTGTACCGCATAGCCTACAATTCGACCCCGCGCCCAGAGTGGGAGAGCCTCTCGTGTCGCGACGCGTACCGGACTATTTCCTCGTGAGTAGGCGTCATCATCGCTCTGGCGAGAAAGCTAACCCCTATGTGCAGTGATCCTTGCTTTGTTTCATGCATTTGGCGGCACATCCTTGATGTTACAGTACAGTACATAGCAATTGTCAGATACAGTGTAGCACATCCAGAAGACGAAGTTGATACCTCATTTCCTGTATTTTGTTCCTTACTGTGACGTCTGCTTTGGACCGACAATGGACCTCTCGAGACAAAACAATCTACTAAGTTATAATGAACTGAGACTTGTGAGGTCCATGGCCGCAAACATCATGTATGCGACACAGACCATGTCAATTATGCAGCAAGCTGTATGCTAATGACAGGCATGAACGTGAGTACCGGCCGGCAACAGAGCGATGTGTGGATTATGCACAGCATGCATTTAATGATACAGATTATTGCTTGATCTACTCCTCTGCTTGTCCAGAGACAATGACGTCGTCTGCGGCAAATGCAGTCAGTCACAATTCACCAGGACTCACAGGTTAAAACTCACCTATTTTGAGTACAGCCCGTACCAACTACAAGTGATATACGGTCAGTCTCATTATGAATTGAACATATGGACACAACTACATACCTGTGTCGCCAAAAGATATTGCTGGCGCTTCGAGATGAGCGGGTCGTAGACAAACTGCTTCTTCATGTCTAAGGGGCGATGAGACTCCCTTGCTTGATTTGCATGGCTAAGTATCAACGCACCGATGTCTCCCCGTCCCAAGCAGTCAATGCCGAGAACGGAGTTGCCCTCCTTGACCTGCCGGCTCTTGACCTCCGCGAGCGTTTCTATCGGCGACAAACCGCTGTTCTCCGCGAGCGCGAGGGGCACAGAATCCAGCGCGGACGCAAACGCGCGCATCGCATACTGCTCGATAGACGGGATCTAGACAAGAATCCACGATCGTGAGAACAGTGTTGCACCTAGGAACGCCAGATCTTCTGCGTACCTCATCCGCAGCTTTCGCAACCGCGAGCGAACAGCTGATGTCCGCCGCACCTCCACCGTACACTACACGGTTGTCAACGACAATGTTCCGGACCGCGCAGAGCGCGTCGTGGAGGGCGCGCTTCGCCTCGTCCACGATCTAGGTCACAGCTGGATCAGCGAGACGCAGACGGAAGGGCTTAGGTGACATACCATCTTGTTGCTCCCCCTGACGAAGACGGTGACTGTCCGGGCTTGGCACACTCCTCGATCACCAGCATCTTGTCCCTTGTGGTCCCGAAGGACACCTCGCGTACGATACCCGCCTTGCCGAGCTTCTCTGCCGTAAGGTCTTCAAAGCGCGGGACGATGCGACCATTGTTGCGATGCAATGAGCTGGGTGCCGTTAGCGAGTCGTAGTCAACGAACGAAAATAGAGGGTGCACACCTCGATCTCAGGGCCACCGACCCATCGCACAGAGGGGAGATCGTTCTGCATGAGAAGGTGGTTCGCCTCATCGTCGAACCCCACTGGCAGATTACGAGGTTCGCGCCGGTGTCCTTCACCTGCTTGATCATGCTCTGGAACTTGTCCTGCTCGTACTCTCTCAGCCGCTTGTACTCGTCTACGCTAGTAATGTCGAGCTTGTGTTTCGTCTTCGGGCGGGGAGGCTCGAACGGACAGGTGAGGATCGCATTTTCGCGTCCCTCACGGAATGGGGCATCTGAGGGTGGAGAAGTCTTTGTCCACGAGTACACCCTTGATGAGTGCCGTGTCCGCTAGCGACCGCCGACCTTGCCATCCACCTTGATGAGGTCGAAAGGCACGTCCTTGCGCTCGAAGTCCGCTACTGCAAGGACAGCGTCTACCGCGATCTCTGCGAACTTGTCATGCTCCATCGAACACTGGATGACGCATGAATGAAATGGCACTCCTGAGAGTAAGTGACTGACATTTTGCTTCCAAGACTGGTCTTGGCCGTTTTGACGAGGTTGGAGGTGTCAGAGAGTGTGAACTCTACTTTGTCAGAGATTTTGTCCAGGTGCTCTACTGCAACAACACATGCGCGGTCGAAGCCATCTGCTATTCGGATCGGATGGATGCCGCGGTCGAGCAGCGCTTCACTCTGCTCCAGAAGTGCACCAGCGAGGACTGTGCAGTAGAGTTCGTAGTTGTTCATGCCTCTGGAAATGCTCTGGTCACGCACCAACGACACCCGTAGTACCATCCCCGATCTCATCGTCCTGGCTCTTGGACAATTGCACGAGCAGCTTTGCGATCTGGTGGTCGACTTCCATCTGACTGAGGATGGTAGCGCCATCGTTAGTCACCGTGATATCGCCATCCGGGGAGATGAGGATCTTGTCGAGCCCTTAATCCGAGCATTAGGAAGACATGAAGGTTGTGCCAGGTCGCGTACTAACCTCGCGGGCCGAGGGATGTGCGAATGATGTTTGCGACAGTCCGGGCGGCGAGAATGTGCGACTAGAGGGATTTCAGATTAAAACTACTATATGGAACAGGAGTTACGATGGTGCTTACTTTGATTGCCTCTACACCATGACTGCGAGTCTTCTTCGCCTGTTCTCGCAGAATGATGAAGGGACGCCCATACTGGAGAGCTTTGAGCAACAGTACTGCGAGCGAATGAGAGCACAAAACAAACCTCGTCCGTGGCATACATAGCTTGTGGTTCAGCCATCTTGGATTCGGGACGCGTACAAGCAAGAAAGCAGAACGTCTGCTGCACAAGCTAGCGCCGTGACGCGATCGCGCCTGGGTAACTCGTGACACAAAGAAGCACGCGTCCCGTCACGCAGTCGTCACGCGTTTGATGCGCGACTCGACGCGTCTTTCTCAACGTTGCTTTACCCAATCTTTGCTCTGCCCATGAAGTTTACCCCTGTATGCGATGTACGCAGTTAGCGACAGACAGGCCACCACTTCTTGAGACACATAGCTGGAGTCTGTCTTTCTCTGACGCGCATGACATTTACAGAAAGGCCCTGAACCGCGTTCGGTAGGAACAACCTGCGCGGAAGCAGCCGTGAAACCTGCCAGGGCCTACACCACATCCTGAGGGGGTAACGTTCCAAGGTACGCAGCTTCGATTCTCTTTAGATTCTGTTGTGCATGCAGGCGGCCGGCCTTGTGGCCGCATCTTACCGCACTGCATGGGCAGCAATCTTCCATCAGGCGCTTTGTTACCGCTTCCTATGTGGCCGGGCTGCAGGCCGCCGAGGTATTCCCCGTCAAGAACATCCCGAGCTGAGCGTCTGCTTCCATTGAACTTAGGCCGTCAAAGTCGGCGGTGACTCCCACCCCGTGGCTCTGACCATCTGGGAACGCGAACCGTTCTCTGAAGCCATGCCTTGCCGGACAGCAGTCGCTTGCTCGAGGCTACAGCATCCATCTCACTGCGGGTCTGGACATCCTATTATGGCAATTGACACATGGATGAAAGACGCATGGCTAGAAGGCGCTCTGGAGCCCGCAACACACACCGAGCGCCATCCATCACAGGCCGAGAAGCAACATGATGCGACCACCGAAACTGGAAGCTCGGACATCAAACGTCTCACACAACATCTACTGCCCTGGCTCTCCCGAGGGAATGATCAAATGTCACTTGATTCGATTCCAGACTTCATATACCCGAAGATCCCAACCTGACGGCCCAAACTTGCTCGTCCCTTACCCCCGCGCAAACGTCCTGCATCATGTCCACTTCCCTGGTCTATACCCCCGTCGATGAGATTCCCCAAGTGAGTTGTCTCAGTATCTATGGGAACCCTTACTAGAATATATGTCCTCGCATTCAGATCCACCAGAGCTTGAAGCAGGGCTTCGCCTCAGGGAAGTCGAAAGATATTCAATGGCGCAAGAGGCAGATTCTCCAGCTATGGCACCTTGTCGAGGACAACCTCGACCGCATGCGCAAGGCACTCTTCGATGACCTTGGCCGGGCGCCGAATGAGTCAGACGGGTGCGCTACCTCTCACTCAGGCTGACATTCCACTCAGGGCTACGCTCATCATGATACTGCAGCACTGAGTTGAACTCCATCGTACTGGAGATCAAACAAGCGTATGACAATGTAGGGAAGTGGTCCCAGACCGAACGGGCGTCCTGGCATTACATGTGGTTTGCCATGTCTCCTGCTACAAGGATCGAGCCTAAGGGCGTTGTGCTCATCATCACGCCTTTCAACTTTCCGTTGTACTTGTGTCTTGCTCCATTTGTGCGTTACATGCTTACCTGTCTTGCGAGCGACTGAATGTAGAGTCAACTCACAGGCTGCGGCGATTGCAGCTGGCAATGCTTGCATACTGAAACCCTCAGAGGGCGCTCCGGCATGTTCTTCGCTCCTAGCCGAGCTGTTCCCAAAATACATGGACCCAGACTTCTTCCGGGTAGTCAATGGCGCCATCCCCGAGACCACAAAGGTGAGTGTGGATACAAATATGCTTCCATTAGGCGGATTTTCACGATACTACGCAGCTCCTTGAGCTTCAATGGGACCACAGTGAGTTCACTCATAACCGTACATTGCATGTACACCCGTAATCAACCAATTTTACCCCCACTTGAAAGTATTGTACACGGGTGAGCAGATGACGTCCCTGTAATCGTAGTTTATAGAACTCACACGCGCGGTTCAGGGAATCAGTCTGTTGCGAAGGTCGTATGCACTGCTGCCGCACAGCACCTAACGCCGGTGACCCTTGAGGCAAGTCCAGAACAGTGTCCCTGTCATGATCTCTCCCAACTGAAACCTCCGACAGCTCGGAGGTATGCATACTCATTGATTGTTGAGAGCTCCTGTGCCCCGGAACTCACCGCTTGATCCAAAGGCAAAAATGCGGCGGTCATTGACCCTAGAGTCAGCAACCTCAAAGTTGCAGCGAAGCGCCTGATGTGGGGAAAGCTCACCAACGCCGGGCAGGTGTGTTTCATGCGATCAATTGAATCTAGCCCGGATGATCTCACTATCTACTTTCCTCCAGATCTGTATGTCGCCGGATTACGCGATTGTGCCGGAGCATTTCCAGGACACGTTCATTGAGGCGTGCAAGCAGGCGTATTACGACATGCATCCGAAGGACCCGAAGGAAACAGGGAACATGGCGCGCATCGTGAACGAGCGGCATGCGAAGCGCGTGGGGCGGCTGTTGGCGAATACCAAGGGCGAGGTTGTTCTGGGCGGGAACATTGACATGGAGACGTATTTCTGTGAGGCGACCATCGTGAAGGATGTCAAGCTCGATGATATTCTCATGAGCGAGTATGTCTGGCGTTTGTTCTTGCTGTTCGGCGTGGAAGCTGAACGTCACGGTGCGATAGGGAGATCTTCGCTCCGATCCTGCCTGTTATCCCCGTGAAGGACGTGGACGAGGCCATCAAGGTCATCAACAGCCTGTAAGTCGACAACCGACATTGTTCCGTCCCTACAGTGCTCATTCCGGATGCGCCAGGGGTCATGCACTAGTCCTCCACGTCTTCTCGAGCGACTCGGCGTACAAGAAGAAAGTCTTCGACAATACTAAAAGTGGTCTGGCCGTCGCCAATGAGACCCTTCTTCACATTCAAGGTATGTTGAAATAATTTAGGCATCGTGGCGCGTCGTCTGAAGGTCATGATTTTCAGCGGTGGGAATCCCTTTCGGCGGTGTAGGATCCTCTGGATGTGAGTCTTTACGTCTCACAGTGTCACCGACGGACATGTCTGACCGGACGATTCAGATGGCGCTACAACAGGCAAGGCTGCTTTCGATCAATTTGTCCACCGGAGAGGTTCGATCGACAGTCCGTTCTGGCTGGACACCATGATGCTCTACACGCGCTACCCGCCGTACACAGTGAGTCTTGAGGAGCTTTGCCGATACGTTACCGCGGCATCGCTGACACATGCTTGTGCTCGCAGAAAAGCAACATGACAATGCTCAACATGTTCATGCACCCCAAGCCGCCAGCGTAAGCAGCGAATGCCGACTGTTGTCGCAGCTGTTGCTCCGCTTCGGGTGGATCTTCTGTGCATATCATATATGTACAGCTACGTCCATGGACGAGCGTTTTGTCATCTTCTGCCTTTGTAGACGCGTTGTATTCACGGGTCAGATCCCGGTGTAGTCACTCATTTTGGGTTTACTGGTAGTGACACTCTTTTGCCATCGTTCCTGCTGTCTCGTAGTTCTCGTACTCACACGCTATCACTGCAATTTGCTGATACCACACTGTTCTACTTTCTGAAGTGTGAAGCCGGGGCTGGCTGAAACTGGTCAGAACATTTCAAAACATCCAAGGTGCGTACATGCAGATTGCAGATATCTTCAGTATAGTAGCAGTAGTGACCGAGTTCCTCTCGATGAAAATAAGGCAGAGCAAGGCGTGACCTACTTGTTGCGTAGGTTCCAGGGTCATGGCAACGCTTCAGACAACTAATACCATCCCAGCCAAGTCTTCGCCGTATTATCAGTGGCAAACTATGTAGAAACACTGGCATGCCTCGCAAAGATTCCTCGAAAGCAATTCAAATGACCGGCATGCGTGAATATTTAGCGTTAGATGCCTCAAAATGCAAGAACGTCCACAAAGATGACAAGCATGTCTACTGCATGCATTGCAGAGATCGGTCACGCCGCAATGGAGACAGGCTGCGGCTCGGACTCAACATCATCAGCGTCATCAACCTGCTTCAAGTCGAGTCCCCTCACCCCATCAGACAGGGTAGCAGCCTCCGACCGATCTGCGACCACCACGTCCTCCTTCTCATCCTGCCCCTCCCGGATCGCCTCACTCTCACCCTCCCTTGCACCTCCTTGATCTTGATATCCCACTCCCGAATGCCGACCTTGGCGCCCATCGCCCGCCACTCTTCCAGCCTGCGCTGCCTGTGCTCGTCGCACATCCGGACGACTGCGGGCCAGTAGCGCGCGTGGTCGTACTCGAAGTCGCACTCGCCGCCCCACTCACGCATGAGCATGTCGGGCGCGAAGAGGCCCTCCTTGATGCAGTCCGGATTGAAGCGCATCTTCTCGCGCGTGCGCGGGTCGACGAAGGGCGTGATCATCTTGAGGAAGGCGTGCACGAGCCAGGGGACGTTGACGATGAGCGAGCGGCCGAGGCGTTCGGGGTCTGTGGATGTGGGTGAGGCGCGGGGAACGTGGGAGGAGGGAAGAGCTTACAGTGACCTTGGAGAATGTTGAGGGTCTGTGGAGGCGTGATGAGGCGAGCCTTGTAACCGAGCTAGGATGTATCATGTGAGAAGGAGACGCACCGCTCGCGAGGTTTGTAAGGACGGGTTCTTCGCCCGGTCAGCGAAGTCTACCATGAGGGCAATATTCCTGAAAGCCGTACGGTGTCAGCAACGGTAGTCCAACATGCCGACGAGTAGATTGACGCACTCGATGCCAGGGCCCATCAGATCCTCGCACCGTTCCAGAGCCCATACGACGAAGTGTAGCTGCTTAGGATTCTCCTCCGTGTTCTGCTTACTCGGGCGGAGATACAGCGCTGGCCGACCGTCTTTGTCGTACCCAAAGATGATCATCTTGCCTGTCAGGGCCTGCACGCAAGCCGTCATTTTCGACCACCATGTCTTCACATAACATACGTGGACTCACCTCAGGCTCGACATGGTCTGCGGTGATCATGTCATATACACCATACTCTCGGCGCCATATGAGGGTCTCTTCGAGTCGCTTGATTGCACTCTTGGCCGATACCCACTTCACTGCGCGGCAGTATCTGGAGACGCATCAGGATGTGGGATGGCTTGGTAAGAGTAGGACCTGGGGACTCAGGATGGTCCTACCGCCTGAACGGCTTGGTCGCACCTGTGTATACAATCCCATGTCTATCATGCGAGTTAATATAAAAGCAATAACGGAGAATGAGTTCACTAGGAGAGCGACAGGAGCTTGCATAGAGGCTTGGGACTCGGCGACTACGCTAGAGAGGACTTACCAGCCAGAACTTCTCCGCCTCCTTCAATGACCTATCCTCCTCGCATGGAAGTTCATAGTCCTCCGCCGCAAAGTGGCTGAGCACCGCGTCAAACACCTTTTGCTGCTCTTCCGTGAGCTCGAGCTCCTTCGGAGGGCCTGAGTGATTCTCCGCGAGTCGAGGTATGGGAAGGGGCTCGTAGATGCGGTCGGCGCTGTGCGATTCACTGGCAGATGTCTTGTTGCTGAAGACACTCATCGTGATGGATGAGGAAAAGATAGACTGACACAGCCACGACCGTCAGAGTATAAATGCGGAATGCAAATCGTTCGACGAGGGCGGCAGCCAGTGGAGATACAGCGCGTCCCGAGAGCCAGAAAGGCAGCCACCGTGCCGCCAACAGCGAGGCCGCGCGCGTCTGCACGGTCACGTGGCCGCACTTTCTGGGCAACGCTGGGCGCTCGTTCCCTGCGCCGGACGACGACGGAAGACGCGGGTCTCCTCAGCACACGACCGCCACCAAATGCCCTTCCTCAGGCCTATGGCGAACAAGTCCTCTCGCATGAGAGCCCTAGCGCTGTACAAGGAGCTTCATAGGCTGGGCAGGGATTACCCCGATCCTTCGTACGTTGCCTATCTGTCGTTCAGGAGCGAGGGGCTAAGGGATACTGGTCGTGTGCTTAATTGGCAGGTACAATTTTCATGGGAAGTTGCGAGGTCTGTTCGAGAGTGCGTACAGAGGTCCGTACGCATGTGCGTGTAGGCTCACGAAGTGTCTTGTCCAGAGAACAGGAATCTGCATGATCCGGAGGAGATAGAGAGGGCACTCAAACTCGGGGAGTATATTCGCAATGGTGTGTAGTCATCCCTTGGTGAAATCTCCTCTTGATCGCTCACCATCCCTCTACACCGTTACAGAAACATTGGCGCTGTATTCACTACGCAAATATCGACATCTAAAGCGGATGTATCCCGACGACTCACGTAGCGATACTTTCTCGTGACATGACTAGTACGCTACTGCGGCAGCTCCTCGCTGTTTTCCTGACCTTTGATAGTTGCTCGTTCTGCAGATGTGACAGACCCGTTCTTCGCTCGCACGGATGCCGGTTTCCCCCGCCATGCCTCGGTGGGCTGGGCTGTGTAGACCCTCGACCTTCCGACATTACGAACCCATGTCGTCATACCAGCAGTTAGCTGGACATGTATCGTGCCATTGCATCAGGGACCATTCCTGCACTATAATAGTGCGTCTACTCTATTGGCTCCATGCATCCGTGATACGCTTTCCGGACCGTTCACTTTCGTTTCGCTCATCTAGATGCTTGTACTGTATCCGAATCATCATTAGTTGTACTCTACTGTGCGAGGGCACATGAACAGAGCGCGAGACTTCACTTGGATCAATGCGCTTCAATCCGGTCGGAACAAGCCCCTTCCACATGACACAAGTCATTCGAAGTACAGTGGTACCGAGAGGCTATGAGCAAGAAGATGTGCTTGAGGTACGTCGCTCAATCTCTCCGACAACTTACCCATGGCTAGCTTGTGCGCTTCTCAGCTGTGGTTAGAGCAATGCAGATTTTTCAGGTGTTTGCATCATGTCATATATGCTTCATTCCGCTATTCCGCTCCCAAGGCTAGACGGCCACTAAATTCACCCCCCTGCTCGGGCACAGGATTACGTCGTAAGTATGTTCAGTATCCTGCACCTTCAAGTTGCTTCCCCCCTCTCATCGCATCCGGAGGTCTAGCTCCGTGCCGCTCGCATCATCTATCCAATCAGATTTGTTGGATCAGTCATTACGGCAAGAGATGAGGTGCATACGATCAGGATAGCGAACGGCCGCTCTGTCCAAGTTGGGTTGTCCTCCCCTAGAAGCACCTCCTTCACCACCACGAATCCACAGCTCTCGTAGAACGGCGTGTTGATGACGTTCGAGGACAACAGCCACGATGCGCAACGTATTTCGTCGGCCTGCGACATAGCACAATCCCGGTCGCATTCATTATCGTAGGTCCCCTGCAAGCGATCATCTCACCTGCGCGTTCGCCAACGCCATAAGGGCATAACCATAACCCTTTCCTTGATGCCTCGGCGCTACAGCCAGGTTCAGGACATGGAGCATTCTCCTGAGCTCGTCACCAAACGCGTCTTTTGACGCGGCGGCTATCTTATCCTCGAATTCCTCCCACCTCTGACGACCAAGTCAGCACAGGTCTGCCACCGTCAATTGTAAGTGGATGCGATTCGGCTCACTTTGCGCTGTTCGGGCGTGTTCGTTCTGTTCAAGACCCCGTTCGTGACTCTGCTGAGCATCCGTAGTACAGCGCTTTTGGTCCGCCCAGGTGACGGATGGCCTCTGCACATCATATGTTCGACTGTCAGCTACTCACGAGCACGAGGCACAACTGTACAAGGCATACATGGTCACGTAAGCATCTCCGTGCTCTACAGGGAACGCGGCGTGGTAATGGATATGGAACCCGAGTTCCAAGTAAGCCATGAGACGCCAAATGTAGAGGCGGTCCCGCCGAGGAGCCACAGGAGGCTTCTTGGCGTCCTGTCGAACGGCAGCGAATGATGAACTTGACCAGAGAAAGGCAGCTGCAACGACTTACCGGTGTATTCCTCAGGTAGTTGCGCAGAGGGTCGTCTTCGTAGGCATCCTGTGCCATCTGTTGGATTCTAGGTACGTCCGCTACATACCGACGGCTTAGACAACCAAGCTAGTATCAAAGTCAGAGTATATAGGACAGACCATATCTCGCCCTCTCGACCTTGACGTTCCTCTTCTCCGCCAGCACGTCGTAGAAGTCACTCTTAGTGTTGAGGCTCATCTTCAATATCCGGTGGAAGAACCCTCGGGGGATATCTCGTGCTGTGTGTTGACACGCAGCTCATATATGATATAGAGTATGACTGCGGGCGAAGGTGACATCGTGCAGTACATTTCAATTGCATGATACCGAGTCAACATCTGCGCTGCCGGACGTTCGGAGGCGCTCCTGTCGTGTGCATGAGGTACCGAACCTTCTAAGACTTGTGTGTTTACCAACAGCATTGCTCTGACAATGGCAGCAGCGGCAGCTCAGTTTGCTCACACGCAAGCATATTTCTATAGCGCTTTATGCGTTCCTCGGAGTCTCATATCAGGTCCAGCTGACTACACTTTATCGAAGACGTGCCCCGTACCCCACCATATTTACTGTATAACCTGAGGGCTCTCTCGCTGTCGCCGGTAAGAGTCACAACTCGACAAGCCTGCACATTCTCTTCCTGATATAGAAATCGATCAGGCTATATCCTCGACAATCATCCTCGACGACCGCAGCTAGTACGAATCCCCCCTCATCCTCCTAGCAAGTAGTAGTAGCAACGCTCCCAACTTCTACCAACAACATCGCAATCCCCGGTGTGCTTATCGCCCGCCGAATGCAATGTCCACCGCCCGCCCACTCATCATCGGCCCCTCTACGGGGCTCAAAGCACCCTACCCCCTGCAGATGGAAGGCAAAGTGATCAGCGGCTTCGGGCGTGGCTCCAAAGAACTAGGCATCCCCACCGCCAACCTCCCCATCGACTACAACCTGACACCATGGATCGCCGATATCAAGTCCGGAGTATACTTTGGCTGGGCGTCCCTACGCCTACCGCCGTCACATCCGAACCAACCAACGACATCATCAGACACCACCGCCACGACAACCACGGCCCCGGAGGCGCACTCCGGGTTCAGCGTATATCCCATGGTGATGTCGATCGGGTACAACAAGTTTTACAAGAACACGATGCGGTCGGCTGAGGTGCACGTACTCCACGAGTTCGGGGCTGACTTCTACGGCGTCGAGATGCGGCTGTTGATCACGGGGTTCATCAGGGAGGAGAAAGACTACGCCAATCTGGAGGTGCTGATCGAGGACATCAAACTGGACTGCGATGTGGCGCGCAAGAGCTTGGACCGCGAGGCTTGGGCATTGCGGGAGACGGGCAGGGGCACGCTCGATGGGAGCTGGTTGGTGCGAGAAAGAACAGAGCAGAATAGGGCTGTAGTATAAAGACATGAGAATTAGAGAAGTGATTGACGGGAGACACAGCGCTGGGGAATCTTGTGCTCGTTGCAGGCTGCTGACCAGTCCGGAGGAATAAGCAAGCATCCTCCACCTTAGACTCGCAATGTCGTGTACTGTCATGTAGTTACCCCCATGGCAAACTCGGGATCGCCTTTTTCGTTGCGGAAGAAGACGACTTCTACGTCCTGTTTGCGTCGGAGAGAGACTCGACCTTAGATCGGGGCATGGTCATTGGAAAATAGGAAAATAAAAAGACTCGCCTTGTAGCGCAAGCTTCAGCCACTTCCCGGACGAGCGGTCGACTCAATAAACTCGCCGACGCGAGCAGAGGTATAGACGTTGAGCATGATGCCGTCCCGCACTCGACTACGATAGGGCTGTCGGATCTTTGACTTGCTCGACGGCTCGGCGGTGATACGAGACATCAGGGTTATGCTGTGATCTCGAGGATATCAGGACTGAAGCGGACGGAAATAGTTCTGCGACCGTGAATAGGAGTATATGCATTGTACGAACCAAGACCCGAATGTGTGAACGGCAAAGCAGCCTTTGCCGATAGAGTAGTATACCAAGAACGGTCCCGCCGTATATAGCTATCACTTTGCCACATACAGCGTCATTGATCCACAAGGTTAATTGATGGTCGGGCATCGACTCACCGAAAGCCTGGAAGTGTTTCCGCAAGTTCAGTCCTCGGTGGGTCTGTTTATGCATCATGTGCTGAGATGTCAGTCGATATGCAAGCGGCATCACCCCCAGGGTCACCAGTTGGAATAACTGGCCCGGGCTCCGAGTGTCGGCTGACAAACATGAATTCAAAGTGTTGTATGCAGCTGCGTCGGACGGGCTGGTATATGGGATACCAGATACACAATAGTGGTTCACCATGACATGAGGTAGTCCAGGGATGTTGCTAGCGCAGGCTGTGATTCTCTGACCATCTACATGAACACGAGCTGGTCAGATGGAGGGAGCATATCGAGGAGGCGCGAGATACGGACAATCTTCACAACAACTGGTGGCCTGGCCCAATTCGGGTTGGCCTCCCCCACCATATACTCGTGCACCGTGGCAAAGCCGAAGTGTTCGTAGAAGGCCGTGTTCTTGATGTTGGACGTCGATAGCCATGAGGCCAATCCGAGTTCGTCTGCCTGTTGTTGATTGTACGGTTTGCTTCCATGACATGTATACAGAGACGCACTCTGACGTTCGCAGCTGCCATGAGGGCGCTTCCATAGCCTCTGTGTCGTTTCTCAGGTCGTGTGGCTAAACCATCCACTCGAAACATGTCTTGTTCTCTCTCGCCGAAGGCGGCTCGGATGGCCTGAGCCTGCTTTTGCCTCCACTCCTGAAACCGCTAGAAGACGACGTGGTCAGTACAGGTACGTGCGGCTGGAGACATAAGATGAGACTCACTGCTTGTTGCTCTCGCGACAGTCCTCTGCAAAGGAGTTTAGACAGCCTATACAGAGTACGCTCTATTGGTCGAGCTTCCCGTCTAGGAAGCTGGCTAGTCATACAGCGGGCACATAGTTCAATCAAGCAATGATCATAGAATAGAGGATGCGGCGTACAACGTCAGTACTGCATCTCCGTTGTTTACTGTCATCGCAGATGCGCTATGCACTTTCGCGGCATACCATCCGAGCCGGGTATAACATCTTCTCCTGGAAGACTTTGGATACTGCGCAATGTGACCGAGAGGCATTTCTGTAAGTATCACAAGGTTCCAAGCGATTCTGGACTCACTGGACGATCTTCGATGTAGTCAAATAGCGGGTCGTCGGCAAATGCTGTGTCTGCCGTTACTGCTGCCTTGAAGATTCCCACTACAATGAGCTGCGCAATGTGAATCTGCCTCACAGCCAATCAAAATGACGTACTGTAACGCAGCGAGTGCACCTCGATGTTGCGCAGCGTGGCCGCCTCTTGATCGTTCCTCTTGCAGGTCATGAGTGGGGTCGTCTCGTCGCGTGAAATACGGCATTTCATCTTGAGTCGACTTGTGAGGTGTCAATAACGCGCATACGGATGCCACTGTACAGGCACAGGAAAAACAGTCGGATTCAGGAGGAGGAGGAGGAGAAAGAGGAGGAGGAGGAGGAGGAGGAGGAGGAGGAGGAGGAGGAAAAAGGTACTAGATATGGGACAGGGCTTTATAGGGTTTCATGAGCCTGAGCCGTGGCATCGTGTACGTCCCAGGCACACTTGCGTGCGCCTGATCGCGCTAGTCTCGACTTACGCGCATGCACAACGAATTTTTACGTTGACGGGCCCGTCGCTAGCGAGGTACGCGACTGACCGCCTGTCTGAAGAATACAGCATAAGTATTCGATCGTTCGCCTTCGAGAGGTAATCTCACCTTCTGCCGCTTGATTCCCGCGTGCGGTTTGGCCGGCGCTCGCTTGTGACCAGGGAAACCGCATCGATAGCGTTACATTGTTCTTGAGTATTTGCATTGTACGAACCGAGACCTGAACTTTTGAACAGCAAAGCAGCCTTTATCGATCGGATCCCGGGCGACGACCTCGAACCATGCATTGCGTATGAAGGTCGCGTTACATGCTACACCAAGCCCATGTTGTCTGGACCAACACAGGTATAAGCCGTAGCCCAAAATCCGGAACCAGCAGAGGAGGACAGTGATACACGCACAACGTAGAGGGCTGCCCAGTGCGTAATCCGCACTCTTCATACCTGTGTTCCACTGTAACAAGACGAGTTACCGGACTTGCTACTGGGAGGGGTTCGGTCACTCAAGGTACGCTCACGTGACGGGTGATCAGTCCGTCTGGTTAGGTTCGGTAGAACGGGTGTGTATTACCAACTACGTTAACGTAACGAGAGGTAGTACAAGGGAAGCGCGCGAGAGAGGTAGAGAGAGAGAGAGTAGAGAGAGGAGAGAGGGAGAGACGTTTGGCCAGCAAAGCGTGTCGAACCTCGAGAACTCTTCATCCTTATATACTCGTATAAGGATCGCCTTAACGCCCGGCACAGCCCTTACGAGGCGATGCCTTTCAGCTACTAGACGAACGTCGTAAGTTCCAGCGGGTTCTCTACGGTTCGAGATGAATGTAGAATATACATTCATGTACTATATTATAATACACATACTGAGTCGTTACAATTACCCCCCTCACAAAGAAAGCGAGGTCTCCGAGTCGAGGGAAGGAAGGCAACGAAATATCAGTGAATCATGACGTGTAAAGAATGTGAGGCATAGCTAAGATGCGCAATATACAATTCTAAACAACCGACTCGATCCTTACCGACGCGATCCTATCCTCTCTCCATCCACCTTCTTGATGTGGTCAAGAAACGCGCCCGCATTCCCGTGGTACTGCGGAGCACAGACGCGCAACTCGTCGATCTGGTGTACGAAGAGGTAGGGACGTCCTCGGCGGGCGCTGCCATGCCAGTAACGCTCGACAGCGCGTAACCCGTTGGCGTAAAGCGGGATGTCGACGTCGCGGAGCCATTCGCGGTTGTTATTGACGCAGTAGTCGATACCGTGTCGGTGAACAACGTGCTTGTGGACCCAGTTGATGGCGAGTCGAGGCGGAACGGGAGCGGAGCGTCGTCCGACGAGGAATTGGTCGTGCAGAGCGGCAAGACCGGCCTTGAGCGAGCTCAGCTCGTACGGCTTGATCTCCTCGAGAGCGTGCGCGACGCCGAGCTGGTTGAGGGAAAGGAAGTAAAGGATGTCGTGGAGGTTCTGCGGCGAAAGGGAGAAGGCATTCAATATCGGGGTGCGTAGGCGCCATGGACGATCGGCGATCGAGACTCTTGGGTGCCCCGAGGCGATCGTGGAAGACGGATGGTTAACAGCGCGCTCCGTACGTCCGATAGGTCGACTGGCTCGCAGGAACTCTTGACGCAGGACCGCGGCGTACGACGGCGGTGGTGTGTTCCGCCGGGCCGCTAGGACAATGTCACCGTCCATGGGGACATCAGCGTCGCTCCCGTCGCGTGCTTGTAGAGACGCGGAAGCGGAGCGATCGGCCAGGTTGGCCTGTCCGTCCGACGAGGTCAAGACCGAAGTGGTGTCCGACACGTCAAGTACTGGAACAAATTGGGTGAGAACTGTGATTCACATTGTACCACTAGTTCGACTTACTATGTCCCAGCTGCCTGACAGGTGCGTCGCCTGCGACGCGTTCCGGCTTCAAGAGCAGTGGGGTATCTTCATCGACCTCGCCAGGCTCGCTGTCGGACTCGGGCAACGATGCAAGAGGCGGCATCGAAGAGAACGACATTAGGGAAGGGGCGGGCGAGTTAGGGCGAGTAAAAGGTGAGCGAACTTCGTTAACGACGTCGTCCCGTACTGAAGTCGCGCTGGGGATCGTGGGCATGACGGAGGGACTAGCAGACGACGCGGCCGAGTTGATGGCCAAAACGAGGTTGTCGAGAAGAGGCGCAGCCATGTCGAAGAGGAAGGGAAGTGAAGACAAGACAAAAGGTGTAGGTTGTTGAAAGGGAAAGGGGGAAGGGGAACGGGGAAAGGGGCGAAGAGCGAAGGGGAGAGGAGCGAACGGTAAACTTCTGGTGGGACCAGGAGTGAGGAACTTAGTGAGTGCCCTCGCCTCTTATATCGCAGGTGTATGCGGCAGACCAAATGCAACAGGCTCGGCCAGCGAACCGAGTTCAGAGGTCGCAAAGGCTACCGTTCCTCAATGACGGAGCCTGGTTGCCAATAAAGATTAGTATGGTGAGTCATTGTCCGTTGTTCATTTCCGTCGTTGGACTGTTCGAGTGGAGCATCCTTGTGCTGTCCTCGGAAATGAACACATTAAACCACGATTCGATGCTTCGCTTCGTATTGTCGAACAATGCGAGATGCTCCAACCCGTAATTCATCGCGAGTCAACCACTCTCGCTCGTGTTCAGGCATACCCACGAAATTAACCAGATACCAATGTACGACGTTACCCGACCGACGATCGGTGCGTTGATCGTGGTCAAGTATCTGGTCAATCTCATAGTGGTCGTCTTGTCCGTCGACCACTATGGGAGGTGGTATAGATCGTTTTCGTTTCGAAAACTCGTCAGGCGAGTCTACGTATCTCTCAAGATACTCAGAATTGATAGCCTCGTGTATGTCGAACTGTGGAGGCAAGTCCAACACGTAAGAATTGTTGTTCAACTTTTCTTTGACGCGAAACGGGCCTATCCATTTAGGCAGCAATTTCCGTGTTTTGCGCTTTTTCTGCCATGGAGGATTCAAGTGCTTTGTCGAAAGCTTTACCAACTCACCGACCTCGAATATCATCTCACGTCGTTGAGAGTTAAAGTGTTTCGCTTGACTCTCCTGTGCCCTGCTGATCGCGTCTTCTGCAGATCGAATCTGAGCATGAACGTGCTCAAGGAAATCATCGACCGCAGGCAAGTGATCGCCCTCGTTGTCTGCAATATTGTGGACGAAGCGTGGCGTGAATCCATAGTCCAATTCAAATGGACTGAACCCAGTCGATGCGTTCACACCTCGATTGTAGGCGATCTCCAAAATAGGTAGTAAGTCGATCCAATTCTTCTGGTCATACTTAATGTAATGACGAAGCATATCCTTGAGCACACGTACCATGCGCTCTGATTGGCCATCGGTTTGGGGATGGTTCGCGGTGGACATGGCGAGCTTTGTACCAAGACGCTTGAACAGAGTGCGCCAAAACCGTGAGGTGAATTTTGAGTCTCTGTCTGATATTATCACTTGAGGTAATCCATGCAGTCTTACGACTTCACGAAAAAATGCTTGTGCAGTGTCTTCGGCCGTGTCCGACTTTCTGACAGGAATAAAATGGGTATGTTTCGTCAATTTATCAACTACGATCATAATCATATCAAGCCCATTAGGTGTCCCTGCAAATGGTCCCGCGAAGTCCATCGTGACGGTGTGCCATCTGCCCGGTGCAATCACATGGGGTAATAGTAGCCCAGCAGTCTTCTGATTAGAAGATTTGTTAAGTTGGCATGATTCGCAGGAGCGAACGTAAGAACGTATGTCCTTGCTGAGTCGGGGCCAATAGTATGTATGGCTAACCGCATTCAGTGTTCTATCAGCACCGGCATGCCCCGATACTTCGGCGTCATGGAAGTCGTGAAGAATGTCGAGTCGTAAGTCCTTGTACCTCGGTATGCACAGGACGCGACCTTTCCCAGAAGAGTGTCGACGGAACAACAACCCGTCTTCGGCTTCATAGTGCTGAAGGTGAGCTCGTGGTTTGTCCTGCTCAAACAATTCTAATATGGGCGCAAAGTATTCGTCTTGTAGGTATCCCTCTTGGATCTCTTTCAAGAACGTAGACTTCGGAGTTAGAGTGGTCACGGTCAATATCTCAGCTTCCTGTGGTGCCGATTCTGGTATGGGCGCACGCGAGAGTGCATCAACATTTGAATGCGTACGTCCAGGTCTATGCTCAATCTTGGCTGAATGTTGATATGGGAGTAGCTCCAACGACCATCGCTTGAGACGAGCGTTCGTGCCTTTGTAGTTCCAAATCCATTGTAATGCAATATGGTCCGTCACGACCTTAAGTTCTGATGTTCCATCTATGTATGGATGAAATTTGCGTAAAGCCCAGACCACCGCCAAGCACTCCAGTTCTGTTGCGCTGTATCCTTCCTCAGCCGCAGACAATTGTCTAGAGATGGCGGCGACCATATGTTCCTTGCCGTCGGTGCCTATTTGGGCTAACACACCCCCAATCCCTATCTTGGATCCATCGGTGTAGATCAGGAATGGTCGTTCGTAGTTTGGATGGGCCAATATGGGTTCTGCTGCTAACTTTCCACGGAGAGTTTCAAAGGCGTCTTGACATAAAGCAGACCATACAAACGGGGTCTCCTTCGATAGGAGGGCCGTTAATGGGCGCGCAATTTTTGCATAATCGCGAATAAAGCGACGGTAATATCCCGTCATGCCTAAGAAAATCTGTATGTCCTTGACTGACTTTGGGACTGGAAATTGTAGGATCGCTCGTACGTTCTCTTCCTTCATCCCGATCCCTAGGCGACTTACATGGTGTCCTAAGGCATGTATTTCTTGGTAGCAAACATGAGACTTCGGCAATGAAAGT